TTACTGAATATTACTAGACAATATACTCAGAGTCAGTAGGAGACTTTGTAGACAATTGTGAGACCCTTCTAAACTCACACTACGCAGTATAACAGAATATTGTAGAACACTTACTAGACATAATTAGATGGTGTACTACTTTTTGTAGTGATTCTTCTACATACATTTGTAATAGTTTCTAGTGCTATTTTTTGTAGTGATTCTTATAGGCATATTTGTAACAATTTCTACCGTCATTTTTGTAGTGAGTCTTATAGGCATATTTGTAATAGTTTCTAGTGTCATTTTTTGTAGTGATTCTTATAGACATATTTGTAATAGTTTCTAGGGTCATTTTTTGTAGTGATTCTTATAGGCACATTTGTAATAGTTTCTAGGGTCTTTTTTGTAGTGATTCTTATAGGCCCATTTGTCATTTTTTGTAGTGATTCTTATAGGCACATATGTAACAGTCATTTTTTGCAGTGATTCTTATAAGCACATTGGTAACATTTTTTGTAATGCTTCTTGTATGCATGTTTGTAACAGTTTCTAAGATCATTGTTGTGATCCTTATAGGCACATGTGTAAACAGTTTCTGGTGTTATTTTTTGTGGTAGTTCTTATAGGCACATTGGTAACATTTTTTGTAGTGATTATTGTAGGCACATTTGTAACAGTTTCTAGAATCATTTTTTGTAGTGATTCTGATAGGCACATGTGTAACAGTTATTTTTGTAGTGATTCTTATAGACACATTTGTAATCACTTCTTAGATCATTTTTCAATATGAGGATTGTAGGCATCATTATAATACTTTTCATGGCCACTACACACTTATACTAGGTAACCTTTTTAGCTCTGAAAGTTTCATCACTTGTAAAAATGATGCTTTTCATTTCTCAGGAATCATGACTTTAAAGGCTTCTGACTTTCCCAATTTGGGCAAGTGTACTTTGAGGTCAGAAATCTTTAAAAAAGGCAGAGAAAAGCGGAAAATTTAGAGACATGATCTAGGTAACCATGGGTACCTTAGGTAAGTCGGTTTCTAAATTAGGAAACTGACTAAGCAGGCCTTCTTGTCGTTCACCTCAGTAAGTGGTTTATCACTCAAATCTTGATGAAATCAAATGTTTTAAAGTGCTAACTAGGTCTATTTCTTGGTTTCAATTCAATAGTGATGGTCATAATGCATTAAACTCAGTACAACACTCTATAAAATGTAATTTCAATGTTCTCCAAAATAGAGCTGTTATCTGTTATCTGATCTAATTGCTACAGCCATGCATCTGTTAATTATACAAGTCACCCCAGTTTTCAATACAACTGTTTTGAATGTCCACCTATACTCGACTTGTAGTTTGGCCAAAAGAACCATTAGAACATTTGTAGCTAAGTTCTATCTCTAGAATTTTCCCACAGTCTGGGAAAAAGTATGTCATGGATTAGGTTGGCCTTCAAAGGCTCACTGCTTATAAGAACAATTCTTTTTATTCCTCAGAAATTATAACTAGGTCACATATTAAATAATACAAAGATGCAATACCATCAAAAGCTACCTAAGAAGGTATATGGACTGTGTCGAAACCACCTTATACATGGCTATTGCACTTGGAAAGGCAAGCAGTATATGCCAAAAAGTATGCATCAAGAGCTTCACTGGTCAGCCCAAAAGCCATTCAATGTTCAAGCACCAGAAGACATTAGTGAATGGCAGATACTTGAGATAAAGAAAACTAAGAAGAACAAATCTACCGATTTGCAAGATGTTGATGAGTCTGAACCTATCAGTAAAAAGAACATTGTACAGTATATACCAGCACAGGAAACCAAGCAGCTAAATACTCTCAGCAATGATCCAGCAGAACGATGTGGTCTCAAACGGACTAATTTAGAAAGGGAGGAGAATACCATGCATGATCAAAAAAGGGTGAAATATTCACAAGAAGCAGGTAGCAAGCACAAGCATTGTGAAGATTTAACTGAAGGTTCTGCTTCACAAAAAAGAGGCAGATTTGATATTGGTTCTGCAGGTTTTAAGTGGAATGCCAATACATACAGCTGTGCCTATGATGTCTTATTTGGTATTCTCTTTACTCTTTATAAAGGTTCTTCTAATAATTGGACAAACAGTTTGCAAGATAACAACCCTCATACTAACTATTTCACAACTGAATTCTCAAAAGTTATAAAGGGTAACCTAAGAAAGCTCGAGACCTTGTAAGACAAAGTCTTTATCATATGGACCCTGATATTTTTCCAATTGTAAGTACTGATAGTACAGACCTGATTCAGCTTACATAAAAAATGCTAGCATGACTAGAAGATACTATGTTACAATCTGTCAGATGTAATACATGTAATGTTGAAATAAAGTCAGGTGCTGAAAAAATATTACTTTGGAACTGTTCAAAATCAGTGTGGAAGGATGGTTTGAATACAAAGGGTTCATATAAATGCAGGACAGTTGCCAAATGGCTTCAGCCACTTTTATATCGCAGATCTGATGACATTTGTACTCATTGTCAACATCGACTACAAGTTGAGTTCAATTTCACTGGTCAGCCTAACTTCTTTATTCTACTAACTGATAGAATGTCAATTAAAATGAATTTTGTACCATCTTAAGTAAGACAAAGAAGTGTATTATTTATGTGGGATAATTTATTTGGGTAATTTTCACTCTACTTCACGTATTATTACTAAAGGAGATGTATGGTATAATGATGGAGCAGTAACTGATTCTCAAAGTGTTTTTGAGAGAACCACTAAAAGCATAGATGCCAAGACACTTAGTTATGCTTCACAAAAGAGAAAGAGTTGTATGATTATATATACCAGACTATAATATGGTTATTCAAGAACACAATGAGACAGTTACTAGCAAGTCAGCTACTAGTCAGATATTATAATATAATAGGCTTGTTTAAGAACACAACAAGTCAGTTACTACTCAGTTGGCCACTAGTCAATTAGGTCAGTTATCGTACCTGCCATGCGAAGCATTAATGGCCCACTCCAAACAAGTTAAAATCTGTAATCATCCTGGTCATATATTAGCATTGGCTCACTCCAACCAAGTAATTGTTGTCACACAACCAAGTTGAATAGCCTTAATTTGACTCTATTTGGCTCCTGGCAAATCCTGCCTGCAAGTTAGTAAGAACAAACCTTTCTTTTAAGTGCTTAATTTTCTATTTAGCATGAATTGCTCTGCTAGGCTGTTGTTAATGGAAGATAGTAATGATTGAGAGTAAACACTTATGTTTTCTACTGGTGATATTGAGCACTAGTAAGAGCAATAGTAAGAACTGAAAGGGTCTTACTTAGTAAAATAGTGGCTGAACATTTCAGAATTAAAGGAAAGAAACTAACATGGCTGTGCTAAAGACTTAGAGAAAAAAAAGCAAAAGAACAATGTACAGTAAAGGAGTCAAATACAGGCACAGCTGCTACAATAAGCAACTTTTAGAATGTCCTGAGACATGGTGACTTAAATGGGGACCTAAACAATTGGACATCGCCGAGATAGGTGCTCACGGAGATGTTGAACAGGTGCAACAGAGTTTGCACTGCACAGGCATCCTGGACGTGTTTTTGAGCCAGGATTTCTATGTACATGTACAGGGGTGCTATAACATACAAATGAGCATTTTTTCAATTTTTTTGATGACACAGGAGGCCCGGAATTTGAGTAGATGTGTTGCTCCCAACCAAATTACCTAAAGATGTGAATATGTAGTGGTTCTCGGTGTGTCCCATAAAGAATATCGCAACTTATTTTTCATAGGTCACACAGTTTTTGGTTGGTGGCCCAGTGGGCTGCGTGTCCCATGTCGATTTCGATTTTGAGGCTTCATGGGACACGCAGCCCGATATGGAAGGTCACCATGAACATATCACATTTATTCACCTAGCGATGTGAGGGAGCGCCCAAAGAACATGGGCGCGACTCATGCTGCCCATCAGCTAGGTGGTGTGCACACTCCGGCCATCAATTCCATCGCTCTGCCCCGTGGCCCCCCGCCCACCAACGGCAGTTGCGCATGTCTCGAGACATGCATTACATAAGCAATAAGCCCCGATCGGGCTAGGCTTGCGTGCCCCATGGCTACAAAGCCAAAATATTCACATCAACTCAGCCTGCATTAGCAAAAGTCAACTTTTGGTTAGCTTCATTTAGCTCCCTTATCTTCTTAATTAAGGGCATCTTCTTTCTTATTTGGGTAATTAAAGCCAACAAGGGTGAATAATAGAGGAATAAGAGAAGGGATCTCCTTTTTTTCCTTATTCAAAGGAAATAACTCCGATAAACAAAAGTTGACTTTTGCTGACTTTTGCTTATGTAGGACCATAAAAGATTCTTCAAATTAGTTCTATATACTATCGTTACCCCAGTAATGCAATTGCGATTGCATCTCTATCACCGTTCCTTCAAATCGGGCCCGTCTTCCTTCAAACCTCTTTGGATCAAATATACAACATATAAGCTACCTTCTGTGTGACTGCCAATTTTTTTCCTGATGTTGTGCGACTCCAAGACCGAACGCAGTGAAGAGACTCATTTGCACGCAAGAGCGCCGAATTGGTCACAGATCGTCACGCTTGCCGACGTGCCGTTCCCTTGTTCTCCCTCTAGTCGGAGTTTTAAATGGCACATTTCACTGTCACGCCTGAGTCCTCCAAACTTGCAATTCAGAGACTTCGCACTCTTCCCCTCCGAGTTTGACTCCCAAGTTGCACAGCCAAGGTATTTGGGACTGTGCACATCTATTACATATTTTTTTGTGATTTTTAGTGCAGCAAAATGCGACAAAACAGCGAAATTGCATAACTAGACCAGATTGCAATACTGGGGTAACGATAGTAGAGGTATAATCAATGGCGCCGCGCACTGGCCTTTCCTAAGGCCTGCGCCACAGGCCAAATAGAGCCAAATAAGCCGAAGAAATATGGCTACTCAACCGAGTTGGTTCACTTGCCTCACACATTTGCACATATTCCTACGAGCTCAGCAGTAAATGGCGTCGAGCCCTCTTCTGCGATTGATATCTGCGCTTGCAATGCTGATGGTACTATCTTCGTCGTACTGGATACTGGGTTTTCATCCGTCGGTCGTCACTCATGCAGCTTTGTATCTTCCTTCGTCCAACCGTGATTTTATGACTGGACTAGATGGTGACCCCAGCCCGCGTCTCGCTCAAAACGAAACTCTCGGTGTTGCTTCGAGTATTTACGTCGTCTCTCTTCCACGCAGAACAGATCGTCGTGCTACTATGGAACGCCTCAGGCAAGCACTGTCTCTCACGTGGACTTACATCGATGCGGTGCAGCCGGATGACCTTGGAGTTATCAACATCATGAATCACGTCCGTACCTTCCGAGAAAGATCTCAGCGTCGTCATGATTCCCCTGGAAGCGATCTTGTGGATAGCGGTCGATTCGATTGGATCAATGATTCCGACTTTGACTCTCTTGTACGATCGCGAGCCTCTCTTGGACTTACCGGTTCTGACTTCTGGACATCACAGCCATTGGGTGAGTACCGTCATTGCAGGCTCGTCGCAAGAACGTGATAAGCAGAGTATTGAACTCACGGAGCAGGAGCAGCAAACAACTCTCCAGCATCTTCGGATGACCTCTTACCTCTGACGTGTGCTACTACGAACCTCATCGATGGTCCCGCTTTCTCTTCATCCATTCCTGCCCACATGGTCTTGACAACTGCCAAGATTGCTTGCTGGTATTCACATCTTGAAGTGATCCGGCGTATTGCACAGAGTGGATTTACTCAAACGTCTAGACTACGACCTGGACTGATAGGACCTACCAGCTTGGATGGCAGTCTCCACGGAGACGACGTTTCGGTTATCCTTGAGGATGACGTTGATATGGAGCGGGACATACGTGAGAGGTTGCTCGCAGTCTGGCATCTTCTTCCCAGGGAATGGGACATTGTTTTCTTAGGTGCGTATGACATATGAGCCCTCGTTCTATATCATATACCGATCATGTTCCATGCTCCTCCAGGACACTGTTGGTCCAACGAATCTTTCCATTCGCCTGTCGCGGATAACTCTCCTGCGCAAAATTCGACATCCCTTCGTGGCGTGTCGCTCCACCCTTCCTTCGCTCCTAGATGCACTCACGCGTATGCGCTGACTACTAGCGGCGCTCGACGACTTCTGTTGCACTTGCGTCATCCCCCCTTTGCCTACTCCCGAGCATTCGATCAGGCGCTCTCTTGGCTCGTATCAAGCGGGAGACTAAAGGCTTTCTCCATCGTACCTAGCGTAGTTGTACAGCGGAAGATCGTGGCGGGTGATATAGATCCTGGGGCGCGCGGAACGGGAAGTACATGGCGGGACCACTTACTCAATGGGGTCTTCTGAAGTTGACATTGTTTCCTCGCTTGGGGGACGAAACAGTTGAAGAGACACTCTGGAGATGTTGAAGTTGTGGACCGTACTCTGCGATTGGTTGCAAATCGAGATCTGAGATGGATGTTGTAACAGGATATGCTAATGATGATCTAGTAGTCTGATACGCGTGTGATCACTCATTGTAGCCTGCTCAGCAAGCCCGCGCTGGAGGGGAGGAAGTGGAGGTATATTCCAGAGCAGGTCGCAATCAGGAGCGCCGGATTGTTACACGAGGATCTACTACGACTCTGTACTAAGTGGTAATATACTATAATACTAGTACTCCGCCGATAGTAGTGTCTTGGTGTAACGTGCAGGATTGCATCTGCATACGCACGATACACCTCTCTACTCACTACCGCCACTATAGCTATATTCGACGTCCGATCTTGTCTAATACCTCAACTTCGTGCACTATAAGGCGACGATCTTCAAGCGATCTGTCAGTGCTTCCCTTGAGCGGTTTACAGAACGCTAGACCCCTCTGTGAGTAGTACGCGTATGGCATGGATAGAGGACCATGACGAATCCGCAGGTTGTGTTGCACAGCGTGCCCAGATAAACGAGTTGGATAAGCATGTCTTCCTACTACCAAATCTTGGAAGAAGATCCATTTCCATCGAAGTTCTCAATAGTTCGATTCTTCACGGAATGCGTTCATCACACTTGGCCGACTCATCCTGCGGTCCTCCCGTGGTACGCATCTCTATTCTGCACGGTTGGTTGCAGCTCAAACATCACATTCGCTATCATCCTGACTTTCCCCCTTCGATCAGGAGTCCAATATTAGCTCATGCCGATAGAGAAAAGGCCTTGCGGTGTCTCGACATCGACATCGAGAAGATGGAGGCAACCCTTACCCAAGTCAACATTGCTATGCAGCGCACCATGCGCAATGTGCGCCACCGTCGCAACTATCAGACTGCAATCAACAGGCTACCTGTCGAAGTCCTATGTCAGATCTTTTCCCATGCAAATGAAGGGCGTGTTCGAGCGAAGCTGAGCATCTCCCACACTTGCGCTTTCTGGCGGGACGTTGCAATCGACTATCCCCATATGTGGACGTCAATTGACTTGAATAGCGTCTCTCGCCCCGAGTTCGTTCCAGATATTCTTGGACGTGCCAAAGGTCTGCCTCTTCAACTGCAATACTACGACTGGGAACAACTCGACCAAGCCACAGTTGACCGGTGTGCAGAACTCATGCACAATACTGAACAGCTGAAGCTCCGGGTAGGGACGAAGTATATGCGACATTCGGGCACATGGTTGGCAGATCAACCAGCTCCCATCCTCCGATGTTTGGAAATAGCGATGTCGGGTGGCATCGCTATCTTCCCTCGATTATTCGGAAACGAGAAGCCTTGTCTCATGGAGCTCACACTGACAAATTGTCGACTGGCCTGGTCTCCCAGGCTCTACGTCGGGCTAACCAAACTGAAGATACGCAGTCACTATGTGATGCAAAGTTCCGACCCCAGCGACAGGGACATCCGACAGGTCTTCAAGGATAGTCCAAATTTGGAGGAACTCGAACTCGTAAATTGTGGTCCAGTACATGATTCAGAAGTGTCTGAAATTCCAAAAGTCACACCTCTACCGCGACTGCGCATCCTACGATTACGCCTCCATGTCTCCGACGTCAGTTTCATTCTGAGTGCTATATCCCCCCCTTCGACCATGCGCCTCTCTGTCCAATGCGCCACTAGCGGGACGTTCCGCGATCTAGTGGGTTCGAATCACCTCCTCAATTTTAGCGAGTTTCGTTCCCTCGAGATAGATGGCTCGACCTATCGCATATTGGGCTTCACTGATGTCGGAGGCAAATATCCGTCCTTCGACCTCTCGACGTACGGATCACATTCATTTGGAGTCTTTGATCGTTTTCTATTCAGTCTAGGAAGTGTTTACCCCCTTCCCCTCTTACACCGACTCCGAGTCCACTCTCTGCACACCGATCGCATCGTCTGGCTACTCCATAGTACACCTTCAATCGTCCACCTAGAGCTGGTATCCGAGGCGATGGAAATACTATCCCTACTGTCACATCATTACGGAGAGTTGGACTCCCAATTTGCCCAATCCTTGTGTACTTTAGCCATTGAAAGGGTGTATCTGGATGCGGAGACCTTGATGGACATCGCCGACATGTTGCACTTCTCTCCCAAGCTCCGTGCTCTCTACTTGCATAAATGCACCTCAGATCTTACTCCGGACGAAGTCGTCGAATTTTTCCTTCAGGACGTTGCAACTGTGCAATGGTCGAACGAACCTCTGGATGGATACGATGTAGACGATGAATACGACGAAGAATCCTACATCAGCAGCAGCATGATGTAGATTTGGTAAGCAGTGTTCCTATTCAGTGTCTTTCATTGCTTATTTACTTACCTCTGTGCAGGCCTGGTATGTGGATACAACTCTGTGACGCGCGTTGAATATGCGATCTTCATGGCAATATATTCATCTGGCAGTTCTACACTCGTGGATCCAGGTGGGACAATCTTGTTCATAAACCAAAACGAGATTTGTTGGATAACATTTGTATCATGAATTACCTTTCGCACATGTTGGTGCATATGGCAAAGACAGCTCTACCGCTATTCTCTCTTGTGGTACCATGTCGTTATGCAACGGCACATGCAAAAAGAAAATGATTACTCGTGGGTATTTGCAGCATTCTGTTAGTTCCTTGATTCTCGGTGTATTATCAAAATTCCACATTAATCACTGCATTCGCGCTATCTCTATGCGAAGTCCAGTAGCATCTCCGCCGACATTCACTGCGTTTTTGCCCTTATGTCTGGGTGCAAGATACCCCCATGGATACGTGGTATAACTAGGACCTGGGCTACGCCGCATAGTTCTGCATATCAACCCCCAAGCTGGGTTACCAAGCTTCAAGTGTATCTTTCACTGTGCGATCCCCTGTAGTGAACAAGGTGATACGTTGGCTATGCCGCGCAGCACGTAGTCACTAGCAGTCTAGAAGCTACAGCATACACTTCCTAGGCTACAAGAAATATCAAACTTCAGCTATATTGGCGATGCTCCATGGCTACCATCAACAACACCCGTCTATTCCATTATATACTAATAGTAGATACTCCTGATGCGCTCACATCCCCTACTGCATACCTAATCACACCTGCAACAGAATAGACTTTGCATGTCGATCTTCCGATGGGGTTTGCGACGCAGTCTGTTTCTCACATACCTGTCACGAGAGGTGTCAATGGAGCATCCCAACTTTGGACAAACACAAGAATTGTAGAGCACATCGCATGTTCAGCCATGACCCGAGAGACCAAGAGCATGCAGAGACCATGTCATGGAGATAGAAGGCAACGCAGCACTCCTCGCTCTTAAGGTGACGGCGACGGCACGCCAGAAATATGTTTAGACAGCGGTCAACGGGCCAGTGAATCTGTGGATGGAAGGGCGCGGAACCAGCACGTAGTGTACGCCAGGTGAACTTGACCTTGGACACGATGATGCGCTTGGGCCGATGGAGGCCTGAACTTAGCACTAGTTATATGTACGTCAAGCTTGAAATCGCTACGTGGAATAGCCAATGTAGCTGGTGCAAGGTACACCAGAAAGCCTGTATAGAAAGGAGCACAGTGATGTAGTATAGCTCACGTAGCAGATGGTCATAGATAAGTGAGATCGTGCACCAAATGCGATGCATAAGCTATGTGGGCTAGCACACATCTTTCACATCAAGATTTATGACATAGCAGTGGGGGTCACAGCTATGTTCGCTATCTGCCCTACTCCGCCTATCTTCACATTGCGACTTCGGCTACCCATCAAACTATGTATTCTATCTGGCGTAGCCTATTCGTAGCAGACCCCCTACTAGAACGGCGAAAACACAGTGATTATAAGTGAAGAGATCAGACATTTTACGCCACACTTCTACACCATATATGATGGAGTTGCTGGTGACACCATATTCATTGGCGACTCCTCCCTGACTCCCAGTGAAAAACGCATATTCCAAGAACGAACCAAGACGCACCAGATCGCGGCTTGACTTGGACTATCGCAAGCGGTCGAACCAGATCTCACCTGGTTGAACACGTGCGAGACATCCTGTGATTTGACGCGTCGATCCTGTACCATGTCCCGTCTGAATTGCACTTTGCTCGACGTAAGGCCGCCATCTGTCGAATTTTGCCTGCACGCGTGTCTCGATTAGCTATATACTATATGTTGTACTTGTGCCCAGTGTACTTGCACCCACGCCGAGCTCATCATGTGACAGAGACATGGACGCGTCACCGTACTCATGTCGCCACCACGTCTGCGCTCTTGTCCTCCTGCATCCAGTCGCTCTGACCTCCAGAGCACGATGCTTATTATACCGGCCGATTACTCTCACTCAAGCTCATCCAACAGCTCCATGAGAGCACCCACCCCTCGCGTACTAAAGACACCGCCGCGGGCGAAGACGATGCAGCGGTAAGCTCGAGCTTCAAGAAGCCCATCGTCAAGGCACCGCCGAAAGCGTGCACACTGCAAGCTCGAGACACCGATTTTATATGCGGCCGAAGACACCGTCGAGAAGTGGCTCAACAGCCTTCTCTGCCTCAATGTGACGGTCATGCCACGCTCGAGTGCGCACAGCTGCCCGCACCCCGCACAGTGCGAACTGTTCTACATCTCATTCCCTGTCTAATCTCGCAGCAGTTCCGGGAGAACAAGTTTGCACTGCTTTCTGGTGCACGCGTGGTGCGCATTGCGACACATCCGGACTATGAATCCTCTGATGTGCCCCTATTGACGAGGTACGGCGACAGTTTCTGTGTCAGGCATCCAGGCACCTGAAATGTCCTTAAATTTACTTATCAGATGGTCGAGAGACCCCCTCTGGTGTACTTGCAGCGTTGCTGCTGATTATGGTAGTAAGTACTGCCTACGTGCAAGTGTGGATCATGTTATGCTAATCTTCCGATAAGAAGGCGATCCGATACTATCCACATTCGTTGAGATCCCCATGATCTTTCCATCTGCGCCTTCAATTGGGGGGCACTGACTAGCCCCTCAATCTCAAGCGGCTGGGCGCGGTACGCGTGCCGCATTCCAGGCTCCAAAGCCAAACGAAGACATCCGAGCAGTCCCGTCCGCGCGCCGCATTCGCCGATTCGCGACCCTGGCGCGCACGATAGACATGACCCGCATCGAGAAGTTGAGAAGTGGGGGGATGGGGCAAGTTAGGATGACCAGGTGAGTACAAGGATGTGGATGCGGACACGGCACGTCGACTTCTGGCGCATATACCGGGAAATCCGGGGTCAGAGGATCGATATTTGGGCGCGCGGGCGGGGGGCACATGGACCGAGCGAGGACCGAGCGCACCGAGGCGATCGTCTCGCACTGCGAGAGGTTCGTTTGCGGCGTCTAAAACCCCCCGCCCCCTGTAGCAGGCTCCGCGGTCACACATCTCTCTTCCGACGACCCCGACTAACGAGCTCGCCGGGCCTTTATGCACACTTCGAGCGCGAGAAGCCGTCTGGACGACCTCGACTATCCAGTCAGCCTGAGCGTGAACAGCTGCGCTTGCACCGACTTTGTAGCGGACCTCTCTACCTTATCTCATTCTTTATCTATGCTATGACACATATTCACTAACTCTACTTATATTACAGGTGTTGGGCAGCATCCAGGTGTGAAAACGGGGACGACGGCGAACACAGGGAGTGCGGATGTGTGCGGTTGCGCGCCAGTGCGCGGGTGCGTGCGCGGGCAGGGGGATGGGCGCGCGTGCGTGCAGGGGTGCGTAGGTGCAGGGGTGCGTAGGTGCGAGGGCGGGGGTACGGGCAGGAGCGGGGGCGGTGGCGGGAACGGGGGCGGGGGCGCAGGCAGGGGTGGGAGCGGGGGCGGGGGTGTGAGCGGAGCAGGTCGAAGTAGATCGCGCGATGTCGCAGGAGCTCGCACGACGGCGAGGGTGCTCACACGACGTCGAGTGTAGTCACAGTGTATTAAATCACGACAATACAATTATTATACAGCAGCTTAATATTCGACTAGATGCGAAATGCCTCGATTCTCCCGCTTGGCACTGTGCTAGCCTGCGACCACGTTTGATTGGGCTCGCGCAAGATCGCATATAGTCCAAATTTTCGCGGCTGGTCGCAGCTGGTCACAGCCACGACCTCGTGCGACTTGCTGCGATCTCACAATACGCGTTTTCCACTGGGCCTGACTGGTCAAGTTCGATCAGAAGATGCAGTGCAAAGTTAGCGTACCGGACAATCGGGATACGTTTCCACAACGGTCAGATACAAAGTAGTAGCACCGACTTCTGAAGATTCTGCACCGGAGAGATCTGGCATCAGGAGAATGGAAGGTGGGGGGTTCATAGGCATATGGAAAATCAGACGCCCTGCCAGCTGCCAGTACTTTAGACGTCAAGCCGAAGTTGGCTATGTGTAGTTTCCGAACTGAAAGATGCAGTCGTTCTCGGCGAAGCCTCCATTGGCCATCATCGTCTCATTGAAGACTGGATGGTCTAATAGCCGGATGGACACCAGGTAAAGCTTGGCTGGCATAGGCTCACCGAGGAGAACTGGAAAGAGACATCTCTCCAGGCCCTATAACAGTACCGCTGACGGGAGAATCGATGGTGTCATGTACTGAGCCGATTGTGTGATGCTTTCCAGGTGTCTGAATGACAAGGACTGTAGCGGCGGGAGAGAGTAAAGGAAATAGAGCGGCCACTTGCAGATGCATTGTTGGCGGTGAGGAGAAATTCTATGCTTTCATGACAGTGAACTGCTCTTTGATAAGTCTGCTTTACGGGCCTGGGTGTGGAAGCTCACGTATGATGACACGGGCAAGGCACAATATCCAGCCGAATTTTCACGAACCTGCTGACCATGGAACGATATCAGAGGAACTGTGGTTCCCTCTACCGACGACGAAGATTAGAGGTCATTAGTGGAAGCAATTGTGCTTTCAGTCGACGGGCGACAGGAGCTCAGTGATCGCCGAAGAGGCCGACTCTTCCCAACGGTCTGTATCAGACTGCCAACGTCTGGCAGGCTGGAACGTACAGGCACTAAACTACCTGAGCTCCTGGTAGAGATTCCAGAGTTATTCAAGGCGGTCAATGTATGCCGGGCGTGACACGATGCATCCCGCACAACAGATGGATATCGCAGCGGAGGCAATGACATTTAGTCCGTACGCCACACAAACAGTGGGTGACATGTACTAGAAGCATCTCCAGTGGACATTATGAGGACATTTTTGAGCCAACGAATATAAGTATAATTTAATGTACAGAGACATACCAGTCACTGAGGAGACGAACTGCGCTCGTTTAGGCAGTTGCCGTCTTTAATCTCAATGTTGTGGCTGGAAGAGCTGCACAAAACCAATACTTCCTGAATCTTGAGGCGTGACCTTCGTAGAGCACGTGAAGGGAATGCGCCGGTTGCAGTGCTATTTTATCCGTTTCTCCGTTTCTCGATCAAGTATTCGCGCGGACTAATATTGCTGAGAGTTGAAAGTCCCGAAGAGTCGAAGACAACTGGAACGAACCAGTTAGAAGTCGGTGGCAAATCAGACGAAATACAAATCGCTCTACATCGCTACGTGATCACCATGGATCGGATAGCAGTGGAACTGGCCGAGTATCTCGCACAGTTCCTCCAGAGGTCAGTCAGCTCAAGAAAAAGGCTGGACATGATATGACAACTCAACCTCCTTGCTGCGTCACAGCACTGATCCAAGCGCGCGCCTCCTAGTTGGCATCGCAGGCGTGCCTGCATCCGGCAAATCCACTCTAGTGCAGCACATTGTGGACTATCTTAACGACACTCTTCCGTTGGGGAACGAACCGAGTCGCACCGATGACACCACGAGAAAAGACGTTGCCGTCTCCGTCGGTCTTGACGGCTGGCACCTGACACGCGCGCAACTTGACGCGCTCCCTGACCCAAAGTTGGCGCACGACCGGCGGGGAGCGCACTGGACGTTCGACGCAGTGGCATACGTCGACTTCGTCAGAGTTCTCCGCCAACCACGTTCGGAGGAGGTCATCTATGCGCCCACGTTTTCTCACGTTATCAAGGATCCGACTCCTTACGCTGTCCCCGTATTTGCTCATAATCGCATTGTCTTGATCGAAGGTCTGTACACCTTCCTTGGGATAACTCCATGGCGAACTGCAGCAGAGATGCTGGATGAACGGTGGTGGATTGATGTCAGCGAAGAAGAGGCGCAAAAGCGTCTCGTAGCGCGTCACGTCGAGAGTGGTGTTGCGAAGGATCTGGAAGAGGCAATGTGGAGATCAAGGGAGAACGATGCGCCTAGTACGTACTCAACACATGAATGTGGAAATTCATGATGATTCTGAGATCTCACCACAGATGGGAGATTCATCAAAGAAAATATGCTTAAACCAACAAAGATCATCCACAGTGTCGAAGATCCCAGGTTCTCGTCATGAGCAGTGATTTTGTTTTCTGCGCCAACGTCAGCTCAGTTCTATATCTTAGTCAATACATGTGTCACCTTATACCATCCTATCCCACCTAAATACGATGCAGGCGCCATACATGCCTGCTGCGAGATTCACAGGGATGTGTAGAGCATATAGAGCTGATCCTTCGTTCAACGGTCCACCCCGAAGAATGTGAATTCCTTGACATAACCAAGATACTCATGAGCGTACAGTGAAGGTATCGATACAGCTAGGTTGAATTCACGACCTGCCGCGGAGGGGCATACTATCTCCCTGGCCGCAAGTCAACCTTTCTCTCTGCGGTAACTAACATGAAAACTGTGGGTTAAACGGAAATGTAAAGGGAATACGCGGACCTCCGGTGCTTACCCCAAGGTCTTCTGTCCATAGGACACTGCTGTTTCGACGCTGCGGTCCCTATCCATTGAAGAAGACAGTGCATGTGAAACACATGGCTACATTCTCCCCAAACTAGCGCAATATGTCCAATTCAATACGGAGGTAAGAGTACGAGTGTACTGGGACATCAGACACGTACTGAGCGGACAATCATCCCCCGGCATCTTGCAAGATGGGCAGCAGCCCTCATAGGGCACCCTGCATATGCCACAGACGTCGCCCTCACTGTCAACGTCGCCAACATCTGAGCCAGTGTCCCAGCGCCACTGTGCGATAGCGTGCCAATGTTTGACGATGACCTTCATGAGCCGTCGTGGTTCCGCTCCAGGCGTTGTTTGGCGCTATGTACGCGTTTACGGTCAAGTCATTTTTTCTTCTGTCCTTGTGCGATCACATTCTGCGGAAGCTTATACAATATTCACTCGTGATGGCTTCGATATCTAACTCCATCCATGGCCGACCTTTGAAGCGAGCAGACCCTTCCACCATTCAAAATAAATTCATGGTTGGGTACCAGGGCTGGTTCACCTGTGCGGGAGATGGCGAACCTGTCGGCCCAGGACATCATGGGTGGCTCCACTGGTTCAACTATCCCGTACCAGACGGCGGGCGACCCAACACTGACCTCTGGCCCGATGTTTCAGAGTATTCACCTTCAGAGCTCTATCCTGCCCCAGGTCTCAAGTTAGCCACAGGGGAACAGACCTTTCTTTTCTCCTCCCGTCATCCCAAGACGGTGCAGAGGCATTTCCACTGGATGGCACAACACGGCGTGGATGGCGCCTTTCTACAACGCTTTGCTGGGCAATGCGATGTGGAAGACGGCGGGAACTTGGGCATCAGAAACCAGCGGGACGAAGTAGGGGATCGTGTCAAGGAGGCCGCCGAGAAAGAGGGTAGAGTTTTTGCGATCATGTATGCCGTCTCGTACTCCTGTTACCATCGCTGTTTAAACGTACTCTTAGGTATGACGTCTCCGGTGTTGCCCCGGAACGCATACAGAAGGTGATTGAACACGACTGGCATCACCTCATATATGAAAAGAGCGTATTGGATAGCCCAAATTACCTACGCGAGAAGGGCAAAGCCGTTGTTACATTCTGGGGCTTTGGCTTTGCAGATTCTCGTCATGATCCTGCGACGGTTCGTGCTATCACTGCCTTCATCCGTAATAATACCCCCGGTGGAGCGTACATCATGGCTGGTTCGCCTGCCTATTGGCGTACGTCTACGAGCGACGCGGACAGAAATCCTGAATTCGTCAATGTTTGGTTAGAGGAGTTCGATGCCATCTCACCGTGGACAATCGGCAGATACGGGAGCCCCGAGGATGCTGATAGACATGAGCGGGAGAATATCAAGGGAGATCTTGAATTAATCAGAAAGAGAAATGAACACCAGCACTCAAAGCGGCAGATTGATTACATTCCTGTCGTGTTTCCTGGCGGATCGGTAAGCGTTCGTTCTGTGCGATTTCTCTATTTTTCTCGGAACGGGAAACGAAATTTAATAAATTGTTCCTCCTGATCACCTGCCCTTCCTTTTGTTGTCGCCGTCCTCTCGGGTTTTCGTTGCATTGATGCATATTGACAGCCAGGTTAACATGACTGATATTGTTATCTTCACAGGGCTACAACCTATCCGAGGGGAAGTGGGGTTGGAATGACATTCCACGCCGCGGTGGTCGCTTCTTATGGAGGCAGCTGTATAATGCGCGCAGGAACGGGATCCGCATTATCTATGGAGCTATGTGGGACGAGTAAGTGAAACTTGTCGATATATTTTCATGTTCACTGATTTGCTTGAAATATAGATATGACGAAGGAACGGCATTTCTGCCCGTTGTTCCGCATCAGAATCAACTTCCCGTCCTGGATAATTACAAGTTCATGGCATTGGACGAAGATGGCCTTGAACTACCCTCTGATTGGTAATTTGTGCTCTTCGTTTTCTCCGGCCTTCAACCAATATCTCGAATTGTAATCCAGGTACATGCGTATATGCGGCTTCGCCGTTGAAAGCCTACGAGGACAGCGTGAGATCGAAGAGGCGTTCCCAGAAAAGGAGCTGCAGGATTACTGGTCCTCACGGCCAAAGGGTGCGGATCTGGGCAGCGGATCGGCAGACCCTGGTGGCAGCAAGTCCAAACCGTTTGAAGAATGGGAAAAATTAGAGAACGAGGGAGGGAAGATCGACGACGTTCCTCCGCCCCCTTATTCGCTGGAGCTAAATGAAGCCCTTGCAGAGCAGCAATCTCGGAATGTTTCATCCTCTCCGCCTCAACCTAGAATCTCCACACGTCCCCCCACTGGACAATCGTCTAGACATTACACTACGATACAAGCAACACCGTCCGCACCACCTGTGGTGTCCACTTCTCGTCCATCTATTCCCTCTTCTCCTGTGAACGCTAGCCCACGTACCAGCCCCGTCGTTCCAGAAACTGTAAACTCTCTTGCAGATTCGTTCCACCGGCAATCCATCGGTCCTCCTCCGTCCCCTTATACAAGAACAGCTTCCACTGGTCCTGCTGCAAATCAAAGCACATCTCCTCCATCTGCTTCCGGATTCCATCAGTCCGTTTCACAGCCTCTCGCTTCGAGACCCAGTCAGTCGAGCTCCCCAGCATCCGCACCTTGGCCTCCACCGTCGTGGGGACTCCCTCCTGCTCAGCGCCCGCCACAACCTCCGCATCTCTCATACACTAGACCAAACCCGATGCACGACCGACCGCATTCCGGCGGAGGACCCAGTCCGCCTCTCGGTCACACCTATAGCTACCCGCCAGGTGCTACAAGCTCGCCGCCGCCGCCACTCATGCCTCGCCCTTACATGCCGATGTCCCACACAGAACACCATCCCGAGAGGCCCCAAGGCGTGCAGATGCCCACCCTCAACGTCGGCGCCGGGCAGTGCCCTGCGCCATACGCGACGTATGCTCGACGGTCGTCCCCTTCGCACCCGCACCACGCGAGACCCCCGGAGCATGGTGCTGAGAGCGTGCAGTTCCCGCAGGCGTACGCCCCGCCGTCTCCTCTTGACTACACCGGGCAGCAGCAGCCCTTCGGCGGCTATCCCTACCTCCAGTCGGGGCCGCCGCCCGGTCCTGACCCTCAGAGATTTCCCGCGCATTATGGCTCTCCGCCTCCCCCGCATCCGGGCCATTCCAGTGGTCCTACGCATCCCCGTAAGTACTCGCGCTCTTTTCGTGGCGTAAGATCTTATCCGCAATTATCTATGGAGGGCCCAACGGTCCTCCACCAGGCCAGAACTACATGTATCTCCCTCCTCCTGGGCCGCCGCCACCAGTCCCGCCCACTCATCCACAGCGCCCCGCCTATCAAGGAGCCGCACTCCCGGCTGGGCCGTCCCTCTCTGCCAACCCTGTCGGATACGCAAAGAATGCGGCACATGGTATTACCCAGGGTGCGTCATCGACGCCGGCTTCTGGGACACGCGCACCTGTTCACGCTTTCTGACAGCGAGCAAAGAATTCTACAAGAAGCATTTGAAATGAGGATCCTCTGCCGATGCCGCGATTGCTGTGTATTTATTCCTGTAAATGAACACTCTCGGCTGTAGAACTATATAGTGTGAAATTTCTTGCAACAGACGCTGCGCTGACGAACCATCGTGTTTAAGTGTGGTAACGTACAGCAGGGTATAAGTATTAGATATTAGTTTACCATAAGGACGAGTCAACTCGATAGCGATGCGATAGCCCACCAATACAAGACGGTCTCCACCGGAACAGAAGGGTATAAACGGTCAAGAGACGATACAAGCTGCGTGGAAATGAAAGCAAGCAGATGAAAGCATAGAGTAGATAGCTCTGGAACAGATTAAACTTTGAGCATGGTGCCACCGAATCGGACGGAATGAAAAGGGGGGATTACATATCAAAAAACCAAAATGCCCTCCGAGCTGGTATTGGCCACGTCCTTGCCGAGCAAGCCGGGCCCGGGGAGCCTCCCTCGCCACCCTTGGGGGTGGTACGGCGCTACGTCGGCGTTCTCGTCGAACGAGTCGCGCTCCTCCCAGACGTGCGCGTTCGCGTCCTGGAAGGGCTGCACGGGCGGAAGGGGGACGGGCGTGCCCTTGGATATGGGGGTGAGGTCGAACACCTTGAGGCTGTCCGGGACCCAGCGCGAGGGCGACGGGGCGCGGCGGCCGCGCTTCGCCCGGGTGGGTGGTCTGTCGCTCGAGGGCGTACCCGAGCTGTTGTCTGAGGACGAGGTGACCTTGCGCTTACGGCCGCGTGGGGGGGCGGGTGCGCTGCTCGTGGAGACGATCACGGCGTGCGTGGAGAGGCCGACACTACTCAGGGTGGAACTTGACTCGGCCGCGGAAAACGCGGTGCCTGACGTCGAGGTGTCTGCATCTGCATCTGCATCTGCACTTGCATCTGTCGCGGGAGTGGTGCCGGTCGGGGAGGTAGACACTGCGCCCTTGACCAAGGCGTTGGCTTGACGTTGAGCACAGCCCTTTGCGTGTCTGTTCAGGTTGGAGGCGACGCCAAAGCGGTGTCCGCAGGTCTCGCAGACGAAGGCTTAGAGTGGGGGTTAGATACTGGAGGGGCAGTTGCTGAGGGAAATTGGTATGCTCACCTTTCTCGCCGGTGTGCACAAGGAGGTGCTGGAGGCGAGCCAGGCGGCGTAAGAAACCGCGAAAAAAAGACCGAATCGGATACCATACCTTCTTGAGAGTACTAGGCCTGAATGATTGTCAGTGTGAGCAAGTCCGGGTATTCTAAGGATGGGAGAAGACCAACCTATCGAAGCTCTTGTGACACATCCAGCAACCATGCTTCTTGTCACGTTTTTCTCTTGAGGAGATACTAGCGTGAGGAGGCGGGGGAGTGTAAGAGTCGGACCGAGTTGGAGGGGGAGGGTCTGAGGAGGGAAGAGGATGTTCGGGAATGGTGGGAGCTGCAGGCTCCTCGGGCTGGAGGGGTTCTGTATGCTGATAGGATGGGTAGGGAACGGGCATGGGGGGCAGAGGATGGTGGAAGGTGGGTGGGCAGGGGTGGGTTTTAACCGGGTATGAGTACGGGAAGGGAGCGAGTGGGATGGAGAAGGAATAGGGATTGGGATAGCCATAGGGAGAGTAAGGGCCGGTGGCGTACTGTGCGGAGTAGAAGGGCAGCAGTTCAGGGGAGCACTGAATGGACGATCCGGCTGAGAAGTGGGTGTGCGTGTGAGTAGCATGGGATACGGCTAGTGGCGCTGGGACGCGCTGCGCTGTGCGCGCAGTGGACGAGCGCGCAGTGGTCGACGGGCCCTCCATCCTCGACGGGAGTGCGGCGCAGCGGGACTCGCGCGCGATCTGTTATATACTTTCTCATCTGCTGGAGAGGTACGTACGTACACGTTCTCGCCGATCTCCTCTGGCGTCCACTTCGAGTGCAGGCCCGGTCTCTCTTCGGTCATGCGCACGCTTCCCATTCGACATCTCGCTGCTTCTCCAAATCTGCGTCGCGCGCAAGGGGAAACTTGATCCCGACGGGGTGACCGTCGGGGACCCGGCGATTGGGCTCCCAGGGCGCGCCGAACCGGATCCGAACTGCTGGATGCATCGATGAACCTAGATATCCTCAGTCAGCTGGACTCCGACGATCCCGATCCAGAACAATCGCGCCAAATCCTGGGGCCCAGCGCCGCGAAATATTCCCGTGACTTCATTCAATTCTCCCAGCTGCGCACTCCGAAGCAACTCCCGCGCATGCTGCTGTCACTCTAGCTCACGTTGGCATGGTGTTCACCCCACCGATGAGCACCTCGGACGATGGAATGAATCGCCAGAACTCCCCATCGGTCCCACATCATCTCGCGCAATCCGCCCGCCCTCGCACGTACTACGGAGCCGACGCTGCTCCGCGGCACACTCAGGCGCCGGCAGCGTATCTGATAAATACAATACACGCACCCAGCCAACATGGCAATACATACGTAGAATCGGTGCACCTACCTGAATGTTGCTGCGTCGACTCCACCAGCTAAATGAATCGCCGACTCCACAGACAGCCTCGTTGTAACCAGAAAGCGGACTGAGCATTCCCAAAAAACCCATGACAGGCGGGCATCTCGGGCCATAACCTTCCCCACGCCATCACTCTATTTGTGCACACAATTACGATGCATACGCAGTCGCATGTGCGCGCACTTTACACAGAAAGAGCGTCGTGCGTACTAAACTGAGGTTGCAACATCGACAATGGAGCTCCCAGATTAGCCCTGCAAGTATATACAGAGCTGCATGGTGGAGGCACTCACTGTATGCTCATCAAGGGTAGCACTTCTCAGAAGCCAGCTCTTCTCGTACGGTTAATCAATTGCTATAGTGAAGGGAGAACACGCACGCGATGGGCGAGGAGTGTCACACTGTGACGTGTTGTTGGTCCATACTTGGCGTTGTTTATTTCCAAAGCTCTTGCCAAACACGCAGGCCCAATTCGTTTCGAATCACTCCAAAACCGTTGACGCCGACCATTCAACAGGCCTTTCCACGATGCCCATCACCGCACCACAAAAGCACGAAATCGATGACGTCATCAACGTCCTTTTCAACGCGTCGAGTGCGCGTGGCAAACGCCGCCTCGCGGATATGTTCCTGGAGTTGGTGGACAGACAGTCTTGGCCAGAGTATTACGAGGTCGCTTTTTTCCTTGATCTCCTCATGTATTCGCCTTACGTTTCAACCCGTCCTCTCAGGTAATACCGGAACCCCGTTGTCTCGACGGCATCAAGGCGACTCTGGAAAAGAACAAGTACAAGGATCCGTTGAACGTGTACAACGACCTAAACCTGGTGTTTCTGAACGCGTTGTACTACAACGAGGAGAGCAGCCAGATTTCCAAAGACGCACGAACGCTCAAGGTAGGCATCGCCTGTTTTAAAACTCCGAACAGCTGTACGTATACACGCGCGCGTTGCAGGCAATGCTGGACAACGAGTGGAAACAGCGCTCGATCCTTCCGACACCCCGCGAATCCCCACCTCCGTCTTCGGCACAGAAGACGCACAAATCTGCAACTGCAGCTGCATCGGCGCCTGCACCTGTGGCGACGGCGGCCCCACTAGCCAAGACACAGCCTGCCCAACACGCGTCGATCGCTGTCGCAGCGCCTGCAGCAGCCCCTCAGGCCGTACAAGTAACTGTCGCACCAAAGTCGCCGGAGCGCCAGCAGACGCCGGACATGGACGTCGATGTGGGTGGGACGCCGGAGCCGGAGGGCGTCGCCATCGATACGGCCAGGGATGGGGAGAGCGAAGAAATCGTGTCGCAGCTCGAGAAGGGGCTCCCGAGGTGGGAGGGCTTTGGCGACGTTGGGTGGGCGGAGGGGCTCGATCCCGTGAGTTTCCATTGTTGAGCTCGGTATATGCGCTCCACTGATGGACCACAGGAGCGGCAGCTGGACATTGTGCGCGCGATCTCGAAACATGTCGACGCGAAGTAAGTTTAGCGCGACATCTTCTCTGCTATGCTGACCCTCTCGCATCCAGTGGCACTCGTCTCGCAGCAAGTCTCGATGCCTTGCCAGAGGAGAGTTCCATCCCGGAGCTGTCGTTCAATGCACGTCCACCGATTTATCATTACTATCATAATTTAACTGTCTCCTGCAGTTCCCCCTGTCTCTGTCATTGATAGAGGCGAGTAGCTTCGTTCTCGCTACCTCTCCGTGCATCTGAAGAAGTGATGTTACAGAATCGAACGCTCATGAAGTACTACAAGTCTTCTAAAGACTTTGACAAAGAAATGTCGCAGCTATTCCTCAAGGCTCGCAGATGGTTTGAACCCGGAAGCGAGGCCTATGGCAATATCCTTGTTCTCCAGGTCAGCAAAATGTCTACTTGGGAGACCCTAAATTTGGCTCAGACGTCTTTGTATTTCAGCGCCTCTACCATGCTCTAGCATCTTCCAGTCCCCCTAGTGGTCCTCCCTACGCATCGACCACCAACTTTGCCTCGTTGCGTGCAGGACCGGGCACGGCCAAGCCCATGCACACGACCGAACCAGAAGGCGTGCACGGGGTGACGACTTACCGCGTCTCGACCAAGGACCGGACGTTCGTCGACGAGGTGCAGTTTAAAGGTTGGAGCATACACCTTGCCGACTGGTTGCACATGAGCAATCCGGATGATCCCAGCAAGCCGATAGTCGGTCAGGTTTTCAGATGCTTCACTTCGGATGAGCCGTGAGTTTGTCCGTCGTGTGTCTGTACTGCAGTCATACTCAAATGATCCGCAGAGCGAGAAAAGGACAACCCGGGGTCACAGTCTGTTGGTATTACCGTCCGGAGCAGGTGGGCTCAATCTCCAGTGTTAATTTAACTTACTTCGCTCATTAGCTCCGTCAGACATGGCACCCGGCCAATCGTCAGTTTTGGGAGAAGGAAGTATTCAAGACCAGTGAGTCTACCAACACGCTCCTCCGTAAATCTCGATTTAATCGTGATTTTGTCCAGGCCACTTCGCAGACCACCCTCTCGAAGACATCATTGAGAAAATCGCCTGCCAATTCACCGCACGCCATATCCGTGGCCGCCCACGACCTCCGTTCTGGTACCCCGGCTGGCCTCTCTACGTCTGCGACTCGCGCTACAACGATCGCGAGCGCATCTTCGTAAAGATCAAGAACTGGAATTCCTGCGTCCCTGAGGAGGTGCGCAAGAGTACCGAGTTCATGCCCATATATCCCTTCGAGCGCACCGTATTTCCGCGGCGCTTCGCCAGCCCGTTCGTGAGCGGCAAAAACGTGAAGGGCCCCGGCGGCATCGGGGACGTAATCGAGAGGGTGGAGGGAGAGAAAATTGAAGGAGGAGGCACGGGCAGGAAGCGACCGCGGCGGGCTGCTGCTGCCACGACTGCGGGTTCGAGCCGCACAGAGCACACAGACCGCGTCGGACCTAGCAAGGGTTTGTACGTCGGGGCTTCCACTGGTGCGCCTGCTGCACAAGTTCCGTACCAGTATGCACAAACTACGCAATATCCACGGCCGCATGACCGGACCGTTGTGACTGCTGCAGGGGGTCTGGCCAATCTCGGAGGCAACATTTCCACCGAGAGGCTTCCTCCAGAGACCGGTATGTTTATTCTATATTTGTAACTGCGAAAATAATATCTCTCGACAGCGAAACAATTCGACCGCGATCCTCAGACGAACGAAGTGCTGTGGTTCGCCTCCCCGCCAGTCGATATGGCGCACACCCCGGCGCCACAGCACAGCCTGAAATATTTGCACTTCATGACCAAGATGCGGAAGAATGCCAAGCGACCGCACGATGCTGTGGAGGGGGACGGGAATGAGCAGACGGCCACTGCTCCGAAGCGGAAGAAGCCAAGGTCGACCGTTTCAGAGGCCCTCCAGTCTATGATGACGAAATTTCGGGTTGACTTGTCCACACCTCCGCAGCATTGATCTTTGCAGGTTGGACGTTGATAAATGCCGTTGCTATCACGCTACTGTATTTTTTGTACTGTATAATTAGGTACCGTACGCTTCTCACCATTATTGCACTGCAGCCACTGGGTTGTTTGGCCCTGATGTGCAACGGCTTCTGAATCTAACAGATACAAACATACGCTTCCCAGCCGAGCTTGCGTAAGCGGCACTGCCGCACTATCCCTGAGTTTGCCTTCATCCTTGACCACAAATCGATACCATGGATTTGGGATCACACTCTACCGCAAAGCTAGAACCCTTTCTGCTGATGTCGAAATCAGCAAAGGGCGCTGCTGCTGCTAAATTGATTCAGGACGTCACATCCGCTCATGGCGTGTTTGTCTTCGCGGAGTTGCTCGACCTTCCCAACATTCGAGAGGTGTGAGGTCTGCGTAATGGACATCAGAGCTCTTCTGATGTGAGGCTGTACCAGCTGGCTAGCAGCGAGCAACACTCTCCGTCTTATTCATTGCTGCAATTGTTCTCCTACAAGACATACCCGGACTACCTCCGTTGAGTCACATCATTAACGGGATTGTTGAGTTCCACCTGATGGCGTCGGCTTGCAGAGCATAAGGATTCTCTGCCTGCTCTCAATCAGGCACAGATCACCAAGCTGAAGCACCTGACTCTGGTATCTCTAGCCATGGAAAGCCGCGTGCGTGTTGCTCGTTGTATTCGGCGATCTGGAGTATTCATTAATACAAATATACACAGATACTTCCATACTCCCAATTACTCGAAGTTCTTCAAATGCCCACCATCCGTGAGCTGGAGGACCTCATCATTGACGCAATTTACCTTGAGATCATCCGCGGCAAGCTCGACCAGAAGGAACAACAGTTCGAAGTTGAGTATACCATGGGGAGAGATCTGGAGCCAGGAAAGATCGAGAGGTTGTTGACGTCTCTGCAAAATTGGTGCGTCCTTACTCGTTGATCCTAGGCTCTGCCCATGACTGACGAGTGTTCGCTATTCAGGGCATCCACGACGTCGGCCGTCCTGGCCACTCTCGACGAGAAGCTTGTCTCGATGGCGGCAGATGTCGCAGAGAAAAAGAGGACGAACGAATTCTACGAGCAGTCGTACCAAACGAACCTGAAAGAAATCCTGGATAAGCAGAAGGAGATAAAGGCGGGATTGAGAGCCGCAGCCTATCCTGGACGCACGGGCCTGACAGCCGCTGGTATTGCTGAGCGGGACCGGGAAAGGGAAAGAGAGCGGCGAGAACGAGAACGCGAAAAGGAACAGGATCGCGAGAACAATAGCATGGATGTGGATGAGCCTACCGAGTCTAAAGGCAAGAATCGAAAGTGAGTACTCGTCATCTTCCATTTCGGCTCGAGGTTTATGGTGTTATTGCAGAGCACCGCAACAGGACTCTGCACAGAGAACACAGCGAAAGCGGAACCGTGTCTAGTTACTCCCTGACAGATAAAGGCAATCATTGGACTCTTTCTCGTCCGTCCTCGTATCCCATCTGTTGGTAGAACATATCCTGAGTTGCGTGTTCGCCCTCTGTGGATCTGCACTTGCATGTTATAGTCCATCCCTGTACTTCTAGTCGACGCACTATCATCTGTAATGCACTGTGTACGGTATATATATACGCAAATATTGTCAGTGAGTGGGCTACAGTATACAGCGAACCGTCTTTTGGAGGAAGTTGGATCGCCAAATTCGTTTGATCCGCCCAAAACGAGCTTGCAAGAAAGCCACCAGCTCATACACAAAATTCCACACGGGTATAATGAGCAACCAAGATATTTCTGAAGACCGTCAGTAATGCATTTACCTGGCCCATACTGATCATTGTCCTAGGCAGTGACGATATTCTACGCTCTCTTGCAGGTTCTCCAAGCCACAAAGCAGAATCCTACTACGAGCTCAAAGGTGCGAACCCTGATATCTGCAAGAACGCCCTGACAGCCGGTGCATACAGGAAAAGGTCTTCCGAGGCTTTCGTCGGCCTTCGCGAACGCCCAATTTCTGCCGGAGGAGCTCGAAGACTATGTGACCATCCTCGTAGATATCGCCGATGTCCTCGGGATCGACGACCTCTCGTTTTCGAGGTACATATTATGGCATTCGTCTCGTTTTGCCTGACTTCTTTTGCCTCCTTCCAGCTTTTCCAATGCGATTTGCAGCCTGTCCAGTGAAGAGTTATCTTTGAAGCGGTCTTCTCTCCGTATGCAATATGCCCAAGATGAACTTTTGGCCCACCTCGCATCAGCGGAACACCTGGAAAGCCTCACACAGAAGTAACTACTCGATCCCCGTCTTAGTGGCGACTTCTGAACTTAACTAGACTCTGATTGGCAGGTGGATCAAAACAATTCAGGCAGAGCCAGACCCAAACGCTAGCGTGTCGGCGCTTGAGAGACGCAAAGCAGCGCTCTTCGCAAAGGCCAAAGAGTATCAAGCAGAGCTGGACGCCATAATGGTCCTTTTCCTGCTGAGGTTCGCTTTACCTGAACTAACTTAACCACTTATAGAGCCAGATGCCTGAAACACCTCCCGTGACAGCGACCCAACTCCACGCCCTGCACAAGGAGCTGAAAGTGAAAGAACAGCAGCTCAAAGAGAAGCGCGCAAGGGTCGAGGCATTCCAGGGAGTTCCGCCAGTAAGTGTCTCATCCACCGTCTTGCGAAAGTCAAGTTGATTGCGGAATTCTCCAGAATCTGGAGCTCGCACGGCACGAGCTGAGAAATGCGCGAGATGAGCAGATGAAGCTGATCCAGCTTAGGGAGAGACTACTTGACAGGATGGCAAGTGGCATGAATTGATACTGCAGTTCCTGAGGAAAAGGCGAATGAGTGCACCGCAAAATCGACCTAGTGAACGATCTGTATTCTTCATTGCGAGAAATCCAAAGACATTGGAGATATACATTGACTTCTTCTCTTCCAATAATCGTACAATAGTAATATACAGATTTTACTCGACACGAACACCCAGTATATATAAAGTATGTATGCAACTCCGCACCAACTCCCCACCGCTGACGCCAGGTCAAGTCATCCACGAGATGTCCGTCGTCAATATTATCGGAGACGGGAGACAACACGACACACTGTTGTACACGAATAGAAACGCAAGTTAGCATGTAAGTATTTGCCGCGAGCTCTCGGTTCCAATGCGAGTGTGCGGAGGGTTCGGCTCATAACGTACAGACGACAACAGCAGTAGCAGCAGCCCAAGGGTGGCCGGAAACACAAATACGAGAAGGAAAGCAGCGAGGTATAAGCCAGACTGGATGATGCATATCTAGATGCGTTAAGAGTTAGATGGGGTGTACAAACTGCCGACGGTCCATTGCGAGTTTGAGAAGAAAAGAGAGCGAAATGGGATTCTTTCATTGGTCAAAATTGCCGGTGCCACCCAGGGAGGCCATCCAGATTCTGGTCTTGTACAATCTGGCCATCGAAGTGAACGTGAGCAAGCTCATTTCCGGGGATGAAAATTTGACACGCACCGGAATAATTCTCGCACAAGTTCTCGGAAATCGATCCGCTTCTCGGCGACAAAATAGAACGTTAATTTACGTCGATCCCTGGAAGAGTGGCTGGTCAATCAGGGCCAATCGTGGAGGAATTTTGGGACGCGTACCATTGGTATTCTGCATCGACAACTTCCATGGGCAGTTTTCGCTGCCGAACTTTACTTCTACATAGCTCCAGCGCTTTGGCTTCATCTTGCAATTTAGACGCGAGTCCGCTGACAGATGCACCAAGTGAGAATCAGTAGACTTCAAAAGGGTGTCGCCACGTACTGCGTATCCGAATGTTGCGCCTTCCCATATATCATCTTTGGATTGATATCCTTGCCCCCGCTCGGCCCAACGCCGGTGGGACTCGTGGGCACGCCGTGCGCGTCCGCATACCCAATGTTCATTAACTTCTGCTGCTTCTGGAACGCCTCCACCTCCGCCAGCGTAATGGTATCGTTCACGACTTTTCCCAAGTCCTTCCCACGGTCGGCCTCGACGATCACGAGGTCGCCTACACGGATGTCGAGCGTGAGGTCCGTGCAGTAGAACAGGTCCGTACGCCCCGCCTTGAACTCGACGATGAAGAGCGGCCACGAGGTCGGGACGGAGTGCAGCGGGACGCCGCGCCCGAGCTCGGTCAGCGGCTTGCTCGCGTCCGATGGGCGCCGCTGCAGCTGCAGCTGCTGTGCGTAGAGGCTCGGGCGCAGCACGGACGGCGAGATCGGCGAGGGTAGCACATTCTGCTCTGGTATATCTTGGATGCCCTGGCCGGGCACGAAGCGCGCTAGGACCTGGTGCGACACCTGCCGGCCCCCTTCTCTGCCAGCACCGCTGAACAGGTTGTCCTGCGTTGCAGTGTCAAGCTGGCCGCGGGACGGACTTCCGGCAGAGAGCCCGCTGTCGCTGGGAGAGCCCACGGGCTGGCGAGATGCAAATGAGCCGGCGCCTGAGATGTTGAGATGGAGCGGCTGATATGGCGAGACGCGATCCGCTGAGGGAGGGCTCCGCGACAGTGGAGCGTAGATGGGAAGAGAGGTGGGTTGGCTGGAAGGATGCCCGGACGCTGGCGGGCGCGACTCGTTGCGTGCGTTGAGGCTGAGCATGTTGAGGTCATCGGCAAGTTCCTCGTCCGTGAGCAACAGGCCTCCTCCCCCCGCGAACGATGCGGGGTGAAAAGTGCCAGAACGGACAGGCTCGTCGGGACCATCCGCACCTGGGGCATTGAAGCCGACGATGGTCGGCCGTCGCGGCTGGACGACACTGACGCTGTGGCGTCGGCTGGTCGTGCCACTGCCGCCGCCACCGTTCTCGTCTCTCGGGGGGTTCCTAGCCCAAAGCTCGCGAAATGCGGAACTGTCGTCGAGCAAAATCTGGCCGACATCTCGAACAAAAGGGCTCACGTTCGAGTGATCCGTGATGGAACCATGAGAATAGCCATTGGAAGAAGACCTCGCAAGTCCCCCGAGGGAGCCATAACGGCTGCCAGGCGGCTTCATATCGCTGTATCGCGGGATGCTCTGCGGAGGAGTGAGGGTCGACTCTGGCCAGACGTTCGCCGAGCTGCTTGGGACCCTGGTGCCGATGGGACCTGGCCTCATGGTGGCCAAGGACTGCGACCTGCTGCGAGTCAAATCGACCGCGTAAGTACGCCCGCGGTTCATGGAGGAAAGAGCATATCGCTCATCGTACTGCTCGTACGGGTCCTGGGTGTCGGAGAGGGCCTCGGACTCGTCGTCCTCGAATGTGGACGCAAAGCGAGAGTCGCGCATGGCGGAAGGAAACATGGCCTGGCCGCTTGGTGGGGATGAGGAGAAAGAAGCGCTACGCGTGGGAACCGACTGGGGCAGGGAGCCATTGATGGAATTGGGGTTTAGGCCTGAAGAGAGGCGGGGCCAGACTGCTCCTGAGTTATGGCGGACAGACTGGTAGGGGGACGAGAAGAACCCCTGGGTGGAGGTTCGCGGGGGCTGGCTAGCGGCGCGTTCTCTGGTAGGTGTATCGGAGCCATGTGAGGACAGGAAACGGTTCTGGCGATCAGCGTCGTCAGCAGGGTGCTGGTGGTGATTGTCTGACTGCATCAGGGCTATAGATGGAAGACCAAGGGTCCGAAGCTGTTCGTAATTTTGGACGGACGCCAGCTTTGCCAGAAAGTCGTGAGATACAAAGGGCTGAAGGTCTACGGGGATCGCACAAATCTTCTTGAGCACGCACGGAGGATGGTTCGGGTTCGGGTCGGGTCGTCAGTCTGCGGCAAGTGGCGATGAATTGAATAGGCATGCAGCGGTAATAGGAGAAGCAGTGGACATACGGTGGGCGTTGAATGTATACAGATCGTGAGCTCGTAGACTCTAACCCGTGGCACGACTCTAAACGGGCAACGGCTGTGTGTTCGTCGAGGAGATCTAGCTGGAGAAACAGGCAGAAAATACGTGAAATAACGGGAGAGGTAGAGGCTACAGAGGTGTCTATGTGTGGTGAGGTCAAGAGGGCGGAGGACAGGCTGCAGCGTCGGGCAGCATGATGGGGAAGAGCAGCTGATGGGCTGGTCACCAGAGCGCACTGGCGCCCCTGTTCCCGAATTGGCAATCCGGGGTCACAAGGTTCCAGCACCGACCGCCGGCGCTTCCTTCCCCACAGCTCCCTTGAAAATCCTCCGTCTACGCTACCTCCAGAACGCCTTCTCTTCCAGCCCCGCAATCAGCCCATCTTTTGTGCCCACTCCCGGCGAAGTTGTACCCGGTGTCCCGCTGTGATGTCGCAGCGGGTCCAGGCGCGCCCCGCTCTCTGACGGCGTCCAGTACTGCGGGCCCGACAGATGGCGGGAGCATTCCGGGCTGGGCTTCCACCACCGACGATCAGCCCATCCGGATTAGGGATAGACCCGGAGGACCTCTTGGCAGATGTACACCGTCGGAAGGACCTCGCAGCATGACGTACCCACACGCTAAACGTCGAACACTACCTCCGTCGCCTTGAACGCCGTGTTCCCAGGCCACACCCTGATCGGCACCTCGCACTCCACCATCTCCGTCCGCACACTCCGCCACTCGTCTTCGCTGCCCTCCTCGTTGTCGTCGTCGTCCGAGTCCGCCAGCTCGTCCCCGTCGTGGTACCCTTCGTTCGCCGGCCCCAGCAGCGAAGACGCCAAGTACGACATCCACGACCTTGCCGTGCTCGGTGTCGTCGCTGCCTGCTCCGACGCACCGAATGGGTTCGCATGCACGCGCAGGTCCGGCCGTTCCAAGGGCGCGATGCTCGCCGCAGCCTTCCACGACGTGCCCCACTCGCCCCGCGGTCCGTCCTTGACCAGGTGCTTCAGCCGCAGCCCATCAGCACTCTGGCGCGAGGTCGGCGACGCGACGGCCACAAGCAGACACAGCCTGACTTTCCACTCGAGTCCGCCAGGCTGAGCTCCGATCTGTCTCGCAGAGTCGCCGGGCTCCCCACCGATAGTCACCTGGAACGCCGGGCTCGCGTCTGGTGGTATGTCCAGCGAGAATGTGGTGCGAAGCGTAGACACCACGAAAGACGAGTGATGCTCGGCGTGCACTCGACGCGTCTGCCGCGAGCTTGCCGGTGAAGAAATAGCCGAGGGCAGAGATTCGTGCGCCTCGAGCATTGCCGAGAGCTGCGCGACATTAAGTAAGATCCGTTAAACACTGCCAGCTCTCACCTTCAGCACCCGTGCCCGACTTGACCGCTCGTTCAACTCCACGACACCTAGCACAGTCTCTCCGAGCCGGTACGCAGACTTCGTGAACGTGAGCACCGCGACCTTTACGCCATCCTTGTTTACGTCGTAGGACGCTTGAATGGTGCGTGGTCAGCCCATTTCGATTAGATCTGATATAGGGGCCCATACCTTTCTTCGGATTACGCGTCAAGATCTCCACCGCTTGGCGGCATCCAGTGAGCCCGCCCGCCTCCTCGCGCTCCCGGTCTCGCTCAAGATCCACTGGAAGGTCCAGCCGGACGCCTCCAGTGCTCGGGTGGTGAAACACAGCCAGAAGTCCCCGAGCGTATACCTGGAGGTCTTCAAAAGTTCCCGACCGCGACGCGGGGACGCCTGCCAAGCGCGCAAGATATCAGATTGCACGCGGGATCGAGAGGATAAGCACACCGCACCTTGTAGAGGGGCCAGATCGCTCTTCTTCGCCGCGATCCTGGATTCCTCGATCACCTTCGCGGAAAACTGTGAGCCTCTGGCCTTGCACGGCCATAGGAGATCGTACGGCATAGGTGCCCTCCCCACTGACCGATATTGATGAGTGTATACCCTCGCGAAACGGAGACACGACCTACCGACGACGTTGTTGTACACCCGTATAGGAACCTTCATGACGCGACTGCTGCTGTTTGCTCCTGTCGGCCCCAACCCCCCAGACGGCAGAGACGAGGGAGAGCGACATATACCCAAAATAAACTGGTACGAGAATCTCAACACTCTTCCCTTGTGTGTCGGTGGGAGCTCCGCGGGAAGGACGATGGTGTATGTGTCTACGCAAAGCGAATACGCGGATGAGAACGAAACAGCGGTTGGGAGGCGCGAGAACTCACGCACAGGTACGTGATTCGCCTGGTGCGAGGCTGAGGTCGACAGCAAGTAGGGACGGCTGCACCTCGAACGTAGGAAGCGGTAGTTCAGGGTCTGTCTCCTCCTCTGCGACTCCCAACCCCAGACCAATCGGACCACCATTATCCCCGTTCGAGAATAGAGAGAAGACAGACGCCGTTTGTGGACGCTGAGATGGCATCCAAGGCTGTGGCGCTGGCGAGGACGGCATCAGAGAGGTGGGGGAAAGAAGGGAAAGTAGACCCGCAGAGAGGGAAGACGAGCGTCCATGCGAGCCTCTTGTTCCCATACTCGAAGATGCGCTGTACGCGTGATAGCTCATAGAGGAAGTGATGTCCATACTGCCCCCGCCTACACCCTTGCGCTTCAGCAGATTGGAACGGAGGTAGCTAAGCGTCTGTGCCTGCTGTGCGGTAGTCGTTGAGCCCGGTACCGGGCTGATTGCCAGCGTACCAACAAGCTGCGCGTACGAGTAGAGGATGAGCTCAGAGTTCGGAGGGACGAATGAGGACGAAAACGTAGTACGCGAAGGCTGATTGTTTAAAGCGACTGGCGGAGGGCCGTGTCCGAGCTGTGGTGGTCGGCGTGGGGGACCGCGGCTGGGACGCACGACGTATTTCGCACTTCCGTTCGTGGCGGCCGTTGTCTCCGTGCTGGTCGACGAAAGCTGGGTGCGGATGGTAGGAAGCGTAGAATCAGGCACAGGTGAAGGTGCGAACGGCGTCATCGGTGGGACGGGCGAAGAACTGCTCTCAGCTATGGGGTCCAAAGAGAGGGAGAAGCTGGATGAAGACGTGCTGGGTGATGTGGTGAAGGGAGATTGCAACACAGGTGGTCGCAGCTCTTGCGGCTGCAGTTGGCCATCCAAGATAGACTGCTTGCGAGCGTGTGGGTGACTGGGTGCAATAGGAAGCGAAGCCGACCTTGCCAACGGTGAAGATGTTCGAGGTGAGGTGGGTGCTAGGGCGAGTCAGGTATAGTACCGCGACAGAAATACGGAACATACAAGCATAAGCAGACTCTGTCACTCGCAGGGAGTTGATGGAAGCCTTGCTCTTCAGATCATCTTGTGACTGCTCTTCCAACTCGCTGGACAGTACGGAGATAGAGAGTGACTTCGTCAATACCCTCTTCCTCATTGGGTCCATGGAATCGAGTGACTCATCCGTCCCAGCTGGGAGCTGCTTCTGCCCTATCAGACCCTTCCTGGTAGAAATATCACTGACGCCAGCGGTGCGAGCCAACAGCGTCGGTACAGCCGTACGCGGATTGCCAGGAGATGTCGGAGGACGCGCCAGAGGTACAGAACTTATGGAGTGGGCAGTCCGCTTGTGCCTGCTCGATACAGAATGTGAAGCAGACCTAGCGGGAGGGAGTTCCTGGGTGCGGGTGTTCGTGAACGTAATAGTGACAGAGAACGGTTCGCCAGCGAAATAAGATGCTTGAGATGGGGCGACGACGACGCGGATGGCATCGTCAATGAGAGTGGTATCAGACATAGCACTAATATCAATACAGTCGGTGGTGCAAGGACGGGGTATACTGAACCGCGGGGTGTTGCCGGCGAGATCGTGCTGTTACGAGAATGAGAAGGTGAAGATGAGAAGAGTGTACACAGTGGTCCTGGGAAATCGTTCTGCCGGAATGTTGTGAGTCACCCGAAGAGTCTGGATATACCCACGATTTCACAACGAAGCCAGCGAGGCAAAAGGACGTGGCGAGACGGACAGCATCTTGCTCCCAGCACTTGAGCATCGACGCTGACTTTGGCGCCTCCGGAAGTGATGCGATCACGTGCATTAAACTCAGAGCCACGTGGAGATGGCGCGTTCCTTGCGCGTCGCGTCGCGTTAAGACCTAGTCTTGTTACGTATGGTGTTAACTCTCGCATCTTGATTTCATCCTAACAGACCCATGGAGAGGATTGTTCATTTACATCTTTGCATTTAAATTTCAACTGTACACTGCATTAGTTACTAAGTAGTATCCCTTACAAACAGCCCGTCATAATTTTTTCGTCGCAGAAGTCATCAATTTTTTCGTTACATAACATCGAGCACAACTCAGAGATCACCAAACATCTCACTACGGGGAAGCAGCAACAAACGCGTTGAAATTGTACGACGGCGGCTTGGTGTTGAACTTGAAACTCGGCGGTGCGAAATTCACCGTCGTGTTCGTCCCCCGCACCACCACGGCAGTGACAGAGCAGTTGGTGGAGAGTGGGAGTTTAAACTTCGTCAATCCAGCCGGGGCGAGGGTCTTATTGGTCGTGGATCCGCAAGATAGTGTGACGTTCGCCGGCGACATGAGCAGGGTAACTCCCCAGAGGTAATCCTGTGTCTGCAGAAACTGGGTTGGTGAGGATAGCGACTGGAAAAGCATAGAGAGACGGACCAATTGGTAATTTGTGGGTTTCCCAACAGTGTCCAAAGGTGCCGTGGCGTTGACGGGGTAGAGTCGCGCCCAAAGGAAGACGCGGTCCTTGGAGATGGTTGGGTACTTGCCCGTCTGGTATGCAGTGATGTAATAGGTCATGAGGTCAAACCAGCCTGGAGGAAGATTGATGATCAGGCGACGCGACCGCTCGTGAACAAACTTGTGACATGCCTTGGTGATCAAAACCGTTGACCCATGCCTGCGAATTCGGTTGCTGGCCCTCAATGGGGCCTATGTAGTGTGATTCTCCATAGTCGTTCCACGAGACCACTTCCGTGAATGGAACCTTTGTGCGGTTCGCGATGAGAGTTTCCCACCGCTGGGAGAAGAGCCAGTCATCCCCGCGATAGATAAAGTTCTTGTTGTAGGAATTTACACCGTAGTGCTAATAGCCATAACCTTAGCGACATGAACGCATGGAGAATGAACAAGTCCATACCGTGAAGAACCACGGTGATTGTGCAGCCATATAAGATTTGGAGCCAAGCGCAGAGATATATTGCGCATCAGATGTGAAATTGCTACTGTAGTTACCCATCGGCCAGCCGGAGTTCCACTGCAACACAGATGAGCGACGAAGCCTTGAGGTGCTAGAGGAAGGACCCACGTTGAACATCCCATCAATCACCGAATACGTTGAGAATGTATTCGGAGCAACAAAGAACGACGGGACGAAATAGACCGACGGCACGTTAGTCTTCACCGCATTAATCCAGCCCTGATTAACGCTCGACGCCCCGAACTTGCACGACTCTCCCGAGAACGTCGACAGGAACACTTTTCCGTTGTACAGGAACTGGTTAGGGTGCGAAGCATAGCTCTTGATGTAACTCTGCACGGAGGCAATATTGCTCGCGCTCGAGCAAGGGAGGGATGTCATATCGAGCGAGACGAAGAGCTTGAAATTCGTGTTGTTGGACTTTGCGGCTGCATACGCGTTCGCGACCTGCTGGGGCTCCCAGGAGTCGCTTCCAACGTTGAGAGCGAAAGCGCTGATCCCCTTGGATGCAGCCAGCGCAATGTCTGGACAGCCAGCAGTAAATCATCGGGGCAATGATTAGGGTGAGGAGACAGACCTTTGGCCCAAATACTTGTCGTGTAGTTATAAGTATTGCCGACGATGTGATGGGCGAAGACGATCGGTGTAGTCGTATTCGTCGTTGCTCGCTCGGCCAAACCTGTTCCCGCCAGATCATCCTCCCTCGCTATTTCAACGTCCGGAGTAGCAAAGCATGACAAAGATACAGCAAACATCAGTAGGAAAAGCTCGCAGAGCGTTCTGAAATGGGTCTGCATACTCAAAAGATTGGATAGAAAGCAGAGAAAGTAGGTGCTGTGCCAGACAGCGAAAGAAGAATAAGCAGAAGAAAGAAAGTGGAGGCGGAAAAACGGATGGCGGCCGTAGAGGTCAATGAACGAAGGCGGATAGAGTCTCACAGTCACTCAAGATGCCTTAATATTCTGACCATTTCGATTCTGCCCAAGATGGGGGGTCGCATCCAAAAGTAAATCTCGCAGTCTTCCTGTCTCGTAGTCAATCTCATCGCGGAGAACAGAAATCTCAACATCGCAGCTGATAATATGTTGGCGATATCAGGTAAATCAGAATGTCATCGCCTCATTTACCTCAAACAACTTTCACTTGCAGCTGACTATTCCAAGTCAGCAAGCTAAAACCCTGAGGAAGACAAATCTTAAACTTGACGATGCAGACGAATGATCGACGATCAGCCGCGGCAACAGCGGATTGGCAAACAAACTTACCGCACTCATTCCACAAATTGACCATGACGTCATCGTCAATACTCAAATCACCGAGGCGGAGAAGCATACCCCGCACTACCCCACACGAAGCAAGACGTGCACACCTGTGAGCACACGATCAAAAATTACAATACTCATCGCATAAGTCCATCGTAGAGTTGATGATAAAAATCACCGAATCCAAAGCATTATCGCCGCCACGGCTTATACGGCTACTTGTCCTTCACCTGTTCCTGCAGCCAATTCCACAGGCGTTCCCCGATTTGATCGTCATACGCCTCCTTCCTGCACTCGCCAAGGCGTGCCCACGGAATCAAGAACTGGAAATCCACCATGGTTATCCAGCTGATAAACAGCGGCGCAGCGGATGAAGCTTAAGGACGAACCTTGCCGTTATAGTTCAGAGGCTCGGGCATTGTCCCTGCCCACAGCTGGGTGAGCGCGCCCATCGGCGCCTCGTACATAATCTTATTCTAGGGCGACATTCGATCCATCTCAGTATGGTGTATACGAGATCGACTGCGGGCGGCCTACCATAACATTCCGCGCTGTATTACTGGCATACCGCTGCAGCTCGGTCTTGATGTTACCTGCCACGGGGAATACAAGCTCGTTGCTGTGATCATAAGACAGGGCTAGCATACTGACCGGGATTGAGGGAGACGGAAACGATGCCCTTGTCCGCATACCGCTTCGCAACCTCCCGCGCGACTACGACGTTCCCCTTGAAAAATCCCGCAATATGAGTCCGAGCGAACGAGCAGGAACAAGAAAAGTTGACCCACAAATTTGCTCTGAGAATAGAGATCGATGACACTCAACTTCCTCCGCGCAGGGCCGTCCCTGAACGTTTCCCAATCGAGCGTGTACATGTACGCGCCGCTGGACGAGGTGGTGACCACGCGCGCGTGGTGATCGGGGGATGTCTCCTTTCCGGCGAGCAAAGCCGGCATGAGTAGCTCGGTGAAGAAGAAATGTCCTGGAGAACCCGTAACTCAGCGTACACAAGCGGAACAGGCAGGACGACATACCGATCACGTTCGTGCCGAACTGCAGGTCGTAGCCGTCGGCGCTGAGCAATTCGATGGGGCACCACATGATACCGCTGCAAATGCCAAAGCGTGTGAGATACCTCGGGTAGGAAATTATACAATTGCGTACGCGTTGTTAAACAAGACATGCAACTCCTTCTCCTTGCTGGGCACCCAACCAGTCCGGTGTCAGAACAAGGTCAGCGAGGTGAGCGGAATCATTGGGCACCTCAAAAATTCCTCCGCCGCCTTGCGCACGGCCGATAGATCGGCCAAGTCGAGCTGCAGGAAGATAGCCTCCTTGCCCGTCTCCGCCTTCAGCTCTGCAATGGCCTCCGTAGCCTTCTCCGCGCTCCGCGACGCCATGTACACCTTCGCGTTGTGCTGCAAGAGCGCCTAGACACCGCATGATGTGCGTCAGAGAGGTGCCTCGGATTGAAATGTATTCGAATTTCACCTTGATCGTCTCTTTCCCAATTCCAGTATTTCCTCCTGCATATCGTAGCGTTGAATGTCGGATTGCGACGAGAGAAAACGATGTGTAGACGAACCTGTGACGATCATGACCTGCCCCGTCAAGTCTGGGATCTGATCCGTGCTAAACGTCGACTTGGGCGGTAGGGATTGCCCAAGGACCGACAAGAACGACGCGATACCCATAGAGAACACTACACCCATACTGACACAGCCAAACTTCAAGCGTTAAGCAAGTAGCAACAAGTATAAAAGTGCCTTCGCACAGCTGGGAACACGAGCGGAGTGAGAAACGCGAGAGGCCGAGCTATATGGCGCGCTGCGCAGAAGGCGAGACTCTTTGATATCGGCTGGAGATAGCACAATGCTGCGGGGTATCCATAGCTGACCGTGGGGCTCGTGCGAGTACCGAGTTGGTTAGTCTCCCAGACTACAAACTCAGTCCTAAGTATGAGAGGTTGGAGGGATGGCTGAGTTGGTCGGAATTCGAGCTCGCTCGCGGCGGTTCTCCGTTCAATCTCGAGCTGTGCAATCAGAATAAGGCTGTAGTGCCGTGCAAGCACGGCAGGACCCGCTACCTGTAGGGTGAAGGAGAGGCGCGAGGAGATGAAGACATATATTCGGCGTATTAGAACGTGAGGAGATATAAGTACATTAACGTCGTACGTACGAGTATAATACAATGAATCTGGTAGGCAAAGCTTACATTTGGGCCGGCAGAAGGTACGAGCGATACAGTAAAGCTGGCAGAAAATTTAAGTACAATGGATAGTGGGATGGTTACGTTGTGAATCAATCAGTCTGCGTTGGCTTTCTTGGGCGGAGAGGCGTCGAACTCGGTGAATGCCACAGGAGGGTTGGAGGAGGTGGTGGTGGTGGTGTATTACCGGCATGGGTCCCAGTTAGGAACGCCGGGTTGTCACTGTAATAAGTACAAGCAAAGCCAGTAGTACTAATATGCTACGCAATGCTTAGTTCGCTATTACAGCAACGCATCGATAACCGGAGGAGTGGGCAGATGCGCAATTGATAGAACTGAGTGTGGGATGGGGAATGATGCAGAATTGGTCGGATTCGGACTCGGAGACATCAGTGCCGATTTTTCCACCAAAGAATCAAACAGAATTAAGGCGGGAATTCCAAGATAATTGCCCAGAAGTGAGAAGGAAGGCATTTCAGTGCAACGAATATTATCAGCAAGCAGAGGGTTGGCGATAAATGCGGACAATTAATCCGAGCGATACGCAGAGTCGACGTGGAGGATGCGCGGCGAAAGATTCGGACGCTTAGTAAGGCTTACGAAGCATCCCACACTTAGTAAAGCTTAGGAAGCATTTTGTAGACCTTTCAATCTTTTGTATAGTTTAGGGCAGGACCTCCAAAACTGACAGTTTTTGGCGGGGCCCCTGCGTGACGAAAGATGCAGCAAGACCCACTACCAAAGGTACACGGCCAAAACAGTAAAGCACCAGAAAATCATTAGACGAAAAGGGTAGAAAAGACGGAAATACGTACCGAAATACAGCCCTCGTGTGATGCCGCTTCAGGAATTTTCACGAGGCCTGAGATCGGACCGGATTTGGGTGGTCCGAATGGCCCCGGATTTCCAAGGCTGTAATGGGGCTTTGAACAGGTGGATTCCTGGGCTGTGAGAGGGTGGCTGAGGCGTTCGCATCCAGCCTGACATTGTTGCTTTGACAGCGGCACCAGTTAGACACCGGTCGTGGGATACCGAAACGACGCTTATACAACCCCCGTCCGGCCCTTGCTAGAGCATATCCCGGTCTGGTCTCGTACCCAGACGGTTATCTCATCGCACCCTACCACCGCAGATAACACGTCTGGGGCAGTTTGATAGAGCCCTCCTACCTTACAGTTAGCGCCCGTTAAGCGCCGGATAAGCGACAGACCATGGGCTAGGTCTGTGCCAAATCAGGCAACTGTTGCGAAGCTTGAATGTCCTCCTTCATTGAAGATCAAGCTATTGTAGGCATGCACATCTCAGAACTAGCATGAACACTGTATAGTAATGCTGTAAATGCCTCTAGAAACATTTTAGCACCACAGGAAGAGCCCGAGCATATTTTCAGCCAGATTCCTTGACATTTTCACTCAAAGTAGCTGGCTTAATGCATTTCCGGTGCTCCTTTGTGTCAGCACGAGCTCAGAGTATGCGGGCCATCTCAGAAAAGCTTCAGAGGTTCTCGGGAACTCACTCCCGTCAAATCTCCTCAAAAAATACATGTAAACTGGGCATAGAGATCAAAAATCGCGCTCAATGAGTGGGAAGGCACATAATTAAAGAAGCACGTAAGCGAGGCTTCTCGAGCGGCTAACGGGCGCTAACTGTAAGGTAGGAGGGCTCTATCAAACTGCCCCAGACGTGTTATCTGCGGTGGTAGGGTGCGACGAGATAACCGTCTGGGTACGAGACCAATCCCGGTCCTGTTTCTAACTCCGCGGATTACTTGTACTATGCCAGACCGCTCAGTCGGCGCACCTCCCTACTCGGCGCACCATATATAGGCAAGAAATATGCGTTACGCGAGACCAAGCGCCCACATCCAAGCCCAACGGTGCTCTCTGATTGGTGGAAACCCTGAAAGTGCCGATTAGGGGGGTGCGCCGACTGAGCGGTCTGGCATAGTACAAGCCGCGACTCAGAAAATCTCAAAGTAGATTCAAACTCCGAAGGGTTCGTCAAGATTCTGCTGTGCTCTGCTTCGTGCGCTCGTCTCGCTCCCTTTTCGTCCTCGCCATGATCATCTGGTGACAACCTGCGGCTCCCGCCATCATCTCGGATCCTCTCCTAGTTGATCCCAGGCTTGGCGACATGTTCCCGTCACACGCCGCCTACATTTGCATTGAGAGGAGCTGGTTGCTCTGTCGCATGGTAGGTCAGTATGATTTTCTTCCATTCAATATTCATTGCTAACTCTGACATTGAGCTTACAGGTTGTTTGTGATTGGTGCAGGGTGGAGGGCATACACTAGAACGGCGTGGCGGGAGGGTTACCGGTCAGAGCGGGGCCAATTTCTGGTAGCGGATGGTTCGTAGGGCAGCATAGCGTAGCATGTATCGAAGTCCATACAAAAAATCAATAATTTTGCGGTATACAGTTTTTTGGTATGAAAATGAGATTTTTTAACTGGTTGGTCATTTGTGAGCCCCAGACGAAGCATCGGACTGGTCCTTTCCTCAGCCATATTCTGGGCTGCTACGGCCCCATAATGGCATGGCAGTCTAGGGTTGTTTTGGTGTCTGACTACAAGCCCTGAAATGGGGCTGCACACGGGCTGTCACGGGCCTGTCTACGCGGCTGAATTGACAACAATTACAAGCATTGTATAAGGGTTTTTATAAAATACCGTAAAATCATTAGACGAAAAGGATAGTAATGGGCTGTGGCACAGCCTGGTACGGGGCCTCCGCTCCACGGCCCCATTTTGGTGCCGCAGAGATCTGGCCGTGTACCTTCAAATTCGCACCTCAGGATAACCAGCTACGTGAGCACACACAGATCCAAGTCCGCCGGATACAGCATCCAGGTGGAACTTGGCTATAACACACACAGTACTGTATTGTAAAGTTATAAATACAACAAGCACTCTCAGCAAACTCTCAGTGCAAAACCCCGTACGACCTGCATGAACTTTCTACATCCCGTCTCAGGTCTGTGAGCCGGGATAGGTTTAGCGGAATACAACTCAGAAGGGTGATTTCGCGCTTGCAGTTGGTTCTGTCGAACGAGTAGAAAGCGAGTCTTTGGCCCATCCCATAACACTGATGCCATGGAGTTTCGAAACCAGGACGAGCTCAGACATGCCGAGCCTCTACCGCATCTGCACATCGGCCACAACTCTGGCTGTGTGGCTCACGCCGTGCCTCGGAGGTTTGATCCCGAGGGAAAGAACGTCGACCGTGACGGCGAAGGTTACGATGTGGTCGACGATATAAACATCAGGAGCACGGGCCTCCGGGAGAGGATCCTGAGGCTCGACTGTGGAGGAAGCAGAGTCGGCGAAGCATTGTGTGGCGAGAATTTTATGGTAGACGCCAAATTTAAGTACTGGTTCTCGACCGTAGCGTTAGCTGGGATGAGAGCGAAACGGTCGAATACATACGTGTTGCGGCCACATCGAATGGGGACTATGCGGAAACTTGAAGTACATCATCATTAATCTGCGTGTAAATGATTCGATTCAGCTCACACATAGTCCGCCGTGAAATCTTGAGGAGAAGGAGCGGCTTAAAACCATCATGCGTCTGGCTCTCTACGAAGTGAAGCCGAAGTCCCGCGTATTCAGGACGTCGTGGGTGCTAGAGAATGCGATCACAAAAGCTCCCCGCTTCCGATCCGTTCAAGAGGGTCGGAAGACGGGGCTCCTCCTGCGTTGTCTCCCTGCAAGAACAGTCTCTGGACAAAAGTTGCGCTAAATGAGTGCCGAACGATAAAATAGCTGTGTCGGGGGGACATAGACGCAGATTCGTTCCGCAACGAAGTTACGCCTTGTTACCATATGGAGCAGCTCACATTCCCCTTTTGTCAGCAGAGCGTTTTTCAGGTGAAATGGAGCCTCGCTCGTAACCCTCCGACCGTTCGCTTGGTTCCAGTGACAGCTAGATCTCTTGCAAGAGATGAATTCTAGCAAGTTACAGCGTGACCCAGCGAGCCAAACGAGTCATTACAAGTACAAAGCGGTCTCTTCAGAAGGCGGCCGCCTCTCGCATCCCGACACGGCGCATGCTCTGCAGACATCACGCCTTGAGGGCCTCTTCGCGGTCGAGAACGGACTGTTCGAGCTTAATGAGGATGGTGGTGCGCCCCGGGAACTGGTCCGTGGGGGTGTTGTGCGCGGTCACGCGGGCGGGCTGTAGGAAGTGGTCAGCGGTGCTCGGACGGAGGGAAAGGCAAGGGGGACACGCACGAAGCCGAGGCCGTCGAGGACGGCTTCGACGATGCCGGCAGTGAAGGAGGAGCAGCTGAGCTGGGACATGTCGCGGGGGACGGAGATGGCGCGGGTGATGGGCGGGTCGTTGTCGATGATCATATCTGTGCGGCCAGATGAGCCACGCGCGGGAGAAGGAGAGAGCAAGACAGACACTCGTCGGCGTTCTCGACGCTGCGCTCGATGGCGTCAGCGGGTTTGCCGAAGACGGCGCGCCAGAGGTGGGTGTGGATGGACATGAGGGCGGGGAGGAAGCGGATCTCGCGCTTGGGGGCCTTGTTGGCGGACTCTGTGCGCCAGGACATGAGCTCGAGGACGCGTGTGCCGACGCGGTAGCCGAGGGTGTTCAGCCTGGGAGGGGCGGGTCAGCGGGGGGACGCGATGGAGGAGGGGCACGGACCTGCGCTCGAGGTCGTTGATGCCGGCGACGCGCTTGTGGGTGTACTGGACGAGCTCGGAGAAGAGGAAGGCATAGGCGGAGGCGGAGACGTCTGCGGCGCGGGTGCGGTTGAGGGGGCGGTCGTAGATGTTCGGGCGGAGGCCGGGCTTGGGGGTGGACGCGGTGGAGATGGAGGGCGCGGTGGGCAGCGAGAAGCGGGTGGACGAGGACGCGGGCGAGAGGTGGTCCGTGGACGGGAGGGACGACGAGGAGAGGACAGAAAAGCGGGGATGGGGTTGGGCGTAGGCCATGGCGGGCCGGAGCAGGAGGGAACGAGGCGCCAAGCCTGGATCGACGGCGCTGGAGAGTCCTCGGAGCGACCACTGCTCCCACTCAGCCAAGCTACAGGACGGTATTACGAAGCAGCCATGGACGATACACGCTCCCGCCTGGCGTCCCCTTGCACCGTCTCTTTGTCCTCCCTCCGTCCCTCGCCCACGATGGCGTCCCCGCCTGCCTCCCCACCCGCGTCGAACCCGGCCGACCTCCAGTCGCACCTCTACGCGTCGTTCCTGCACCGCAAGACCGCGGACGTCGCCCTGCGCGTCCGCGGCTCGTGGCACGCGATCTACAGGCTGCACCGCGTCGTGCTCATCCAGGCCGTGAGTTGCTCGCTTCCCGCTCACTGCAGCTGACCGCGATCGTCGTCCAGGGCTTCTTCCAGTCCCTCTTCACCTCGGGCTTCCTCGAGTCCAAGTCCAAGCTCTCTCGCCGCCTCGAACCGGATGTCATCGACATCGTCTTTGACGACCCCAACATCACCCGTGCCGGTGAGTAGCCTCCCGCTACGGCGTCGATCCTGGATCGTGTGCCCGTGGATGCACGCGAGCAATGACATCATGACGCTACCCATCTGCGTGTATTCCTATCATCCACTGACCGCTAGCTTTTCTGTTTTCCTCTCTAGCATTCGAGTAAGTCTGTCCCCGTGCCGAACTGTCGATGGGTACCTGATGCCCTTCGCAGAGTGTGCATAGCCCGTCTCTATTGCGGAGGTCCGCCCCTCCACATCGCCCCATCCCTCATCCCGACCCCTTCCCTGCCCTTGACGCCCTCCTTCCCTCCCTCCTCGTCCTCGCATTCTCCAGGAGACACAACCCCAGAAGGTCACCATCCCGCGACGCCGCGCTTCCTCCTCTCCCTCCTCGCTACCGCCGTCTTCCTCTCCATCCCCGCCCTCGCCTCCCACGCTCTCTCCAGCGTCCTCCGCACCGTCGGCCCCACCACCGCCGTCCGCTACCTCAACTTCGCCATCGGCTGCGGCATCGGCCCTCCAGACTCCGAACCTTCCCGCGCTTGTGATGGCCGCGAGCCCGCCGTGGGCCTCGACGCCGTCGCCGAGCTCGAGATGGACGACGACGAGCAGAGCATCGCCCCATCTACCAACGCTGCATCCACGCCGACCCCCGCCTCTGCCTCCGCCTCCTCCTCCGCTCTAAACCCCGAAACCGATGCCACCGTGCAGAAGGAGGATCCGACCACCACCTCCGACTTTGACACCGAGTCCGACTCGGGCGACACCGGCCCCGCCCCGAGCTGCTTCTACGGCGCCATCTCCGACAAGGTCGGCGAGGCCGCCGCCTGCTGGCTCGCCCGCTGGGGCGCCGACATCCTCGCGTACGAGCTCGACTCCGCAGGCCCCGGCGCGGACTCGGCCGCAGGCACGTTCAAGGTGCCGCCCTCCGTCCTCCGCCCGCGCGCGGGCACCGCCCCCTCGCGCATCAGCAGCGACTTCGTCGTCGTCGAGCGCAAGAACAAGGGCAGGATCGCCGAGGACGCGCCCCTCGTGTGGCGCCGCGGCGGCCTGAGCCCCCGCTGGGTCCGTGGCCTGCTCTCCAGCGACGCGCTCTTCGTGCGCGGCGAGCGGGAGCGGTACGACATGGCGCGCACCGTCGTCGAGCTCCGCCGCGCCGACGGCCTCGACGAAGAGGAGGAGCGCGAGTGGGCCCAGCTGTTCGCCCAAGGGATCTACTACGCTAACATGGTGGGTGTACCCCTTTCTCATGCAGCTGGCGCGCTGACTGTGCCTTCTTGCCGCGGTGTGCCAGTCGCTCGATGACCTGATGGCCATCTCCCGCGACATCTCGCCGCGGACGGGCCAGCCGTACGTGCCCCTCACGGTACTGCAGGCCGCGCACTGGAACCAGTCCGCCCTGCGACACCGCATCACCGCGCGGCCCCCGCCGAGCAACGCCACTGGCGGCGGCAGCAATAATTCGGGTTCGCCGCCGGTCTCGCCGAGCGCGCGCGAGAAGGAGCTCGGGATCGCGCTCAGCAGCGCCGAGGTGGCAGCGTGCGCGGACCGCGACGCACCGCACTATCCCGTACCCGCAGACTCGTCGGTGCGCATCGGGGACAGCACCGGCATCGAGGGCGCGGGGAGCACGAGCATGGAGGCGCTCTTCGAGGCCTCGGCGGGCACGGACAAGAAATCGCCGCCGACCTGCGAGGCGAACTTCTTCGGGCTGCAGCAGCAGCGCGTGCCGGCGTCCGCCATCCCCGCCGAGGGCAGCACTCCCAGTGGACCCTCGCGGTGGACGGCGCACCCGCCGTTCCGGTTCGGCGTGGAGTTCTGGGACATCGACGCGCTGAAGGAGAAGAGCCGGCTGCACTCGCAGACGGTGTGGTACGCGGGCAGCCTGTACAACGTCTATGTGCAGGTCGTCCACAAGAAGGGCGTCCAGCTCGGCGTGTACCTCCACCGCCAGTCCAGCGTCGACCCCATCCCGGGCTCGTCCGCGCCCTCCACACTCGCCTTCGGTGGAGGGAGCAGCCCTACCAGCGGAGGTGGGAACACGCATGCAAGCGCGTCGGGGACGGGATCGACCACGTCGTCGTTGTCGCACCGCACGTCCGGGTCAGCGCCGTCACGCCCGGGGTCCTCCGGGGGAGGGGCCCCGCTCTCGCGCACCACGACGCCGTCGACGCCCGCGAGCGTCTCGAGCTCGCTCCCGTCCGGGCTCGGCGTCGCCGCGCCCCCCGCGGCGCACACGCTGCCCGCGACGGCGGCGCCCGCGATGCCCGCGCAGCCGTACCGCGACCCGCGCGGGGCGGTGTCGGCGTACTTTGCGATCGCGTGCGCGAGCGCGACGGGCGCGAGCCTCACGCGGTTCGCGAGCGCGCCCGACGTGTTTTCGGTCAGCCAGAGCTGGGGCTGGAAGTCGAGCTCGCTCAGGACGGAGGAGTACCTCGAGGTCGGGCCTGATGGCCTCGCGCGCGGCGTTGCGCAGGAGGCGATGCCCGGCGGGCGCGAGGTCAGCCTGCGTGCGACGGTGGTGCTCGGCGTGGTGTGATGTGGTGCGGGTGGTGTGATGTGGTGCGGGTGTGGTATGATCTGTGCGTTATTCCCGGACGGGTGGATATCTACAAGAGTTGGTTTAATGATTTAGCTGTATCGTATAGTACCCGGATTTTCGTCGGGATCTCCACTCAGCCTAGGTAGCAGATGTATATAAGTACTATGCCGTTCATTGTATCGATATGCTTTTTGCCTTTCTCTTCTACGCGGGACGCAGCGATCGCGACCGGGATTGTTTGTTCGGCTTTGTCCGGCGCCGATTGGAGAGATCGTGACACAGAGATGAGTTTTCTCTATAATAGCATACGCCGAGCCGCAGTGGCAGACTCTGCTGGCCATCGCTCTACTCTTCTCCGAGCATGTCGCCCACCGCAGTGACCACGAACACCGGCGCAGCACCGCCGCCGCTGCCGAATCCATCCACCGGCAGCGCGAACCCCTCCGCGTCCTTCCCCGCCCTCTGGGGCTATCTCCAGCCCGCGCTCGACCACATCGTCCGCTCGCCGACGAACAACCCCGCCAAAGCCCCCGCAATCACCGTCAGCTACCACATGGGCGTGCACACCGCCGTCTACAACTACTTCACCTCCCAGTCCGAAGGTCCCGCGCCCGCACACGCCGCCGCCGGGCTCACCACGGTGTCCCGCGGCGGCGGCGGCGGCGGCGGGGACAAGGGCCGCGCGAGCGGGACCGGGACGGACCTCTACGAGCACCTCGACCGCTACTACACCGACGCGGCGCGCGAGCTCTTCCTCGGCGCGCCCACGGACGACACGACGCTCGTGCACTACCTCGTGCCGTGCTTCAACCGCTACGCCGCGGGCGCGCAGGCCGTGAGCCGCCTGCTCAACTACGTGAACCGGCACTACGTGAAGCGCGCCGCGGACGAGGACCGCGGCTGGCTGCGCCTCTCGGACGTGCTCGACGCCGTCGCGCGCACCATCCAGGAGACGGACACCCGCGAGCAGATCCAGCAGCGCCTCCGCGAACGCCGCACCCAGGAGCTCAAGAAGTGGGGGTACGAGGACGGCGCGGGCCCCGCGGCGCTCGCGCAGGCGGAGGCGTACGCCGAGGCCGCGAGCCCGCCCGACCGCGTCGTGTCGCTCTCTGCGCTCGCGTACCGCCGTTTCCGCATCGAGGTCATCGACCCGCTGCTCACCGTCCCGAAGATAAAGGGGAAGGGGAAGAAGAAGAAACCGCCCTCCCATGGCGATAAACCCCCGATGCCGAGGGGCCGCCTTGCGCGGGCGGTGAAGGAGCTGCTGGAGTCGAAGGGGGGAGACGGGGAGGAGAAGCTGAGGCTCTCGGGGGAGCTGGCCATATGTTTGCGGACCGTTGGCGTCAAGGTGGACCACCCGCTGCGCAAGAAACTTGACAAGTATATTCCCCGCTCTGATTCGAAGTAGTTCGCTGCGTGCGTTGCGTTGAGCTGTGCCGGATGGATTTCCGCTGTGTGTTTATTCTTCGCTCGGGAAGTCGCTCTATCACTCAGTGCCTGGAGAGGTGACGTGGTGCAGCTAGACTTGTTGGATTGGTCCGAGGGGATATTGCCGGATACCTCAGTCTTGTGCATATACGTGGTTTACTTGGATCGTGCCTCTTTTATACATGCGTGCTAAACAGTTACAGCTTTCGGACTCCCTCCATTGGCCAATCTTGACTCCAACGATATATGCGGTGTAACCTGGCAACATTAACCCGAACGTTTCATTGGCCCGGCAAGCCGTTGAATATCCTGTACGGGTGAAAAGAGGGATTTAGCATGCTCATCCAAGCATTTTTACGTCGACGTTAATCGCAGTCTTTTCAGTTTGCAGATGGATCGAAACTCTTCTGGCTAGATTTCCAGAGCATAAATAAACGCATGGACGGGCAACTGAAACAACTCTATGTCCCCATGATAACGCCTTGGGATGCATATTGGCAGAATTAGAATTACCGCAGTATAGCAGCTATAGCCCGACAATGTCAGCTCGCGTGGTTATACTGTGAGAAAACATACCGATTGGAGCTGCATCCAATAGTTGGTACTTATTGAGAGACGCTCCCGGTGAAAAGTGCGCTTCGCCATGACGTCTGTAAACCATCAGAGCAATAGAGGCCATTTCTTACCATATAAGGGTCATTGGTAACGAGAAAAACATTCTTAAAGAAGAGACCAAGCACGCTGGTGCGGGAGTTCCGGTTGTGCATCCCGTTTTCTGCGTGAAAAAAAGGAGGTATGATCAACCACCCAGCAATATAAAGATATCGGTGAGCGAAGGTGAATGGTTGCCAGTGGATTCTGAGTCGAGCGAAGTTACTACCGGAGGTCCGATCGACACGGAGACGCATCAAGATGTCGATCACGCACGTCTCGATCTCAGGCTCGAGTTTTGCAGATTTCGATGGAAGGTGGCTATAGGTAGGTGTAAAGAAGACATCGACAATCGCGTCAAAACTCCCCAGCCTGCTGCCTGCGAACAACACAGCACAGACAACTTAGTCGAATGCGCAAAATTTACAACTAGTGAACATTTGAAGTTTTAGTTCAGGTTCCTGAGCTTTTTGATGATTAGATACACAATGATGTCGAGGCACAAGGTGTGAATCTCGCATTCCTTGCTGGTATGCCTCTCCCCATCAATGCTCGGTCCCCTGCTACGAACCACCGATATCGCATCCGTATTACGATAGGGTAAGTGCAGCGATATCGCACTCGAAATTCCGGATGGATCGCAGGCCTGTGAGGCTGTTTGGCGCAAGTCGAGCATGCAATGGCACGTCAGTACGGACGTCATCTTGCAGAACCAGCATGAGCAACGATACAAGCTCTAGTGTTCTCGTCCGGTGTCTAGGCTTACAATGTAGTAAATCCAAGTGGTCATCACCAGGAACTAGAGAAGAATGGAAAACTTGAAGGACGGTGCTGGGGGATCATTGATTGTCCAAGACTCATGTCAGATACTTGCCCAATTCCGAGAGCGAGCGCGTTGAGAACGAGAAGCATCCTGCGCTCATCAACGTCCTCCTTGCTATCGAAATGCGAGTAGCAACGGGGCGACCCACTCAGGGTCGAAATGGCAAAGCCGGGTAAGCGCAGCGGGCATGGCAGAGGGGCAGACAAACTGGAGAGATACCTGTCAGTGACGCAACGGTCAACGGATGCACCAGGAGTAGAATTCTCTATTCATACCTGTCAGTGACGCGACGGTCACTGCAGGTGCTGTAAGTACGAGCGAATACAATAGGAAGGGGGTACGTACACGGATGCACCAGGAGTAGAATTCTCTGGGGCATCCGGCGAGCAAACGTATGGTATATAAGCCACTCGACACTACCTAATATAGCTAGCAGTAGAGCCGAGGCATTGAGTAGTTACAAGAGAAAACAGAAAAGCCGAACCAAAGGTATAACGCACGTTCAGCGAACGTGCTTCAGCAACTCCTCGGACTCCGGATTTCAACACTTGCATCTCCATGGCCACCAGCGAACTTACGAGAAATACACAACACCTGCAAGGTATCAGTATTCATCGTAATGTATTCAGAAGGGCTGCGAACCGTCAGTCAGCAGAACCTCGGCAAGGGCGAATATTGCAGTGGCATTCACCACAGGATCGCGATATCGAATTGTCTTCACCCAAGTGAGCGCCAGAACTACAGCGTCCGCCACGATAGAAGACAAGCGAGTGCCGAAGAACACCGTCATGAGAAGAGGTCGTGAGGACGAGCGTCATCATCAGCGAAGAACCATATACGCACATCATCAAAGACGGGAACAGCCACGTCAGTGGATGTCGGTTCAGCGACGAGGGCGATCTTACAGTCTGTAGACTACGGGATGCAAGGTTGTGGTGACTCCGCATGTACTCAGTGTAGGTGAGAGGTAGGACACTTGGGGGATAGTCACGAAGGCTATGTACTGCTCAAAACTATGGCATTTTAGTCCGAGCAGAAAAACTGAAACTGGAGGGGAGGCAGGCCATAGCAAACCTACCAAATTCAATATAGGGTTGACCAGGCCCAGAAACAGAACGACGAAGAAAACCATGCAGCTGCACATATAGAGTGCAGAAACCCGCATCGCAGAGAACACTTTTGCGAATTAGGAAACAGCAGGATCCCAGACGAATACCAAGCTCACTAGCTACGCAACCCACTACAACCAAGGCTGAAAGCGCTGTTGAACATTACAACTACCAGCCACTCATCGGAATGTTATCTGCGTATACGTTAAATCTTCATTACCTCTGAGTGACATGGTTAGTCCACATCTACCAACCAGAAGCAATGAACTCACCAAAAGTGACTTCCCCGACCAGGTCGACCGCAATATCAACAGCGCAAATGTCAGACGGCTGTATCGCACACTGTAAAATAGCAAGCAGGCTGGGGTAAAAATCCTCTTTGCTCGCCATATATATTTCACCTCCAGTGCGGATGTGAGCAGGTAGCCATACCAGATTAGTGCTGCCAGTGGTTGACTGATTCATCGACACAAGGGATAGCGACGATTGAACAGAGACGTACCGAATACTGCAGCGTAACACGCAGAATTAAGGAAGCTAATAGGACAGAGCCTCAGAACTCAGAACAAAGCGAAGTTCGAAGTTTAGTCACCCACTCCTGCTGATAAGATGACAGGGCCATTTCCTTGTTTACGAAGTCCGAGTGCCGTACGGGCCACTAAGTGAAAGGAGAAAGATTTTCAGTTCGCGGCCTTCATATAATATCTACGTTTGCTGCCGGTTAAGAGCGACTATATCCGGTGCTCTCACGGAGGACTTGATGACTAGGTAGCCTGCTGCCATGCATGCGAGAGAATAATTTATGCATCCGACCGGTGCCCTAAACACGTAAGCTTGCTCTCGCGTTGATGGTGCGAAAGATTTCCGCATGGGTGGAGTGTGTCAAGGATGCGTTTGTGAGGTAACAAACCGATCTTCAAGTTGGAGGCTGCCAGACAAAGGTCAGCATCATTTGAGGCCATGCAATTCTGCAAGAGCGCAGTCCAATTGTTGAGGTTGAATAACTGACAAAAGCCGGAGTCAATGTTAGTAGTTGCTGCAGTACACATCGCAGAACGTCATAAATACAAATAGAACTCGTGAGGCAACTATAAGATGCGCTTCTTGTTGAAGGCTCTGGAATCATCGGACTTTGACGAGAGTACGACAAATATTGACCGCATCCCGCAGAGCAGAAATTATGGATTTTCATAAACAGACCTGTGTCAAAGAATAGATTTTTTGAAAATAATGAGAAAGGGTTGGCAGGTTCGCAGCTTGAGTTGGAGCCGCTCTGAGCCGTTGGCTGACAGTACTTGCCAAATGCAGAAGCGACCACGCGATTCGTCGTTGCAATTCGCAACTTCAGGCTTTCCTTCGAAAATCGTCAGAGATAACTCAGAAAAAATTCGCGAGATGACTGCTGTATTTGAGACTCTTCTGTTGAAGTTCGTAACGGTGCTCGAGTTAACCCAGCAATCGGAGACCACCGCCTTACCACAGATGAAACAGAACTTGTTACAATCCGTGTGTACCTCTTCTGTGGATCTCACGTTGCATCTTCTCATTGTACTCCAGACCAATGATTTCAAGGATAGTCTCAAGCAGGCAAAAGAGGTCGCCAATAACCTCCCGGGAGGCGAATTGTCGGTGCAGGAGCAGGATGAGATTATTGAAATGTTGGAGAAGCTGAAGGAACGGAAAAGGTGCGCGCAACGTCTCACCGGTTTCGGTTGGACGTGTATCTGTGGACTCACCTATGTTACTGCTCTAGGCAACAATTGGAAGCCTTTGCAGGACGTGCAAGTTCTATGGCAGGTGCTTCAAATACTTTCAAGTCAGACAAGATGGAAGTCGACTCCACAGCGTCGACTCCTTCGTAAGGATTGAGGCCGTGGTCAAATGATGCCCACGATCCTGGACCAAATGCCTAGTCGATGTCATAATATGTCAGACACTTGCCGTTTCAAACGCAACCAACGTGACCGAGTACAGTGTCAGCTCGGACATACATTCCCTTCCATGTCCCTCTCTTCACTTCCACCATCAGCCATAGACGGCGTTTACGCTCTTCAAGGCTGGCCCTTATTGTCCATCCTTTATTGCGCTGACGTTTGCCATGTGCAGAGGTCTTCCCTTGTTTCCTTCGTTTCTCCCATTTACCTTAGTTCTTACACTCATCCGACGAACGTCAGGTGAAGGTGTAACGTGGCAGAGCCCTTCCGCTGGGGATGTGTACGCGTCTGGAGACACCATCGTCGGACAGTGGAGTGCGGCACAGTCTGTCGTATCGCCTTCCTTCAGTCTTTGCGCTCTTCAAGCTAAGAACGTTACTGGCCCAGGAGGAGGGACTTGTGGTTCAAGGGTATGGCCCACCGTAGACCAGAGTGATGGGTCACCTAGGATTTATCTGTGCGTCAATTGGCTTGTATATCCGTGTTGTCCTCAAAATGACGTCCATCCTCGCAGCTCTCTGCCAAACGTATCTTCTCCTTCGCAGTTTTATCTTCAGCTGAAAGATGACTTTGGGAACAAGGCGGACTCGCCGTTGTTTTCTCTTAACCGTGAGTTGGTGCGCTGACTTTTATAATTAAATCATATTCTGATGGTCAACTTAGCTGCTTCCCCGGATGAAAATACCGATGATTCTGTCCCAGCAACCACGACATCTCTCACTGCTGTCAGCACCGATTCAATTGCCAACACGAAATCGTCTGGCGGTTCTAGTAGTAATACCGTCTCGTCCAGCAGCACCGGCAGTCCTGTGTCATCCAGCGGCAAGAGTGCCTCGCGCAGTGGCAATGTCATTTCGCATGGCAGCAGTGTTGTCTCACCTACGGCATCCTCACCTACTAGCTCTACCTCCGCAGTGCTTGCCTCCGACATCATTCCCTCCTTACCCAACTTCGACGAAGCACGCATGCCCTCACCCACTGTCGCCTATGCACTCCCGCTCTCCGTCGTCGTCTCTGTGCTCCTCATCGCTGGCATCCTCTCCGTGCACCACCGACGCAAGCTCAGGAACGAGTGCCTCCAGGAAAAACAGGCGCAAACTGCTCACGCACTTTCCCGCCAATCGAGCGCGAGCGGAAGCACGAGCACGCGTACGCTTGTTGATACCGCCCCGCGCCCGTACCCGCCGAGCCTGGTGGGATGGATCAGAAGCTCGAGCAGAAGTACGAAAACTGAGCATGTGCCTGCGCTTACGGGCGACCGATCTCCCTCGATTAAGCGGCAGCCTCGACGTATGACGCGCGAGCCGTTCTATACGGACACTGGCCGCCGCAGGAATCCAACTCGCGTTCCCGCGGGTGTCTTTCGCGCCGCTGTATCCCCTGTGCCGCCCGCTCCGTCAAAGTTCGACCTGGACGACGAGCTAGATGAGGATCGCGACCTGAACGCGTCCGTGAACGAGTCTGTAGTCTCGCGTTACTTCCACTCGTCCCCGATCCCTCCACCCTCACCAACACCCCCCTTCTCACCTAGCGAGGTGGTCATCAGACCGGAGATGGCACATGTGCGCAGATGCGCGGGTGCAGAAGTGAACAAGCCACTGCCTGCGAGCCCTGCAGATGCGGAACTGTACGACGCTGTGGTGCACAAGTTGTCTAAGTTAGACGGTGCACGCGGTTATTCAAGGCGATGACGGTATCGCGTCGTTTCTTTACGTTTTGCACTCTGCCCAATGATGCTTGTTATTGCTAGTGGCTTGTATTTCAGATTTCCCCTTGTCCGACTTCTTCAGCCTTCCAGTCATCGACTAGCTGACACAATGTAGTATGGGACGGCGCCCATTGCCATTACCTTCTGACGTTCTAAGCCAATCCGTACTGAGTCAAACTCGAAGCTTGAAGCTTGAACATCATTGTCGTGGTGTATACTCTTACGCGACGACAATGATCATGGTAAGGCTCAAGTGCAAGAAGAGCGCGTATCCAAATACCAGCACAAGCAAACCCACGGACAGAGGCACGAACGCAAACTCAAGCGGATAAAGGAAATGACTGCTACAAACGACCAAACGAGTTTCGTCAACGATCATTATGCACATATGCAAATCACAAGTGAAACGAATGAGTACAGCTCCGTGAATGTGCCCAACATCTGCATCATCTCCCAAAACCTGTCTACTGGGACGGACTCGTCAGACACCAGAGCAGAATGAGCACGCACCAACGAACAGTATGACCACCGACAGCAAACGCCTGAGTGGGGGATCAGATCGGACGCGCAGCCAAACGAGACGATGTCACATACCATATCCGTGCCATCATGTACGCACATAACCTCCGAAGAGGGCAACAACGAAGCAAACCTCACGAGGAGGCGAAGAATCCAAAAATTGTAAAGCAGCAGACCTGGTGTAGTCTGAATCGAGTTACCCGCAACGCGAGCACCGCGAAGTGCACTCAAGGACGGCGCCACCGAAGCAAGACGACGACATTCGACTTACCGTACCAACACACGCCCGCAGCTCGCCTCGTGCATCTTGTCCGTCCGATAAGTCCCGCAGCCAGCGTGACGGATTCCCGTTGGCAGACGGTTCTCTCTGTCGCGCTCATACAGCAGCCTAAGGAGCTGCGCGCGTTCGCGCCGAAGTGCACCGATTTCTGGGGTCGCTCTGGGTTCCTGCTAGGTACTGCTGAGACCCTAGTCTGAGACGGAAGGCACCAGGCACTACGTCCGCGTTCGTCAACGATTCATGCGCGGCGGTCGATGCGGTTCAGGCGGCGCCCTTCTGTGGGGCTATGCGGACCAAATTTTTCCAGTACAAAGAGAAGTCAACGAGTGTTGACTGCGCGTCGTCGAGGTATTCGACGAATACGTCGCCGGTCATGTGTTCGGCGAAAGCACCGACTACTGAGTCGGCGGGCTGCACGATATCAGTTCGATCGTGGGATCGATGCATGGGGCGCGCAGGGCGGCTCGCGACCGGGGCCAGCGGCCTATGCGAGCCTGTCGAGTGCGCTCCTCCATGCTCGAGGATCCAGCGGGACTTGCGGACAACGCCGAGCGATACTGCACTCGGTATAAGACAAGGGCAGCCAGCCCCCGGCCGTGTCGTCCTATGAAGGCGATCCGGGTCGATGTCGATAGCGCGTGTGTGCGGGGGTGTTGGTCAGTATGCGCCACCCGTCCCTGCGACGTATCCCAAGCCCCATAGCTCGCCCTCTGCTCCGCCAAAGCGGAGTGTCATCGGGCATGCAGAGAAGTGGGGCATTTTTCTGGTGCGTCGCTCGACCAAAATATTACGGTCGGACCCGGCTAGGGTCAGTCGAGAGGGATGAAATGCTCAGACCTTGGCCCGCTCGCGAGTGGGGACAACTGCCACCGCCCACGGGTGCCCTGGGGCACCCTTCCCAGGTCCCTGAGGAGTGGTTGAGCGGCGAAACAGGACGTCCTGTGCGGAGCGAGCATCGCGGCTACAGGTCTGCTGCTGCTGGTGGTTGAAAGAGAAAGGGGAACGGAGAAAAGTGCCACAGGCAGGGGCAGATGTGACGTGGAAACCGTGACAGTCACGTTAGACTTTAGCTTTAGCCGTAACTCCGACAAGGCACCTCGCGGAGCGCAAATTTCGAACGGCACTGAAGTGAACTGCCACGAATTTGAGGGAGATGTTGACTTCGATGCTAGTACCTAAGTAATACAGAGCTGGCGAGCATTTCCCCTCCGGACGACACAGAAAGCGCGCAGAAAGCCTCCGCTAAGGTGGAATACAACACGGTGATTGTCGTACCAAGTCCGAAGTTTTCGTCCCGTTGGTTAATCCTTCCACATCTAAAGTCCCGCTGGCCACACTCATGCCTGGCGTTCTGCTAGATCTGTCAGATCCCCGTAGAAGGCCCCTATTTTGCCATCAGCTGCCAACCCAGGCAATCCTTGGGCCCGCAAATATTCGTTTGCAAAGAAAGCTGCATCCGTGCTCGACCCTTGATTTGAGGACATATTTTGCACCTGTACGCTTGTTACCATCTAAGAACGGGTGGCCTGTACCCAGACCATTCGAATGCAATCTTCATTGCGACGAGGATGGTTCAAACAGACCCTTGATGATACTATATGAGAGAGTAGTAGCGAGATAGCTCACTGGTCTCTCGGGCTCATAAAAAGCCACCTGGAGCGGGTTTCACAACTTGCGAAAGGGTCGGATGTATAATGATTAATCTGGGTATTTATATGCTGGCGTGAAAATATCGGGGAGCATAGTAGGAATATGTGTACGTGAGGAAGATGTTAAGATCACTTAAACTTTTCACGCCTTCGTCTCCCGCAGCTCATCCGACCATCTGTGTTCGTCACCCGGTCGGCCTTTTGCCATTGCTTGCGCGAGCTATCACTTACCCTCTTATCACAGCGATGTTTCGGCGTATGATTACGAGACTGGGCATAACACACCGTCCCCACCTATGCAGAGTGTTCGCGCATCATAACTCGAGTGGCAGTGGTGACGTGCTTTTTGTCGCTCCGTCGAGCGGTACAAGGTTCTTCTGGACAACCAAACCCTTTATATCAACCTAGCTAGGACTTAGCACAAGTGCTCGGGTGGACGTCTGATCAAGGACACGAGTGCGTTAGTTTAACTCTTGACAGTGGTTGGGAGCCTTCCTACTGCACCATCATTCCTCCCGGTACAGACAGTGTTAAGTCATAATGTGATCTGTGTTTTGTCTCTTAAAATTAGGCCTACTTGAAGTAGTACCAGACGACAATGTCGTTTTCTTTGAACCTCATATATTCGGCTAAAGCTCACACGGCTTCATCAATGAGCAAAGACCGTCTCTCCAAGCTAGAGATTCCAAGTGGGTCATTCACTGCTTTTCATTCGCGACATATTGAAGAAGGGCGACCTTGAGTGAAACTTCAAGAAAGAAAAGATCATCATCGCGATCCTAAGCGCCTTCCTAATTCGGCGTATCTGCTTCGGTATCCAGGTCTGTAGTAGCTAGTCTCGTAACCAGCCGTTCTGAGATTCGACCCTTTTTAGGATCTGTGTGGAGGGTCGTCATAACGTCTGGTGACTTTCGTATAGAAGGGGGGGGGTATGTCACACGGGCGTGACCTCAGCCAAAACTCGAGACATGCGAACTCGAACGCGGCACATTCACGGGCCATTGATGGCTAGAATAGGGTTCGGGGTGCATATATGGTTGCATACATGAACAATATTTATCAGCAGGAGGCAGGAGATGTGCAGGTACACGCGGGATGACCAGCGTGACACGCGCTGCGCGGGAGCTACAGCCAGGAGGGCGTTACATACCCCCCCCCCCTCTATACGACTTTCACCAGACGTTCTGCTGTGCGACCCTCTCTTTCTGTCCGTTTTCGGTAAGTCGCACGTGAACGTCTGGTCACGAGACTATGTAGTAGCGGCAACATCTAAATAAATAATTAACCCCTCGAGCTCGTCCGAGCTACACAGTACGAGCTACCCTACCAATACAACAAAACCATAGTCTAGGATCATTATCCGGGAGCCCACTGAGAAGTCCCCCGTGGGAGTTTTTGAGCTACGTGCCAGACACCGGGAGGCCCGGGAAGGGACGGCTGCGTCATCGGCACTGAACTATAATTCCCAAAAGGCGTTGGTGGCAGCAAGATGGCAGAGATGTCAATGTCGTATCTACTCGCTTCGTTCGTGAACTTATGCATGTATGCTATGCAGCTGCAATCCATGTTATTTTCTATGTCTATCATACCTGCAGCTGAACACTTTTCAGAATGGCTTTGATGCACTGATCACACCGTGACAAGAATGCAGGCTAGGACATCTGGGAAAGACTGAAGGATAGGTTGAGAACACATCTGTACATTGGAAAATACAGCGACGTCGCCATGGGCATCGTCTGCAGGTGGATCGATCGCGTCATGAGCTGTTTGCTTCGCGCCTGTGGCTGCACGCGACTTGAGCGCTAAAGATTCGTGCGTCAAATTGCCGTCGGCATCATTCAAAGTCCGGTTTCCCACGGGCGACTTCTCAGCGGGTCATCGATAATGATCTCAGCCTCTATTACAAAGGAACGACTGTCTTCCTCAGGGTAACTAGAGGCTGTATCTATGAGCCTAACAAAACCATTCTGATGTATATAATCTTGCGGCTACCTCGGTTTGTCCCGTGTCCGTCATACATATCTAGGCCTACGGCAATGCCTCCCACTATTCCCGGCTCACTGACACTACCTGTCCTATAACAAATAGAATCTACTCGTGTTATACGTGTACCACAATAAAGCCGGGAACAGCGAGCGGATATACGATACGAACTGTATTGACTACAACAAAAGTCGACGAGGCGATGCGTGTATTCTAAGGAGTTAAAAATCCAATAACTGTAAACGAGCGTATGGGGCTGCGTTTTGCGGCCTTTCCAACAGAGCAAATATAAGCAGCCTGAGACGAACGAGCGGACGGATGCAAACGGGGACAGTTATTGTAAAAACCACAACACCGGCAGAGCACGAAGAATCCGAATCCAGGTCTCCTCAATATGAGTGCAACAAATCACAAACTGCCACCCTCGGTGTCCACCGACTTCATACTCGACCGCGCACTGTAAAACATGCTCGACACGGTCGTGCGTGCGGTATGCATCGTGCCGTGGTCCCAACTATCACTGTCATCCCCCTCGGTATCGGTCGTAGAGGAGTAACGGTTGTGCGCATGGCGAAGGAGAGACTGAACACTGAGCGGGTTGCTCTCCGGATTCGCTTGCAGCGAGTCAGGGCCATTAGCGGACGACAGTGCGGAAAGGCCAGGGTGGATCATCGCTGCGGCGTTCAGAGTCGCCGTCGAGCCGGCTAAGGAATTAGGCGCATGCATCGGGAGACCGGAGCTAGCCCCCGACAACGGTGACAAAACCCCAGAACGGTCCTATCACGCACCAAGCAAATCAGTCCTTGTATGCGCAAGATTTTGAGAGAATACAGACCTCCACGCTCAGCTCGGTGTCGTGCCAGCCCTTGACTTCATCCTCCTGCACGGCACAAGACGCCGGATTCGCAAGGCTCTTGCCACCAGCCGAGCCGCGTCTCGGCGATGCCCTTGACTCGGACCCATGCGTCAATGCCCTCATAAGCGGGAACGGCGACGGCGGACGCTCTGACCGACGCGAGCTCCGACTTGAGCTTGACACCCACGAGCGGGGCGACATTGGTACAGGAAGCGACGCACGGCTTCGCGGAGACACAGGCGACTCAGGTGGGGAAGCTGGAAGAGAGGCGCGTATCTTACTTGCTCGTGAAGGCGAAGTATCGATGTGGTCCACTCTGTGCGCTTCCTTACGACCCACGGACACGTCCTTAGGTGGGACCGGTGGTGGCGATTCTGTGCGGGGAATGTCGGGGAGAGGACGGTGAGGAGGGGGTAGCGGCGCGACGGAAAAAGCGGCGTCAAGAGGCGAGCCAGGGAGCGAGCGTGCAAGTGACGATACCGAAGGTGACCGCGGGATGCTCACGCTCCTGATATCGGCGCTGCCACGGCTGCGAATGCTAGCACTCGAGGATGACGCAGACGACGTAGAAAAGGCGGAACTGCAGGGCGACCACGCCGACGGTGGGAGAGCACCGGTGGCAGACGTCCTGATACTCAAATTGTGCCGGAGGGAACGCGGTGCGGGCACGGGTGAGGGAAAGGTATATGGAGGGGATGGGGAACGTAGAGGGAAGCTATATGCGGGATCAGGAGGCAGGGCAGAGGACAGACGTGCATTCCAGCTCGCGCGCCCTCTCGCATCTGCGTCCACGTCGCTCGCCCAAGGCTCGTGGATATACGCGTGCGAATCGCGCATCCACGGACGCGTCCACGTTCCTGGAGACGAGAATGGGTCTGCAGGTGGTATAATAGCACGGGGCGTCGCGTCAAAGTTGAAACCGAGGGCATGTGAGGGCAAAGCGATGTCCCCTTTAGCGAACGGGTCCGGCTCGGGTGTAAGGACACGGCCAATTGAGAGCGCATATAGATCCTCGTCTTCGAGTATATTCAACTCAGGGTCCACGGTGGCGAGGGACGTACGGCTGCCATAAAGTGTCGGTTCGTACGACTCGGGAACGGGAGGAAATGCGAATACACCAGTGGGCGTGACGGGGGACCATGTATCCGTAGAGCGCGTAGAGGAAGCGGAGCCTGCGGGAGAGGAGTCGGCAGAGAGAATGCTGAGGTTAAGTTTGGAGCGTGAACGCGGGCGCAGTGGAAGGGGAATCAAATTTACAAGGCGCTCGCTAAGACTCATCGTAGACTTGGTGCTTGCCTGCAGGGGAGATGTCAGTATCAGTGACAAGGACCATATAGGAAGGGTAAAGGTGGGAAGGGGGATTAGGCCAATTGGAGCGGACTTATAAGTGCAAATAAATGAATGGGGACAGGTACGGGTCACGTGCCCGGACCTGCAATCGCTTCTCTCGGAAGCGTACCACCGCATTCGTAACGAAGGTTGTTTAGAATGCCAGAAAGCGCATCTGGAATCATACCGCTTCCAGGGAGAATGGGGAATGTATGCACCGCAAGGAAGAGAGACGGGAGGAGGAAACGAGGGTAAACTTACCGTGGTACAAGTACTCGTCGCGCTACCCCTTCTCTCGAACACATATGCCGGTGGCTGTATTTCTTCTTCCTCACGCTCTTGCCGCCCTGCCACACTTGATGATGCACACACTGGTACAGGAACTGGAGGCGGGTCGCGCGGACACGTGTACGGCGACGGGCACCGCCCTGCATGATCCGCAGACGCGTCCTCCTGCGTCCACGGCACAGGCGGCGACGACAGAGCCGTCTTCCTGCCCGAGTTCGCACCGAGGGTAGCGGTCGCTCTGCCGAAGAGGCTGGTGCTCTTCATCTTGCGGAGCGGCGGAAGCCGCGAGTGGATGCGAAGCGGTAGTAAGCCGGCCCCGCGTAGGAGTGGGGTAGCTGGGCGGCTGTAGGAGGGCGTTCGCGCCCGCGCGTAGCCTGTATCCTCAAAGAAGGATGGAAGGCTTTCGATGGCAGCGCTACCGGCGATGTACGGCCTAAGGGGTACACGTCTTGGCGAGAGTTTAATAAATGACGCGTGTACCTCGGCGGGCGAAGGGCCGGTCAAGGTTGAACTGGGTATGGATGGGCCGAAGGGAAATGGCGAGGTGGGACGCGTGGATGGAGTAGATGGACGTGATTGGAAGACGGTCGAGGAGGGGCGGTGGGGACGGACGGTGCGCGTAGAAGACTCGGAAGCGGAGGCGGCGGTAGAGGGACGTGGCGTGTTGAGGTTAGTGGAACGAAGGACGAGAGCCGAGGCGCGTGTTCGGACGCGTTTGAAGACGTTGAGCGCGGCGCGAGCGCTGGAACTGGAGCGCGGTTTGCGACGCGGGGACGAAGAGGGAGAGGCAGTGTAGGAGGAAGAGCGAGCGCTGGGTGTGCGGCTATGTACGGCAGGTGGTGGGTGGGTAGTGTCTCCGTCCTCGTCTTCGGTGTCGCTCTCGAAGCAGCTGGATACAGATAGAAGGGCAGGAGAGGATGCGTGGTAGAGAGAATCGCGAATATAGGGTGAGGTGGAGGACAAGGCGAGGCGGCGTTGGGGGGAATGGAGGTTGAACGCGGCACAGACGAGGTCGTTGAATTCCTGGAGGGAGAAGGGGGTCAGGCGGGAGGATGGGAGCGGTTTGGAGGGGTGGGAAGGCATGGCAGTGAGGAGGATATGTCGAGAAGGTGGTGGTTAAAGAGAGAGAGAGGGAGCGCTCGCACACAAAGAGACATCAACAGAGCACGTCGAGGATGTGACAGCGGGCGAGGATCTGTAGAGCTCATAAGTTCATGTAGACGACACTTGCCTTTTCCGGCCGACGTCTTCCTTCGCAGCTTAATGGCTGTCTCTATCCCTTCGCGGGTCTCGTCTGCCGCCGATGCCGAGCAGCTTTGATCCTCGGCTCCTATCTGCAATATTCCCTCTCTCAGCTTCTCCGACTGTCTCTCGTGCTTCCACTTCCTTCATCCTTCTTCAATTGAGCTTCTCATCCTGGTCCTTCCGACGTATTCTTCTAATTATTCGCCAATTATTTTCATACCATTCTTCTTGTCACTGTTCTCCAAGTCTCCACGCGGAACACAGAGGAATGCTCAGCGCGCTGGGCACTCCGCATTTCAAACGAATTGACGTCCTATGGCCAGTGGCACTGGGCGAAGATGCGACAGCCGCTGCATCAGGCTGCCAATGGCGCGAGCGTCCCCGTACGATGTCCCTGCGCAGTGTCAGTCCCTTGCGACGCTTCTATAAGCACGTCATCTTGTAACACGTATTGATGCTGCACCGGACGTTGGCGCCGAGTTAATAGGTATTGATGCATCACCAGCTCCTACACACGGGAGTGTGGGTGTCAGGACAGAGTTGACCACGAAACACAAACATTAATGCACTTGCCTGTGAGCTCTAGAAACACAATCTCAGGCTGTCCAGAACCAGAACGCTCAGCAGCGTGGGCACATCTTGGTATCAGTCCCCACCCGCAACAGCAGCGCTCATGTCCTGAGCAAATAGATGGGATAGCTGTGAAGTAGATGGCGTAGCCGTAGTACCCGCAGTCGCTGTACGCACAGTACTCGTACACGATGCAAGTACACGCGCATTTCACGGTCTCAAATAATGCCTTAAAGGCTTCAAGCTCAAGCTCAAGGGCAATGCATGCCCTAAGCCGAGCTCCGGCGTCGCATTCAAGCTCGAAATGCACCAGAACTGGAAAGGCACAACAGAAATTAGTATCAGGGCGAGCGTTGGCAGACTCCGCACCAGAGCTGTCCTTAACTTACCACGACATTGTCGCGTAGCCGGCACGGCTTGGACGCCAGAACTTCGTACGCTCCAAAGGACGCGGAGAAGGCAGACCCAAAAAATTTCCGTGAAAGACGCAGTGTGTGCGAGCTCGCCCAACAGGCCGACGTCGGCATGGAAACGTAGGCGTACGAGAGCGCACGTATGGAGGCGCGTCAGATGGGCAGCTTTGGGCATGCTCGGCGCAAGATGGCTCCGGCGATCCCGTAATTTCAACATCACGGCCCCGTCCCTGTCCATCTCACGGTTCATCAGCAGCGTGCATAGATAGATCAGACGTTGGACTCACAAATTGTCGCGTGCAGGACAGCGTCGGGAGCAGGGAGTCCTCCACGACGCCGAAGACTAGTAACAGCATCTCTAGTCCGGGGGACGCGTGCCGCGGAAAGGACATACAGCAATTACGACTGGGACCACAGAAGCTCGTACCTCGATATTCCTCGCGGTATCCGCCACAAGGAGTGCTCTGTCGAGCCTGATGGAGTCCACGGTAAGACAGCATGTCCTAGCTTCCTCGCGTTGCAATCGGAACACAACGAAGCGAGGACACTCTGTTCTCCGAGTCGATAGCAGGTTTGATACGTCAGCGTGCACTCTCCAGAGGGTGCACGAGCGGCCTTCGAAGTACTTTTATTCTGGAAAGCAAAAACAAAAAACCGGGGGTAAATAATGCGGTTCACCTGGGATTGCACGCCGCGTCGACGTCAACTGCGGGGAATGGTCATCTTTTGCGAGAGCGCAATTGAGAGAGGAGCATACATAGCACGGATTCACGCGTCTGCAAATTCCGAGTCTCGCTGGCTTGATATTCTGAGCTCGAGTGTGCTCAAATTTGGGTAGGTATCATAAAACATGTCACATGATTCGTGCTTACATAAGCATGTGCTAAGTTTTGAAGTCGTCCTCCTCCTTCTTTTCGAATGATAACCCAGTACCCAGGTTTAATCGAGTTTCGGTGGACCGCAGGGAAACGATCTCACACGCGTACAGGATCCGAAGGCGTTCCCATGTGTGGAACTCGTGACCGCGTCGCGTGGCGCCCGCGTCGTGCACAGGTAGAGTTGGTGTATGTGCTCAGAGAGAGAATGGAGAGACAACTTGAGATGAGGAGTAGCTCGGTACCTTGCAGAAGAAGATTCAAGATGATGTAACTGCGTCGGCAATAAAACACAGGTAGTACAGAAAGGGAACGAATCGGCGAGGAGATCGAAATTCTGAGCAAAAGGTATGTTGCAACTCTACTGTGTTACCGTACTCCGATGAATCTCGCACGCGCAACGCGACCTTGCGCAGGCGGCACATTAAAGTTGCTCGGGCTATTGTGTGGGTCGTCCTGTGACTTTTCTCGTGCTGTACGTTATCCAGGTCACTAGTGTCTTGGACGACGGGCGTCTGGCTATCTGGTGCCGGTCGCGTCTTGCCTCCACCCCAATGATCACGATACGCTCTCAGCTTTTCGTTCAACATCCACGCCGATAAGATGTCCGAATCTCTGAGAGTCAGACGGCTCTTCGCGTTCCGGAAGCCGCTATCGCTATCGCCTCTGTTACTTATAACGCTGTCTTTCAGCCCCTCCTTCTCACTAGCATTCAACTCCATCTATCTCAACCAGAATTATCTTGCCTAGCTTTCGCCAGAAACCGTGCGGCGTTGTGTATATTGTTATAGTCTCTAGGTGACATGGTACGGCTGCATACACTCAAGATCGACCCACCGCTCCTGAATAGCTCGTGCGCGTGGGCGTCCGACCTCGAACAGCTGCGCGAGCTGTACGAGTGTCCCTCTACGGGCGCAGTCACCACGCGCACGGCGACGCTGGATGGGTTTGAGGAGGGCCCGGGAATCGGGGTGCGTTCCGACTTGCTTCACTCTCGCCATCCGACCCTGTGTAAGCTTACAAATGGCTACTCCTGACAGGTCGTGTTCACCACGGACGGGCTCTCGACGCTCAACACGTATGGTTACTCCCCGCATCCGCTTGGGACGTACCTCGAGTGGATCTACGCGTTGCTCACCGCGCCCGCCTCCCCCACTCGTCCGCACCGCAAGCCTTTCATCCTCAGCATCACCTCCGCGCTCCCCGCAGAGCTTACCACGATGCTCACGCAAATCCAGGCACTGCGTTCACGGCTGCGCGCCGCGCTCGCGCGCGACGGGGCCATGAACGGCTATGCGGACGCAGAGGACGACCCCGCGGCACTGCTGGCGGTCGAACTCAATACCTCATGCCCAAATATTCCGGGCAAGCCTCCGCCGTCGTATGCGCTCCACACGCTTGCGCCACTGCTCGCCGTCCTAGGGGCCTTTGCACGTGCGGACCTCTCCCTCGCGCTCGGCCTCAAGCTCCCGCCGTATCCGGATCCGAGCGCAGCGACGGGCATCGTCGCGTGCCTCCATGAGTTTACCTACACTTCTGCTGGTGAGGGTCCGCTCAGCCCCTTCGCCTTCCTCACCTGCACGAACACGCTCGGCTCGAGCCTCCTCTTCGCCTCGCAGGTCCAGTCTGAGTTCGAGCCCACGTCCCCCACTGCCGCGCTGGCCCCCGCGCTGCCCCCCGGGCTCGGCGGGCTCGGCGGCGCGCTGATTCATCCCCTCGCGCTCGGCACGGTCTTCGCGCTCTCGCGTGCACTTGCGGCGCACCCCAGCGCTGCCGTGCGCAACGTGGGTATCATCGGCGTCGGCGGTGTGCTCGACGCCCCAGGAGCACGCCGAATGCGTGCTGCCGGTGCGACCGCTGTCGCGTGCGCGACTGCACTCGGGGCACGGGGGGTAGGGGTGTTTGCGGAGATCAGACCGGGGGTGGAAGGGTGAACGTTTGAATGCTGGGGGATCTGCGATAATATCGCCGAATTGGATACAGTTGGTAACTAGCTGATCTGGAAGCGGCAGGTATGCTCAAAGCAAGATATTACTATCGTTGACCCGGATATGCCAAAAGTTTGGCACTTCTGGTCCCGCCGCGCAACACCTGGCGCGATAGTCTCCGGCACCCCATATGATGTTGATATGGCACGTAGAATACAACAGGTGGTTTTTCTGTATTTTTTAGAGCAATGTTGACCATCGTAGAGAGATGCCGCTGTGTGGCACCAGCCAAGTACAGTCCTGTGATTGCGAATTTTTTGGGATCCGAGCGGGCCACACATACTTACCAAAAATTTAGAGCATCAAGAGTAGGCACACAGGCTTCTACCTCTGCAATTTTGAAGTGATCAGGTAAGAGAATAGAGCCGCAGGAAAAAATTTGGCACTTCTGGGACATTTGGCATATCCGGGTCCACGATAGTAGGCCTTCAGTCCGACGACTCACGTCTGTTTGTTATATACTGACTGTATTTATTCCTCGAAGCTGGATGTTCAAGTTAAAAGTGAGAAGTTAGTATATTTTGGTATACGATGTAACAACTCACGCCTGTCCACCGTACGGTCTGAGTGTGTCTTTCTCAGTTGCCAATCAATCCGTCTCTCGAAGCCTGTGACAAATTATGCACATATTTGTGTGACTCCCCGTGACGGTACGCGACAGGCGCTTACTCACTTGGCAACAGCTTGACAGGACGCCTCCAGACAGAACAGCAGGCACTCACCTGCATCGGACTTCTTTGCAGTGACGGCGCAGCTCCTGACTCACCGCTACTATGTGCAAACTTGAACAAGTTAGCTATTCGGAACGAGTACGATGAGAAGGTAAGAAATCTGACGAGGTAAGAAATCCGATGCGGAGGTAGCAAAAAGAACTGAGAGAATACATCAAAGCAATAAGAAAGAACTTGGTAGGAGATCGCGAAAACTTTAGATATTCGATTAACGTGAAAGCATCACACAGCATTGCAAGTAAGCAACGCGGGACCTGCCAGTCCCGCGCAGACGGCTACCACACCCAATGCTCTCCAGGGAGCACCACCTCTCGGGCGTCCCTGAGAGCGCATGGGTGTAATAAACGGAAACACCAGAGCAAGAGAAAGGGCATAGGTACCACGCGCTTGCCCTAGGTGTCCGCAGCCTGAATGTCTCTGAAAGGGCCATTTCGCCCTCGGTGCAGTCCTCATGGCCAGAAGGACCCAAAAGATTGCGCAGCCCAATTCGGCACGTAGTCAAGGTCGAAGAATAACCTGTCGAACCCGGCCCCGAAAGATACGTCCGCGCTCTGGCTCAGGCCCGTAGTGGCGTTCCCGGGGGCTTGGAACGCGAACTCTGAGAATGCGTGGTCTCCCGGGACAGGTGCGCTCACCGCTATTCGTGAGATGTTCGCAGGGCCTGCAATGCCCAGCGCACCGGTCGTGATGTTGCTGGCCGGAGCTAGCTGGTATCCTGGACTCTGCGGGCTTGTGGCAGGCATCTCGAACGGCCAGGAGTTAAGGTCGAGCCCGACCGTGGTGTTGGCGTATTTGTCGGTGAGCCCTGTCGATGTGGACGCACTGACGTTGGACGACAAGGCAAACAGGTCCATCCCCGGGAGCGCGTCAAACGCATGGTGATCGAACGGTGAGGAGGGCCCAGCGTTCGGGTACACGTGCATGGCAGGAGTATGCCATTGTGGCACGTCTACTGGTTTGAAGGAACCTGCTCCCTTCATGGGTGCCTGTGGCGAGCTTGTTAATACATTGGAAAAAAGATGAAAGGCAATATAACTGGTGCATACCAGCTGTGCCAGCTCGGGAACCTCAAAGTCGGGCCACGTCTCTGGCATTTGGGTGGAGAGCGCGGCCATCGGGTCGCTCTTCTCCTCAATGGCCCCGCACGGAGGCAGCAGTGGGCTGCGAAAGCCGGGCACGTCTCTTGAGATGGACTCGAAGGTCGGGGTCGCCGAATCTTCCTGAATCCGGGCGTTCCACAGGGCGGGGTCGAACACGCCAGTGGAATAGCCCTTCCTCGACTCTTCTTCCTCCTTGAGCCTTTTCTCCTCCGCATGGATGGTCTGGTCGAGCTTTCGCACCTCCAGCTCGAGCTCATCCCCGTCCTTACCCTCAGCGAGGAGGTGCGCGAGCTGCTCGCAGCGGGCCATCTCTGCGGGGGAGTTGTGCTTCACGTTGCGCTTCTTGGGTTTCTGCTTGCGCTGGACGGGCGCGAACTTGTAGTCAGGGTAGCACCGCTTGTGCTCCTCCTTGATGATTCTCGCGCGCTCCCGCCAGACCACCTTCTGCGTCTCCGACATCCGTTTCCACGCCTTTCCAGCGATTCTGCTGATCTGTTTGTGGCTGCGCTCGACCTGGCCTTCCAGCCTGTGGCACCAGTCCGTGCGGAAGAGTATGAAGCAGTTTGGTGGCCTCGGGATGGGGTTCTTGGACCTTGCGGGCCCGGAACGGCGAGCAGTCGCGCGTTTCTTCGTTGTGGCCTCTTCATATGTACTCCCGGGGGTCGATGGGAGAGGAGAGGCCGCGCTCGAAGGCGATGACCGCTGAGTGGCGTCGTGTGGCCCTAGGGAGTATGAGGACGTTGACGAGGACGGCGTGAAAGGGGAGAGCGGCGACATTGGGGACACCGACTCAAAGACCAGCGCGCGTTGGGTGTTACGGGATGGGTATCTAGACATTGTCGCTGTGTCCGAGGGTGAATCTGAGTAGGGAGTAGGAGTGGGTATGGATGAACGAGGTGAGTGATACGAAGTCAGACGTGATCAGTGCCTGTGAGGGTTGTTATGGGTGAGAGCGGTGGGCGCTGGATGTTGAAGAAGCAGAGGCTGGGTTGGCAGGGTGTTTTATAGGACCGCGTCCGAAATTTCAGAACCACCCGCTTTCAAGATCTGGATCTCCAACCGCACGCGAGGTCCATGCCCTCGGCGGATGCTTATATCTCCTTGTGCCGCCTTGTGTGGCTGGCGGCATTCCGAAATCCTGGCCAAATCCTCCGCAGCTGCTCTCATTGGATGAACGCATGCCAGGTGAGTGTGCCGGCTTCGTCGATGCTCATTGCCACTGACCTTTTGCTCGTGGGTATCACATCCACCTCTCTATGCAACCCTCGCGCAACCCCACGTTGCACGTACAATAGCAAACTCTATCTTCCTATCTCGGCCAGAATTGCGTCGAGATTAGATGACCCCGGTATGATCCCGGTGTTCAGAGTGATGTATCCGTTCCGTGAAGCATTATACACACACGTGACGCCAAGGGACCACGCCGAGTCCGTTATGATTTAGGTGAAATGTTTTCAGGGCTGCCGGACAGTATTTGAGTTGTGTATATTTATTCAGGAACCACCGAAGGGATCTTTACTGGTGGGCGTGCAATCTCTCGGTTCTCGACACGTTGGCGAAGGAGCCAACAATCGAAACGGCCCGAACACAATATGATTACAACATCATTGCCGCAGGCGAAGCATCGAATCAGTGCAGAGGCTTTCGCTCCTCGGGTGGGACCTCGCCGTTCGAAACATTTCGATGCTCAATGACGCTCATAGGATAAGCATGTATGGATTCATCTCATTGTACCTAGTGAGTGGCTACCGGACCTTGAGAGTGGAGCCAAGTGTCCCGAGTGTGGCGCCTCAGAATTTCCGATTCGAAGCTTCCACAGTACTGCCTTTCTGCATGCCCAGCACGCAATGCAGAGGTTGGGAGTTCCCGTTTTAAATTTATTGCAGAGCCACTCTTCGTCAATCAGCTAAACACGGCGAGGTTTCAGGTCTAACCGCCTGGCAGAATCATCGCCAACGTCGACGTTTGCGCTGAGCAAGACTTCTCAATTCATCGTTGTGCAGCAGCACTACGGCCCTAGGATCATGGTCGTGCATGTGAACGTTCGGCAACTACCTAGGTTAGGACCAAGGGCTTTGCAGGGTTAGGTTTACAAGCGTCGCCCCGTTGCACACGACGAGCTCAGCGAAGTCTCAGTCAATGGGATAATTTGTCTGGCTGTGCGATAACTATCAGTGCTCGGCTATGTCGCGGTGAGCGAGATGTCCCCGACACTTGCCCGATGAGTCAATGCGCTACAGGCTCAAAGGGCCCGATTTTCCTGAGAGATATTGAGAAATTCCTACATGAACCATTCCACATCGTGTACACGAAACAGATTGCGCGCAATGGCCCACACGATCGTACAGCTGCGCAGAAACCTTTTCGTGCGGAGAAAATAAATGTCACTCACCGCGCACAGTGTTTGGAGGTCCCAGGGTGGTGTCGATCTCTATTCAGGACCTCGGTCACTCCGTTCATACTTGGCGATGATGATGCACAGCTTGGAGTCCACTCTCTCTATCGTTGCTCCTCCATCTTCCCCTCCCCTCCGACAGCCGTCGCTGCTACTTATCTCTCCCGTTCTCACGTCTCGTTCACATCTAGGTTGTAGCCGAACTTGCTGGCACCGCGTTGCCGACTTCTCATCCATTGCGACTGTGATACCGGCGTGTTGTCACGCCCCTCTCAAACTTAATTCGATCTGCGAACGCAGGTAGACCAAGATGCCCGCGATATCTCTCAGAGACTCTCTGCTTCCGCAGCCCCCTTCGTTCTCTAAGAAGAAGGCGTATGAAATACATAAGGTGCTCGGCGAAGGCTCCTTTGGCAAGGTTATGGTGCGCCCTGTACCTTCACTTTGTATCACACGATCATAACATCTTTATTCCAAACCTCTGCTCGCGCGTGTAGCGCGCAACATGGCACGTTCCATCCGGTCAAACATCCATCGCAGAAAAGGGGGCAGCCGCGGATCCCCACGGTGCCCCAACTCCCAGTTCTACCCTCCCCGTCAAGCCGCAACGCAGCAACACTGGCTCCAGTATCTCTTCCTTCCTGTCAGCTGCCTCCAAAAACCATCCAACCAAGAGCGCCCCGAGCGAACTCAAGATCGACGTCGCGCTCAAAGTGATCCCGAAGAAGAAGGTGAAAGGGAACGAAAGCAGCGTTTGGAGCGAAATGGAGGTACTGAAGGGCCTGAGCCATCCAAATATTGTGAGTATTATCGAATGGTATGAACTACTTTGCATCGGGCACGCACCAAGATTGCATCTCCGTTCGCCGTGCCCCTGATGACAGATTCTCTCTGCCTCATCTACTGCTATGACGTCAGATCGTATATTGTGTTTTGATCACACTCCCCAGGTGAAATTCTACGAGTGGTTTGAGTCCCGCTCCAAATATTATCTCTCCTTCGAGCTCGCTCAGGGTGGCGAGTTATTCGAGCGCATCACTCAGCGAGGCAAATTCACCGAATCTGACGCGGTCGCTGTGCTTCGGTGAGCCGCTATCCATTTGTCCTTTTGCTACCCCACAAAAGTAGTATCGAAGATTGTGATCGAGCGGGCATCGGTCGATATTCTTGCGGATGTTTCTCGTGCGGCGTTCCAAATTCACTCCCTTGTCTTTTGGTGATGAGACTGCTGCTAAGTGCAATAACAGATCTGTACTATCGGGTATTAAGTATCTGCACGAGCATGACGTCGTTCATCGTGATCTCAAGTAAGTCTCCGATTCCGTGTCTGTGGTGCTCGCTCAACGTCCTATCGTTATTAGGCCCGAGAATATCCTGTACCGAACAACTGAGACGGATTCGGATATCGTAATTGTCGACTTCGGGATGTGAGCACGTGTCTTCTCTTCTCTCCTACTATCGTGATCGTACCTTCCGCCACTGACCCCAATGCCATCGATCCAGCGCAAAGCACCTCCATTCCCCGGAAGAGCAGCTGCACTCTCTCGCGGGCAGTTTCGGATACGTCGCTCCGGAGGTGCTCAACAACAATGGGCACGGCAAGGCGGTGGATATCTGGTCTATCGGGTACGTCCGCGTGTATGCCCATGACATCACAGCTCCTGCGAGAAATCCACGAAGTCTGATCTTCCGCACAGGATAATCACATACGTCCTGCTATGTGGCTACTCGCCGTTCCGATCGGACGACATGCAGGAGCTCATCCGCGAGACGACCGAAGCGAAGTTTGAGTTCCACGAGCGCTACTGGTTTAATGTCTCGCAGGAGGGTGCGTCTACCTTTATCCCGCCCCGCCCCTGACACGGTGCTCCCAGCTTCTGACCCAGCGCCACTACAGCAAAGGACTTCATCACGCGGCTGCTCAAACCCGACCCCGCTGCGCGGCCCACCGCCGAAGAGGCACTGCGAGATCACGTACGTCATACCTCAATCCCTCGCACCTGCCTACTGACTGGCCCCCTGCCTGCTTCATACAGTGGTTGACCACGCACGAGCCGTCGACGGAGCACGACCTCTCTGGTTTGCGCACGAACTTCAACCCGCGTGCGCGCTGGCGCGCCGCCATCAACAGTGCGCGCGCCTTGCACCGCTTCGGCTCGTCCGGCTCGCGCGCGAGCAGCGGCGGGTGGAAGTCGCACGGGAGCATGATCGACAGCGACGACGAAGACCACGAGCAGGACCAGGAGCGCACGGGCAGCAGCAGCACGCCACTCAACGGCCCCGGCGAGAACGAGCATGTGACCGTGACTGCACCCGCGCAGGGGCACGTCGACGATCGCGCAGCGGTACTGACTGGAGCCGATGGTGCTGGCGCGCAAAAGGGTGGCGGCGAGAACGAGGTTGCGCGTGTCCCTGCTTCTGCCGAGGAGCCGGACACGACGCATGCACCGGGGAATGAGGAGGAAGAGGAGGCGCACGAGCCGCTCCACCAACATGTGCCGACGCCGCTGCAGGAGACGCACGACGTGCAGTCGCATCCACAACCGCAGCCACAGCCGCAGGAGAAGAAGCAGCTGCAGATTCCGGACGAGGAAGACATCATCCCGCGCAGGTCCGAAGAATCAGAGTACCTGCAAATGCCTGGCTCGTTTGACCGCCATCAACATCATCGACACCACCACCTTCACCACCAGAACGACCGTGAAGGCTGGATGGCTAACATCATGAAGACGCTGCACATACGATGAGGAACTACCATGTACTACTTTGCGAGACACCACTACCGCCTGATGATATTGTGGGACTTTTCTGAACATGTAGCCTAGCGATACATACCGTTTATGACGATTCTTGATTTCGATTTACTAGGATTTCCTGCTGTACTGATGTCTGTAGTGGTGTGGTTTACATACATGCTGGCCGTTGTGTATCCAATCGTACTCCTCACTTGGACGGGGTGGTATCAGCCTCAGACGAAAGCAAACAACCTACATGACAGCATAGCGATAACGAGCAAGTGAGCCCAAAATGCTCAGCTGTTTTGCACGTCACACCCTGACCCATCCGCGACAATCAGCGGCGCCGCACGCGCAGAACCTTGCTCCTGGGGGTATCTGGTCTTTGCCCTTGCCTTTGCCTTTTGTGTACGAAGTGGCGGCTTTCGGGTCGTAGTCTATCGTGAGCTCGGTTCCCGCAGGAACTGCTCGTGTGGTTACGATAGCCAAGTATGGTTGATTGACCTATGTCCACACCGAGGATAATCAGAGTCCAGGCAGTAACTCTACTGGGTAAACGCACTTCCGGTATCGTATCCCAGATGACGGGATATACACGCGCATTGGGCTCACACGAGTGACTGAAATTGCATCCTATCAGTTTGTTAAGTGGCGAAGAGAAGGCGATACTTGCTTCAGAAATCGAGTCCAGTTCCCTGAGAAACGGAGGAATAAATCAGCATACTGTACTATGAGGATAGACAAAGACCCAAGCACACTCACCGTAGATGTATGAGTCGACAGAATAAAAATGGAGCCCCTTTGCATCTTCGCTGCCATCCTCATGCACATCCAGATCGAATATGTATGACTTGTGGTCGTCCGAGCGCTGATGAGCTTGACGGCGTGTTCTGCTCCCGGTGGTATCAGCACACCTTATCCGAAAGGGTGAAGTGGAGAACCACTGCACATAAGCTCCCTGCACGGTCGGTATCAATGTTGATCCTTGCATAACAAAAGTGGAGTTCCTCACCCAGTATATACTCCGAGCACTTTTCCTCTGACAAGATCAACTGGACAGCGCACCCCCCACCCGCAATCTCGTGTCCTAAAAATTTCGATTGGAACCTCGCGTGGAGTCTGTGCCACACGGTTTGGGCATTTTCTAGTAGTGTAGCAGGAACATTTCTGCATAAGGTCAGAATCAAGATGTCATCACATCGAGCGGAAACGTGAACCTTATTACATTCGATCACCTCAACTCCAGGGGGGACGTTGAACTTGAACAGGCCCTGCAAGCAGGCAACTCGTCAGGCTATCGTAGGAAAGGACGCGAAATGTCGAGCCTTATCATCATACGCAAATTCCCTCTCATCAAACTCATTCGTGATTTCTGATGGATCTTGACATCCACATACCCATGCATTGGTACAGCCGTTCTCGCAGTCGCAACTTACAACACAATCAGTCATATCACTGACTAGGACTTCCGGGGAGCTGATAGTTTATGAGAATGGGCGTAAATGCTGCTGCTAGTCGCACGTACTGGACATAGCAATATTCGCGATAAGTGAAACTTTCCAGGCCAGGCGGGATGTCTTCATCGTTTACATCATTGACAATTCTGACGGGAGCTGCACCAAAGCCCCTTGCCACGTTTGACCATTTCTCCTGTAACTTGGCACGACGATCTACGATGGGTGGTAAGGGGGATATTATGCGTCGGGGGAGGGGCTTCATTGGACGTTTCATAGGCTCCAGTGCTATGTCATTTACAGCAGGCGAAGCGGATGAAACCTTCGCAGTAGAGGAACGCTGGCGTGAAGATAGCGGGGTGCTTCCAGTGGAAGCCAATGTATTGCTTTTGTTTCGATCGGGGGAGAGGCCAACCGATGGCAATGGAGATGCTACACTCCTGCTCACCTGTTGACAAGAAGTAGTTAGGCAGACAAAATCAACGAAAATGACGGAGAACATTTACCGGAGAGGCTGGTACTGGTCTGTTGGATGTCGATTGCGCGGCATGATTTGATAATGCAGACACTGAAGCCGGCCTAGCACGAAGTCTTGCACGACTTCCAACGGCAGGTTCGTCGGAGTCGCCGTCACCATCGTCGCCTGGACACCGAATGTTAGCCCAACCAGCATACTTCCGCAAACCAACGCGTTGAGCTTCTGTATCCTTCTCTGCATAGCCGTGCCCTCTCTCGGCGTTAAGAGCGTCATGCCATTGCTGAGAGGGTTCGAGTGCTACTGGTATCTCCAAAGACTCCTTTGCCATTTCCAGCCAATTGTTTTCTCGGTTTTTGTTCCACTCTTCGATCATCTTCTCCATGTCGGGTTGGTGTTTTCCCCATGTCGTACTGGTGCCATCTTCTCGATGCCAGTCTGCCCACTTGATCTGTTGGATGCCACCGGGTAAATTGAGCCAAAGATGGAGGCGATCAATTCCTGTGCACGTACTTCATAGCTACAGTGGGTCAAACACACCCGAACAACGATTGAGATACTCCACGCACCGTTTCGCACCGAACGCGTCGATATCGTCGCTCACAATGCCCTTGACGGCCCATTGTGTATCTGGATCGTCTCCCCAATCCTCCTGAGGTGGGGGTGATGCCACCCATATTTTGTCTGGCATGTCAGCTTCTGGTTTGTACGCGCGAAGGGAGGAGGGTCATCATGAAGAGGGAGCGCGTCACATGTAGCGCAACGCATCGTGTGGACACCACTCAATTACTCACGAGTCATTCTCACTCAAGCTCACTAGGTCAGACGTGGGAATGTGGAGATTGCTGAATAACTACAGGGTGACAAACAAATAGTGCACGGCAATATACAATAAGACAAATTACGGGCCTCGGAATGGGGACGGATGCAAAAAGGTACGCTGTACAAGTGAGAAAGTACGCCGTACAAATGCAAGCAGACAAGCAAGAAAAGGTCTTTATAGATCTGTCTGTGGCATGGAACGGAAAAGCGAGAGGAGCGAGATGGGAAATGCGGGTGTGCAAAATACAATGCGTGATGGATGGTAATATATTCGAGAATGCCGGGCCGACGAAGCCTAATAAACGATGATGATTAGCGGTTCGGATGGTGGTGGGGAGGTTAGTGAACAGGTGAGATGGCAAGAAGGCCGGAATCAGCATAGACAGGCATAGGTATAATCCCGCTCGACAGAAGCTGGGAGGGGTTTAATGATGCGATGCATTCGAGAGGGAGCGACTTGAGTTATCATAGACCTGACGGAGAGCCCGAAGCAAAATTTACATCCCGTAGGCGAACGACCTCTGGTAGGGGTCCGTGATGCCGATTGCAGGGAAAGAGTTCACACCCGCGTACGCAGAAACACCAGAGAACGAGCCCGCATGACTATGAGGCGGAGTCAATCCCGGACTGTGATTCGAAGATCCTTGCATCACATAGCCGTCAATCGGGTGTTGTAGAATCGACGCTCCATGCAGTTGGTTCTGTGTAAGAGAATTTTGCCCGCCGTACATGCCGTTAGGATTCGTGTATGCATCAGCGAGAGCAGCGGCCTGGTGCAACTGATGGGACATATGGCGACTAGAGCCATGAGTAGGACCCATACCCATGCCCTGATTGCCGATGGCCATAGTAACAATCTGTTGATTGTGGTGGAATCCAGCACTGTAACCGTCCATATGTTCTCGCTGCAACTTGTTTTGAATGCGCTTGCCGTACGGAGTGTTGCGGATGAGTGGGAGGACGGGGCGAATCCCCTCAACCAAGAGCGCTCGCTGACCTGGCTCTGCGTAATCCAGAGCAGTCTAACCGGAACGGTCGGCTCGACTCGCTTCTCAAGAGAAATTTGAACACGCACCTGCACACAATAGTTGCCGTAAGAGTCCCGCAGCAACTTTTCCAAACGCGTGCGGTTCAGGAGCTCCCCAATCAACATCTTGCGAGTCGAATGTTCTGCAACCCGGATGCACTACAGAACACTAAACACAAACTGCACCCGAACCTAATCAACACATACCTTTTCGATCACGTTGGAGCTGAACTTCTGCACAGACAGAGCACAGACGTTACCAGTGAACTGCCGAATGACAGCGTCGCTGAATCTGTTGTCATTGAGATCAAGGATGTACTGCACAACCTGGATGATGTGCACGATATATCAGGATCAAGTGCAGAACGATAAGCTAGGTACATACGTAGTTGCCATATGGGTCCTGGACGAGCGTGAGTGCGTTGAACGTGATCTCGTTGACCAGCTGGATACGCTGTTGATCCGAGGCGTGATCCACGCAGCGCTGTAGGACACAGCATCCGTGACGATGCGTGGCTACTTCAACACAGTTGGCGGCCACGGCATTATAGATAAACTTCACAAGATGAGTAAGCCAGCAGTCTTGGCGGACAGGGCAGATAGGCGTACCTGGTTATCCTCTGGTGCCAACTTGTTGAGGCACTTCTGGATGACGTGATTCCCGTTGAGGTCCTTGATAAGCACTACAACATGAAGGCTCAGAGCAACGATGATGGAATGGATCTGAGCATCGTATTTGAGGTCAGCCTGCCATCGTCTTGTAAGTGAAATAAGTGAAATCGAACTGGGATCAGACTTGCCTGTCTGCGCGTGGACAGGAAGTCAATCATCTTCTGAACTGCGCGGGTACCATGCATGTTGAGAGAGATGTTGACCAGATCTTGCGCGACCGACTCGCATATCACATTACGCTGGTCGTCCGTGGAGTATTCCAGGAGTTTCTGGCAGAGGTAGTTGCCGAATGGATCTGACCATGAATATTAGCGCTTTGCACCGAATGCGAATCAGGTATAAACATACCCGTCATGAGATCCGCAAAGTGACCAAAAGTCTCCCTAAAGATCATGTCACGGTGCTCCGGAATACCCTCCTCCAATTTCTTCTGGAGATAACGGCAACCATGCTGGTCCTTGCAGAGCGTGGGAATCTCACCAACCAGATCCTCTAAACGTGTACCCGCGAACCTGTTGACTGCAACGATGCCACAATACGTTAGACTTGATAACACAGTGTTCCAAGGTCGACATACACTCTCTGTCCATATCACCACGTTTATGTTTCGGACCGTGCAACCCATTCATCTTGCTATCCGCTCCGGCGGGCCTGCCGTTGATGGCCAACCCGTACCTCGAACCATGATGGTTGTACAACGCAGTCGATCCGGTGCCGGCGTTGACATTATTGATGCGACCGTTGGCCTCGAAGCCGTATGATTCATACCTGCCACTGTCCAGACCACCATTCAGGCCATAAACGGCGTCCACGCCATACTGCTGCTATCAATAAATCAAACCACGCGATTGAAACGAGATACAAAGGCACGCACGTCTTCCAAGCCCGACTGTATCGAGTTGAATGTGATAGGACTGCCGTCATACTGGCTCGCAGACATCCTCGACAGAGAAGGGTTCAGTTCGCTCTCGTCGCCCAAGCGTGAGGCACTCAGCATGCCGTTCAGACCTTGCGCGTCACCAGAGAGCGGAGTGCCCGGTGCCTTGGCTAGGTGCGAAGCAGAATTTGGTATTCCAGGGAGAGGCGTAGCAGGTACCGATCGCGCCGTGGTGATAGACAATGCATCAGCTATGCCTAGCGGTGACCCTCTGCGCGAAGCTGAAAGGCCTTGTGCGAGCCCTTGCACCTGCTGCAATAGGGGAGAGCCGGAAACAGAACCAGTACTAGCAGAAAGATCACCCAAGCCTGCAGACAGGCTCATGGCAGGGTTTGTGACGGTGCGTCGCTCAGTGCGCGAGTTCAATCCATCAACACGGCTATTACCGTTGAATTGGGGCCACTCGGATGGCTTTTCCCGTGTCTCCAGAGCACGCCCGACGAAGGACGGGCGGGGAGGGGTTTGTGAGAGGGGGGCAAGATCCAACGCTGCTGACGACGTGGAAAGCTGCAGAATGATCGATCAGATATGCACATTTCTTGATCACGACACCAACCTTGTTTGAGTAAGCATTCGGATACTTGTCCTCATCAGAAGTTGGCAAGTGGCGCATTGCGTCTAGTATGATCAGTCAGACCAATTGACTATTTCTCATCTGATAAACTCACTGTGCATCTCTTGGTCCAGCTGCTCGTCAAGCATCATACCAGCATTGAACGTAGTGGTAAAGTGCTGGTTGTCGGAGGATCCATAGCGGCCGCTGCTAGAGCGTAGAATAGACTGCGGGATCAAGCCTGATGAGGTGGAGACACGGTCCGCCCGTTCTGCAGCCAAAGCAAGACCCTGCAGATGGCCTGCAAGCTCCTCGTCGTGTTCACTGGCCGACGTGCGCCGACTGGCGGGCATGCTCTTGGCACCACCGGGACGGGCAAAGCTCTGGGTACCCATGTTGTTCGTCTGTATCTCCGGCGAGTGGTTGACGGATGGCGCGTACGTGACGGACTTACGCTTGTCCGACGCAGCAGATCCGACAGCCTTTGACAGGACTTCCGCGTCCATTGACAGGTGAGACAAACCAGAACCGGCTGATAACTCCTCATGAAGCACAGCGTTTACGCGCGGAGGCGTGGTAGGTGCCGAAACGGCCAAATGCTGATTTGGGTCCAGCGGAATGGTGAGGAGCTCGCGAGCCTGCTTCTGCTCAAGAGCACGCATCTGATCCTCGAACATTCTGCGCTGCAAGGCGCGCTGCCGTTCGTGCTCCATGCGTTTCATGGTGCGCTGAGACGATAGTGACCGTCAACGGCTGGCACGTGGAAGGACAAGAATGCGACATACAGCAGTCACGTCAGGTATATTACTGCCATATCTGGCGGCCTAGAGTGGTGGGCGAGGGTGAGTGCAACGGACGAAGCGATAGGCGCGAAACCACTCACCGAATCCGCCAGGTCAAGAAACGCAGGAGGAGCCTGCTTCTTGTCATCAGAGGACGGGCGACTATCGGCAGGGGATGTAGGAGCTTCCAAAGTAGTACTCATAGTGGTTGAAGATACGTGGCGAATACTTTTGATCCGGGGCGGTGAACGACAGAGAACAGATTGAGTAAACGGTTAGAATAGAGAGTGCGAAAGCCTAATTGCACAATGGTAATCCTGGGGTGGGGAATGTGTCGCGAGATGAGACGGAGACGTAAAACGAGATATTGTGGGTCGATATACCTGCCAGCTGATTTTAAGCCCGTCTATAACGACTGATGGTGATACACTTGGCTGAAGGGCTGGTGGGGGTTGCGATGAACAGCTGCGAGGGTGAGGAAGAGATCAAGAGGCCAACCTTGGGAATTTTGATAGCGAGAGGACGAATGAGAGCAGCGTCGAGAGGATATTAGCGGTAGTACACGGCGTTCTGGAGAGAGCACTGGCGAACTCTAATAAATGCGTGCGGACACCCTCTTTTTTAAACCTCCGACTACTACTATACGCGGCCGGGCCCGTGCTAGCGGAGGTCGCCCCTTGAAACGTGGCTGAATATGCCTTTCCCGTCACTGTACCTCCCGCTTCCCCGCCGGGTCCTCTCGATTTCTTCGCCTTTTGCGACCCGTTTATTCGCCTCAGCCCGGTGAAATTTTTCTTACACTGTGTGTATTCGGCGGCCCCGGCTCCAGCTTTTCGGATCCGGCACGCTGCGGTCGCGGTAAACCTTTTAGGATGCCCGATCATGGGTAAAACATGGCCGCGTCCTTACACCTAATATCCTTTTCCTTTCGAATTTCTGCGTCGGCTGTCAATTGCATCTCACAGAGCCTTCCCCCAGCGTCGCCATGCAAACGCTCTCCAATCTAGGCAAGTATTACGGTAATCCGCCCGCCCTGGCCGTGAAAGTAGGTGTAGGTCCAAGCGTGCAGTCGTGCCGTAATCCAGACCAGTCTCGCATACAAACGAATGTCTAGCTGCACATTGCAGACTCGCCACTGCTATACGTCGATGCCGTATATGCACTTGCAGGCCGCATCAACTGTCCGACACGAGGTAATTCCCAATGTTTGTGCGACCACAAGCGACGATTGGCGCATTCCGCGGCACTGGCGGGACAATTCGAGTTCCCGACTGCGAAGATTGCCGACAGCCCACTAAATTACTCAGATTTACCGTGGTCAGATCAACGGAAGCCAGCTGGGATCGTCCATGTCCTGGAAGCATAGCGAGACGAGATTTTGCACCTCTTGTGCACAAGCATCGACACCATACTTCCACCAACATGCAATAACTTGGCATGCGTGAAACATACTGCCCAGCGCAGAGAGCATCATCCCAGGGCAGACACATAAATTCAATTGACTCCGTGTGTCCGTACAGCTGGCACTGCCGCGGGAGGACGTACAGTCTCGTCCACCTTCTCGAAGTCATGAGTGTCCTCCAAGTGAGTATGGCCATCCCCACTAACCTCCATCTTCCCCTCGTCGTCTACGAGGCCAGGTCGGATGGTCCTCCGGTCATCCTCATCATCCCCGGTCGCCTCGGACTCTGCCTGTGCTTCTCCGTTCGATGTGGGAGGTGCACTACCAGACGCGTCTTGCGCGCCTTCCGATGCCTCGGGCACAGACTTGACGGTCGGTCTAGTTGTAGATGGGTAACGCGAGCGAAGGAAGCCGGTGAATGGTGCAAGGTCGATAAATGCGCGGGATTTACGCGCGGTACCGGTATCCGGGATAGACGTCGTAGGGGTGGTGGAGCCGCTAGCGGGTGGAGAGTCGTGCTCAGCGACTGGAACGGTGGTGTTGATAGATGGTAGGCCGTCGGGCTGTGTCTGAGATGCAGTCTCGGACGGCAGCGTGGACGGAGTGAGGATGGGCGACTGTAAGGACGAAATCGAGACTGACGACGATGCGACTGTTAGGCGCGATCTAGGACAATGCTCTTAAAAAACACGTAAGACGTAGATCAAATGTTGCACTCACGGTAGACGCGATGTCTCGTTGTCAGTAAGCGTCAGCAGAAGATTTTTCAGGTTAGGCAGAGTATGCCGCATATCAAGCGCTCGTAAATCCCGGTCACCCATCAGCTACGCAATCCTTCAATGAACAATCAGGAAACAAGATCGAGCAACCTACCATCTCAATATCTTTGTTCAACAGAAAAACGCCATACTCGAACCGGTATGTATCCACACTCCTCGAGAACAGGGGAAACCTGAAACTATCGGTGAGAAACATAAAGATGCGTGGCGGTAAGACTCACATTCTGGGCCCCACCATAGCAGATATGCCATCTTTGATGAGGCTCCTGCTCCCCACACACGTCACAGGATACACAAGGCCCTTGCCCATGTATGCCGCAAGTAACTGCACAACCTGGGCGGCAAACCCGAGTGCAGTTGCAACCGCGTCCTCCGTCACCTCTTTGTGTGAAAGGAGCGATAGAGGTGGTGCCGGATCTGTGGCAGCGAGTGGTATTGGCAGGGGTACGTCAAGGATAGTGAACAGCAGATCTGGCGGCGAAACAAGCTCAATAGGAAATATGTTCGCAAGCGTCGTGATGAGTATGCTGCGCATAGGACTGAGATTGCTTCGAAGGGACGACAGCCATTCCCTAGAAAGAAGATCAGCCTATTGCAGGAAGGAAAGACTACTGGCATGCGCTTGCCTTTCTTCTGCAAGCTCCAATTCCCGCTCAGCCTCTTCCTTCGTGAACTGGGCATGTGACTGTCGAGCCAATGTAAGCAGTTCCCGACGACTTCGGAGGTCCTCCCTGAGAGCAGCGATTCGGTTCCTCGCTGAAAGGGAGTCATTGATCGGTTGTCGTCGACACCCCGATTAGATCGAATGGCACTCACCTCTGTCCGATTCAGTATCTACTGCTCGGGTCTCCTCGTTCAGTTGAGCCACCCAAGCCGTGCGCTCGGAAACTTCGCGGGTCTTTCAGTCAATAAGCTTGAGGCTCACACATGTCAAACAAAAGTAGCCATACAACGCACGCCGAAGCGGGCGAAAAACACAGAAGCTAAGCAAATAAGAGAGATGCGACTTACTGCATAAATCGCACCACCCTTAAGTACCAATCTGTTGATTGGTCGCACGATGCCCGAAAGTGACTCCTGTGTGTCACTGATGCATGTCTGAAGGTTAATGACTCTGACAACAGAATATCGTCAGTCCCCTCAAGAAGTGATAGGGGATAGATACTTGAACAGTGAGAAGGATACTGCGCGTACTTCAGGAGATCTTGCCATCCAGCAGAGGGAACTTCTCTCCTGCGTCTAAATACGCTCGGCTCCTCTATCACAAGTATATTTTGCTCCATCTTCTCTACCAACCTCCTCGCTGTCTCGTCGGAAGTTATGATACCTCCGGCACTCGCAATATTCCGAACATCAGTTTCTGGATCGGAATTGTAACCAGTAGAAGACGTAGGCAGCGGAGACGGTATGCCCTTATTCAGTGAAGGCGCAGGAAGGTAGAACGTCTGGCCTGGGGGTGAAAGAGTGACAAGAAGGGTATTGGATGGAAGGTGTGACGGGTGGGCCACGAACTACAAACGAGGATAGTCAGACAAGATAGCGGAGGTGATGAGAGAAGTTATACGAATACTACTTACATCCTCGGGTAGGGGAACTAGGTTATCCAGTTCAAAGTCCCACCCCTCCAACACTTTCCACTCTGACAGTTCACCCTCTCTCTCCTTCTCCCTTCCCTTTCCCTTGACATCCGATGGCTTCAGTGGTGTTGACCCTCTGTGTGCCTTGACCGGACTACTTTCGGCCACCCGCTCTTTGTTCTTACCTCGTCGCTCTCTGCCGGAACACTCGTCGTTCGTTCCCGTTTGAGCAGATGACCATCCAGGCCCACTCCCGACACGTCCCCATACCTCTATATGCATCCTCGTCCCACTGACATCTGCGCTTGAGGCAAATTCAAAACCAGATCGCGCATCGAGCTGAAAATATGGGTTGGTGGAAGGTCTATGGATGGGAGAAAGATAGTCCGGTGCGGGCCACGCGTGCTCTTGTGAGGATAGAGCATAGCCCGGTAACCGTGAGTGTTCGGTCTTCGGTAGAAGTGAGGTAAGGGGAGGTGGGATGGGAGAACGCTGTCTTTGCGACGGTGGCGAAGACGGTGTCTTGAGCGCCCTCCCGTTCGGAAATGATACAGATGAAGCCTTCGAGTGAGAGCTGGATGCGCCATTCCGCAGGTTCGATGAAGACAGAGTTACACTCCGTTTACTCGGAGATAGCGAGCTTGACGAAGCGGAGACGGTATTTCGTCGGAGCGCCGCCGAATCCGGTTTGCGAGTCGGGCATGCAACCCGTTCTCGACTTGACGACGACTTCAAACTTGGTGTGGGCGATCTAGAGGAAAAGTTTTCATGATGATCGGCTTGTCCTTGATGTGCACCATCCAACGCATGTGCAACCGGAGCGGTCGGAAGACGGATGGTGATGAAAGTCTCGACAAGGCGGGACTGCAAGACCTTTTCCAAGCCGGTTTGCGAAGTATCTCGCAACAGTCCGGAAAAGCTAGCAGATTTGGAAGTCCCTGGCTCACCTGAAATGGCTGGAGAGGTGAAGCTCGCACGCGCAGCCGAAGATGCGACAGATATCGTGCGTGGACGGTGGAACGGTCGCACCGTCGGCACTGCTGCAGTCACAGAGTATCGTCTTCCAAGCGAGGGGCTAGAAGGAGAGCTCAGTCCACTGGACATACTCGCCCTCGAAGTCGTCCTCTTTCTGACGCCGAACTCGGTAGTATGGTCTGTCTCATGCTGCCCTACCTCTGCTTCAATTCTCACGGACGACAAGGTAGTGCTAGATGCAGTCGAAAACCTCCTTCCGTGTTTGCGACCTATCGTGACGTCGAGGTCGTCGGTTAAATGACCATGAGAAGTGAATTGCGGCTGTTCTGAAGGCTGCTTCAGAGCAGAAGCAAAGGCATCGCGGACAGGGAAAGGCGTTAAATTGCGGACTTGAATCGACGAAACATGTCGAATTCGACGCTACGTGATGATAGCAAAAAGGTTAGGTCACGCATGTAGGATGCTGGGGACGTGCTGGGGACGTCAGGGACTCAACTGGTGTCAATGATAAACTGGCCTCGTCAAGGTGTAAGTCAGAATGGTTCCAAACGCTTTCCGGAGAGCCATGCATGATCTTGCCGCTTTGTTAGAGTCAAGATGTGGATACGAACGACTGCGATCGCTGCAACGGTTGTGGCAGTGCCAACACGCCCCAAGTGCATGCACAGAGACTTAAGCAGAACTAGAATAATCTAGACGAGAAGTAGAGTAATGTGTCGATGTGGGTGGTGTCGTCGCAGGGAGTCGACCGGGTATCGTGGAGGACATCCAAAAGTGTTGGCTGTGAGTGAGAGAACTGCTCCATGCGCGTCCGACGGCTTGAACCGCCACCACTCCCTCGTTGTCCCTGTCGCTCCTGCGCACTAAGTACCAGCGATCTCATTCAGGCTGTGCTGTACGATAAAGAGCCAGTACTTGGATGCTTTAGACGCCACATCTTAATATGCCGCCAAAAGGTCATGCTCGCAAGGCATCCAGTGCAAAGGATGCACCTGCTTCAATCAAAGCCGCCAAACATGCAGCTATGCCACCCCCTCCTGTACCCCCACCACCTCTCGCGATTCTAGAGGCTGAGATGAATGCGCTTTCATCGTGTCTGCGGGCGAGTTTTTCCGAATTAATGTACGTCCTTTTCAGCTGACTGGCCTCTTGGTTAGAATGCTACGGTGAAGACTGGCCAAATCTATGGCTTCTATGCCGATGTCAAGAGACTGTACGTTGCTTAGGTGAATTGTTGGGCAAGGACGAGACTGAATATGTTCTTAGTGGCGTACATAAGTACGCACCATACCCACCCAGCTCTCTTACCTCGGGTCTTGGCCGTGAGATTGAGAAGTATGATCAGCTGTGCGATGCCATGGAATCACATCTAGTGAGTATTGCATTTCAGTTCCATCCTACTCCGGTTAAGGCGTTCTAGCTCCGTGCGATCACTGTCCTACGACGCGACATATCTCGCGAAGAGCGACGGATTGAAGCTGAGGAGGCAGCGGCGTCAGCTGCGAAGAAAGCCCCTCCACCTGTGGAAGACGTTTTCGTGCCGTCCGCGTCGACGCCGCCCGGCTCGCCTTCCCCCAGCTTAGAGCAATCTTTAGTCGCGTCGAAACTCGGGCTATCTGCGACTCCTCAGTCGGCGAAGCCCATCTCTGCGCGCAGACAATCTACCATCTCTCTCTCCTCACTACAGCGCCCCGTGTTTCCCCACAAGCTCGATCTATCTGCTGCGGCTCTCAGGATGAATCCGGAAGAGATTCTCCGCAGCGGGCTATCTTCCCCTGTTACTCTCGCGCCTAAGTCGTCGGCGCGTGCTCTTCCTCCAGACCTTCTTGTCGCTGCGCTCAGCGACGCGTCGGGCGGACATATTGACATCGACCTTACTGCAGATATGGACATGCAGCCCGTTGGGCAACAATCCGAGACGGACCCTGCACTGGGGAGCTCAGCAGACAAACCAATTGAACTGGACCTCGACATGGACATGGACCTGTTCACTGGCCCTGCTGATGTCGGCACCGGCGAGAGTGGGTCCAATCTGTTGTATCAGCCTGGCGCTCCGGGAACAGTCGCCGGCCGTGCTCAGGCTCAATCTGACGACATGAAAAAGGAGGACGAGATTGGGATGGATCTACTTGACGCATTTACTTCTGCGGGTGCCTCCGGGGATGGAGGTGATTTATTCGCCTCCTTAGACGGGCCTTCGGAGACCACGAACACCAGTGGCATGGAACAGCTTGCCTCCACCCCGCGGACAGTGGGCGCAATTGCGACCCCGTCCCCTGGATCCATCCTTGCGAGCTTTGGAACCTCGGGACATGCTGATATTTCCTCATCAATGTCTTCGCTTCCTAATGGACACGAGACCTCATTTGATCTCAATAATATCGATCTGTTGTCTTCCCATCTGGACCCTGGATTTTTCGACGAACATGGCACAGGTCCGGACATGAGCATGATGGAGATGGCGCATCTTTTCAGTATGGATACCATTGAGACAGAGGTAGGTGGTCACCTTGATTAAAGATTATTTTGTGGGACTTACCACTACATCCCAAACAAGAAAACGGCCAGTTCTTCACAAGGTGCTGGTGGAAGCACATGATAGGAGATGCCCTGACACTGAATGCTGTATACCGTATCGTGTATATTATTATTAAGATAGACATTTGTACGAACAGCACATAGCGTTCAGGATCTTCGAGTTTGCCGCCCCGCCTATGAGATGGCTTGATCACGAGCAGTTGCACTCACGCACGTCCACCCTTCTTCTTCTTGTTCACCACCTTGAACCCGCCCCACTCGTTCTGCGCCGGCTTTGGCTGCGCTTTCACCACTTCCGCGATGGACGGGGTCTTACCGGCGGCACCCACAGATGAGGCCCCCTTCGGACGCGACGATGCGTCTGCTTTGCGCTTGCTCACAAATTCTGACGCGAACCGACGGCCGTCGAGAGTGGTGCTGCTAGCATAGATGAGATCGGAGATGATCTCTACCGTGGAGGAATCAGGATCAAGCGGGAATGACAGCAGCATCGACGTGATTTCCTCATCTGAGAGCCAAAGATAGTGTTAGATCGATTAGCGTTGGGGCCACAGAACAACAACGTACAGCTAACACTGCCGTTCAGTCCCTTCAACGAGTCACTTAGCCACCTCAAAAATTCCTGCGACGGTGGTGACGGTGTTTCGTCGGCTTTCGATGACGCACGATTGATTGGAACGGGAGCTCGAGGAGAGGACGTAGCGGGTACTGTTGCTCGAATAGTCAAGGGCGGCGTAGCGACTACTGCAGCTGAAGTGCTAGGAACGACCTTGGTAGAAGCCGAGGTCGAAGCTGGAGGACGAACAGCAGCAGGCGTTACACTAGACGTCTTCCCACCAGTGCCCACTGTGGTCCAAGCTCCGCCAGATGGCTGAGCAGATGAAGAAGGCTGGACGCAAATCAGTAATAGGAGGTCAGTTACGCGATTGGACTCACCTTATTGGTTGTCTCTGCATAGGCTCTCCTCGCCGCGGCGGCAACCGTCTCCTTCTCCTTCACAGCCTGCTTCTTCCGCTTCTCTTCCTCCTCTTGGATCTCCTTCATGGTCTTCTTTGCTACGGGTGTCTTTGGTGTATTCGTCCAAACAGGCACATTGGACGAGCTGGAGAAACCAGTAGATTCCTTGGCAGCAGTAGGAGTTAGACGAGCCGTTCCAGCTTGTGACGTCGGCAAGCCCCAGGAGGTCGTGAACGTCAGGAACTCTTCAGTCTGCGAAGGAGTTCCAGCAGCGGCACGAGCAGCACGCTCGCGTTCTCTTTCAGCGGCCTTGCGCGCTTCGTACTTCTTTGTCTCTGCTTCCTGGATTTCCCGCAGACTCGAAGCAACACCAGAAGGTTTTGATTTCTTGTCATCTTCCATAGACCATGCTGGCTTATGTTCAACAGGCTGTCCTGGCGAAGGTGGCTGTACAGCGGTAGACGGAGCAGTAGTTTTAGGAGCTGGCGCTATTGCAGTAGACTGTGTCGGGGCAGAAGCCTTGCGACTGGGTTTCGGTGGGCGGGAAGGCTCAGCTGGAGTCAAGGGAGTAGTCGATGGCGCTGCCGTCGTGGATTGCGACTGCGCATCACGAAACGCTTCGACGATCGTCTCACGCTGTTGAGAATTAACATCGATCGGAACATTGGGTGCGTGACGCTGGGTAGTATCCTGTTGCTGCTGATTGTGTTGTCCGAGATTCGCAACGGTAAGATCGTTGGGATCTCCTTTCCACCCGTCGCTGACAACGCCCTGAGAGGCAGCATACCATGGTGGTTGATTCGTCTGCAGAGCGCGGTTGAAAGGAGTTTGAGGGAGTGTGGGTACACTGGAGATAACAGTGTTGCTGGCTGTGGGAAAGGTCGGGTCGAAGGGACCTGGCCGACGGAATGCTGGAGGCTCCTGTGGAGCCCAATTTGACTGGGAGCCGGCGTAGGCAGATGGTGCGAAAGAACGTGGGAGCTGCTGGTTGAGAGGCATGGCGTGCAGAGAGGCTTCAGCCTGTCGATCCGACATAGCTTGCAAAGAGTGACCATCCGGTGGCAATGAATATTGAAGAGAGGTATTTCGCGGAAATGACTGGCCATTTGATTGGAAAGAGGAAGCGTTTCCATTGGCGTATGGGCCTCCGAGGCTAACACCTAAGTGAGAATCGGATCTGTCAATCAACGCAGCCCCGTCGAACACATCACGATTCATCGTGCGCGACTGGTTAGTGAATCCACCAATGGTTCCAAATTCGCCGTTAGTGAAGCTCATGGACAAATGTCCACCAATGGCATTCTTCTCATAGTTTCCATTCGATGAAGACCCGCCATCGGCTGTAGAGGCACCGTAGCTGGAGCTGAAAGGACCGACAGAATCAGCAGAACTAGTAGTTATGCCATCCATGCCTGAATATTTGCGCAAGAATCAATATTGGGAAAACAACTGCCAACGCAACACCCACCACCAAAACCAAGTCCATCAGCCACTCTTCCAGGTGTGAGGTTCGCGTAGGATGTTTGATCAGCTAACGTTGGATCGAAGGTATCATTCAATGTCGCTCGCCTCCGGACCATTGGGTCGGCGGCGAATCCTGCTATTAATGATCCCGCTGAGGCATCAGAATAGAGATGGTCCGTTGTGCGCCCGTCAAAGGAATTTGGGTCGGGGGAGTTAATCAGGAATCTTGCCGCACCAAAAGAGGACGCAGGCGAGGCAGACGCACTATTGGGTCCACTGTGCATAAACGAGTCTAGTGTTGAGCCTCGCCGGGACATAGTAGGGACAGGCTGATAAGGTGAACTTCGGTCTCTATCCGGGACTGGACCTTCAAGTAGAGGATCTGGACGACGGGGAAGGCCAGGAGGAGGGACCGAACTTATAGCGGGTGTAAGGAATATGGGACTACTCCCAGCGCCACGCAACATCTCGCCCACTGACATCCACTCTGAGTCTAGATGTGTACGCTTCATGAGGAGATTGGGTGAGAAGTAACCTTCATCATGCCAACGCTGCATAAGATCCGCACGGAACGGCCCTGATAACATATATGAGATGGCGGAAAACCAGTGTGAAAGGGCGACTCTGAACCTTGTATTTGACCCTGAGGATCCAGATAGGACCACTCAACACTGGTTAAATCCGTGAGGCCTAGAGGAGGCTTTGACATCATCGGGTCTTCAGTGATCCCAACGCCATTGGCTACACCTCCATCACCTTGACCTGCCAGAGATAGAGATGCCATACTCCCGCTAACGTTGTCCGCGGAAACCGAACCCCGACCTGTAGTGGCTATTGGAGGATCGGGACGTGGGCTCGGTGTAGGTTGAGCAGCTGCATTATCACCACCACGAAGGTGTTCTGGACTGGGAGGAGCACCTCCTTCCTCTTCTTCCTTGATGTAAGATTCATTGGAATCACGTCCAGCATCGCTCGTGTCCCTCTCTGGACGTCCGGATGATGTTCCGCCAGGCTTTGCCAAGGCGTCGGAAGCTCTACGCCTTGACGACCATGACTCACTCAGTACACCATCGAAACCAAGAGTCTGTCCGATACGAGTCCTAGGAGAAGGGAGTCCAGTTTCGCGCGGCGAAGCCAAAGGCCCTTGCATGGAAGATAAGGATAATTTTCTGGGAATTGTGAGGGGTTGCGCTTCTGCTCGCGGTTGTTTAGGTTGTATCCAGAGAGTACGACGAGAACTCACCTGTACTATCCCGCCTTCTGCCCACGAATCCGCCCAGACGTTCACGCATGGGGCTACCAGCTCCAGACGTTGTATGGTTAAGTTTCGGGCGATCTCCGAGAGAAGGGGTGGCGAGAGGAGACAAGTAGTCTGTAGATTGACGTCGGCGGATCTCAGAATTCAGCGATCCCGCGAAAATCTGCACGTTCACGGCGATGAGTTCACGCCGTGACCGGAAACATACGGAAAGCGGTGATTGACCTTCTTCTCCACCTCGCCCATTTCCTTGAGCCCAATAGGATCGCAGCCCACCTCACGAACAATCCCCTCCCACCTCTCCACCTCTAGGCCCAAGCCACCTTTGCCACCACCCTCCTTATAGATGCGGAGCAATTCTTCCTTAGAATATCGGAAGGGATGAACGACGTCGCGTCGTTCCGGCTGGGGGTTAGCAGTAGGAGTGACCAGCGCAGAGTATGTAGACGCTCCAGGAGGTACAGGCGAGCTCGCGAGAGGTGGGGACGGCGCAGGACGGGAACCTTGCTTCGTGCGCATCCACTCTGGACCAAAGTGCATCATGGTGGTGGTCATTTTGGTGACGACAAGTTTTGCGAAAGGTCGATGTGATTGACACAAATGCGGCGTAAAATGATCGCTCAGTTAGCTGGCGGCGCGTACGAGTAGAGGAGAATATGTGAAAGTAGCGATCACTAGACCTGACCCCAATTGTAACCAGAGAATCTACACGCGGCATGACTAACCTCAGGGCCGGCGCGCCGCCGCCCCGCAAAGTCCATCTCCTCATTTTCTACACGTTTTGACGGGAGAGTGCTGCAACCCGCAACATGCAGTGACATCGACACAGGTGAGACGCCCTTGCAATGACATTATCAAAATATGTCAAAAAATATGTACACTCCGTCCCATCGCTCTAGGAATATACTCGCCATTTGCTTACAGGAATTGCTGCAACCACGAGGTAAGTTGAATGATCGATGATGCATTAGGCGAGCGAAACGCACCTTGGAGTCTACGCGCTGTGGGGATCATGTAGGAGATAACGGATAACAGGCCCAAACCTAGACAAATGCCCGAGACAATGTAGTAGCCATCCTGTTCGGTGACACATTCCCCTCCTAGTTCGGCACATGATGTCTTCCCGTGTTCAGAAACACACTCGGCCGCTATAAGGGCAATGAGCAGACATCCTAAGAATCACGGAACAATCATGTACAAACCTTTGACAGATAAGTCATGACCAATTTTACACGTCGCGATACTGAAGAAATCGACCCCTGCACGGCACGGCCATTCAGTCATGAACCTAAAATAGACAGAACCGACATACCCTTGAGAACGAAGAACTTTGGCCACGTTCCACCGAGGTTGGAGAAAGTATTCAAGAGCTACATTGACGGTCAAGCGCGAAGCCAGCGTGCATGGAAGATGGCACATACGGTCATGTATGTTCCACCAACAACTGGGTCTGAAATGCGGGTATGGAACGCGGAGATACCGCCGAATTGAATCGTACTGGAGAAGGTCGGGACATTTACTAGGACTCGCGTTGTCAAGGACGGTCAACTTACGATGAGAACGAACCCGCTACGGTCTGTACAATCAGCACTATGAAGAAGCCAGTGGAGATTGGTGGTTTGGGGAAATAATACACGATTAGTGTGGCCGTGAGAGTCAGAGTCAAGCGGGGCCAATAAGCATACGTCCACGCTCGCAGAGGCTTTTCACCACGAGACCATCTTCCGGCGAGCCAACCTCCAAATATTTGGAACGGGAAGTCTATGAGGACGGTAACAGCCAGGTCTTCCCGACCCAGACCTTTCTCCACCATCTTGAGTTGGGAGACAGCATCGTTTGCTTGGAAGCCAATCTTAGCAAATAAGTGCACAATCAATAGAGTCTGCACGTCTACACAGCAAATTAAGCAAGGAAACATAACTGAAAATAGGTCAACGTACGTCGCAATTTACAGATTGTCCACATGTCCAAGTAGACTGACTTTATGCTGATGTCCTCGTCAGAAGTCTCTTTGCCCTGGTCCATTGATAAAGATCTCAGTGTAGCATGTATATTGGACCCTGGGACAATCACTTGCCTCTCTCTTGAATAATAGCCAGATTGTGACCAGAAATGAGGCTGCACTGCAAAACAAGAGGTAGCCGCTCAAAGTCAACCGGGGAATATGCCATTTCTCGCTGCAAATAATTAAGCGAATTTGATAAGCCAGGTAAACAATTACAACGCACGCGAAAGCCTCGCTGTTTAAAGCAAGGAAGACAGTATATGACAGTAGGTACCCTGAATTGAGACCTATTGTCTGGCAAGTGGCCGCGTAAGGTAGGTTCTCTTCAGAGAGCAGGGTCAGAGCCCAGCCTGACAATTGCATCGTCAACATGGAGACATCGAAACTGAGTTCCTAGCCTTTCCCTCACCGTCCACCGCAATGTCTGCATTGCCAAGTCAGTACGAATATTGCGATGTCGAGAGAAGAGGGTGAACCTTGTGTTGCAGAAAAGAGCACGAGGCCGGTGAACGCCGCCGTCAACTCGTATAGATGTTCTGCGGGCTGCGACGAAATCAACGGGGCCCGTCAACGATCCCAGAGAAAAGAAGACCGACGTGTTCCATCATCTCTTCGGCCCGGAATGAGAGCGCGAGCATTATGGTTCCAATAATTAGTTGCATGGGTATGATCCAGGACTTGCGACGACCGAAGGAACGGAAGAACATCGAATCAACGATGGGTGACCATAATAGCTTGAGAGAATATGGATAGCTCGACAAGGAAAACACAGCAAGTTGCGAATAAGATAAATGTTCACGTAGAATGAATGGTATCGACCCTGTACCGCTTGGATGAGTGAGGGTGAACAAGGTCTATACGATCCCATACCTAGAGCAAGTCCTAACTGCATGTATCGTGTGAGCGAACATGATGACGGGAAAGAGCATCAAACTCACGGGAAATCCTTGTATTAGATCTTTCCAACGCGTTTAGTGACACATATGCAAAGAAGAGAAGTGGCAGTCTCACAAAGAATGACTAGCAACACCATCGCACTCGTGTCTTGCACAGGATGTTTCACACTAAGCAGTGATTCCCCAACCGCGACGCCATTCCCCGCCTCCCGCCGCTCATCTTCATCCAGTAGACTCAACTCAACTTCATCTAGTTGCCCGTCTGACGGTGTCCACCTATGATGGCCACTTCGCGGCGTCTTCGGCGTGCGCGGCAGAATTTGGATGCTCTCCAAGGATGTGGAGAGAGCTTTGGGGGGCATTTCCTCGTGGTCGTCTGTATGTGAGTTGTCTTGTTGAACCCTCTGGCGCCGCCTGGGATGATGGGGGGGATCGTTTTGATGAGTAGTCATGCAATCAAGTACTGTAGTGAAACGACCTATAGGTTCAGTCACGCGTCAGAGGCCTCGCGAACTGAACCCGCTTCGGCGCTTAAGCGTTTGTAACGTGTCACGAAAGAGGATGTACGTGGCGGGCGCCTGCGCCTGAGTCACAGGTCACTCCTAAGATAGACCCAGTTCAAACCCGACCACTATCACGTGACCCATTTTGTCACGCTTACATTCTTTTGGCGGACGAGAAGGAAAGAATTTCTTATTTCTCAAGCATCATCACCTTCAAGGTAAAAGTAGGACCACAATCTTATTAAGAATATTTTGCTTCAAATAATTGTGGTCTCCGACTTTTGAGAAATCTCACACACTGAGAGAAATAAGATAAAATTTTACAATATGGACATGTTAAGTAATTACCACATTTCTTGCCTGTGGCGACACGATCCTTCTCCACTTTCATGGCGAAATGAAAGCTCGCGCACCGGCGCTCTATTGCAAACCTCGGGAACCATGCAAAAAAAAGAGTGTGCCAAAGACAGGATAGTGAAAAGGAAAACAAAGAAAATGTGAGTAAGTTAGTGCAATCTAGGCTTACAATACTCACCATTACTACAGGAACCACCTTCCGAACTTCTCGCCCAGACCGCAGATAGTTGCGGGGATACATCACCTGCAGATAAGCAGTGCACGACATCACACAGTGCCAGCGCCAGGGCAATACCACCGAGCACCGGCACTGGCATGCATGGGCCACTTGCATTGGAACTCTCTGGCCACGAAGGTGTTGTGGAACAATATCAGATTCAAAATGCAGAGGACACTATGACTGTACCTGATAATGCCAGTGCATTCCCTACATCCAAATCACATCCCTACATACCTCCACCCACCATTGAAGATGCAAATTCTGCTTTAAGCGACATACTGGCATTGCTCCGGCCACGGCGGAAAAATGGAAAGGGAACAAAGCCATTTGATGGTGATGATTTCCTTCATCGGCGCATGGAGCAGATGAGAATGTTGCTGTGGTTCTATGTCAGTGGAGAGCCACCAGCCTGGATTGATGCATCATTCAAAGTTGCATATGCATACCAGAAAGGTGACTTCATTGCAAAGGCTTTGCGCACGTGGACACGATCATTCTTGGCTGACCGGCATAACCTTCCAACCAATCCATATGGGAAATGGAACAACTCAATGCTACAGAAGGGGGACCTAGCATCAGCAATCGGAAGACACCTGCAAAGTATTGGCAAATATGTTCGTGCTATGGATGTTATGGAGTTTGTTAACAGTGCGGAGACACAGAGTGAATTTGGACTCACAAAAGGTATTTGTCTCTCAACGGCCCAAATGTGGATGCATGCAATGGATTACCGCTGGCGCAAGACCCCACATGGACAATTTGTTGATGGACACGAGCGTGCAGACGTTGTCAATTACCGGCAGGAAATATTTCTGCCATTAATAGCCGAGCTGGAATATAACGCACGTCGTTGGAGCCGAGATGGTCTTGAGGACATTGATCAGAACGAACCTCGACCTCGTAATTGCCGTATGGTGTTTTGGTGGCATGATGAGTCAGTCTTCTATGCAAATGATCGTCGCTCAGTGCGTTGGGTGCACGAAACTGAAACCGCAGTGCCGCAGGCAAAGGGAGAAGGCGCATCAATCATGGCGGCAGACTTTGTCTCGGCAGACTATGGCTGGGGGCGCTCTAAAGATGGGACCAGATCAACCCGAATACTTTTCAAACCGGGAAAGAATAGAGAAGGCTACTTCACCAATGAACGTATCCTCGAGCACTGTACAATGTTGATGGACATAGCATCAAGAGACTATCCAGATGATGATCATGGTATAATACTCGACAATGCACCAACTCACCTGAAACGCGCTGACGATGCACTTTCCGCTCGCAAAATGCCCAAATTCCCACCAAAACCTGGCGCTCCAAACTTTGGTGTTATGACAAATGTTATTGGCGAGAATGGCAAACCTGTATATGGCACTGATGGGAAGATCCTCAAACGATGGATGCGAATGACAGAAGGAAAGTTTGCAGATGGCAGACCACAATCCTTGTACTTCCCACCTGGTCACGAGCGCGAGGGACTCTTCAAGGGTATGGCAAATATCTTGGAAGAACGTGGCTACAAGGGTGTTCAAAATTTGAGATATGAATGCCCCAGTTTCAAATGCCCCCCTGGACAGGAAAGATGCTGCTGTAGAAGAATGCTGTACAACGAACAAGACTTTCGAGATGTCGAGACATTAGTGGAGACTCACTGCAAAGCTCGTGGTTTCCATGTGATCTTTCTCCCGAAATTTCACTGTGAGCTCAATCCTATCGAACCTTGCTGGGGATTTGCAAAACGTGTATACCGCCAGTTCCCGCCTTCAAAGTTGGAGGCCGATCTTGAGCGCAATGTGGTCAAGGCATTGGATGCAGTCCCACTCGAAAGCATGCGACGGTGCGTTCATCAATTCTGATGTGATGTGATGTGACTCAGATCACACACAGCTTCTACACTCGCGCGCAACGCTTCATGGATGCTTATCGCAAAGGTTTGAATGGTAAGCAAGCTGCATGGGCGAGCAAGAAATATCGCGGCCATCGCATCCTCCCAGAGAGCATCCTCGAGGAACTTGAAGCTGCAAAGATATAACTTATATTCATAGTTCAACTATCTTGTATACTTTCATTCTTGTGTATATTCACTATGTTTCTACCTCATACACTGAGAACGCTGACTCATTTTATGTCGACGCTCCTGCCGCTGTCGTGCGTTCAGTGCCTTTTCGGGACTTATCCAGGCGCTAAGTGGGTTGCACGTGAGGTGTCACAGTGTGACGATAGTGGTCGGGTTTGAACTGGGTCTATCTTACCTATAGACCACCACCACCACCACCACCACCGTTACTGTTACCGTTACCGCGCCGACACTACAGTCTGTTCACAGTGGCAATCCTGCCGTGACTTGTCCCGCTCACGGTGGGGTTCGACGCAGGGACTGCCGGTGCCAGAAAATATTAAAACCACATCAGCCCCTATTATTCGACATTTTGACGTTCACCATCTGATGCTTTTGCTTTATTCTTTTCTCTTCCTCAGTGCACTGTCAACTCGGTGCCATGTCCTCTGCATCCAGGAGACTCTGTCTCAATAGGGGCTCCGACTGATACACACCATTCTCGTGCGATTGCGATGCCTCTCAGTGCCGTTCTCTCCTCTCCTATCGATTTTTCGTCATTCAACTTTCCATCGACCCCAGTTGCATTGGAAGCAATCACCTTCGCAAGCCCTCTTGCAGTACAACATCATCTGTTGTGCACCTTGATTGGTGACCATCTGATGACTGGCCATCATTGGGAGGACATGGATCATGGATCATGAAGGATTGAAGTTGGAGCCAGTGAGTTTGTGAGGGCTGCATTTGTATTCATGCGATTTGTGCCGTGGATGACTGGGAAGAATGATGGACTTCATGGCTGCGGGACTTCGGAATGCTTACAGGTACTTTAAGGAGAACAGGTGCATAGCGAGCTTCAGCAGAGCTGCAGAAGGACTTTACTATTGCATTACTTTACTTTACTTTACCATACATACTTTAGCTGTAGCTGACGAGGTGCCTTTCTGTACCTAAGCCACGTAGTTGGCGTAGTCAGCTAATTTCATACATTTCCACTGAAGAAGAAAACATGTCACAGGTCACAAACTGTGAACCTAAGGGCCTGATCGGTAGCTCGAGCACCTAGCGCTATTTTGAAAATACACCTGCCAAACGACAAAAAACGGTTTTTTCCTTAAAATTGGCACGTGCTGAGAGTTTGTGACCTGACGTGACCAGTCTGGGTTGTGCCCAGAAGCACCACGGACCGATCTGTGCAAGTGGTGTAAAATTGTCATATTTAGCTAGTCTCCTGCTCAAAGTGCTCTCATCTCCCTGGCGACATGCACAGGCGACCCACGGGTGGCGGTGGGCGCCATGCTCGGAGGTTTCGGAGGGTCTTCCGACCTGTCACCACTCGTCACGTCCGGCCTTTTCCGCGGTTTCTCCTAGCGCAAACTCATAGACCTCGGGCTACCGATCAGGCCCTAAGGTCGTTTCACTACTCCCAGGCGAGTAAATGACGCGCTGCACGTTGCAACAAGTCCAGCCGAATGCCAATCTTCACCTATCCTGACGAGAACTCAGGCAAGTGAAATCAGTATGCTCTACAACGCTGAAACGTGCGTTACGACTCTTATATTCGTACCTATCTGTAGTCTGCCGACAGCTCGGGGATTAACGCCTCCGAATTGAATTGACCATCGCGGACTCAGATTAAAAGTTCGAGTTCTATATTGTCAAACGTCAGACAAGCAGAGAGTGGTACATTACATTACTGAGGGCGGTACATAATACATAAGACCGCTCCCAGAACCTTTGACCGTTTACTCAGAGGTAACCTCAGTTCCCGTGCAGTTGAGTCCAATCGGGCCGTCCGTGCCTGACCCACAATCTGCCGCAAACATGCATCAACATCTCAACGACACCGAGAAAAATAAGGGCGATCGCACTCATGTATCCCGAGCAACAAATATTATAGAAGCCCTCATAGGTCGGCGCTGCGCTATGACACCAGAGGAAAACCGTCAGGATAAGATCAACATATAGACAACGCGGAAACAGCGCACCAAGATACGCCAGCTTCGCATAGAGTGCCCACTAGAATGCTCTCGTCAGAGACGTACACGCCACAGTCGTTCCAGACGTAAGCATCGTCGCTGAACGGCTCCAGCTCCTGGCAACACAGGGAGAGTGGGCGGGGCGCGACGCATTGACTGGACGCGGACTGAGCCAGTGCGAGGGCTATGGGCAGTGAGAGGAGTGCAAAGGCGAACATACTGAGGATGTGTTCAGCGAGACTGCGTTCCCTGGTGAACGAGGAGAGGATTTATAGAACTGTGGCGAACGAAAACGCGCCCAGGTACGCACACGAACGGCTTCCAGGTTTCACAATGATCGAGGTAAAATCCCTTGAAGTACTTGACAGGGCTCTGCACAATGTGCCAGGCGTCAAAACCAGATAAGCGGTTCCAGATCGTACGCAAGCATGTTGGGTATCTCCCCAGAGCAAACAAGTGAACGTGGCGACAAGAATATAGACGCATGTTACACCAAGTCCAGTGGAGTGATATTCCTAATATCTCCTGCCGAGTAACTGTCCCAAAAGGCTCAAGCTAAGTGAAGTTAGCAATCTGAAACGAGCCTGACGTCTCCTGCTCGTACCTATCTGTGATCGAGTAACTATCCCGACAACTCGGGGTTAACGCCTAACATTATCAAGCCCATACTGGCTGATGACGGTAATAGATGGCACTTACCTCACACCCTCTGCGCTTCATAAGATTGCAGCAATTCAGGTAAACACTGTGCAGGTTCACATGCAGGCCAGCAAAAATACAGGGACTCGAGTACATTCGACCGACTTTATTGTAAGTGCACTGGACGTACGTACCACCTCCGATCGGAAGAAAGCAGACAGCGAAACAAGCGCGCACAATGACCGGGGCAATCACGGATGCCAGCGTCGTATCAATCCGCTCGTAGCTTGCCAATGCAATACAGTCAGAGACATGTCGGAAGGAAGCCAGGAGTGAATGAGTTAGTCCGACGGGAGCACATAGAAGAAGCTTCGAGTCAATCAATCATCACATGGGAGATCAGACCCGCCACTGGCAGTAGATAGGAACTGCCTATATTCGTCGCATGCCGGGAAGGGAGATCTACGAGCCGAGGGAGAAAATGCTCGAGCGTCCTAGATAGGATGTGCACTCACGGAAATGAAGGCTTCTCGTTCGTAACGCAGGCTTGAAGCAATAAGTGTAGCTTTGAGGCCCGAAGAGCGAGCTTCTTGCCTCCTTCAGCGCTCTTGTGCAACGACCGAGCACCCAAAACTTGAAAGGACGAACGCCCACCCACATGCCTAGCTGTATGCTTCAGCTGCCTAGAAGCCCACAGCACACCATCGAAGCACTGTGATTAGATTCCGAGTGGTGTAGTGGAGCGGCTTCACTCACGCCAAGCCTTCTTAGTACAGCCACTTGGTGAGGATCTTGGATCTGCTTCCGCCTATCCGCTTTGTGGCAGGCGCTGTGTGCTGCTACATAGCTGCATTACTTACCTGGGGGACGGATTTGTGTCTCTGTCGGCATCACTACAAGCGAGAAAGGGGACAATGGGCACGTGGCCGGCAAGCTCCGAGCTATTTTCGCGCAGCCACTGCGTCTATCAAGGCGACCACCACCCTGCTTCCGCCAGGCCCGCTGGGAACACTCCTTCGTGGCCACGCCCCGGATTCATACTGAGAGCTCTGCCACGCCTTTCTCTCGTTCAGTGGCCCGGCCTAACTCAGCGACGCCCCGCTTACTTTCTTCCTCTGACACCAGGCAGCGCCTGGTCCTCTTTTCCGTGTACCACTGCAGCCTATACTACTGACCTTCATCTCTTTTTTCTCGGTGCTCCGTCAAGATGTATCTCAAGTTCCCTCTCATGCTTTTCCTACTCCTACAGGCTGCTCCGTCCGACGCCAACCTCTTTTCGCGCGGCTCAGAGACCATTGTCCGCAGCGTCAACCATGTCCACCGCCATGCCCTCCGGCGCAGCGCTGGACTGGCGAAAGACATCCGCAGAGCACTGTCTGGTATTCTCGTAGAGCAGCAACCGGTCAGCTCGTCGTCGTATTGTGGATTGGGACTAGGGCTGTCGAACAATTCCATCGGCTCAGACTCAGGCTACGCGCCCGCAGCCAGCGCGAAGCCTTCCGCAACCTCCACCGGCTCGGCCGCGAGTCCTAGCGGTAGTGCTGCTGCCTCGTCGCCATGGAAGTTGACCCAGAACTACGTGCGTACTCAGCCAGTGAATGCGCGAAGCACCCTGACGTCCTACACAGCAAGGGAGCTCATTCTTCAACGGCTGGACGTTCTTCACCGCCGCGGACCCCACTAATGGGAACGTGCAATACGTCGACTCTGTGACCGCCGTACGTTGCCTTTTCAACGAGTTTATCTGAGATGAGCTGATTACGCCTCGATCATAGCAATCGGCGAATCTCACTGAGATCAACAGCGCGGGGAACGCTGTGATGCGCGTTGAGACGACGCCGACTGTCACGGGCAACCGCAAGAGCGTACGCATCACAACGAACTACACCTACACTGGTGCGCTCGTCGTCATGGACTCCGTGCACATGCCCACCGGATGCGGCACCTGGCCCGCATTCTGGAGCAACGGTGCGTCCTCCCTCCGTTACTGCTGGTCATCCTGAGACTGTTCCTGGGGCTACTGCTGACATGATACCGTAGGGCCGAACTGGCCTGCGGGTGGCGAGATCGACATCGTCGAGGGTGTGAATAGCTTCACGGTGAACCAGGCGACTATCCACACCAACCCAAACTGCAACCTACCCACGTCCAATAGCACGCTGCTTGGCATCTCTGGCACCGTAGTTGGCGGGACCAACTGCGCCGCGGCTCAGAGCGGCAACGCGGGCTGTGGCATCCGCTCCTCCCAGACGAACTCGTATGGCGCTGGCTTCAACGCCATCGGCGGCGGGGTGTACACGAGTGCGTGATCTCTATCCTCTCGCGTTTCTTACATGTCTGACTGGCGTTATGCTCGCAGTGCAATGGAATAATGATGGTATATCGGTGTGGTTCTTCCCGCGCAGCTCCATCCCATCCGACATCACTGCCGGTGCTCCCCAGCCAACGCAGTGGGGCCAGTCGCTCGCGTTCTGGCCCGCTACGGACTGCAACCCGCAGACGTTCTTCTACGACCATTCTGCGATCTTTGACACCACGCTCTGGTAGGTTAACCTGTACCATTCCAAGGTGGACACTCACCGATCTTGGATGTCTCAGCGGTGAATGGGCTGGCAACGTTTGGGGCGACACCGGTGTTCTCGGCCAGGAGCAGAGCTGCCAGCAGATGACGAGCACCGCGACTTGTGCACAGTACGTCCAGAACAACGGCGCCGCCTTCGCCGACGCTTGTACGTCTCCTCCCCTTGTACTGTTTTTCCGTCACTCACGCACCATCCGCTTCGCAGATTGGGAAGTCAAGAGCGTCAAGATATACCAGTACAGCTCATAGACGTGTTCTTCACGTACATCATTCACCGGATGTCATGACGCATATCGAATCTAAGACGTGCAGAGTTAACTCACGCGCATATACACAGATTTACGATATCTAACTAATGCGATGTAGTACATACTACGAGCCCTGTAGGGTATAGACGGTCAATACATATCGATTATTTGTACTGCACACGTTGAAAGCAAGTGGCAGGGCAAGCAGATGTTAGCCCATTGCAACTTTGTGGGAGGCAGCAGATCGTAGAGCAGGGAAGATCACACAGGAGCACAGAGCGTTGTTATCTCTTGTTCAGTATATCGTAACGATGCGTACAAAAGACAATTTTGGACGTGCAGATGAAAAGCAGAAACAGTGTGGCGCCAAAGATGGAGAGACGAAGAGGATATGAGATACTCTCATCGTGTCTACCCAGTGCGCACGCAAATCGTCAGCTCCTCTCGTCGGAATGCCCATAACGTAGAACACGCACCTTATTGAACCCAATGGCAGCCGACTTCTCGCGGAAGCACTGACGGCAAAGATCAAGGCCGTACTTGCGGATGAGACCAGCCTGGTGAGCGCACAGACGGCTGTCACAGTCCACCGCACGTCAGTACTATCCAACTATACATGCACCCTTCACTACGCGCAGTGCTATCGCTGACACTCACCACTGACGGCTGCCCTTTCCGTACTTGCGGGGGCGAGAGAACCAAACGGAATCGTGCGTCATTTTGGTGGAAAGGGGTTATTGAGAACGCTGGGCTGTCGTAGGTAGAGATGAGCTGGTTGCGGAGCAAACACGAAGGGACAACTGACCTGGCCCGAGATTGCAGTACTAGTGTGAATTGGCTGGGCTATCGTGACGGTGTGTTGTACTGTGTAAGTGGCTGAAAAATTAAGGTTCAAGTGGTCGGCTGTCCCCGGTTTATGAAGCTGCAGTAATAGTTAATTCCACCAAGCCCGCCGAGTTCGACCCTCATAGTGGGCTAGTTTGTATCCTTTTTCCCAACTTTACCTCGGTAAGAGCATTACTTACTACACCGCATAGAGGCGAGACTTCCAACCCGTGTAACCATGGTGGTCATGCATCATGTAGCAACTTGTACTAGTTAGAAACCAACTGTAGATAACACATCACGTCATGTTTGCATTTCATGCACTACCGTTGTTCCCTATGCTGACCACACCCATTATATGGACCAGCTCTGTAACATCGGCCTCGTCGTCAGAGGTGTGAGCGCGCAAAATCGACTTTGGACGCCCAGCACCCTCCCAGCGCCGCGCACGCGTGGGGGTCTCCTGCTCCACAGAATCTATAGTGAGGTCTATGATAGGCGACATGAGCACGATGGGAGAATCTAGTGTGCCTAACATCAACCACAATTCAAGAGTCGCAGAACACCGGGATGCGCACCGCGGCTCTTCGTTGAAGCCTGTTGGCTGTCAGCCTTGGTCTTCGGTGTCTTCGGGGCGCGCTGGGCCGTCTCGAACAGCGGGATCAGCTTGCCGACCTTGCATGACCCGCATACTAGAACACGTTTGATGATCGGCCACGCAATACGAGAGCGAGTATGAGAAGCCTACCGCATTCGTCCGGATTGATGCTCTTGCTATGACGGCCATATCTGCTCAGGTGTTATAAAGATCAACATTCGCAATTGATACCAAGTGGCGGAAGTCGTAATCATACATCTTGTCACACTTCTCACATTCTCCCAGGATCCGCATCATGAGCCTCAGCTTCCCCACTGAGAACAGAGAGCTGATAGTTACTCACTCCACTCATACTTGTAGGTGATCTCGTAGCTGTGCTTGGTCTGCAACGAGTCCGGTGACTATCATCCTCAGATGATGAACATCGGGCATAAACATACCGTGACCTGAATGTCAGGCCGAGCACTCATCACCTTGTCTGCCCTGCAGGACCATCCCATAATGTCACTGGGACAATCGCGTTCAGGACAAGCCGTGATGCTCACCATTCTTTGAAGATTTGTCCGTGACCCTCCTTCGGATCTTTATTGATGATCCAGCATGCGAGATGGCACATCTCATGCGAGAGCGTGTTACGGATCCGTTCTGATCCACCACATGGTACAATTGCACAACATGGTCATTAAGAAAAGCTTGGACAACGGAGCTTACGCCAAGTAACGTCAACGCACCGTTACAGTCCAGAATTTTCACAGCCAGCTCAATCTGAGCGGTCTGTACGCCATCCCGAGATCTGGAGGAGTCATGCCCGTCAATACACTCGAAAAGCACCGCGAGCTGCGACCCACTTATGCCACTTCGCCCTCCCAGCAGTCGTTAGAAGCCTTTTATTCCAGCGAAGCTGCGTATCCTGCGGGATCCTGCCCTGGAACACCACGCGGTTGAGCTCGTCGAAGAATGCTTGCGCATACGTCTCTCGGTGCGCCTGCTCCGCTGCTTGGAGCGCCTTCTTCGTGAGGCGCGGGGGCCTTGCGCCTTTCCCCGTCGGCGTGCTAACGGCGGGGGATACGATGGTGCGAGACGAAGCGGGCGTGCGGTATGCGGTGAGCGGTGTGTCATCATTGGTCGAGTCGACGTCGGATCCGCGGGTTGCGGATGTGAGTGAAGTAGACGGACCTGCCGCGACAGTGTTGATGCCGGGAGCAGAAGGCGGGGTCTTACGAATAGGTTTGTGAGCACTCCGTGGTTCATCTCTGGATCGGACTGTCAGACTACACGTGTAGACTCTTACGGCGTGAGAGCAGCACATACAGAATGAGTATGGATCCGTCGTCCATGTTGGCCTCCTCTTCCCCGTCGTCATCCACGTACAACGGGATGAACGCTTTCTGCTCTGCGGCAGGAGTTGGCCTGACTGCATGCCGCTTCGTTTTCGGCACCCGTACAACTTCAACATGTTTAGGGAGGCCATGGTCGCTATCTTCCGAAGAGCCAGACGTGAGGTCAATTACTTCGCCAGTAGGTTTATGAGTAGTACGGGATCGAGGTTCCCTAAGCGGTGCCGGAAGAAGAGCCTCTGCCTCGCTATCCAAAACTTCTAAACTAGAGCTCAGAATTATGCGCCGAGCTCTCGGTGTCTGCGGATTCCTTCGCCTGGGAGTAGCAGCCACGGGCTGAGGATTGTCGGATGAACTAATCCAGGTTTTCCTTCATGAGGTAAACTAAAGATTTGAATAGTTGCTACCCACCTATCGGTGGTGTTGCCATTCTTTGTATGTGGGTTAAAACGATCAACAATGGGCTCCCATTGTGGGACGTCTGGCCTAAGCTGCCGCAGTCAACAACCATTTCACATCACAGCTAATAAGAAACAAACATTTTCTCATCCTCGTCGGAAGGTATTACGAAGACGTCTACTTCACCCTCGTTAGCGATCTTCAGTTTGTCAGCCTTCATTCGTCTTTGTCTTGTTCTGGATATCAATGATCCAATAAAGAAGCTACCAAACATGGAGCGTACTTTATCCTTTCTTCCTCGCTGTCTGGAATGATCTCATCCATGTCTTCATCTTTCTCCACTTGACGCACAATGTGAGCACCAAACCTGCTTGGCACATTCAACACCAGCGACGAGGCCTTGTGAAGAGGTTGATGGTCGGGAGTTTCCCCATATCCCGACATGATATTACAATATCACCAGCGCGTCGTCGAGGTTGCTGGTCGCGTACTACTGCATACCTTACGATCGAGTACCTCGGAGGCAGATCGCCAGACAAAAGAGGAAGTCAACTAGCTCCGCGACGCGACCTGCACGTGACGATGCATGGCGGCCACGTGTGGGGTGCACGCGCGCTTGTGGCACAGCGAATTCTGGAGATGGCCATGGAGCCCTTGCAGCACTCCACATTTATCCAATTATGTGGCTTTACTTGCTCATTATTTATATGCCTTGGCTTTCCGCTTTTCCCTTTCAACCTCAACGTCCACCCAGTGGCTACCACACTAATAGGCGGCTCTTCTCCACCCACCACTTCTATACGACCCGGCTGTGCCTCGGTCGCTCTGTACATCCTTTGACCAACATACACTCTTTCACTTTCATTCTCAATGCGTTCTGAAATATCTCTGCTCGTTCTATTACTCGCCTCTGTCGTCCCTTCGGAGGCCATGGTCTTGGTTCGTGGCCCGGAGTCGGTCTACACTGCGGCCAACCGCGCTCGGCATCGTTCAATCAAGCGCAGCGCAGGACTTGCCCGCGATCTCCATTTGGCATACTCTGGTATGTTTGCTGAGGAAAAGCCTGCCCGTTCTGCACAATACTGCGTGAAGGTTGCCCCGAGCCAGGCTAGTTCAACCTCAGCAAGTACTCCGGCCACATTTCCGACGACATCTGCCAGTGCAGAAGTTCCCATTGCTACCGGAGGGACGAATGCCACGTCGCCATTCAAACTGGCTCAGAGTTATGTTAGTGTCTTTGTTGACTCACTGGGCACACTCTGACCTTGGTAGTACAGGAAGGCAGCACGTTCTTTAATGGATGGTCCTTCTTCTCATACGCCGATCCTACTGCAGGAACTGTACAATATGTGGATTCCGGGATCGCCGTGCGACTTTTACGCCTTCTCCCTGCGCAATTGATACTGAAAGCTGTTAAACAGCAATCGGGCAACTTGACCGAGATAAATAGCGCAGGTAACGCTGTCATGCGCGTAGATACGACTCCTCAGATCACTTCCGGCTTCAGGAAGAGCGTCCGAATTCAAACTAACTTCTCGTACAACGTCGGCACCGTCATGATCATGGACTCGGTACATATGCCGACCGGGTGCGGGACGTGGCCCGCATTCTGGAGTAACGGTGGGTCCTCTGTACTCACCTGAGTGGCCCTTGTAGCTCATCTTCCTTCTCCTTGCAGGACCCAACTGGCCCGCAGGTGGTGAGATTGACATCGTGGAAGGCGTTAACACCTACACGAACAACCAGGCCACACTACACACGAACGCGGCCTGCACCCTCCCCAGCAACAACTCCAGTACCCTGGGCATCGCAGGTGGGCTCGTTGGTGGCACTGACTGCTCCGTGGCAGACACCGGGGATGCCGGTTGCGGAATCCGCGCGTCGGACCCGACTTCGTTCGGCGCCCCATTCAACAACGTCGGCGGCGGGGTCTATGCCAGTACGTCGCCTTTGTCAACTTGCTTCGGGCGCGGCTAACAGTTCGCAGTGCAATGGCTCACCAGCGGGATCTCAGTGCACTTCTTCCCGCGTAGCGCGATCCCGGCCGACATTACCGCCGGCGTGCTGCAGCCGTCCACCTGGGGAATGCCCATGGCTAGCTTCCCCGCCTCGTCGTGCAACCCGTCGACGTCCTTCTACGACCACTCCGCGATCTTCGACACGACGCTCTGGTGAGTCCCCTCGCGCATCTCTATGAACGCGTCCTCATTCTGCTTGTCGCACAGTGGCGCATGGGCCGGCACCGGCTGGTATGACACAAGCGCCCCTGGCCAGTCGGTCAGCTGCGCGGTGAGCACTGGGACGTCCTCGTGTGAGGCATACGTGCAGAACAACGGCGCTGCGTTCAGCGAGGCCTGTGAGTACCACCTGCTTCATCCATCTCCGCCCCCCTTCTCATTTCCCATTGCAGATTGGGAAGTCAAGAGCGTCAAGATCTACGAACTGAGCTCCTGAAGGCCAGTGCGTGCAACAGGTAACACGACCCGTTATGCTTTCACAATTTCTGCGCTATCGGTGTAACTGTACATGTAATCTTTGCTGGATCTGGATTGTATGGTTAGGGCCGCTGTAATGGTTATTGTATTGTATTGAAGCTCTGTCTTCGGTCTCTCAGCGTATCATTGTAGCATAGAGAATAGAGCATTGATAATCTCCGAGTGATGACGGATCTGCGTTGGACCACCAGCACCAGAATGTCTAAGTTGATGTCGCCTGGCTGCGCGACGGGAGCAATGCGCGAGTAGACTATACAAAACGTCTTTTCCATCACTGCGGCGAAGCGAAAACCACTGCAAGTACCACGAGTTAACCAACATCTACAAGGAATTCATCGTCGCCATCAGGCCGTTCCACACGAAGCTCCTCGGGTTTCCGCTCGCCTCGCAGAACTTCGACATGAAAAGCTCATCGGTGGGCTCTAAACCACCGGAACACAGTAATCAGCAACCCTCACAAGATCACTCGACGGAAACGAAACTCACTGTAGACCTGCTCATTATCGAGCGTGCGCACCTCGCCCGAGTGCAGCGCCTTATCTGCCATCCACACCTCGAAGAGCGACGCCGCCTCGCCCACATTGAGCTGCTCCGGGACGGGGAAATTGCGCAGTCCGCCCGCATAGTGCTCGAGCTCTGACGAACGGTGGTAGTACGGCCCGGCGGGGCGGGGTAACGGCAGCCCGAGGGCCTCGCTCAGCTCAATCGGCATTTTAAACCGGGTGTTCGCGGTAGATACAGCGCCGAGGAATGCACCGCGGGTCTGAGAGAACACGTCAGGAAAGACACGCAGAAAGAAGTGGGGGAACGAACGAAGAATTTGCTACCGCAAGCGTATTCTAGGATCAAGCGTGGGACGGAAAGATACTGCGATAGGATGGGCCGGTAGTGGGGATCGCGGTACAGGGACGTGCGGTAGACGGCCTGGATGTCGTCGACCGCCATGAGCACAGGAAATCTATCAAAACAGTTGTCAGCGGGAGACAGGAGACAGGTGCGTAAGACTACTGACGTGTTCTGCTGCGAGACCTCCTCCAATACCCGCGAAAGGATTGCAGGTGCGAGTCTCTCGTCGTCCAGTCCCACTTGAATGAGGTCGGTCAGAGGAGACTCGGCTGGGACAGACAGATCGTCCACAGAAAACCCCTTCCGCGTCGAGAGTTCTGCGAGTTGGCGGGAGTTCACGCTCAGGAAGCGCCGCAAAAGCTGGTATGAGTACTCCGGTTGGAGATATGTGCGTGTCTGAGGATCGTAGACATAGTGGGAGGAGGAGTCAACAGTAGTAATTCCTAGCTCAACCTGTCAGTAATATGCTGCATACAACACGAGGCCTACTCTACCTCGGGGAACGTATAATGTTATCCAATTGCTCGCAGAGCAGTATTCTACTGCCTGCAGCATGAGGAAACTCTTTCCGCAACCAGCAGATCCAGCTGAGAAGACCAATATGTCAAGTCGGGGAATTGACGGAGATGAGAACACCTACTCAAGACTAATCTCGTATCCTTGCTGGATTTCTGATTTGCGGTATCAAGAGTATCAATAAGAGATAATGTAACGTCCCGGATGACAGAACATGGTTTTGACAACACACGGAACTAAGGCAGGTGATCAATTACTGTCTCAGCTGGAAGAAGAGGAGCGACTGACATCCATGAGTACGTTCGTTGGCACACCGTAGGCTTTGATGGTATCGTCCTGCGATAATGGAAACTGCATGACAGTACCTACGGCGGCTTCCGTCAACGCTTCCTAGGAACAGCAACCCCACACGCGAGTCAAAACAATACCACCCGTTACCGAACGGTCACTCACAGGACGGAACATTGGCACGCGCATCTCAATACGCTGATCACTCTTGAACAGAGGATGAGAAAGCTGATTTATTGGCATAGGGTTGATGACCTATCCACGGAAAACGCGCGCCATGTCAATGCGGAGAGCACCGCGCAAGTGAGCAGGACGCACCCGTCTGTTGAAGTCACCATCGAACTTGCGCTCCTTTACTTCCCCGTTCTTGTTCGATTTAAATTGACTTGAAACTATGCTCGCCAGTAAGTTGCCGTACCCGAGAGCCCATAGGGTGTGTATGCGGCTTTCTTACTTTTTCTCGGGGCTGCCTTCGAGGCTGCCTTCGATTGGGCTCTTGGTGCAGCGTATCCACGTGTCTGTGCTAACTGCAGTAGCAAGGGACCATTGCGAGATGTCCCAGTGAGATTCACATCGAGAAGACAGCGTGGTCGCCGGACCGCCAGTGAAGCCATCAACCTATGCAGCGCTGCTCGCTGAAGTGGTGAACTTGAAGAACTCGTCCACGTCACGTGGATGCGATCCAGGCGTACAATAGGCGCCGGTTAACTAGACTGAGGAACCTTGACCGTGGTTGGCTCGCAATTCTTATAAATCTTCGAGAGCCATCGACGCTGCCTACTGGGCCAGTCGACGTACCTGAATCCCTGCAGGCTTTTGGGTAAGAGTCAGACATCCGTGATATACTGCTTTCTCCACCTCGCAGCTTGGCGTTCCACTACTAAGCTTCGGCCACTGCAGTTACTCCTGGCGTTGCAGTAAGTCCCACCACTCCCTGAAGTAGTGTAGTACTGTACGTGTTATCGCTTTGATTCATGTGAAGCGCGCCGATCTTCCGTTTCGTAGAGTTGGTTCACTGGGTCAGTTGATACGGATACGCTAAAGACGCGTGCACATACTTCTGGTAGGCATTTGCTAGTACTATCGCGCGTGTGAGGGCTCATCGTCCTCCTGTATGACAGTACAGATCCTCCGAAAGAAACTTCTCTTGTCCTGTTACACATTCAAACGAAGTCCAACTATCGAAACAGTCACCATGGCACCTCTCGCACATACCGAGCCTATCATCCTGCGCTTACCCATCGAGCTCTTACTCCTTATCCGCTCATTCATCCCTCTGCATTCCGCCAAGACCCACATTGCCTTCCAGTCCAGCTGCGGCGCCATCCGTGCCATTTACCAGGACGATGAGCGCTTCTGGGCCAAGGTCTGCTTGGCGTCCGGCGTAGGCCATCCTCGTTACCAACCAGAGCATCCACTCCAGAACGCGCCGTGGAGGGAGCTGGCGATCGCCACGACCAACCATCGTCTCAAATGTCCCTTTCCGCCTTGCCGCGACAACTTCCATCTCGGTACGTGGCTGAGGCACCACTAAACTGCTGCGCATCTCAATTCAAGATACATCTATGCAGGAACGGATGATGTCTCAGGTCCGGTACTGTCTCCCACAGTCGTGCAGCGGGACAAAATCGCGTGCGAGGGGTTCCTCACCTGGTTTGAATTCGACATGGAATACTTTGAGCTGAACAGGATCTACAACTGCGAAGCTTCTAACACGCGCGGCGGGCCAGTCACAAACTTCTACGAAGACCACAACGTGCTCGCCTGCACGTTCGCGACCAACCCGCCGTTGTTGCTTATCAACATAGATATCCTGGGCATAGACACCGTCGCCGTCACGAATCCCGGCGGGGTCACCGTGGGGGACGTCTTCAAGATTATGTACGACGCGTGGGTACATCTTTACGTGGTCACCACCGATGAGCGACTGCATCGCCTGCTGACTCTTCTACAGGTTCATCTCCACGCCCTCGTTCACACTCTCGGAATTCGTATCGCTGTATCGCACCAACCGCGAATTGTTCACCTGCTTCATCAAATTCGACTGGTTGGAAACCACCACGCTTCAGAAAGTCTTGGATCACGCGCGACTGCTGTACGTGTCAGGACTGTATTGCGGTGGTGCCGCGGCTACTCACTTTCGATTGCGGCGTCTATAGAGAGTCTCAAGGCGAGATCACAGATCCCCAGATGCTGCAATATATGGAGACAATCGAGGCAGCATTCGGAGGCTTTGCCCAGAACGTTGCGGTCGCAGATGTCTGGCAACTGTGAGCACCTTGCCCCGCTCTGATAAGACTGGGTCAATGTCTGACGCTGCCGCCAGGCTCCACACGGGTACGTGGACGATCGAGAGGCTCATCAAGCGCTTTGCCGAGATGATACCGTGTGTCCGCAAGGAGTCTTGGTTTACTGACTTGGAGATGCACCAGGACATGACCGACATCGTGCAGCACCTGTAAGCCTCCCACTGGACTCCGTGCGGGGAGCCGCTCCGAATGAAGCTGATGGCTGTGTATGCAGGCAATTTTGTGGATTGAAGCAGACCGCCCCAGGTTCGGTAAAGTTCGTGGCGCAATGGCAGTATGATGGCGACGAAGAAGACGATTGAGTGGTGGCACCCTCTAGATTCCCTTCCGTGATTGCCCGTAGGATATACCGCCTTGTACTGGATTCCAGGCCTGTCCTGTATGCGAGAGTCAGTTGACCGAATCCGCATACCCCATTTTACTTCGGACAGCTCTCTAGGCCGTAGATAACCGTGATGCGGTCCAACAGACAGTCCGGACCAAGTACGGACGTTGTTCTATGTCGTGTGCCACGCCCACATCCGTCAACCTCGTACATCGTCGGCTCAAGCGCGAACATAAAATGACGATCCATTGAACAGAGCGGGCATACGTGATTATACTGACACAAGCCCCGCAAAGGAGGCGTAGACTTAACGTAAATGATCCATTTGACGATACAATGCCGCTGAGGGCTTTCCGCATAAAATACGTTTGTTATTAATTTGTTCACGTCTCCGATTAGTGGTTTACCACAACCAGGGGATGAGCCTCGCCGTGACCTTCTTCTTGTACTCGACGTATGCGGGGCCGGTGTTCTCGTCGTCTTCGATGAGTTTTTCCTGTTGACCAGATTGTCACATACATCACACTATGGGGGAGAAGATACGCACTTCGACCGGCACCTTCACCGCGAACGCAAGCGCCGTGATCGGGAGAGCGACAAGGGGTATGTACGACCAGAACATTCCTGCCATCAGGAACTCCTGCACGAGGATCAGACTGTATCAAAAACGAATCATCAATCGCCGGGACAGAACTAGGAGATAAAGACGGTGCGAACCTGTAGAGAGGGTGGCGCACGATAGCGTAAGGACCGGTTGAAACAACCTGGGCTTTCTCACGAATCTATCGAGACAGCTACAGTCAGTACGACCACGATCTAGTTCATACAGCTTGGACATCTGAAACGCACTCCGATGTAGTGCCACTGGCCACCCAAAGCCCTGACGGTCTTCGTAGCAGCGTACCCGACTCCCACGCTGACGATGCTCGCAAGAACTCTCACCACGCCGACCGCGCGACCCTCGGAGGAGTGGAAGACGTCGTCCAACTCTCCCGGAAGGCTGAATTTCCGCAACCACTCTGGCTGCTCGAGATTGTGTGCGAGCACGCCGCTAAGGTACAGGACAGGGGGCAGCAAAGAGCTGAAGCCATGTGCGGGGAGGGCGAGCCACGCGGCACTGTGCGCTTTGGGCAGCGTTTTTACGGGCCCTGTGGTCTCCTTGGCAAGAGAAGTGGAGTTGCGGTGGGCCCAAGCGGTGGCTGCGACCTGGCCAAGGACAGAGGCGGTGACTATTGCTTCGACATGCTGGGAAGGGCTGAGGCTAAGGTTGAGACCGGCGAGATAGTGCACCATCGTGTAGATGCGTTGGTGGGGATAGGAAAGCGAGCCTGGTGGTTGAAATGGGTGCGGTGCGCGGAGGAGGCCGGGGGAGGACTGGTGATGGGCTGCAATGGGCTCTCGGTCTCGAAAAGCCTGCGCCCACTGCAACCCCTGTGCAGCCGTCCTGTGACCGGTCGGCGTGCGTGACACGCGCGTCGGGATACGCGATCACGCGATCGAGGCAAACCGCCGATCATACCTAGCAACTACGTCGGCTGCTGCTTCTTCTTCTCCGTATTGAACAGCTCCTGGCCGTGTTCCACGATGCACTCTGCCTGTTCGTGCTTGATGGTGAAGGATAAAGTCAAATATTTTTGGCTTACGGATCTACAAGCCAGTCTGACCGCAGGAATCACGGCAACTGGCCAGGCAGTGACCGCATCGACCAAGTTATCTCGCCTTCAGTACTTCTGGCGATCTTCTGTCAAGCGCATTCAGAGGTGTTGGATTGTTTGCGCACACCATCTGACTCATCGGACCCGGCTGCGCCACTCATGCCTAGCAACCAGTGCAACTTCAAAGCGCAATCCCAAAAAGGGCAAGTGCATGCCAGATTTCTGCCTCGTGTCGTGTTTGTTTGCTTTTCCAGTCTTTGTACGAACTGTCAGTAGTATATAACAGAGTAAAGCAAACGACCCAACTCAACGGCTCCCTTTCTCTTGAACTTCCACCTCCACGAATCCCTCACCCTCACCTTCACCTCCCGTTTGTGCCAACCTCTATCCCTATTAACATGTCTTCGGCAAAGTCAAGCGGTACACGCTCGAGAAAGGCTACAGACAAGGAAAAAATTAAAATACCACAGGGTAGGCGTATTCGCCACCGTTCGTCTCCATCCGTCCTCAACATTACTCATTTCTTCCGGTCTGCAGTACCGTTTACCTTCAATACCAAAGACATCAATGTGGGAGATGATCGCGCCTCCCTCGCTTCGTCTCCCTCTACTGTTGCCACCACTCGATTGGCAACCTACAGTGGTCGAAAAGACGAAGACCACATTCCGCGACCCAAGAACGCCTTTATTTTGTTTCGCGGGTCTTGCTGGAAGGTAGAAAAAGAGCGTGTCGACAAACCTGGTACCAGCTCGAACTTCAGCAAGATTGCAGCACAGGTTTGGAAAAGCATGTCAGCAGAACAGCAGGATCCCTGGCGTCGCCTCGCCGAGGAAGAAAAGCATCTGCACAACTTGCACTATCCGGGGTATAAGTATACCCCACAAAGGCGCCAACCGACGCAGCCCAGGCGACCTCGCAGCAAGAGTCTCTTGTGCCCCACTCCGGTCGCACCTAGCACAAGGCGTCGCGGGCCCGCGAAGAGCATGGCGGGGCTTGACGCGGAGGACAGTACGCTCTCTGACCCAGACTACGTTCCTGGCTGTGGCTCTAGAGCGAAGCGTGGCTCTCGAGCCGGTGGCCGCCCAACCCAACCCCGAAGGCACTCGCGCAAGGCACCACAGGAGCCACAGGATGCTACCGCGCCCTCCGAGCCGCCCTCGAAGCGAGCACGAATGTCGCAGGAATTGTCTCCCTGCGAAGCCGAGAACGCCGTCGAGGTCAGTGCACTAGGCGTCCAACATTCACCGGCGCATACCCAGTGGGCTCTCCTTCCCCAGTCCGCTTCTCATCCGAGCGCGGAGCTCGTACCTCCGTCACCCATGTCCTCCCCCAGTCACGAAGAGGTCGCTGAGCTCGTCTCTTCTGCTTCCACTGGGCCCTGCATCCGCGTGAAGGAGGAAGTAGAACTCGATCTCCCGGCTCTTTTCAGAGAGTCCTCCTTCTGCCAAAGCGAGGCAGTCGAGCTCACAACCTCTCAGGAGGCGACACAGACGTTGAGCCTAGCCGACCTACTTTTCGGCGTTCCCCACTATCCTCAGGTACGTTCCGTCCATGTCTGCTCACGAGCTCGGTGCTCACCGAGTTCTCATTAAAGCCCCACTACGGCCACGGGGATACCTCCCTTGACGTGGCGAGGCCGGCGATACCCATCAGCGACTACGCCCATTCGTCCGTAGCGAATCACCACCTGTCGCAAATCGCCAACGAGGTGACCGCTGCTGGCCTCATGGATAACCCCGGCGTTGCTGGGCCATCGTTCTTCCCGGCCTTCCCACCGTTGTACGCGCACGATCTCGGCTTCAGCGACAACTGCGCCAACTTCGTGGACAGTGTCTTCGCTCAGGACGCCGACGCTGGGGCCTGTATCGACGAAACCATGTCCGACAGCTATTCCTGCCCTGTCGTCTCCAACTACTCGTTCCTCGAGCCCGCCGACGACAGTGGCGCGGTCGAGGGGTTGTACTAGAGTTTTGATTGTCCCATCTCGTTTGTATCTGTTGTATATATTCTTCATTATTCTGTTCTTCCCTCTTTCTCTCTTTATTGTGAATACCGCCCTCGCGGATATCGCCATCCAGTTATCGCCGTCCTTCGGTACCTGCTCGGTTGTGGCGCACTCCGTTCTGGATAGGTGTAGACATAGAGACTCGCTAATGGTTGTACTTATGGGAGCATAAGCTGTAGTAGGATTGTCGCGACAGCTGGTTATTTTCTTCCGCAACTGTGTCCTGCTCTGAGCACAGAAGTTCCGCCACGGTCACGGTAGCGGGAGCTTGTGACAAGTGCACGCTTCGTCGCACTCCGAGGACAGCATTTCGTCGACGCTTTGTGCTTTGATGCTTTGCATCAACGGGCGTTCTTCAAGCGAACCGCATCCAAGTCATCTGTAGAACCGCTGCTTTACTCTGTTGTCACGATCTACTTACACGTTCCTCTCTGCTGGCCACATCCATCGATCCAGCACCTTTGCCCTTGTCAGACCTTGCATCAAAACAATCTGACGCGACCCTGTAATTTATGATTATACGGACGATAAAATATGTCAATGATGTTTGATTCCCTGCCCGCTGCACACTGCTCTGGTTATGACAGAATGTGAGAAGAATATAACGAACGGTAAAATATTGTTCGACAACTGCTCCTGCAAAGTTGCTCGAATGCCTAGAAAGGAGAGTGATTGGAACTAGCCCTGCAAGTAGGCTGTTACTGACACATTTGCATGTCCCGGCGGGCACCGCGTGATTATCATGCGGTCAAAGGTACACTCTGGATCGGCACAGGTATTAAAATGAGTACAACGAGGTGCGGAATCAAATAGCGAGGACTCACCGGGCTGGAAGACGCCATGGATATTATCCTAATCAAAAATCGACCATGGCGTGAACGTTGCGGTTGGAGGCCGGTATGGTTGCGACGGGAGCCCGCCGGGCAGCTCTTTTGGCCAAGGCATCCGCAGTCTTGTTGAGTTCTCGGGAGACGTGCCAAAACCCAACGTCTATGCGGAACGTCTTCACAATCGTGGTGATAGCGTCGTCGAGCTTCAAATCAAGATTTGATGGCCGACGCCCCTGGGTCCCACGCTAGTCATTCACCTACCGGGGAATAGTCAGGATACTGAGAACTGTGAACAGAAAATGAAATAGTAGCAAACCTTCCAAACAGGCAGCCACTCCGTCATGCCCTTGACGACATATTCCGAGTCAGTCGTGATGATCCAAGCCGGACGGCGCAGTCCTCGGAGGTGCTGCAGAGTATTGTGCTCGTCTAGGCTGTATTCATACACTTCTAGTTCTTTGTCTCGGAGCTTGAACAGGCCCTTCAGCGCCGCAAGTAGCTCCGCGCGCTGGCTCGACCTCTTGTGGTACGCGTCGACACTATCGTCAATTGGGATAGCCCACTGGTCCCAGTCTTCACCGAATACCCCCACCGCGATACCAATCCCAGCAGTGGCGTCCCGCTGACCATTGGAGAGGCATGCGCCGTCGGTGAATACGAGCTTGTAGTGGTGACAGACCTCGTCACGGTCTGCGTGATTGCAGCATCGCGCGAAGTAGCCGTGACAACGCGAGCAGAATTTGATGAGTTGGGCCGTGTGGTTACACTCAGCGTGCTCGCAGAAGATCAGGCGACGCGCGACGACGCCTTGAGCGCGCTCGGGATTTGTGAGGGCGGCTTGAAGTTTGCTCATGGTGAAGGTGAGACGGCGGACGGAGGTGAAAGAGCATTCGTCGCTGGAAGGTGCTTTGTATTAGTCTCCCGAGGGCAGATGGTAGACACTCTGCTTCAACCTCGTACCTCGGATATCACTTTGTATGCATCACAGATCTCAGATCGAGAACAATTGTTCTCTATTTATGGCAGGTACTGTAGCTAGGCATGAATGTGTTCCTCACAGGAAGGACGGTCAGTCTGCTGATGGCAGGAATCATATTAAAAACCATATATTGAGGGCGTCTACACCAGAGCAGAGATGCTAAAGTAGGTGCAAGGTATACAAACAGCCTGAGTGCGTGACGGAGGGCAAAGCACAGCGGTATAAGATATCTGCGTATCACCTTTGAGTGAGTACAATGGTAAGTACAGGAATAATCATGCAATAGGATAATACACAAACCTGTGTGATAAAAATTCGGGACAAATTGAGGTCACCCAACCTGCCAACACAGTGATAGCAAAAGCTAGCGACCATTGCATCTCGCTACTAAGTGGCGGCTGGCTTCTGTCAGGGTGATAACCAATCAATTTGTGGCATTCTCAAGGTCGATATCTCACTCACCTCTCTTTTTGCTTCTGGGACATCCATCTTGGTGTTGTCTGCCAGGCACCGCTTCAACCCCGTGGAATCACCGTCGACATTGAAAGGAGCTTCCTTTGAAAGAGGTGTAGATACAGAATGTTCTGCGAATGATGTCTCGAGAAGCTTGGGAAGTATACACTCTTGTGCGCTCCAAACAATATCTTCAGAGACTTTTGCGGACAGGTAAATAATGCCTCTGGGAGCCGCCTTGATTCTATAGCGCGCCTTCAGCTCCGTGATACCACTGGGCTTCTTCAGCTTGTACACGCTGCGGATGCGATACGCGTAATCGTATCTGTTCATGTCATTATGCCTCTCGTTGAACTCCCTATTCCCAAGTCCGTCCTCCGGCAATTTCTCATCACCAGAATTGCGGGTCCTCGCTGGGTCGATTTCGCATACGTAGTTCACGGAAGAGAAAGGAGCGGTGAGATAGAACCAGACCCGGACGGAAGAAGAGATGTGGTATCTGCGAAACTCGTAAGTCTTTGCACCGCAAACAATGAGTTATCCGTCATCGGAAGAATAACATCTTCGCGAGTAGCCTTAGGCATGATGAACAGATTCAAGACGTGCCTGCGGCCCTACTAGCAGTTGAGTCGGAACACCGTGACGACGCGCCGCTGTCGTGCGTCACATGCCTGTTGTGACCTAACGCGACTCACTTGTGGGTCATGTCACGGTCTTGGCTACTGTACGGATTTTGCCTTTTCGGATGGAAAAATCTACAAAACTCCCATAAATCGAAAACATTTATTGGCGAGGTCGTTGAAACCCCGTGTAACCTGTGACTATCCGGATTGGTCGCTACAGTATGCTATTTTCATTCCGCCTTTTAGGAGGTAGGTAGATTACCGGCAAATATTGATCTCATTGCTGTTTCTTTTTGAGATTTCATCTATTCTGGAGGTCTTATACCGAATGTACCAGATCAAGCAGGACATACTAGCATTGAAGCTGTGACTTCAAGAACTCGGTGCATATGCCAGCTTTTTTGAGTGCTGCGCTCGGTCAGTCAGTTCTGTAGGAGCCACGTCTACTGTACATGCTTACCAATGTTCCAGCATCGCTCCCGGCATCCCTACTCAAGCTTCAAGTCTCAAGATGAGATGGGCCTGCCATCAGGCAAGACTGCAGAAGTGTCCTTGCCATGCCACTATTGAAGTCGATTTTGAGAGCAATAATAACCTGCCTTCGGAGCGTTTGCGGGGGACACCGCTTTAATGTCTGCGCCAGTACACGAAATTTTGCCTAATCATTAATCAGGGCTCGTCGTGCTTGCGATCAAATCTCCGATCCACGATATTATCTTACGGTTCTCACACCCCTTCAGTTTCCAAGAAGCATGAGCAAAAGGAAAGTGGATCATACTGATTTGAACCGCTTTGGAAATATGATTTGAACATACTGGTGAATGTGGGTCAGCAGAGACTCTAGATTCTTGGAGGATGTCCCACCAGGATATAACTTTCGACTCACGAGGGTGAAGAACTTCACGGGTGGCACCGCATTGCAACTTGGATGAGTAAGATCACTGTCCACAAGTAACAGTCGGTGGTGGTGACGGAGACGTCCGAAAATGAATCTTGATGATACTGGGATGCATTGCGGAGAGTTCTGGCTTTGCAGACTGCACTTTGCGCAAGACGGTATATACTTTATTGCAGATGCTTCGATGCATCCTTGTAACGTGGGAGGCCATGATGAAACACACCTCTGCAGTCCGCACTACGGCAACGCAGACGCAAGATAATGGGGTGCATTGGCTCATGCTGGTAAAACGTAGGCGGACGTGTGTGCAGGAAAATGGTGTTTGATGTCTATAATCAAGTACTAATACTACAGGAACAGATCATCTGCAAATATTGTTCATTGCCTCCTTTTGAATACTCATTCACGAGAAGTAAAACGTATCAACTTTAAAAGCTGGATTTTTCACTAGTATCGGGCGGAGCAGTGATAACAGAGGTTGCTGTAGTGACATGTCGTCTGAGTATTTTCTATCTACACGGAGGAGACCCGACAGACGCCGACACACCTTCCACGTGGGTAAGATCTGAGATACATGTGCGGGACGCAAACAAACATCGTTTCTGCATTTCGACAGCCATCTATCCTCTCATAGTCACTTAGGTGCATTCCGTCTCCCCCATCCTCCACTCATTACCAACATCCTGGAATCATGGGTGTCATTTCGAGCTGCTGCGAGTCTTGCTGTTAGTGCCTCCAATTCCTATCACCGAAAAGCGCATCGTGTCTGATCTCACACGCAGTCCATTCGCGCAAGTCACAGTCGTATGAACCCCTCCTGCTGGAGAATGAGCGGGAGGCGGTAGCAGATCTCCTTCAGTACCTTGAGAGTGCGTCCCAGGGCCGTCTTCGGATACTTGCCACGCCTCTTACATGTCATCCAGACCGAACGACGACCAACTTCTTCACGGGATCTCCCCTCTCCGCGTTGACCACACTCTCGTTTTCCGACAATGTCGACCTGCAGCGTAGCGCTGCGCTTGCCTTCGCTGAAATCACCGAGAAAGAGGTGCGCCCCGTGGGCCGAGATACACTCGACCCTATCCTCTTCCTCCTCAGCAGCCACGATACCGAAGTGCAGCGGGCGGCGAGTGCTGCCTTGGGCAATCTGGCCGTTAACAGTGCGTCTTTTATGGCCTTTTTCAGGTTATATTATGACACAATTTTCTCCGTGACAGCCGATAACAAGCTCCTCATCGTCAAGCTGGGCGGTCTTGAACCTCTCATCCGACAGATGCTTAGCCCGAATGTCGAAGTGCAGTGCAATGCTGTAGGATGTGTGACGAATCTTGCGACGCACGGTACGTAGCTCTCCCTTCGTCGACAGCGTCGAGTGCTCACTGTTTCTGGACAAACGAAGACGACAACAAGACGAAGATTGCAAAGTCTGGTGCTCTCGTTCCCCTTACTCGGCTAGCACGTTCCAAGGATATGCGGGTCCAACGCAACGCGACTGGCGCACTACTCAACATGACACATTCCGGTGCGCACCGTATCTTATCAATGGCAATACGCCTATCAATAACGTATTTTTTGATCCAGATGAGAACAGGCAACAGCTCGTGAATGCTGGAGCTATCCCTGTTCTTGTCAGCTTACTCAATTCATCGGATACTGATGTCCAGTATTATTGTACCACTGCTCTCAGCAATATTGCAGTGGATGGTGAGTTTTGCTGTCCATGCGTACGTCCAAACGCTGATGAGATATATAGCTATCAACCGGAAGAAGCTTGCACAGAGCGAACCGAAGCTAGTGGCTAGTCTGGTGCAGCTCATGGACAGCCCCAGTCTCAAGGTTCAGTGTCAGGCAGCACTTGCTCTGCGGAATCTTGCCAGTGACGGTAATGCAATCTGTAACTTACAGCAACAAGATGATCTGATGCCATTACCTTAATAGAGAAGTACCAGTTGGAAATTGTCAAGGCTGACGGCCTGTCTTCCTTGTTGCGTCTGTTGCAGTCGACCTATCTACCTTTGATTCTCTCGTCTGCAGCATGCGTTCGCAACGTTTCTATCCACCCTCAGAACGAGTCCCCTATCATCGAGTCCGGTTTCCTGCAGCCGTTGATCAACCTACTGTCTTTCAAGGACAACGAGGAGGTGCAATGCCATGCGATCTCCACTCTGCGAAACTTGGCTGCGAGCTCGGAGAAGAACAAACAAGCTATCGTCAAGGCTGGTGCTGTGCAGAGTATTAAGGAACTAGTTCTTGAGGTACCGATGAATGTGCAAAGTGAGATGACGGCTTGCGTTGCCGTGTTGGCTCTCAGTGGTGAGTACCGGTATCATGCCTGGGACCAAGTCACGGAATCATCGGTGTCATAATAGACGAGCTCAAGGGCCAGTTGCTCGAGATGGGCATCTGCGAGGTCCTCATACCTTTGACGAACTCGCCAAGTTCTGAGGTGCAAGGAAATAGTGCAGCTGCACTTGGTAACTTGTCTTCTAAGGGTAAGCACGGTTTACTGTGGACGATCAGGCGGCTACTGAAGGTCGGTGCAGATGGCAGAACGACCACCGACGATTACTCTGCATTCAATGACGTATGGGACAAACCTGACGGAGGCATGCATAAATACTTGTACCGCTTCTTGACTAGCCCGGATGCGACCTTCCAGCACATTGCGGTATGGACCATCGTGCAACTTCTGGAGTCTGGTGGTGAGCATATACGAGTCATTGGTACATCACCTTATCTAATGTATGACCACAGATCCGCAGCTGATCAGCAACATCCGTAATTCAAACATCCTCATCCCGAACATCCGCCAGCTTGCTGAGACACGCACATCGACGCCTACGTCTTCGCTCGGCGGCACGCCGCGCTCACACCACTCGCCTAGCCACTCCTACCAGGACACTGAGACCGGCGAGGGCCAGGGCGAGATTCAGCTGCTTGCACGGCGCATCCTTGACTTCACCGAGGGCGACGGTGATGCGATGACGCCCAGCGCAGCTGCATCCCACATGGGAGCGTCACTGCGGGACCGCGAGGAAAGCGTGAGCGGACGGGACCACGAAGAGCTGCGGAAGAGCGTGCGGGAGGCGTTCTCCACGAGTTCCCTTGGACACTAAAGCGTAGTGCTGGCCGCGCATGTGGTGCAGGTGGGTTTTTACTGGACAGCAGTCTGCTGCATGGATAGTGTTGTCTTATCTTCATTAGATATTCTCGTATACTTGTAAGGCGCTGTGTGTGTTTTCGTTCAACTCGTTCGGGTGCATCTGCTCATAGTGTCTTGCGGTCTCCGTACTCTTCTTGCGAGTCGTTCGTACTTCTCGACGATAGTGTTGACGATATATCATGATCGCGATGTACGTAAGTAAAGGTGTTCCGTCACTCATAGTGGATTGCTCGTTAGAAGTAATAATTATTTGCATCGAGAGTTTGTCCTCTCCTCAGAACTTGTTACTGTCAGCTGTTTGTCACTTGAACGGAGTAAATGAAGTTGAGCGTCCGTGGGCGTTGTGTCCCAAAAGCCTTCCGACGCTTCGCCGACTCGACATTCAACCATGCGTATGGTCCCACCACAACGACAGTGACAGCGCACCCTCGTTCCTTTGCACAACCAATTCGCTTCTTGTTTCTTGACCTTCTCATCAGCCCATATCTTGTACCAACCGCAGAATATCCTTTAAATTTTGTCTCTGTAGATCTCTTTGATTACAATTGTCTGCGGGCTCGTCGATGGGAAGACCGCTCTTTTCTTCATGTCAGCACGGTCCCCTGCATCTTCCCAGAGAAGTAAACTGATGTCATTGTCTTCAAGTCGATTCTGCTTCGTACACAGACGCTGTTGGGGTGGGAACTGCTACAGAAACCGTCTTGCCGCCCGAGTATCCCCTCTTGTCCGGTTCAGTCTTGGATACAACGACTATTACACCGCTCCCACACAACACAGAAGAATCTGAGCACCCTACGTCTAATCTCAGTCCTACTACCATCTTAGACGACCTCGCGAACTCGCAGGCCAGCTTGCTCCACGCCACAGCCGTGTTCAACGATACGTTTGCCCGACTTCGCATCCTGCGTAACCGTCTCGCGAACAATATGCCTTCTCAGAACTCAGCAGCAGCTACAGCGGCTTCAGAGACTGGCATGAATCCAGGTCACAGCGCTATCGTACTGTCCGACGCCGATAGGAACCCCGACCGTATCTCCACCACGCTCACCGAGTTGCGGTCGTCCCCACTATGGCCCCAGACAGAGTCTTCACAGAGGCCCCAGGTTTCTCAACGGCAAGAGGAGCTGTTGCGCATGATGCGAGAAGTGCGCGACACGCGCCGGCGAATTGAGCCATTGGCGGCCAGAGTGGGCGAAGCATCAGCGTCGCTCCTACCCCAGACTGCCCAGCGCTCTGCCGTGCCCAATATACAGCGCTTCGGTCCACGCCCGGAGCTGGCGCAGAGCAGACGAATAGTCGAGTCCTACGTCCGGTCCCAGCACATCGCCTCGCCTGGCGACTCGTCCACTACCCTCGGCAGGCGCGTCGCTGCCCGCGCTGCAGCAAACGCCCGCACTACAGATCCAGACGCACGCAGGTCGGCTCTCGCAGACGATGCGGCCTCACGTCTGATAGAAATCACGTCAATCCTGCGACGTGACATCACATTACTCGCCGAGCACAGAGAAGAGATACTCCGTTCACCTTGGGCCTCGCTCTCAGCCAGTGACCGAGGGATGCGGGAGACCGCCAGCGCATCAAGTTCAGGCAACAGGCTGGCTGCTGAGGTGGCAAGAACTAGGGAAAACCACTTGAGACATCAGCGTAGTATGCGCACCGGAGCGCCATCGGGCAGTGTCAGTAACCGACGAAATGCCCCATCTCAGCCTCCTACAAACGCATCTACCGATGCACCAAGGCAGATGCAGGATACTGGCGTGGCTACACAGGCGAACCCTCTTCTGCACGAAGAGATCCACTCACGACCGAGTTATCGCGTTCGGCGGAGGCTGACTGCAGACGGGGAGGAGCACATACAGAACATCATCATGTCCGACTCGGACGATGATGATCTTTTCAGCTGGTTTGTGCCGGCGGCGGAGCGGGAGCAGCGACGCCGAATACCTATCAGTCACCCTCTTGAAGAGACAGTTAATGTCGCGCCTTCGAACCTGGACGGCTACTCTATTCGTCCCACGAGGAGGTATCTTAGTGAGATAATTGAACGTGGGCGCGCTGAAGCCTCCAGGGCTGCAGATAACTCTCGGCCGCGCAGAAGGGGTTGGGGTATGCAGTCATGTACACCCGTGGGCGCATTTCTTACTCACTGTTTTGCTGTTAGCTCGCCTTGACCGTGATGGTAATGAAATCCCCACAGACGAAGAGGAGGAGTACGAGCGCAACCGTGCCCAGATGCGTAGTCGCGCGCTTGCATTGTCGTCGAGACAAGCAGTGAGACGGACGGAGCTTGCCTTAGCTGAGCTGCCTTTGCCCCCGCCCCCGCCACTTTCACTTCAGCCGACCACACAGACTCTTTTCTGGCAATCGCCTGGCGACTCGAACGTCCGCGTCCGCTTGGGGCCCTTCCCTGGGACAGATATGGATGGCAATGTTGTTCCTGACAGCGACGACAGCGCGACATTGCGCGAGGGGCCTTCGCAACCGCGGTACTTTGGCTCGGCGGTGCCGTTTACTCCTAGCCCTCTCCCGCTGCCTCTTGTCGAGGTGTCGTCATCTGTTTTGCAGCCCAAACGTCCTCACGTCACTGGGCCCGTCGAAGGGGTCAGGAAACGAAGTCAAGCATGGGTTGCTGGACGCTGAAGCATGGCTGCAGCCCGTACGCCATGCGGTGCGGCAGAAGGAAACCCTTGATATAAATTCGTTCCTGGCTTCTCGTCTCGCAGTAGATCTGTGAGTTGAACATTGTGGTTGATACCTGGGCTAATAGATACCGGTCGAAATGAATGACCATTCGCGTGCCGTACGACTCTCCTTCGAACCGTAGTGGGACGTCTTACTCTTCTTTGATCTTGCATACACGTACGCGTTCAAATTGTGCGACGCGACATCAACTCTCCCCCGTGGCTAATAGAAAATAGTTGTCAGGTCATAGCCTGGGCACCTCTGCCGGGGCCCTGTTGAACGATTTGTGCAGATGGCGGCTGCCCTAGATCCACGGACAAACAGACCTGAGGCAGTCCAGATGCGTAGATGGACTTCGATGCGCGCCGCGCAACCACGTACCACGCCAACCGTAAGCGGTTTTAGTCATTATCACGTGAGGGTGTCGGATTTTAAGATCGGTCGATTTCTGAAGAGCCAATCAAAATGGCGCGCATATGAACTCGGCGTACTCACCCGCGAACATATCAACGCTCTTTTCTTTCTCTCCTTCCCTCGTGCGACCACGACGACTGCGACGACCACGACGATGGCGTCCATCCACGATCGCTCGACGGCCGCGTCGTTCCCGTCCTCTACCTCTTCCGAACACCATCGCGTCCCAGTACCTTCCTTCCTCTCCGTTTCGTCCGACATCGCGACATGGGTATACACTACCCTCGCGATTGTCACAGCTCTTCTCGTGCTCGAGCAGTCCGTCTACCGGTATAAGAAGCGACATCTTCCGGGCGACGCGTGGACGATACCCGTTATCGGCAAATTCGCCGACTCGCTCAAGCCTACGATGGAGGGCTACATGAAGCAGTGGGAATCGGGCGCGCTCAGCGTCATCAGCGTCTTCAATATGTGAGCGGCTTACCATTTGCGCCGCGTCCGGTACCTGACGTGTCCCTCTCTCTGCGACAGCTTCATCGTCATGGCGTCGACGAACGATTTTGCTCGCAAGATTCTTAACTCGCCGAACTACGCCGAGCCTTGCCTCGTCAACTCCGCGAAGGCGGTCCTGTGTCCCGAGAATTGGTAGGTATTTGCTCGACTTGATGTCCTGTGCACCAGTTGAAATGTCTTCCAGGGTCTTCCTCACCGGTAGAACGCACGTCGAGTACAGACGCGTCTTGAACTCGCTTTTTACCCGCAAGGCACTCGGGTACGCGATTTCACTCATTGCACCGAGCTTAACGCGTGCTCATCTGGCCTTTAAAGTATCTACGTCGGTATCCAGGACCAGATCGCGCGGAAGCACTTCGCGATATGGCTCGATGCTGCGGCCAAGGACCCATCGCCGATGGCGATCATGTTCCCCGCGCGCGACTGCAACATGGACACGTCCCTGCGCGTGTTTTGCGGGCCCCACATCTCGGATGAAGCCGCGAAGGAGATCACGGAGAAGTACTGGGCGATCACGGTTGCGCTTGAGCTGGTGAACTTCCCGCTGGCGCTGCCCGGCACGAAGGTGTACCGGGCGATCCAGGCGCGCAAGGCCGCCATGCGGTGGCTGGTGCTTGCGGCGGCGGAGAGCAAGAAGGCGATGGCCGCGGGCGGGGAGCCGCAGTGCATGCTGGACGAGTGGGTGCGCACGCTGCAGGACCCGGAGTACAAGGGACGGAAGGATTTCAGCGACGTGGAGATGGCGTTGGTCGTGCTCTCGTTCCTGTTCGCGAGCCAGGACGCGATGAGCAGCGGGCTGATCTACGGGTTCCAGCACCTCTGCGACCACCCGGCCATTCTCGCCAAGGTGCGCGAGGAGCAGGAGCGCGTGCGGGGCGGGAACTACGACAAGCCGATGACGCTGGATATGATGGACGAGATGCCGTACCTGCGTGCGGTGGTGCGCGAGAGCATGCGGGTGAAGCCGCCGGTCACGATGGTGCCGTACAAGACGATGAAGGCGTTCCCGATATCGGACGACTACGTGGTACCGTCGGGTAGCATGATCATCCCGTCGTTCTATAACTCTCTGCATGACGCTGAGGTGTACCCTAACCCCGACGAGTTTCTTCCCGAGCGCTGGTTGGACCCCGATGGCAGCGCGAACGCGAACCCGCGCAACTACCTCGTCTTTGGCAGCGGCCCGCACAAGTGTATCGGTCTCGAGTATGCGATGATGAACATTGGCTTGGTGCTCGCGGAAGCGGCGGTCCTCATGGACTGGGAGCATGTCCGCACTGAAAAGAGCGACAAGGTCCAGTAAGTTCTCGTCATGCACATAGAACGAGCGTGAATGTGTAGCTGACCTCGTCACAGAATCATCGCGACCCTGTTCCCCCAGGACGGCTGCCTCATGAAGTTCAAGCCCCGTCAGCGTGCATGAGAGAAGTGGACGATGACGCATCCTTATCAACCTATCTACATGTTGTCTAGAGTCGTTCATGCATTTTTACACCGGGATCGAGTAGGGGCCGGGTACCCTAATGTCTTGACAAGCATTAATGACATTCGAATGAAATAAAGATGCAAACATTCATGCAGATTGGTGCGAGAGTATTACTGTTATCGCTTCAACTGTCACGCACACGGCTGTAAACGCAGATCGAGATTCGACGCACATCCTCCAAGTTGCAGCTTGGATATTCTTAGGCAGCTGCGTGGTTCTTTTATCTCAATATCCTGAATCTTGCCGATACGCAGAGCTTGATATTATTATACAAGAAGATTACTATCCCTGCATGTTATTTGGGTGAGTGGGCCGTTGCACGAAGGACTTCGTGCATGTATAACAGCCACCTGCCTCGAAAAGTCATGGAGAAGTTTATTGAACATGGCAGGACTGAGCTTATTATACAAAGGTATGTCACTAATAAACGCTGCCTTAAAAGGGATTCTCTGATGATGAAAAGATGAAAAAGACGTGCAGAGCGGTGGGAGGATAAACATCGCGAATATATGCTACATTGGAAGTGGTAACGCAAGCGAGTCCGCGGTCAACTACTTGCGCGCTTCCTTCTCGACGTCGCGCTTGAGGTCTGATGCACCCTCGCGTGCGCCTGCAGCGGTCTTGTAGGCTGGTCAGTGTGGCGAGTAGGTCGAGGGAGCTCGGGGTTACTCACCTGGTTGGCCTTCTGGCCAGCTACCTCGGAAGCCTCTTTTGCCTTCTGTTTCGTTGAGCCTAGAGGACGACGTATCAGCACAACCAGGTAAGCCGTTGTCCTATCCATACGGACCAAACGTATGCTTCGTTGCCTCTGTCGCCTTCTCGCCCTTCTCGATGGCAGACGCTAGACCCCGACCGACAGTTTTGTTCACCTGCGACGCGTGTCATCAGCGTCCCCACAGTGCGTGAATGGAGTGCGCACCTTTTCGGCGACCTCTCCGACCTTCTCTGTGACGGTCTTCTGCGCTGCAGGGGACGAGTGGAACGTGCGAGCAGGGGTGATCACTGCTGCGCGGCAAGTAGATGCGAGTGCGGTGCGGATCATGGACATCGTGGTCGTCGTGTCGATAATGATGGTGGTTGTGGTTGTGGTTGTATGCAGCTCCGGCGGGGACAAGCTGGAGACTAAATGCTGGCTAGGGGCTTGATGACCATGACGTAGCGCGGCGGAGGTGTGAGCGTGGTGGCTGCAGATGATGTCATCGTCACCGCCGATCGTGTCCACGTGTCTGACGCGCTCCGTCCCGACGCTTCGAGGCCGCCACCGCCAGCGGGATGCGCACGGACCATCTCTCATATTCCGGAAAGCGAATGCACGAAAAGGTAAGTCACATTGCAGCAATCGTGTAGTGAATAGAAATAAAAATACTGTGAGTGTCCAAAATACAAGAATGCAAATCTGGCCTCTATGGAAATGACAACATCAGAGAAATATACATACGCATGGATACAAGATATGGCACTACTCTCTCTGTCGGCCTCACTACGTCGCACCACCCTTATGACACTCCGCCCCGATGGTAAAGAACCGCGCCATCCGTCGACATCGCATTTTTTCCGTTGTCTCTCGGTCCTCCCGCACACGCTCTCTTCTTCGTACCACCGCAGCCTCCATGTTGATGCCGCCCACCCACCCCTCGAGCAGTGGTGGGAGCGGCGGTACGGCTGGCTGGGGCGGCTTCTGCCTCGCACCTGCCAGGCTCAGGATCGTCTTCACGCTGTCCGCGCGCGCGGGGAGGTACACCGTCTGCGGGGACTGCACCGTGTCCACGAGGGAGTGGACCGTCCCCAGAGGTGACCGCGCCACATCTCCCGGAGAGTGCACCGCGTTGTTTGAATTATCTGTGTGGGCCATCCCTTCTGGCGGGTGTGCGCGTGCGCAGATCACGGCCTCGGACTGGGGCGAGAGCAGCTCACTTTCGATGAAGATGCTTCCGCCTGCGGTTGGGATGTGCAACCGCAGCGGTGAGTGCCTCAGGATCCGCTCCAGCTGCGGCGGTCGCGCGTCGAGCGAGCGTGGACGAGGTTTTGGTTTTGACGGTCCAGCGCCCGGTGTCGACTGCACGGGGTACATCGAGGGCTGGACCGAAAGCATGAGCGACGCAGACACCGCGGGCGACGAGTACGCGGCAGTGCGCCTCAGCGGCAGGATGAACGACCCGCCCTCCGTCGTGCCCCGCGCCGCGGGCAGCTCCACCTCGTGCTCTCCCCTCCCACTCCCACTCCCAGTCCCAGCACTCTCAGCTGCAGTCCTCCCGCCGAAGAACCGCTGCCAGGGCCACGCGCGCTGCGAGTGCACGGACGCGACGCTGCTGTCCCTGGCCCACGTGCCGACCGCCCACCCGCTCAAGGCCGGGTCCTCGTCGATCGGTGGCGGGGGTGGTGCGCGGTCTGCATCGTCGCGCGCGCAGACGGCATACGCGTGCCGCCGGCGCAGGAAAAGCACCAGCGCGGCGAGGAGCGCGATGAAGAACGCCCCGCCGATGGTCGAGACGAGGATCGCGACCACGCGCGTGTGCGGGGAGAGCGTGGACGTGGATGTGTGCGCGGTGGGCGAGCTGAAGATGCTTGCAGAGATGGTGGGTCCACTAGTGGAGGGCGCACTTGGGGATGACGAAGTTTGGGAGGCCGAATCTTTAGTATCGTTGGTGCCGTCGTCCCGTCTGAAGGTCTAAATGAGTACACAACATGGGACAGCAAGTCGAACACTAACGTGTAGACGATGTAGTCGAGGAGTGCGAGCGACTGTGTTGATGCGTCCGCATATCCGTTCACAAGCGTGAAAGTATGCAGGCCGGGCACAATCGAGTCATTGGCGTACACAGGGACGCTGTAGTCGAACGCATCACTCATGCTCGGCGGGTAATTGACGAACTTGCCCAAGGGCTCGTCGTCGATGAGGAACGATACGAGCGTATTCCCATCGAAGTCCATTGCGGACTGAGGGACGATACAGAAGACGTACAGCGCTGAGCCTGCAACGCCAGAACAAGTGTCAACGAAATAACGGCATACCACACTACAGAGCGCCGAGGCGAGTATTGTATATTGAATGCGGAGACTGACCATTAAACTCCACAGATGCCGTCAGAGGCACGCCAGTCCCGCCGAGTGAGGTGGGGAGGAACGTCCCGTCGTGCCAGGAGCCGAGGAACGCATCGTACGCGTCCGGATGCGCAAGGCAATCGCTGCAGTTCTGGCCGGCGCTCCATGCGTCCTCGGGGCCGTACTCGAACTGAGCGCCAGTGAGCGGGTCGCCAAAGGTGTCGTCGACGGTGACGTTTACGAGGACGGCGGAGGCGGCGCGCAGGCGGAGGAGCGCGCCAAAAAAAGCGAGGTGGAGATGTAGCCGTGGTGCACGCATGAGGCTAGCGTGCTGGCTCGCTAGCTAGCTGAATGAGTTCTTTGACTTTTGCCGAGAGGATGGGAGTGGGAGCGTCGCACAGGCCGCGGGACCGGGGGGGGCAGACTTGATGAGACTCGGCACACTGGCAAGGGCAGGGAATGTGCGAGGAAGTATGACAGATGAACAGGCTTCTGTTGCTGTGACTGTCATCGTGTGCCTGGATGGGCATGAGTATATCACCGCAATCAGCGAGCGAGCGCACTCTAATCACCGTAGGATGCCTTATCGGGAGTGCAGTGCGCGCTCTGGCGTTCTTTATGTCCAACGGCGGTGGGTGAGGGCACAGCCTGGGGAGAGGTCAGTCTTTGGGACCGCGTGTTCGCAGCCGCGTGGGATGGAGAGTTGCCGTATACAGAGGACTGTAGAAGTCAAGGTTCTTCGGGGTAGGTGCTCAGGGTGGGAGATCTGCCAACCGTCGCTAGAATCCGGACATTTGAACGTTGAACGTTGAACATCCACGCGGAGCACAGGTGCAAATTTAAATGGAGTTCAGACCCCGTCGGCTGCAGCCTCCAATAGTTGCCAGAGAGTTGACAGCGGGGCGTGAAACGAGCATCGGACGCGATAGCTTGCGCAACAAGAAGAGACTGACGAACTTTGGCCAGCAGCGTTTGCCTACAAAGTCTTCCGCGTGAGATGATGGAAAGGGCTGGCAGGCACGGCGCATCCACGCCGTAACAAAACGCGTAGCGTCACAGGACGTCACAGCCACATGACATGATTCAAGGTCTGAAACGTTTTGAACTCAGCAGCGAGCTGCAAATATCGAAATCGTCATAGGGCCTTTCAGACTCAATTCATCGCGATAGCTACAAGGGATGCTCTGCGACACATTGATTCCCTCGTCACAATGACGGAGGCTTAAATCAGAGAAGGGATACACTCCCGAGAGCCGGGCATTTCAAGCTGCATAACGCGCGGAAGCTTTCACTGTCGCTGAGTTCGAAGGCTAAGCGCTAATACTCAAGCATTCGTCCAAGAGGATGTATTATGATCGATTAGTACAGCTGCGAGAGCTTTATCGAGGGCACGACCTGGCACAAAGGTGCCCTTAAGTCCACACTGCTCCCTACATCAAGCATGGATTTTCGCAACACAGGCTACGTTGAACTGGGCGAGGTGACCGTCGAACACGGCCTGCGCGGTTTCTCGAAGTTTCCATTCCAGCTGAGCATAACCTCGGAATGCTGTAGTATACGTCGGGTGAGCGATGCAAGTCGAAATCCGCATTTATTCATTTGTTCACCGTGCACTCAGTGGCTGCCTCTCGCAGAACACGTGTCTGCGTGCAGGTTTCGCCCCGGTGACCCTCTTCGTTATCTGCTCCCTAGCGCCCACAGTCGACCACATTCTCTGGCATATACTCTGCTGCAAACATCCATGGTTGGAGTCATATGTCCACCAGTGCTTGTTCTTTGCCATCGCGATCTACCACCCGATGGTCAAGATCGAAACGATAATGACGAAAACCTTGCGCTGCGACCATTACGTCTCTGACCACCTCATCGCAAGGCGCGTTTATCAGCCATGAGCCCTTCATGCCACACACCTCGTCTTTTCTACTTCCGCCCTCCGCCTGGCCTCCACGCATCCTCTCCCCGCTCACCCCACTATGGGGTTCAAGACTTTCCTCGCCCGCGTCTCAACCTCCTTCACCAGCAAATCCAAGACAACAGATGTCAGTGAGCTGATGAGTGGCGGAATGACGTATGGAAGCATGGCTGATATATTCCTGGCGAATAGTCCAAAAATACTGGCTTGGAGCACCAGCCGCTGGTTCCCGCTTACTCCGAGGTACGTCTTCCAGCAGACTCCGACGTGGAGTAATTGACCTACGCAGGAGGGCGCATTAGGTTTCGTCCCTGCATCCCTCTCCGGTCGTCCCGAGTTCTGCAAATTTGCTCGACGCCCATCACAACAATTTCCTCGCCGACGTGGACGTCCACGTCCGTTTAGTTTTCGACCAGACGGGTGACATGGTACGCACTTCACCTCGCTTGATATCTTGTAATTGACTCACCACTGGCGATCCACAGACGCTGTGCTCTGTTGAGTCGCTCAAAGTTGGCAAGGCGGCCAAGCTCGTGGATAGCGAGTCTGGCAGCTCGTCCGTTTCCGAATCGGCTTTTTCCACCCTCTTCGATACAGCTTCACTCCGGAAGGACAATCACAATTATGAATTTGTTCTGCCATCGAACGATTCGTCCTACGGGCGCACACTTACCCCAAAGCTCCTCCTCCCACCACAGCCAGACCTTTTCCCCGTCCCCGCGCCGATTTCCGACCACGTCTCTAGCCTCGTACTGGATAAACCGCTCCCCCCGCTCCCCGTTTGCCCCTCCCCCTCGCTCGCAGACCCTCCAAATCCCATCGGTCGCCGACTGCACGTGAAGCAATTCAAGCCGCTGCGCGTGCTCGGCAAGGGCGGACAGGGCACTGTTGCCCTCGTCGAGGACCGCGTCAGCGGTTCCTTCCTCGGCATGAAAATCGTGCGCAAGGCCGCTGTGCGCACAAAATCGTACCCGCGGCTGTTTGACGAGCAGCGCATCATGCGCGCTCTGGCGGGCGAGCCGTGGGTCCTCCCTCTCCTCGCGTCGTTTGATGATCGTGATCATTTCTTTATTCTGACGGTATGTGCTGGCTGGCTTTTGGCGATGGAATAATTGTGATTTTGTTTCGTCGTGATTTGTAGAAGTACTGCCCTCAGGGCGATCTGTGGTCGAAGATCAAGAACCAGAGGGGCCTGTGCCCGTCGGATGCCCTCCGCTACGGGGCCGAACTGGTGAATTCCCACCCCGCTGTCTTAGACCTCCTGCTCACGGACCGGTTTGCACAGGTCCATGCAATCGGTCTACTTCACAGCCGCCGTATCATCCACCGCGATATCAAGCCTGAGAATATCCTGCTGGACGGCGGTCACATCGTCCTCGCCGATTTCGGGATCTCGAAGGCGTTCGGGCGGCCCATAAGCGAGACCCCGTGGAAGATGTGCCCAGAGTGGAGTGGCAACGTACCTTCCGTCCCCAGTGCTGGTAATGAGACCGGCGAGGGCAACAGTCTGGCTGGTGACGAGGAGGAAGAGGACGTGACTCAAAAATTCTGCGGCACCCCCGGGTTCATGGCTCCCGAGATGAACGAGGGCGAATACTCCTATGAGGCGGACATCTATGCCGCCGGCGTCGTCCTGTATGTGATGCTCATGGGCAGGGTGGGTCCATTTCTCATCTCCTAATTGAATAACACTGATGACGCCGTATGTGCAGCTACCGTTTGGCCTGAACCCCCGCAAGCAAACGCTGGCCGAGCAATTTCGGCACATCACTGAGCTACCGGTTGACTTCGATGTCGATGGGGACATCAGTCCCGACGGCCAAGATCTGTTGGAGCGGGTATGTCGCGCTCTCATTCTCCCTTTCGTTGTTTTGAAGCTGAATGCGAGACAGATGCTCGAAAAAGATCCGCGCCGCCGCGCGACGATCCCAGAGATCAAAGAGCATCCATACTTTGCGTCGATGTGAGTCCCTTATTTGGGAGTCAGACTTGTTCGTTCAGTTGTGGCTACTATTTTAGCGATTGGCCCGCTCTTGAACGTAGAGAGCCCGTACGCTCGGACTCTGGATGTGCGCACCATGCGCACCCCCGCAAGCAACAGGTACACACCACCCAGCCATCTCCCTTCCTCTCTCTCAATTCCTCTCGCGCTTTGCAGCGGACCGTCGATATCGAGCGCTTGGCGCGGGACAACTCACTCTCTCAACCCACCAAGTCGGCCTTCCCGTGGTTCCAATGGCTATCGCCGCAGCTCGAGCACTTCGGTGGCGACTCTGATATTTCTCGCGACCTATCACATTCGAATCCGTTCATCGACGATTTGTTGCAATGTGGGAAAGAGGAAACGGCATCTGCGAACATTGTCACGGGAGAGGCTAAGCCGGGTGCGGGCGAGAAACTGGGGCGATTGTCCACGCTCGTTAGCGGGCGCACTGACGCAGCTACGCCGAACGTAGTGCAACGGGTCAAACGGTGGTGGAAGCGGCGCGGCTTGGTTTCCGTGAGGCCACGGGTGGTCTCGGGCAGGATGGACATGCTGGAGTGATGGCTCGAATCGAATCTTTCATGAGGTGTTGGTGTGGCTCTCCGAAATGCTTGAGTGCTGTCGATCTGCTTTGTTGTTCATCTGCTGTTTCTTCTTTCTCCGAGCTATCGTGTTTCGCTTTCTTGGGGTTTGGACCTGTGATTGCTGTGTTGTGCTTCCGTGCTAGACTACTACTAGTAACTACAGGGCTTACTGGGATTCTGCACCACTGTGATTGACTGTTTTATCCTTATCAATATGTACTTTTCTGTTGTTCATTGCCGATTTTTAAACATGCGCGGCGCGCGTAGATCGTGGAGATGCTCGCTGCTCAGACGCGCTCCCGCCGGCATCTTGCGGTATCCTCCGCGTTTCAGTCACATGACCGGTATTTTTCGATCATATGGGCGCCTATGTAATGGACCGATGATATTCCAAACCTGTCCGAGGAACAGTCCACCACGGCGAGAACAGGACACAAGACACACTTTCCATCCTTATTACAACGGCCAGTGCTGTTCGATCGATCAGACATCCAGTTGCTGTTGCGCGGCGGGGTCAAGTTCGACAAGCACACGTTTAAGGGCGACATGCTGCTGTTCAGAGTGAGCGACTCGTTGCGTGCGCCTGGGTTTGCGATGCTGACTGTCGTTCGATTAGGAGGCGGCGAAGACAAGAGAAAGCGCGTAGCACGCGCAGCCGACCCGGAGATCCCGCCGGAGCTCAATATTTTCAAGAATGCGCAGGGTGGGAGCACGAGTGCCAGTACCAGTGTGAAGCGGAAAGCGGCGGCCTCCGGCAATGGGGCAACTCGCGCAGGTGAGGCGGGCACGTCAGCCAAACGGCAACGTGTAGACGATGAGGACGTGGACCAGGGGGGAGGACGAGGATGATGCCCCCATGCCCTGGCAACGCGTCACGACGAAAGGCTCGAACGTGCCGGCACATGTGGACACCTTCCAGGCATTAATGCCTAAGGGACCGATACCACCTTCTTGCAAACCTCGCGCAGAACGGCCAACAGACATTCAGTCCCACGGAATTCCGATTCGCATGGAGGTACGCCGATTTTGCTCTGCTTTGTCCGTGCACCACAAACACATGTCCCGCAGTCTCGGGATTTAGCTGCGATATATCCGACGGGCACGGGAAAGAGAATGTCATGTTTACTGCCCGTTGTCTCATTTCTCGGTGCCTGCGTCTTGAGCGAAGAGCGAGGCGGGGGCGGGGGTACGCACCGACGCGCGAATTGGCGTATTAGATACATAATGAATGTCTCAGGCTCACCCAGGGACGCAAGTGGCGGATCGTGCTCTTCAGTAAAGCGACCGCAAGCACCCTCGCCGAGAAGAGCGCACGCGACCGAGTCGGTAAGCCTGCCTGCCAGCATGTGGCATCACCAATGCACAGTTGCTCATGAGCAATCGCCCCTTCCAAGATATCATTATCAACACGCCACTGCGTCTAGTCGCGGTGCTTCGAGCGGATCACATCCAGCTGGACAAGTCGACTCCGCGGCTCACTGCAAATCTATCTCATGTTTCTCAGTGTCCGACATGTAATTTTGGATAAGGCCGATCGTATGCTAGACGCGGAATTCTTGTCTCAAATCGAGGAGGTTATCGCTGCATGTACGCATCCTACAATCCAAAAGGCTGTTTTCAGCCCTACCTTACCGGCGGGCGTGGAAAAAGTTGCGATGGGCATGCTGCGCGATCCAATACGGGTGGTCGTCGGGCTGGGAGGTACCGCTTTTAGGACCTCGATTTCTGCCGCCGTCATATGAACAGTATAAGAAATGCAATTCCACGCCAAACATCATTCCAGAAATAGCCTACCTCAAGCCCGTGAATGTGATCCATCCATTCTATTTTTCCGAGCTTGCGCGATGTCCGCAGTGCAACTCGGATGATGTCAAGTGAGCTTTCGCATTGCCCACGAGACGAGCTATGTTGCTGATGGGCCTTGCGTCCCAGAGAACCCCTTCCGCTCATCGCACAATCACTGACGTATGTGGCGGATAACTCGTCCAAGCTGCCGACTCTCCAGCAACACAGCCGTACAACCCTCCTGTACTCGTCTCCGTCTCGTCGCAACCACGAGCGACATTGTTCGCAGAGGAACACTTCCTGAGCAGTGTCCCGAACGTCGACTGTCTGAATGCGGGAATGAGCAGGAAAGGAAGCGCGAAGACGCTATATCCTGGATGCGGCGCGGGGAGAGCTGGATAATGGTCAGTACCGAAGTCATCATGGCGCGCGGAATGGACTTCAAGGGCGTGAGGGAGGTCATCAACTATGATTTCCTGCAGGGCGTGCAGATCTGCGTGCACAGGATCGGTAAGTGACGTAGGGTGCCAGGCACGGTCACCTTCTCCCTTGTTCGTCCGTTGTGCAATTAACTGACGCTCACTGAGTTTCACCCAGGTCGCACGGGACATGCTGGTGGAAAAGAGAAGACAGTGACGTATTTCTCGGATCAGGTCGCGCCATTCTTGAAAACGTAAGTCGTAGAAATCCGATCCCTCTTCGTCGCCCATTCTAATCGATACCGACTCCGCCACTCACACCAGAATCGCGAACGTCCTTCTCCAGTCAGGCTCTCCTGTTCCGGAATGGATCCTCAAGTTGCCAGAACCTTCCAAAATTAAATGGTCTGAGATGGGTAAGGTCGGACGTGCAGAAGCTGTCACACGGGCGAGCTGGGTCGGTCGACAGGACGCTATCAGGAGGTGAGCCGCTTGTGTCACACTGTCCGGTGCCAGGATCGATGATCGATTCTTTTTTGCAAGGATATGATGATCGCATCGACGCGTAGGAAAGAAAGGGCCAGAAAAACGGGGCCAAGGCGGAGGAGCGGGGTAGGCACAATGGAGGAGACGGCGACACTGCCTGAATGGCTTTTCCGGAGTGTGCGGTGAAGTAAGATTATGCATATGTCATATACGCTACTTATCGCGCTTGTATTGCATCCACACCTGCCGCCGTCTCTTTGAGGATCAATTGAATGAGTGACGAAGTTATGGTACCGCAAATTAACCGCGCGGTTGTAGTCATGCCGTCGCATTGCCCAGAGAAATGCGAGCGCGTCGGACAGCAGGAGGCACTCTGCTGTCGAGTGGCGGTCCCATGGCCTGGTCCAAGGGTGGTGTGCTTGCTTTCAGGGCATCCCCCGAAAGGAAATTGGTGTAGGGAAATCGAGACGAGAAGGACTGACTGGTCCACACGTTTATTTAATACTACGAGAACGATGATGTGTGGCTGCTCGACAGGAACGTGTCAGAGGTAGCAGAGCAATTGTTCTCCAATATAGGATCAGGGGAAGGAATCCTTGGATCTCCTCGTTCTCGTGAAACAATCCGAGACCATTGAACTGGTGACGATGGACTGGCGAGTCTTAATTAGTCTGATGCCTCGATAGCAGGAGCATTAGAATTTAGAACATCGAAGAACACGGCATGTTCCCGTGCCTATGCCATGAGAACCCAGGATAAAGGAACTCAACTGGGAAAGTACACCCAGAGCGTCGGCTGCTTTGATGCTGGAAATCATATTGCACCGCAACCTTCCAAAAAAGTGGAGTACAACCCCAATTCTTGGGGCTACAAACGACAGTCACAACTTGAAGGGCATACCAGGGTGACTAGACAATCGGTCTTGCTGGAAGAAAAACTCACCTCAGAGCCTGCCAGATAATTTCTCTTGACTGTAATGGCACGCGGAAAATGCTTCCGCGAAAATTGGGTCATAGTAGTTGTAGGTTAAAACCCAGATCCGAAGCGTAGGAGCCGCGCCACATATGCACCTCATGTTTCAAGGGCATGAGAAAATGTCCTTTCTTCCTATTATCAAGACCAAAGAGTGGCAGAATGAACCCTAAAAACCGAGGAGTAGAAAAAGCTGGAGCTGGAGCTGCCGTACTAGTAGCGGTTCCTCTCCCTCAAGTTCTCCCCCTTCCGTCCCTCCATCCCTCTTCTCCTGGCCCTCCCAGGCATCCCCTCAGTGTTAATTAGTACTTACCGCTATAATGCACAAGCCGCTTCGCGGTACTCGTCGGACGCATCGTCTCTCGAGGCAACCGCCTCACGATCCCGGTTCGTTCGTTCACTCACTATTTGCCATTGTGGGTCCACACCTCGATCTTATTCACTTGCTCGAATTGGATCCAGAGTTTGAAACGTTGGACTTGAACGAAGTTCAGCGTCGTTCAGATGATGGTGCTGTCGATCACTCGTCCCCCGAGTTGTCCAGTTCGCCCTGCGGACCCCCACGCACGATACCTTCTGGCGAGTCTCAGCGTCCTCCGCATAGTCGCAAGAAGGCAGACGACCACATCCCGCGACCTCGTAATTCCTTCATAATATTCCGATCCCAGCACTGGCAGGAGATCAAGGATGATCCTACTACCCCACGCCACCATACTGCGATTAGTTGCCTCGCCGCTACCCGTTGGCTTGCTCTCTCCGAGGAGGAGCGCACACACTATAGGCAGCTCGCGGAGCTCGAAAAGGAGGCTTTCTATCTTCAGTATCCTGATTACAAGTACCATCCTGCCTTTCGCAAGGACAAGCGAGCGAAGCGCAATACGAGCCGTAAGAGCAGTGCGAACAAGACTCTGCGTGCGAAGAAGCTTGCTTCCCAGCCCTCGCAGAGTGTGGGAATGATCGAGAGGGAGTTGAGGAGAGACGACGTTGATTCAGATCCGGAGTACACTCCCTCTTGGCGGTGCACTCCTCAACCTTTACGGGGTTCTGTGCAGCAGAAGGAGATCCAGAGATCCAGAGCGTCTCTCCGCGTCAGACATGAGTTGTCTGAGCGATCTCTTCCGTCTGCACCTACTACTCCGGAGAGTGAGGATGTCGAGCTTCCTTCAACTCCGGACAGCGACGAGCTTCTTTGGGATCTGGGCAGCGAGGACGAGTGCTCTTCGATTCCGTACAGCCGCGACGTTGAGTTTCCTTCGACTCCGGACAGCGACGACCTCGAGCTCCCCTTATATGCCAAGCAGGCTGATTTTGGATTGACGTGCATTGAAGATATGGCGATGATGACTCTCGACGATCCCGACGTATGTGTTATCTGTCTCTGTTCTATGGTCCAAGCCTTACACTTTTGAGTAGGCTGATTTTCAGATGGGATCCGATGCTTTTTCTTTGGCCTTCGCTACCACTTATTTTCAGGAAGCTGTCTGTGACGGGCACAATGTTAACGACCACTTCGTGGATACTCCCACCAGCCACTCCCAGTCCCACATCGAGGGTCTAGAGTCCCACATCCGCGGCCTCAAGTCCCACATCGACGGTTCAAAGCCCCACATCGACAAGCCTGAGTTTCACATTGACGGCGGTGACGACCACTCAGATATGGTGGACTACAGTCCTCACGGCGACGCAATGGATGTCAACTAAGGCGAGGAGATGCTGGTTTTCTGTGTCTCATTCGCTTTACTTTACCTATAGCCTTCCCATGTTTAATGGCTTTCACTTTCGTCTCCATCTCGCTCCATTATATCTTCGTTATTCTCGCTTCGCTTCGATATCTGTTACTCAATAAACATTATTACTATAGCTCAAACCAGCCATGAGTTAAGGATATGCAGTATATATATAGCACCTGGACGAATCATCGCTTTGCCTTCTTCGCGGACTTTCCTCCGCTGCCATCTTTACGCTTGCTGCCGGATGTATTAGTTACTATGTTAATTCTGCCCGCCGCCTTCTCCGATATCAACCAATTCTGACATTCATCAGTGCTCCCTTCCGGGTGTCTTAACTGCCACTCAACCACACGAGAGAGCACATCACCAGTCCAAGGACCCGGTGTAGCCGTTCCAAGGGTCCTCATGACTGTGCGACCCTATCGATGCATGTGTCAGCACGACGCACACAATCCACCACGAAGAACCAAGTATTCTCAAGAACTCACGTCCAGAATCGGCTTCGCGTCCACTGCTGCTGGCAATTTCAGCTCTTCTATTCTAGCGACAAGTTCATTGTATGCGATTACGCGTTTCGTCGCTTCTTCCGCTGCACCAAAACAATTAATAAAGTACCTCGATGTTGCGTTTTTGCTCAATGTGCGACCCACCGTCAAATTCGTCCCTTTCAATATCCCACAGAGGCACGAGTTCTTGGACGAGCGAGAAAAGTAGCGAAATCGACCAGGTTGATCCGATGTTCGGGTTATGCACTACCTTCTCGCGCAACAGTAGACCTATCGCAGCTCTATCCCACTGCGCAGCAGGCTGTTCATGACCTTTGCCAACCACAGCATTTCCCAGTTTGTCCACAGCGGCAAAGAGTGTTGGGATCCCATCCAGATAATGATGCTGCACGCCGAGCTTGAGACCCTCACGGATGGCTGGCTCGACAGCAAGTTGGATCTTGTCTTTTGAATCAAGGCATGTGACGCCGCGATATGGCGTAAGCGCGCAGGCAAGATACAGACGCGAGATGGGTGATGGTTCCGAGGCTGTGCCGGAAAGTAGAAGATGGTGAAGGGGCGGAAACGAGAGGGGGACGATGGACGATAGATTTGGCAATGTCGGATTCAGGAAGGCGTAGAGGTACGACGCAGCTGCTAGTGCGGTATCCTGGGGCGCTGGTCGTGCGGATAGTGTCACGGCAATGTTCTGGGGTATGTGAAAGATGCTGGAGAAAAGAGAGAGATCTTTGATGAGCTTGATAGCATGCAGAGGATCTCTGCCTGGACGCCGATGATCAGGTTCTCTTGCCGCATAAGTGATTTAGAAACGTACCCCTCATCATTTTGTCGAGTTCTTCGCCTACACGTTCTCGACTGATCTTGGATGCGAGAGCTTCCTGGATACGGGTAAGATGTCACGTCAGTCGGCTCCCCCAATGCAGACCAATGCGACTCGCTTGGATCTCGGGATCTTGTGCAGCTTCCTGCAACTCCGGTACCATGTCGAATCCGTACCTACTGGCAAAGCGGATGCAACGGATGACACGCAAAGGATCATCCGAGAAGGTCTCCTTCGGTGGCAAGGGGGTGCGGATGGTACCGCTTCGCATGTCGTCCAAGCCCTACTTCAATAGCATCAACATTTGTTACACCAGATTGTTGGTATATATACCTTTCCAGTGTGGTCCTCAACAACTCTCGAGTGCACATTGTAAAAAAGGGCATTGATCGTGATGTCTCTCCTCAAAGCATCCTGCAATGGTGTGCCAAATGCCTGAAACCGTATATTTAATCCGCACGTCGCTTAATTTTCAAGATTTGCTCACTACTTGAGTAGGTATGCGGCTGTGCTCTGCGTACTCCTCACTCCGCAGATTCACAAAGTCAAGTTCGAGATCGAGCACGGTCGTCTTGGCCGTCTCCAGATGTTTCGACTGGTCCGGGTTGCTCTCAATTTTGGCGATATTTTTTACGGATATATGCTTGACAGATCTGCAGTATGTGACAAAGTGTTCCGCAAATGTCATACCCATCATGTCCTGGAGTGCAATGTCTATGTCGTGGCTCTGATGGCCGAGGAGCTATAAACGACTGGTTAGCCATGAAGTATGGAGATAAGGAGGTACGGTTATTGACCTTATCACGAACCCATCCTCCCGCTATCCTGCAGGTAGTCTCTAGACCTTTCTTCTCCTTGATTCGGCGTGTACACTCGTCAAGTAGAGTACAGAGCTCATCCTCTGCTTCTGTGAGTTTAATCTCCATGTTCTCGGGGATGGGGACGCGGCCACAGAAGGGTCGCGGTGTGGTATGGGAGGCCAGCTGTCTAAAGCGATGTAGAGAAGGCTTACGGCAATGTCTAAGCATGAGCTCAAGGTTACAGCTGATCAGTGTGGTCACTGAGTGACTTGCAGAGAAGTCATGGTCACGTGCTGCCACTCTCTCAGAACTCAATATGTACCACTCTGGAGCTGGCGAACACAACCGTATGCGCAGAATGACATGTCATTTCTACCTTCCCGCGGATGGGTAGTAAACTACTCGCTCTCGTCATCCTCTTCACTATACTCCTCTGCCTCATCATCGATGAATCCATTCAGCTTTAGATCATCCTCCTTATCTTCATCTTCTTCGTCCTCTTCCTCGTCATCCTCGTCATCTTCATCTTCATCCTCTTGAATCTCCTCCTCCTCCTCATCGCTCCCACCGAGCTCGATATCCTCCACGCTGCCACCATCGTCCCCGCTTTCCACCTCCACGTCCATCTGCTCGTCCTCATCTTCCGCCTCGCTCTCTCCCTCCACGTACCGCCTAGCCTCTCGCCCCTGCGTCTCCTTACCCTTGCCCTTAGGCATCGGTAATGGCGCCGGTGGCCCGGAGGCACGCATCTCAATCTGCGAAACCACCATGTCTAACCGTCCGTTAAGAGCAAGCAGGCTGTCTTGCAGCGCTAATCGCATGGTAAGTGTCGCGTGCAACCCCGACAAGCGTGCCAACAGGTCAGGCATCTAAGCACGCCTTCAGCAAACGGTCAACCACGGAGCACGACAGAGCCTACAGTCATGAGGTGCCCACTGTGTGTCGCGAGGACAGCTTTCACCCAGTTGATAAGTGCAGTACCTCTCTGTGAACTCGCGCCGCCGCCGCCGCCCTTCATGTTGCCCCCGCGCGCTCCGCGTCCCAGCCGTTCCACGCAAGCGGTGATCAGCGGGACCGCGAGCTGCGGTGGGAGCCTCCTCACGGTATTGCGTATTAGCGTGGTGTCCGAATGCGCGAGACACGTCTCGAGTAAACCTGCATCGGAGGAGTGTAGTGCCTGGATGAGCGTGCGGGTGAGTGAGTTCGCAGGGACGGCCTGCACGGCGTCAACGCGTTTTGGTTTCTGTGTGGACGTCAATGCGTCTTCCTCGTCGCTCGTGCTCCGGCTCCCTGTATCTTCGACGCCGGTTAACGCGGTCAACCGCTGGCCAAGGCTGAGCTCAGCTAGGTCTGCATCGAGTTCGCCGTCAACGTCGCGCATCGGCAGGTCGTCCATGTCCTCGTCTTGGCCTAGCTCCGCACCTGAACGGACAGCAAGAGATGGTGATTCATTGTAACGCCGCACAGATGCGCCCTGAAGGAACGTGAGATGAGTCAACGGACGAACGATATGTTCACGGTGAAACTCACCAATAGGCCTTCTGGGCCGCTCGCAAGCCCCGCATTGGCGTCAGATATCACGACGTCTTTGATGTAATCACCACCCTCACTAACGTATGTCTTACAAAATATATTAGTGACCGCCGGTGTATACGCACATACCTCGATGATACTCACGACAACATCGAATGCGGGTTGAATACCGTTGACCAATTTAGCTACGCGTATTCGTCCCTCTTCTCCCGTGAACGCGGCGGCAACAATTTCCACGGTGTCGCTCTTGGTAGACACAGAGATAATAGACTTCGGTACGAGAGTGGGTACCTTCTGTTTCGTCCTGACAGGACTCTGCTCTATCAGTTCGGACGGAAGGGGGAAGACGGATATTTTCCCAGAGGCGGAGACGGCGAGAAGGATTTGTTCTTGATGCATAGCAGAAGTGGAGGGTGGTGACAGAGATATGCATCGCGCATCTGAGTCAAGGGGTATAGAAGCGACCATCTTACCCTCGGATGCCTGGCATTCGGGCACGTCCCAGGCACAGATGAAACGGTCTGCTTCTGCCAAGGAAAGGAAGAGAGAGGAACTACACCACTGCACATCCTTCACCGCAGAAGCGTGACCAGTAAACTTCGCCAGCTCCTTTGGCTTTTGTTTCCCAGATTCGGACGAGCCCGTCATCGTGGACAACAGGCGCATGGAGTGGTGCGCAACGAGGACATCCGTTCGACCTTCTTCATCTATGGAAGGGCGCACTGCTAGGGCGGTGTACGGATTCCGGTCGTCGCTGTTCCACGTGCTCAAAATGGTATTCTGTGATGCGTCCCATAGACGGAATTTACCGTCAGCACTGGAAGTCCAGATCGACGATGTGTGCTCGCTCCCTGTTTCGTCAACAGCGACAGACAGGATAGCTGCACTACTTGCAGGATGCGATAACGTACGCACGACGCGTCCGTGAATAGGAGAGAATAGGACGAGAGCCCCGTCTGATAGACCGAGCACTACCAGCTGGGGTGCAGGAGGAGCAGGAGGCGCAGGAGGCGCCAGACTCTTCCGCTTTTTCCGCTTCCGCTTTGGCTGCTGAGCATCCACGTCGTCCTCTCCGGCCTGTTTTCGGGTTTCCAATGGGTCAAAGCGACCCCAGCATAACGAGGTGACGCGGCCAGCATCCACAAGGTGTTCGGCGACACACTGTCTCGTGTCAGTATCGTAGACGCGTAGCTGTGACTTGTCGACTGCCAAAGACAGTAAAGCGAATAGATTCCCAAGTGGCGAAAATGTAGAGAGATAAGTTAGAGATGAAGAATCTGTGACCGCGGGCTGAGATATCGTGGAGGTTGCCGCAGGTCGCTCGCGCGGTGGTTTTGTACGCGGTTTTTTGGATTTCGCCGGTACCAACGCCATGACCGGGGCTGCGTGCCAAAATGTAAGATCGAAGTAGAAGACAATAGGGGTTTGCGCACCTCGCGCGAGAATGTGAGAGTCCTTGGCCGAATAATGTCAAAACACTTTGCAGCTTTGCAGAGGCAAAATCTTCGGACGGAGCACGTGATCTACTCGACTTCAAATTAGATCGAAGTTTCGAACATACTCCTGCACTTCAACCACGTCTTGCTACAAACGCTCTTGACAATCCGCGTGTTCAGAACTTTTCCCTGGATTGATCCTTTCAGCCCTTTTGAACACGGGTATTTTTGCATTACAAATCTTTGTTTTCCGCCTCGCAAGGCACTTAGCTGTGGCTGTTCCGTGTAAATCCAGATTTGGCCATGAATTACGTTCAGGTAGGTATCCTGTTGTGATATTGATATCTCTGCTCATATTGTCTCGTGTGCAGCTGGAGAAGCTTGGTGAGATTGGTTGTATACGGTTGATTTTATGTAGAACTCATAATTCGTGCAGGAGAGGGTACATACGCTACCGTCTACAAGGTCTGTGGCGTATCACTCGTGAAGACGCAGCGGCGTTGACGTTTACTTTAGGGGCGTTCAAGGACTACGAATGAGATTGTCGCTCTCAAGGAAATCCACCTCGATGCGGAGGAAGGCACGCCTTCTACTGCGATCCGTGAGATCTCGCTCATGAAGGAGCTCAAGCACGTCAACATCGTTCGCCTCTACGATGTTATCCACACCGAAACCAAGCTTGTGCTTATATTCGAGTATTGCGACCGCGATCTCAAGAAGTACATGGACGTACACGGCGATAGAGGCGCCCTCGATCCTGTTACTGTCCGGAGCTTCATGTACCAGCTACTCAAGGGAACCGCCTTCTGTCACGAGAACCGAGTTCTCCACCGAGACCTCAAACCACAGAATTTGTTGATTAACCGGAAGGGGGAATTGAAATTGGGCGACTTTGGCCTGGCAAGAGCGTTCGGTGTTCCTGTCAACACGTTTTCGAACGAGGTACGTCCTTAACGAATCTTTCTATCTTGCAATTCGTCTCAATGAACTTAGGTTGTCACACTATGGTACCGTGCTCCTGATGTCCTTATGGGCTCTAGGACATACAGTACCTCCATCGATATATGGTCGTGCGGATGTATCTTCGCCGAGATGATCTCTGGTGTCCCTCTTTTCCGGGGAAGAGACAATCAAGATCAGTTGTTGCATATCATGCGAATCATAGGTACACCGGATGACCGCGTGCTGCGCAAAATTGCCAGTGAAGGCGTAAGCTACAGCTCTTGCCCCCTTTTCCTGCACACTGACTTGCTGTCGATCAGCAAACCGAAAATCAGGGACCGCAGAAGCAGTATCCCCGTTATCCGAAGATCCCCTTCCATCAAGTTCTTCCCAAAGCCTCGCCTCAAGGTACGTCGTCCTGACACCGTGTTCACAGCTTGATGCTGGTGGCGTTGACTTCTCGATTCACACCATTCAAATTCTAGCGATCGACCTACTCGAGCGCCTGCTCCAGTTCGACCCTGCCAAGCGTATCACTGCCAATGACGCACTGTCACACCCGTACTTCACCACCGCCATACCATACCCCATTCCTCCTGTTCCTGGTGCGATGGGTCCTCCAGCATTCAATTACCCCCACCCGCATGCGCAACAGATGCAGCAACAGCAACAACAGCAGTTACAGGCTCAAGCTCAAGCCCAGGCCGCTTATGTACAAGCCACACAGGGGATGCTTGCGCATGGACAAGCACAGATGTTCACGAACCCGGATGGGCGGATGGCTCAGGCACACGTGGCGGCTCAAGCCCAATTTGCGCTCGCTGCTCAGGCTCAGGCTCAGGCGCAGGCGCAAGCTCAAGCTCAGGTACAGGGAGCCCAACAGCCGGCAGGTTACGGGATGCAGTACCCTCAATACGCGCCTGGACGAGCGTAGCGTGTCTACATTTGTATGTGTACGTGTATACCCTCGCTTGCCAAGTTTTCGGGTTTTCTGTACAGAATTGTCGTGTTTGATTTATATGTTGTACACTTTCACCTCTACGTTACGACATAGCGCGGGCTGTTAGCCTACTAGATCTCTTCATTACTGTATACGTACCTCTTGTCGGACTGAACGTTCTCTCTACAACGTGTTGTAATTTAAAGCGACGCAATGTTTACAGAGTTCAAGAACAAGCGGACCCGTCTTTGATCATGGTCTGGATGTATGTATGTGTTCAAACGTCCACTGTCCAGTGATCTCGGTGGCAGTTTTGCTCCGTTTCGCACGCGAGAGACGTGTCAGCGACGCTTTCGATTTCTGCGGGTGCACATACAATTATTAGGCGAAAATTAGATGAGAAGTGCTCGAAAGCTATACCTTGCGCTTCCGGGTTGGGGGTGTAGCGGCGTCCAGCTCTTCGTCAGACAGAGGCGTCAAGTCACTCTCTCCACCAACATCTTTCTCTTCCTGTGAAGCAGATGTCTACATCGAAAATTTGCACGTGGACGAACTCGAACGATATCCTTACAGTCACGACAGCACCAGCCTCGCCACGGGTAGGTAGTCGTTGGAGCTCAGCGACATATGCAGAAGTCCGGCCCCCAACTGTAATCCACTTTATTGTTGCCGGATTTCCATCGGGCTGACGAAGATAGATTGCATTTCAGGATAACTGACGACTCCAGCGGAAAGTTAGAACTGACCAACTTCATCGTATGTTTTTGCTTCTTGCCCTTCCCCTGAACCAGCAGAGACATGTTCTGCGGACTGCGCAGGTATATAGAGTTTGGGTGACTCACCCAGCGATGCTTGAACAACCAGTCTTCGGGAAACTTGGAGTCATCTGCATTAGCTTCGACTGCGATCTGACAAATTCTCGACGTTTGCTCGTATAGAGCGTGAAGCTGAGGAAGCGACAGAGTCTTGCAGCGTTGTTCTGGGTGTACTCTGGCATGATATAGAACTTCGTCTAATGGAAGTAACATGCATGAGCTAATACACGCACTGAAAACAAAGTCCTACTTGCCAGCAACCCAATTTCCGACGCCCGCACTGAACGATTGGTCCAAGAGTAATGCTTTGATGGGACATGACCGTTTGAGCACACCCTTCCTAAACTCTTCAATATTTGGCATTGAGAGTATAGGATCGAAACCAAGTGTAGAGATTGGGGGCTCTGTAAGCGGGGAAGTACAGAGTCGGATCCGGCCGAGTCGTCGTGCGTCTAGGAATGCCAATTGTGTGATATCTCCGGTCTCCACGTCACTGATATGAATGACAAACTGGGTCGAAATTTATCGCAAACCCTGTGGTAGACTAGAAAACAAGCACACCTTCATGAACTTCGGTGGCCAATCTGAGGAAGCTTTTCTAGGTGTCTTCCTGTAGTAGGTGGCTAATTGACCTTTCACCTTAACATGTTCACTCAAAAAGCACTATCAAGACGTGATGAAAAACATACTTGGAGCATTCCATCCCGAAATGAAGTACAGGAAATTTGCCTTCACCGTCAAGCTCGATGTAGAAGACCTTTCCTAAGGCAGGAAACATAAGACAATCTGAGAACTCTTGAGAATACGCTCACCATATCTTCCAACACCGGTGACCGTGCGACCGGTGATTTCATTGGCCTGATTCAGTGATTGCCAGTGCATGCGGAAGGCAATTGGATATCAGTCCACTCGCCGCAGCAACCTCGACGCCACTAACGAAGTCTTTATGAGTCGAGCCTGAATAGACAATGGTGTCTTCTATAGTATCGACCTTGACTATCTTCTTCCGAAGTGCTGTATCTCTGACCAGCTTGGCCGCTCTTTCAACCTCTGTGAGAGAAACCTTGATGATGAATCGGAACTTCTGAAAGATGCTGTACGACTTGCCTGGAAGTTCAGGCATGATCAAATACCAAGTGGAATCATGCAGTGTGCCGTTCCTAGGCCTGTGCCAAGTACGTCGTAAATGCTGAGGAGCCACGCGGCCGCGCCTGATCACAATCGGGATTCGCCGGGCGTTGAGTCGTTGAAGCTATCGGCCCCCGGAGATTTGGCCGAGATCCCTAACAGTTACAGTTGCGGACAATCAAACGCGGTAAATTTGATAGCGCCTGAACCAGATTTTTCTGAGACAAATGGACTTCAGATTCAGACTCAGGGAGGTCTAAAACCCCCAAAAATGCACTCAGATAGTTTTTCCCACGAGGTTTTTGGATGGCCAAATTTTTGGGCGATTTTTTCGACACTTATAGGCCACTTTGCGATCGTACTGAGCACTATTGGCCACCTGCTAGTCACCCGCAACCTCTGATTCATTCAAACGTTGCGAATCCACCCGAAATTCACCCAACCAGCTTCCGTAAGGGATCCTACCGCTACTTACACATTTGTTCTCACGCCACATGTTTGAGGCGTTCTCACATGTTCGCGCAGATTTCAGCTGAAACTGCCTCCGGCCATCATAGCTAGATTGGCAATGGTCAGAATGCTATCTAAGAGTGTTTGAGACTAACTTTAAATGACAAATTCCATATTCTAGGTGCACTTTGTGCATTTTCTATGGCCATATTTTTGCATGTATATTTTTCATCTGTTTGTGGCATCATCCCCTACTCATCGAAAGGAGTCGATTGCATATTTTTTCGTATTTTTATCTAATTAATTACGGGGTTGGCCAAAATTTTGGGTCCAAAACAGGAAATAATAAGAATTAGTGAAATCGGCTCGTGCAAATCGAGTCTCTGAGTCATAAGCATCACATTTGTGCAGTTTCCGAAAGTTTCCGGCACTCTCCGGACTCTGCATAATTGGACTAAAATAGTTACCGTGTTTGATTGTCCGCAACTGTACTACCTCCGAGCCTCAGGGGCACGCCCTGAACGGAAGGCTCTGTTCGAAGGTTTCCTGTACTACACCACCACCTAGCCTGATGGAGCATCCAACTCGGTGACACTGGAAGTAAAATGGAACGTTGTCTCTCGCAACCAGTGGAGAGAGAGAACCATCTCGACTCGGATGGTAACACTGGCTCTATAAACAAAGCTCGGCCTTGGGGTCTGAAATGGAGGTGCTCAACATGGTTTGTGACCCTAGGTAGATTGTTTAAAATGCGTCCAATATTTATATGCTCAACATTTACTTCAAGTCGTTGGCTTAGGTGCTTCCAGGACGGTCGTTTAGCTGTCCGTAATGGCTGATGCCTATGACAGGAATCACCACTGACCTTTTGGTGTATTCCATCATCGTGCCCATCATGCCCTTTCATCTCGAACACCTTGAATACAGTGGAGTGTCCGGGCTTGTAGGATGGCTTTTATTTGGATATGTGAGTGCGTTCTCATTGTTCAAGTTAGCGGATTGGGTTCTGACGTGCTAGTCAAGTCGGCAGGACTGGTTGTATGCGAGTAGTGTTGTAAACTTTCCATACGCTCCAATCTAATCATTGCTCTAGTCACACCTCCCATTGCGCTCTTTTCAGAGCGCTATAAATCCCGGAAGACGCCACTCATCATTGGCTTATTCGCCCTTGTCGGCGCTCAAATCATGCTCATGGAGGCGCCCAAATATTGGGTCATGGTGCTTGCTCGGATTCTACAAGGAATGAGCTCCTCTGTTGTATGGGTAGTTGGCCTCGCTTTGCTGTAAGTCCGTGATGCGGTCATGCGATGAAACATTGTTGAAAATCCACCAGTTGCGACACTGTTCCCGAAGCAATAGTAGGCAGTGAGCATGCCTTTTGCCGGTGGTGTAAAGGCACAAGCTAATCATCTGATCGTTTGTCAGGACAACTTGGCCTCGCAATGAGTGGTCTATCTCTCGGGTATGCTTCAAGTCTGCTGAACAGCTATGTTGTTCCTCTGATATACTAGGTAGCTTTCTGGTAGGACCGTCTGTATCTGGAGCTCTCTACAATGCGTTCGGCTTCCACGGTCCATTCATCTTCGGTGTTATTGTCACAATGGTCGACCTGTTCGGCCGCTTGTTGATAATTGAGCGCAAGAAGGCGCTGCTCTGGGGAGTAGACCCTGCCGCTGTGATGGCGAAAGATGACGGAGTTGATAAAGAGGAAAAGACCTTTAGCAGTGATGTCCACAACGCACAAACTCCGCCAACCGCTATTGTAACAGAAATCATCGAAATACCAGCAGAAACGACTGAAATACCAGCTGATGACGCAAAAATGCCTTATACTCTTCCCTCTTTAGGAGGTGGCACGGATCCAATGGACGCTCCTACAATTCCTGAGCGTGGACCAGCGCTTTTGACTGTTCTAGCGTCGCTCGGCAAATCATCGAGAGCGCTGTCTGTATTTGCCACGACATTGATTTATGGGTATGTTGTCGCTATCATATCTATGTGACACTGTGTCAGATACCCTCATAGAATTTTGTATACCAGCCAGGAACCCGCACTTCCCTTGTATTTACAGGCACAGTGGAACTTCAATGCATCTAAAGTTGGGCTTGTCTATATTGCAGCTGTGGTGCCTACGGTGTTCTGTATGTCCACTAGCCAGAAGATATCCCGCCACTCACCGTCCATCTAGCATCGGCTTTGACAGGTTGGCTCTCTGACCGCATAGGGACAGCTGGAGTCACCGTGCTGTGCCTTGCATTATCTTTGCCATGGTTCAGTCTTCTCATCATACGTGGAGCTTTGGCTTTTTTTATTGTTGTGTATGCTCTAGCGAGTACGTCTTCTGTTATTTTTTTCCCGTTCAATCATGAGAAAAATGTATGGCGCTTTTCTAGATTTCTTCTCTTCAGGCGTTGTCTCCCCGCTAACTGCGGAGCTTGCTGCAGTAACTCGAAGACTGGACGGTGTAGGCTGTATGTGTTGGTGGCCTTCTCTGAATTCTATCCTTAGAAATGTCGGACAGATGCGCATGTGTATGGCGCATTCAATCTCGCATATGGGATTGGCTCTGCTTGTGAGTGGCTAGATATCCTCTGAACGGACAGCTTATTAAGATGATGCGCACACATAGTGGGACCTCTGATTGGCGGGCAGGTGAGTCAACATCTGTGGCCATCGTACAAGACGGAAATTATCAATTCACATCGGGCGTCCTAGATTTATGAACATGTCAAACATGGGTGGGCCACCATCTGGCTGCTTGCCACAGGCCTTGCTGTCGTTTCTATGGCCCTCGCGTTCTGCTACTTCGAAGAAGTCTCTCTTCTCTCAAAGTTCATTCATTGTGTTGACAACTTGATAACGAAGCGCGGAAGGTAGGCCGAAGTTGCTTCTAAGTAGGCATGGGCCATAATTGGCACGTAGGATGTATACAGGGCTAGATATGCTACATGACTCATGAACTCTTGAGGGTATCTAGCGCCGACGTACGGCAGATACTGTTCAATATAATATGTATAGGATATGGATATGTGATAAGATGCATGAAGGACAGCGTGAATGGATAACACAACATGGATAGAGGAAACATCACGCAGAACTGACAATAAATCAGGGTGGATGTGTTGAGAGATCTGAATGCTGGGGAGGTGCCCCGAATGTACACAACAGGGATATGAGATCGGCTGATGTGAGAGTTGCGGTCAGCAGAACAATCCAAATTTGCATGAGGAAACGTACCTCTTTTCAGCGGTTTACTCAAGAAGGCGTTCATCCCGGCACTGAGACAAAGTTGCTTTGTTGACTCTTGACAGTCCGCGCTCAATGCAATGACTGAAACGACATTTAGTTTATCATACGATGAGTCGCAAGGAAAGTGGACTCACTCGGCAGAAGAGTTGTTACCTTACGCCTGCTTTCTAAGACTCGTACGCGCTTGCAAGCCTCGACGCCGTCACATATTGGCATATCTGCAGCAGAATGAGTTTGTGACGGTACTTGCTTATATAACATCAACTGACGATGATCAAATAGGGCCGCACTGAAGTGTCCAGGTTCATGAGATTCCCATTCTGTAAAAGCGGTAAAATCAATCTAGTGCCAAGAGAGACCAGCGATCATCATTACCAGCAATAGCCTCTTCACCATTGGAAGTAGCCACAACATTCAAGTCGTAACGTTCTAGCTGTTTCACAAGAAGCTTCTGCGCCACAGGATTGTCTGCAACCGAACTTGAGTTCGTACTCAACAGCATCATCAAGGACCTGACCTTCCGCAACCAGTACACTACCATATAGTGTGCGATGTGAAAGAGCCTCTTCTTCCGCCAACTCAGCAACATTCATTGGTGGTGCAGCGGGGGCTTCGATAGGCAGATTCTTCAGATCGGCCAACGCTTGTAGTAATCTCAGTTGACGTGGTGGCTTCGTCATCCGGACAATCCCTGCGCCTATATCATGCCTCAACACGGGAGGCCCTGAAAGGCTGTCCGTCGTAGGTGTGAAGAGGTGAATGATCTTGGTATCCTTCAATGAAGCAAACGACAATGACTGAAGAACATGCGCGAGATCGTCCGCACGAGGCTCTGACTGATCATCGAGAATTACGAAGTCTAGAGGAGGATGAAGGAGTCTGGCATTACGAAGGTGCTCCTCTGCCTCTTGGATTGACGAGACGGAAGTGATGAAGAAGCCACTTAACATCGTACTCAGGAGAGACAGCGTGGCGCTCGAGGCAGAGCTGATCAGGAGTCGCAGTGGCTGAGGTTTCATAAGCTGAGACTTCAAGCGTTCCATCTCTGCTAGTGCCTAAACGAACCATGTTGAGCACAGGAAATCATACGTTCAAAGCAGCGACTTACTTGACGAGATTCCTCCGACTCGAAAATCTCCACGGGAATTGTGAACCAAAACATCGAACCAACACCTAATTCAGACTGAACACCGATGGCACCGCCCATAAGCTTCACAAGTTGTCGAGAGATTGATAGGCCTAAACCAGTTCCTCCGAACCTCCGCGTTGACGAGTTATCGGCTTGCTGGAAGGGAACAAAAAGCAGATCGACATCACTGCCGAGGAATCATCAGCTCAGCACGCCCCGTAGACAACGGTGCCTTGCCCACCTCGAGCTCAAACCAATGCCCGTATCCCTTCCCGAAACGATTTGTGAGATCACGCACAAAGTCAAGTTGATAATTTAAGTACTCACTGAATGACGAACTTCAGGCTCACTTGCCCAGCCGAAGGTGCAGTACTGGCGTCGAGCAAACACGTCACACGAACAAAGCCACGAGCGGTGAATTTTACGGCGTTGCCGATGAGGTTCATCAAAACTGGCGGGTCAATGAGTTATCGACTACCAAGAGTGAACGGTGGACTTACTTTGTCGTATTCGAGCATAGTCAGCTTTCACCCCTGTCATTTACTTATCAGAACCAACGCAATTACAGTACAGATAGAGAAAGCATACAAGGAGGAACGTCAGGCTCAATGTTGTAGGACAAGTCCAGCTTCTTCGCCGCCATAGGGAGGAGCAGCTCCATGCAATCCTGGCCGGCAATTCAAAGATTGCCTAATGTGGGGAAGCAGAACACATACGGCAATCATGTTCTCCATGGAGAACCCAGAATACTCTAGCTTCAGCGCTATGGGAGTTCTATGTCAATGGAATGTAATGGAGGTCTGCTCAATGGTCTTACCAGAGGCCTCTAACTTGCTGTAATCCAAGATAGAGTCAATGATCTGTGCAAAAGAATGTAAGTACGAAGAGTGATGCGCAGAAAGCACCATTACTTTTAATAGCAGCTCGCACGACTGCTTGGCAGTTTGAACTGAATGTGATGTCAGCTTGAGCATCTGTTGTCATTACTTTATCAACCCACCGATCTCTCTCTGGCCGGTATTCAACTCCGTGCCACTGAGAATATCGAGAAGTCCATAGAATGAACTGAGAATTTTACGTATCAGCCCGCGATATGAACCTGGGACTGACGTGCTATATGTACCTGAACGGTGTTCGCAATTCGTGACTCATCGAAGCCAAGAAGTTGCTTTTGATCTACCATACGGATTAATATGCTCCATGAAGCACGCAGCTTAGGCTACGGACCTTGGTAGCTTTGAGGGCATCTTCTCGACTCTTGCGTGCAGTTTCAAGAGCATCACGCTGAGCGGCTATCATTTTCAAGTTCTCTCGCGTCCCAGCTTGCACTGAACGGAACAACAATGCATTTGAGATCCCAATACTGGCCTGCTGGCAAAGGAGAGTCAAGATGGTCACCGTGTTGGGCGAAAAGGTGTATTTTGAGGCCAAATACACTGCTCCAAATGTTTGTCCGCGGTTGCTGAATATCGGCAGGCACACCACGGATCTATGTGAACTCTGCTGAGCTTCAGAAGAGAATCGTGGTTCAGCCGATACGTCCTCGAAATACTGTCGCTCTTTCGTGTTGATGGCTGACAAGAGCATCAGAGTGAAGCAATCAACCACGACAAAACACGTACTATGCTGGATGATAGTGCGCTGGAGAGGATCGACGATAGATCGTATTGGCACCGGATTCCTAGCGTTAAAAGTCAGTGACAAAGATAGTGGTGACAAACGGATGACATACTCATGTACCTGACACGGTTCAGGCGGAACCAAGCTGGTAGCAACGGTATAATCTCCCGCCTCTCGTGCTATAACTACGCATGTGCTCTGACTACCAGAGCTTTCTGCAAGTGCAAGCTACTTAGGAACGATGCTGAAGCATAGCAAATACGTAGGCATACCAGTAGCGATCTCCGTCAAGCGCTGCAACGCCATAGGCAAGTGAATGTCGCTTGAGATTTCTTTACTCCACTTCAAGATGGATGCAAGATCCGCAGCAGTGAGTTTCGAGATCTCCTCTTCTTCCGTCGAGTCCGATTTGCCGTTGTCAAAGATGCCCTGCATCTGGGGATTCGAAGTCATGACAACACTATCGGTCTGGACTGCCACATCGGACGAGAAGATGTGACGCTTCAAAGGTAATTGCGCGCGGGTGTCCAAGAGCGAGGTTAGGTTATTACTGTCAGAGATATGTCAATACCAAAGCAATCGTGGAAGAGACTATACAAACACTATGCCTCGTGCACCCCATTGAGCTTGCCGTGATATTCCTCTACGTTGCAGTTCACTGCCAAGGCCTTCGACTCCACATCGAACAAAGTGGCATCCTTGCTGATTTCCAAACATGAAGGTTAAATGCCACGATCATTACGAGCATGGAGAAACATACTAGAAAGATGGCCCAACCAGCTTCAAGCAGCCAGTCGTTGTTAACAGCAAGTCTATGTCCGAATGTGAGGCACGAAAGAATGAGTGATTAAACCGAGCATACTTCACAGCGACATCGAATAACTTGAATGCATCTGGATTATTCGTCAGAGATGCGATTTCCGCGTCCTGTGAGGTGGAATTAACGAGAATCATTCAACACACGAAGCCAACGCACCACTAGAGCAACCCAAGCAGCTGTGTTGACCGGACTGGGTGACAGCCATCTATTGACGTACAACTCAATGCGACATTGTAGGAAACGTGCACGAACTGCTTACTTTCTGACGTATGCCTGGTTGTTGTCGATTTGCTTCGTGAAGCGACTACGGCGGTCTTGAGGCACCTTCCCCTCACGAAGACAAGCAACCAACGCCAGACTGTGGAAAAACAAGGCATAGCGAGTGTGCCGGTGACTGGCAAGGATATCAGTAACTGCGTAAGTGAGCACCAAAATCAGAAATTACTTTGGATGTCTATCTCTTGTTTCATAGAGGAGAAAACCCAGATCAGCGGCTTCCTCAATGAATCCGAGGCAAAATAGTCCAACAACCTGTGCAGACCATTACATAGACAGATCATCAACCGACACAAAAAGGTAACGATACCTTCAGAGAGTTGTACCTGCAGATGGTCAATTAACCGATTGTGACGCGTAAGTATCAACCTCGTGCACATACCAGTTCATCGTCACATCAAAATTACCACACTTAGCCTCAACTTCACGCAGGTATTCGCGTTCGTTGTAAGTTTCAGTATCAAAGGCGGTCTCCGCCGATTGAGCGATTGTGAAACCTCCAAGGGCACGGATACAATTCAAAAGACCTATTAAAAAGTAAGTCACATACTAGGGACAAATCATAAACACAAACCTTGACCCAACACAGCAAGATCGTCGCTCGGTGTCCATAACGTGACGTCGGAAACACACTTTGTAACCACAGATTAACCTAACGTGATGAATACTATCCTTTGACACTGACCTCTTCCGCGGCAACCACAAGTTCGCTGACTACGCTGCATCTGAGTATCATTAGCATGCGAGGGGGTTTAAGACCTACGATGATCACATGTCCATAGTCGGGTTTGTATCCTATGGACGCTCGCAAAACTGCTGAAGATCCTGCAGAGAAACTTGTAAGGTCCAAAGTTCAAAGAAGGCAATCACTTAGACAGTACTGACTTGTCTCCTGAGCTTTGGCCGTATTTCAGTGCCTCCTCTAATCGCGGCAGATTCACGCGTATGTGAACGTTATCGTACCCAGAAACCATGGAACAGAAAAGAACAAGAGCACGGCTGTAAGAATGAAGTCGGTTAATATCGAGGCAGGATTCCAATTGCCCTATCTTCACCCTTTTTCATAATTGGTGCCGTATTGGTCAGCGATCCGCAACGCTAGTTTGCCCAGATCGGCAGAGAAGCGATACAGTTCCCTTCTCTCCGCGGCGGCTTCAACGCACGTCAGATATGCTTAGAGCACACACAGTACTGAGCAATCATACCTCCCAGCGCCCAGAAGAATCCAAGCGCCGTACCAGGACACATTCCCGAGCTGGATGCAAAGATTCAATTTGTTTACGCCGATCGCTTGATTGTGTACGCTTACCGCAACGCCAGCTTGACCGTCTAACGAATGCGTTAGATAAGATATCACCTCGAGAGGGCGATCCACACACTTACCGTCAGGCCAATGACATCCGCAAAACCCTCACCCTTACTCCAATAAGCATTGTGGCCTAGACAGAATGTGAGATCACAACGGTGACATCGAAAATCATACTCACCAGCATCGTTCAAGAGGGCGATGGCGAGATCAGTCCTGGAGTCTCTCGCGCGAGGTATTGACAAGATGTCATCAAACCCTACGGCCAATATCTCGTTCTTCACGTCTTCAAACATCACGTCCGCTTCGCGTCGCGTGGGCGCAGAGTTGACTTCGACACCGAGCAGATGTAAGCCTTGGATATTATCGATAAGGGCTGCGGCGTAATTCCCACGCATCCAGAAATTTCTAGAACGAAGACGCAACATTCGAGCCTTGCTTTCTGCGTCGTCCACTTTTGCCAGACATTCCTCAACCAGGGCATCCGAAGTGGCATAGTCACCTGTTGGCACATCAGTAACCCTCTCCTTGACTTAGCATGTAGACACCACCTTTCCACGTGTACAGTCTGCGTAAAGGGGCAATCAGCCTCCGCTTCTACAAAGTTGATATCAATACATACTCTGCGAGCCTAAGACACAAAGATCCGGTTCGCTCTGGATCTGTTGTCCACGAATCAGCATCAAGGAGTGACTGGGCATTGATGTATGACTGTAGTGCAAGCTATGAAAGAGTTTCGAGAAGTTGATAATATTGCACCACACGAATCATTCAGCTCTGCTTACCTCATGAGCACCACGGGCTCGAGCGGAATCACCTGAATCGATGGAAAGGAGGAACAACTCGTCCCGCTTTGCATGCTCACGGAGCAATGGCAAGCACCTGTAAAATTGTTCAGTCACGGCGTTGAAGTACCTGTGACAGACACATATACCGTTTAGCGTGCTCCGCAATGCGATAAGCGTCAGGTGTAGAATCGTGAAGCATCATCAAAATAATCTAGGAGTGTATCATGAACAACTGGCTTTATTTTACGCCGAATCGCGTGACTTGCCCTGAAAGACATCTTAGATATCATGCTCTCTGGTAGACTCTCCGCTTCGGCCAGGGCAGCTTGGCGATACCGATCGTGGGCAAAGCTACACATGTCGCGCGCTCTCTGGACCAGCCATCCTTCTGCAATAGCCGTCTGCAATCCACGCATGGAAGGTCGACCAGTAGTCGGCGCTGTATCCCGGATATTCGTCACCGCCTTTGACACGTCCCACATGTCATCTGCTTCTTCGTCGCTGGCACTGCTGCCACTGGAGTCTTCCCAGTCTATCATCAACGCTACTTCGGTTACGCGGAAACTGAAGAAGAGAGTCAATACAAGAGAACGAGGGCCCACGAAGAACTTACGTCGGTCCAAAGAAGGAAGCCCAGATGAGATACTTCTTTGCATCTTCAGGCAGCTCGCGCAGATGGGCGATGAGGAAGGTGAGGTCGGTTGGGTCTGTAACCATTTGCTTGTCAAGGAGACTGTTCTCAATGGCAGTTATGTCATATCTGTGAGAGCAATGAATGAACACGACGATAGTAGGAATTAGGTGGGTGACAACGTACTCCCAGTAATTACGATCCCAGCTATATTTGATCTGCAATTATATTGGCATAAGAGAAAGGTCCTACACACGCTGCAGCAATTCGCACGTACATGATGTTGCCGCTGTAAGGTGTGCAGAATATTTCTCGCCGAAAATGCGTTACCTAACGACGCGGCATGCACAATACGCGACAGACTGGCGGCCTCTTCTTTCGGTCGGTGAAGCGTTCGTGCCACAAGATTCGAAATCGCTGAGTAGGTCAGAGGTTCCAGCGCTATCCACGTGGCGGCTTTGCTGTTGGAGAACGTAGCTCGAATCTTCTCCACAACATCGCTGGTATAGAAAACACGTCAGTAATAGTTAGATGATCTGTATGCTTATACCTACGCTTTGTCCGAACGGACAGTTGCAAAAACAAGCTATGGACACACGTCAATATGACTACTCGAACTGGATAGTGGTGAAATAAAATACAATGCGACTTCGAGAATTGACAAGGGCATTGATGAGGTCTAATGAACTGAAGAAGACATTAGTTTACTCTCCGAAAGAGTCATGAGGTCACTCAACGAATCGCCAGCGTCGTGGAGATCATCCAAGAACAAGGCGAACAAGCGCGTCTCCGCAAGGATGGTAAATACATTTTGCACAAGGGATTGGAATCGCGCACGTAGCTCATATGTCTCCAGCGCTTCTTGCGGAACATCAATGTGAATTCCAAAGAGTCCCAAGATATCACGCAACTCAGGCGCGCTCTCGTACAAAAGTGGTACGTTCTGCAGCTGCGGTCCCAGGCGTGCTTTCAGTGCGTAGACAAAGCTGTGTAAATCCGTGTGGAAAACAATCAACTGGCGGAGCACCGACGACAAACAAGCCAGCTGAGACTGTCGGCTCAATAACTGCGTGGAACAGCGCATTCGTGAAACACGCACCAGCGATGCGAATGGCCCAGCTTCCACACCGGAGAACCTTGCTTGGCCCCACAAGCCGTGCGCTGTAGCAAGTATCAGTACCGCAGCCCTAACAGTATGCGATCAGGCTACTCACATCTCCATTTGGCTTGATTGGCCAGTATCAAAGAACTCTTCCCCGCTCTACGTGAAGTATAAGATTAAATAATGAGCCAAGATACCTTGGATGTCATAGCTTACCCTGGAGGCCCAACCACGACCACGGCGTGAGTTCGCGGCCGGCTGGTTGAAGGAGACAAGGCAACCCGGCGCAAGCCATCGCTGGTAGAGACCGGAGAAGTGCTCAAGGTAGCAGATGAATTGAGCTCGGAAGATCTCATTGACGACAGCTTTGGACTTAAGGCATCGCTACTTGTCCCGGTGGAAATCTGGCCCAGTCCAGAAACTTCGCTTTTCGACGACATAGATTCGCTGCGGTCTTCCCCTGTTCCAGTCGTTGTACCAGTTGCACTATCTGAGGATCCAAGGATTATTGAGCCTTTGGAGGCCCCGATATGCCGAGAATAGCTTGTTGAAGTGTGGCGAATGACATTGCGTATAATCTCAAGCTCCTTCTCTCGGCCAAACTGAAACAAGCGTTACATGACCAGTAGACGGCTAACAAACAAAAATCATACCAATGGACTTGGAATGGTGAATTCCTGCGCAGAGGATGAGATACATGAACAGACAAACATTGGTAGGTTGACTCACCATATAACGGTCCTCTGCGGCGATCTCGAATGATGGTATAAGCTGAAAGAAGGTGAATTCTAAGACTCGCAAACAGACAAAGAAGATAAACGCACTTCCATTGCTTGATCCGACACCAGAGTCACAGCTCTCAACAGTAACCGTTGGCATTGCAACAGATCTTGCTTGAGACCATATGCGCTCTGGTAACGCATATCTGGGCCTTTTGCTAATAGCTATATGGATAATTCGAACTTCGTCTAAAAAAACCTATTCATCAAGCCACGCACCTTGTCAATGATTGCTGCCAACACCTGCGGAACGTCTCTGCGAACTTCGTGCACGGGCATGGGTCGTTTCTGCACAATCGCATGCAAGAGCTCCAACGGCCCTCCTTCAAACGGCATTGTACCGCGGCCGACTAACAGCGTCCAGAACATGACGCCGAGAGAATACAGGTCTGTTCGGTGATCTTCCGTCAAAGCCTCCATGCTCCCGGTTTGCTCGGGTGCTGCATTAAATATGTTAGACTTAGCAACCACATGAGAATCTCAAGACACACCAAGATAACACAGTGCCTCTTTCACCTTCAATTTCTTCGCCTCCTCAAATGCATCCGCTCGTAAGACAAACGTTGATGGAACACCAAACTGCTCCAGAGAGACCGCCCGGTTACCAAAGTGGACCATCCGAACTAGACCGCTATGCGCGCTCAAGTGGAAGGCATTGGCTCGCACTGTGATCATACATAAGATTATGTTCTTAAGTTGCTTGGAGCAAGACGCATACCTTCGCGATGAATCAAGCCCGACCTTATAAGGGATGAGTAGCAGATCGCAGGATCGTACGTCAAAACGTACCTGTGCATCATCTCCAAACAGTGTGTGGCTTGTATTGCAAACCTGCAACAAAATCAGATACCGAACATCAAGTGAATACGCTAGACTCACTCAAGGAACGACGCCAGATCCATGATCTCAATCGCCTCCATCTCCTCCGCGTCATATGCATCCTCCAGCCCCATCATGTAGATATCCCTATGTGAGGATGCCGGTCGCGCCCGTGAAATGTCGCCCAGCAGTAGGTCATTGACTTTCAGCGGGGGAAAGAAACGACCGAGGAGGTTGAGCCCTGGGTGTGCGAGCAGCAGCACGACGCAATCTCCGTTGGGGCGAGGGATGGAGAAGAAGTCGATCATCCGCAAGGTCGTACTGGCCGACTCCGGTGTCGTAGACATACGCTCGAGACTGTAAGCAAAGCCGAAAGCTCCCGTCAGTTAGAGAAAAAGAGAAGGTGACAGTGACGTACATATGAGCTTCGCGTTCGATGCATAAGGATGCATTCGAGTGAGCGAGGGCGATCTTAGCCAAGACCGCCGAACCATCTTTCAAGCTTGTGCCCTCCGCAAGCCGGGTCATACTGCCGGTATCCTCCCATGCTACTGCCTTGAAGGTTCGCGTGATGAGATGGACACAAATTCGGCCGGAACGATGGGCATACCTTCTCAAATGTGTACCCGGGGAGAGATAAAATGTCTTCCCTGAAGTAGAGGTTTGGCAGCGCAGGTTGCGCGAACTTCCTGCGCATGTTGGAAAATGAGCGACCAGCGGTCGAGCCAAACGTTGTTGCTGATAGCGTCGCCGTCGTGTACGAGGAAACAGATGGTCGTGGAGAACGCGAATTCCGCGGCGACAGTGAACTTTTGACGACCAGGTACTCGTCTGTTTGTCACGACGCATCGTCTGCAGCTCTCCTTGGCCAGGTCGCCCAGACTCAAACCAGACCCTGTTGCTGTGTCACAACAACGTCATAAGGCACGATTTCACTCCTTATTCCGATATTTCTATTGGCTCCTTCTCGATTAATGCCCGTGACAAGAACTATGGACTTTCCACCACAACACATATGCATGCACGGCGTGTCCTTTGAGAGAGACAGAAGGACGATGAGATTATGAGTACAATCATGACAAGGCTACTCTACGCGAGTAAATAACAAAGAACAAAGAACACCAACACGGACATCCAGAGATTACGAGGTCACTGGACAAAGATCTGTCAGTCCAACACCGCAAGGAAGAAATTATAACACTTACTGTAGCTGGCAGGATCGACGTGTTCAGGAAGATCCGAAACAGCAACTTCGAACCGCGACTGAATCGCGGACATGACCTGTTGGTCACTTTCCGACGACACGAATGTAATGGCGAGACCTTTTGTGCCGAACCGTCCAGCACGACTGCATCCGGTATCAGTGCTGGTTCACGCATCAAGGATGACTACGGCACATACCCGACACGATGAAGGTAGCTGTCCGCATCGGGAGGGCAATCGTAATTGATAACGATGTTGACCCGCTCAACATCAATTCCGCGACCGAATATGTCGGTCGCCACAAGGATACGCTTCTCGAATGCTTTGAAAGCGGTGTATCGGTTGATACTATGCACGCCACATGTCAACGTGGATCCAAGAATACATGTAGATGGCATACCGCTCCTCCTGAGCCAGACCAGAATGGATACTGATACTTGGGAAGTTGCACGAGACCAATAGCTTATCGAGCTCTATCGCCCGTGCGACAGACTTCACGAAAATGACGACCTAGGTGCAAAGTCATTTTAAGCTCGGGTTTGACGCACAGAACAATCACACAGACCTGGTTGAACTCCAACGTGTCCAACAACTCATTCAGCTTCCTGTTCTTTCCGACTTCCTCCAACTTCACATAGTGCTGCTGGAGACCGTGGAGCGTCAGCTTTGTCTCATCATCAACAAATATTTCGAGTGGCTACAACATATGGTGTCAGTAATAAGATCGTCTGAAACCAACTAGGAGATACTGACGTTGGCCATAAACTTCTTGCAAGTAACACGAATATCCTTCGCCAACGTCGCACTGAACATCATCACCTGCTTGTGATGAGGTGTCGCCCGGAAGATTTCTTGAACATCGCGTCGCATGTCTAATGAACGGTGCCGCAATCGGTGAGAACGGTCCAGTACAAGTCAGGAAGGTAAAATTAGTGAAACAAAGTCGATCGGGAAGGCGAGCAAGAAAATGAAAACGAAGCGAATAGAAGCAAAGGCTGCGCTATACATCTTGCTCGGGTGGCGATCGGTGCTATGTCTGAGTAGACACTGCTCCGCTGCGTATTGATTTCGTCGAAGCATTCGTCAACTCCATCCTCCCTTGCTATCCTCGTCCTCAACAAACGCCATACCGGGTTCCGCCAACCGGTGCCGATATTGATCGAAGGAGGGCGCTCAGCGCTCACAGCGCCTCGCGGGACGCAGACAGGCGAGAACGACTGAGAAATCCACACGGCCGACTCCGCGATGGAAAGAAAGGGGCATGGGGCAGGTCGTAGTAGTAGGAGGGAGGGCCGAAATTCGCATGACTAACCAAGCTGTTCCAGCATTTTATCGCACTCGTCCAGAATGAAGTGCTTGACTTTGCTGGCATCGAGTACCTTGTCCCTCGTGAGCGCATTCAACCGTCCCGGAGTAGCGACGACCACGTGAGGGCACTTGTTTTTGTCGCGGAGTAATTCGGAGTCCTTGGCCACGGGCGTACCGCCGTAAAACGTGCTAACACGAACGTCAGGCATGTACTTGGCGAAGCGAGTATATTCGTTTTTGATTTGGAAAGCGAGTTCTCGTGTGTGGCATAGGACCAAAACGGAGACTTCGCCGTTGACAGGCTCGAGTTGTTGAAGGGTAGCAAGGACGAAAACCGCAGTCTTGCCATGGCCAGACTTAGCCTGGCACAAGACGTCCATTCCCAGGACCGCTTGCGGAATACACTCCTGCTGGACTGAAAAGTAAACACAACATGTGAGACTGACAGCATCAAGAGTAAGAATTAATCAAACTCACCTTCAGAGGGATGTTCGAAGCCAAGGTCACTAATGGCGCGCAGCAACTCAGGCTTCAACAAGAAGTCCCTGATAAGGTGAACAACGTGAGTGGCACAGCTTAGATAGCGCCGGCAGCGAGAGCAACAGGCATACCGGAAACCCGTTGAGTGAATGCCTGAGAAATTTTTCTTGTCTTTGTCGCTCTCACCATCGACTGCAGGAGCTGTCGAGACAGCACCATTGGTCGCCGATGGCGCCGCGCCACCGTTCGTGACAACGTCGTGTTCATCCTCGTAGTCGATCAATTCCTCGTTGTCGTGAGAGCTCATGGTGGATTGTGAGACGGAGAAAGCTAGCAGAGATGTTGAAGAAAGCAAAGACAAGCAGAGGGGCTAGCTGGTGACGGTAAGAGGAAAAAGGCGATGACAGGCGCCCGACGCGCGTTGCCGAAAATGAGCTTGATTGCAAGGGCGCGGCCCAAACTTTATTCCTACGCACGGACCCCTTCCCCCGACGAGTCACCCATCCCACTTATGTCTCTTGCAACCAGCTCGTTGCAACAGCTCTTCCTGTCATAGGGTCGCGACATTGATGACCTTCTTCCGCTTGCGGTGTCGTCCACTGAATGGAGGACCGCGGTATAATAATATTATCAGCTCATTGTGATCGATCTTCTCGCGCCGTGTTATCCCAAAAAAGAACCTCTCCGCCGCGCATATTGTTTTCTTTATTATAATAGTGTCGGTTAGAATGACTGCAAGTCGTGCATTGACCGGCGATGTGCTTCTAGCACCTTTTCATGCATGTCAGGTTTCACTAGCTGAGCTATGTCCGACGATTGTGCGTTAGGTTCGACGCAAACCCCTCTGACACGCAGAACGCGGACGGTCTTAATATGAGACTGCTATGTGCGTCTGTACTTCTCGTAGACATATTGGGACGATATTACAGGTTTTCCAAAAACCTTGACGTCGCACCATTTTTTTTCATTTTGCTTATGAGCTCCGGAATCCCTGAACGTCCTTATGAGGCATGAGTCATATGGCAATTAATGCGACGGAAAACATAATTTTCATTGCAACCTACGTAAGTACAAGAAAAGGGATAGTCTGGTAGTCAAGGTGCAAAATACCCAAGAACACTGATGGTACGCTCCTATAATTCGTGGATACTCTATGGATGCATCACATACCTGAGTAGAGCCCTCAACGGAGCGATAACAGCTTCCGAGAACCAGGGGGGAAAATGGTGCACGTCGACTTCAAGGCTTTATGGAAATAGGTTTTCCCTGGCATGGCCAGCCGATTCAGAAGCTCCACCAGTTGCCGGTCTTTTACCGTCTGTGGTGTCTCACAACATGTCAACTTAATGCACAGATGTTTCCTTATCCTTGTACGGCGCACATATGTGTAAACGCTCAAAAGAATTGATATTTATTTCGCGCCGAAGACATGTGGTGTTTTACGGCGCTCCGAGTCCGAAGCCGAAGTTTCGCAACATATTACCATTGTGGTTGTATTAAAATTGGAACTTCATGTAACCCACACCTCCAGCGCGAGTTTGACGGAAGGTGGAACGCTACAGAGACCGTCTGTACTCCCACCATGTCGCAACAGCAGAAGTACCCCTTCTGGTGAGCTCAAAGGTCCATTCTTGTCATCGGCGCTCATGGTCCACATCTCGGTAGGCTTGGAGGTTAGTTCGTACGATGTTGTCGAGCGAGCAGATTTTGTCCTGACTGTCCGAGCGCAATAATTGCAGGAGTCGGCGCTTCTAGTACGTTGTCCCTAGTTTTGAAGCTATGGAGTTGACTAACTCGCTCCCTGCAGTGGCCGCAAGCTGCACGCATCCGCTGGACCTCACAAAAGTGTGAGTTACCAGTGCCACGTCGGTCTCCCCACGGTTTTCATCTCTCAAGCCCTCTTAACGCTTTAATCTAGTCGAATGCAGACATTACCCCCGGTTGCAGTGAAACGCCCTTCCACATTTTCTGTCATCCGCACGACTGTGGCTGAGGGAGGCTTCCGGAGTCTGTACACCGGCCTGACAGCTTCTCTCATGCGACAGATGTCCTATTCACTCATTAGGTTAGGTAGTTACGAGAGTCTAAAAGCGCGTTTGTCACAACATGGGCATGCATCAACTGGGCAACTCTTGTTGGCCGCTATGTTGGCCGGAGGAATGGGTGGCGTAGCGGGTAACCCCGCTGGTGAGTGTTCTTATTTATCAAATGATTTTCTCTCTCAGGATGGCACACAGATATCCTGCTAGTCAGAATGACGAGTGACTCGATTCGACCGCCTGAACGAAGATACAATTACTCTAATGCACTGAGTGGTCTGGTAGCGCTAATCAAGAAGGAAGGTGCGAGGGGGTTATTCCGAGGGCTGGGGACAAACACAGTGAGCCAAGAAAAAATGTAGACATGGTGGTTCACGTATCAGGCAATTAGACACGAGCTGTCTTGATGAACGTACGTGTCCAAGTTGAATTGAATACTCGTGGCTAATTGCAATGTCCCAGGGTTCTCAAGTAGGATCGTGAGTCGGTCTAATTTGCAACGATAAAACTGCGCCGCTAATTACGCAATAGCTATGATTTCTTCAAGTCCACATTATTGCGACATCCAATACCCATAATCGAATACCATTTCCGCGACAGCCTTTTGCTGCATACTGTTTCAAGTCTTCTAGCAGGAACTGTTGCAACGAGTCAGCAGTCATACTTTGTCCCATGGTAGTTATTGAATTGATGCCCCACCTTCAGCTGTTTGTGCTCCAGCGGATGTGCTCAGGTCTCGAGTCATGTCGGCGGTGAGTGTAAAGCGGTCGCAGACGATCTTGACTATTCATCGTGACTCTGACCAGTCCGGTAAATCGAGTCCTGTGGAGGTGTTGAAGACATCGTTGCAGCACGAGGGCCCGAGGTTCCTTTTCAAAGGCTGGACGCCGGCGTTCATCCGTCTCGGACCAAACACCGTTCTCATGTTTGTCTTCTTCGAGGTACGTCCATTCTCCGTGAACGCTTGTGTGCACTAGCTGTTTTGCTAACGACGTGCGGGCAAGCAGCAATTGAAGCATGCTTGGCGCACGCTGTACCCAACAGTGTAATCTGGTGTCCACTTTCTTTCATATTGTAGTAGACATTTATTTACCTTCCACTGACATAGTGATGGACTCAGGTTACTCGTATAAGCCTCAATTTGTCTAGACATACCCACTAGATTGGATTCGGTTCTATGTAGATGCGATTGGTGTGTCGTAAATTATCAGACTGGCTTTGCAAAGTAGACATCTAGTCTGTTCCCTGTCCATGGATGTCAATCTATGCTCGGCTTGAAGCTTGAGCCCCAGTCAAAAACCCGTATGTCTGGAACGGATACAAACGACGACAAGCGGAATAAGTCGGAGGAGATCTAAGCTTATAGAAGATGCGACAGACTCGGCGCTTATATGTGACTTGACATCGTCTTCTCAGCCTGTTTTTAGCAGCGCGTTTTTGAATCACTAGTCATGTAAAGTTTCTCTGTCCTGGAACAAAGTGTCCCAGATGCTAGGACCATGACATAATCCCGGAGAGCACACCGACACGTCCGAAAGTATTACTCTAGTCTCGCTAGCCCTCCTACTGTCAGTGCAGTCGACGCGCCATCGACATGTCCCACCTCGTCTCTCGACTACTATAGTACCTTCAATATTACTTCAGTTTTCTGCTCTAACCGTGCTGAGTCTTCCACGCTAGATTCACCACTGCCAGAAACTCAGTCTAACGCCTCGTCTTCGTCCGCCGACATAGATGCCACGCTGGCAATTCAATCATCCATGCTAGATTCTCGGCTGCCCGAACATCAGCCTCACGCCTCGTCTTCCGAGTCCGCCAACGTGGACGTCTCAGGTGATGGTGCGTACAACTAATTCTATTACCGATCTCATTATTCTATTCTATTCTATCATTTAGATCCTACTCAATTGCGACCAGATAGTACTGTCCCCAGCACATCCGTTGTAGCCCTGCACACGACGCACGTAGATGCACAAAGCATTCCACTAGTCGTGGTCTGTGGCTCACATCCTCACGCTCGCGTTTATCTTCTCATACTCACATCTATTTGCGTAACCAGCCTTTCGATCCACTGTATGTACCTCCTCTCTTTGGGGAGCATCTCACTCACTGTCTGATGGTTCTACAGTGCTGATGAGTTCGATCCACCTACTCCTTACTCTCTCCCCACCCAGTCCAAAACTACGAGTGCAAGTGGTACGGCCGGTACGGGTGTAGCACCTGCCGATAGTGATCTCAGAGCGACCGCTGCGGATGCACCTGCAAAGCCGAAGCGCAAATCACCCAAGATGAAAGCGAACAAGTCTAATGATGCATCGTACGTGACATTGGTTATGCCTGTTTGCCCATGCTCACTGCCAATCTCTCTCCCACAAGTAATTTGTTTGCCATCGACTGGCTCCCAACGAATCAAGGGAAATCACGCGACGAATTCAGCGCTGCTTGGGCAGCTGTAGATGCAGAAACCAGGAAGGTAATGCAATGTACTATGGTATTCTTCCTTACTCATTCTTGTCGCTGCATGCAGAAATACGAGGTTCTCAGTGCGACCAAGAAGACTGCTGCAAAGATGGAGGAGGCTGCAAAAAGAAAGGCTAGTAGAGCGACCAAGGCCACTAATAAATCGAATGCGAACATCGCAGGTGCCTCTCAAGCGACTTAGGTATTTTTCCGTGTTTCTCTTTCGAACCGTACTGATGTCGATGCCCAGGGTTGTGGCTGGGTATCCGAATTCTGTTGCATGTGGAGGCGGGCAGCACGGGTGACAGTTGTGGGGCGTGGAGCACGTTGCAGAGGGGGAGCGAGGCGAGTGCGGTGCAGGGCGCAGGGCGCAGGGTGCAGGGTGCAGGGCGCGGGGCGCAGGGGCGGGGGCGGGGGCGAGCACGAGCACGACGGGGCGGGCGCTGGCTTACTCGGACAGCAACGGACGATATCGAAGGACAACGGACCTCATCTCAGTCTATCGAAGACTATCGATGTGTAGCTAAAGGGAACGGAGTGTATTCTACGGGTCGAGGATGAATCTGGTTGACATCGGACAGTTATATACCTGGGCCTAACGGTTTCGAAACGCGCATACAGAGCATATTTCTGCTCCTTTTTTCTTTGAAGCTGTCCGCTCTCAAAATAAAATAGTCCACTTTTCGAACCAAAACGGAGTATTTCTACGTCTTAATATTTATTCCTTTCTCGTCCTTTCTCGTCATACAGGTTTTTGACTGGGCTTGAAGCTTGAAGCTTGAAGTCCAAAGTTAATCCCCGGTTGTGAATGTGACCGTTTGTCACTGTGAAGCGTCAGAGGAGGTTGGGTCAGCACAATACTTAACTATTCTTGACACTCAATCGATCAAGCTCAAGCCCAGTCAAAAACCTGTATGACGAGAAAGGACGAGAAAGGAATAAATATTAAGACGTAGAAATACTCCGTTTTGGTTCGAAAAGTGGACTATTTTATTTTGAGAGCGGACAGCTTCAAAGAAAAAAGGAGCAGAAATATGCTCTGTATGCGCGTTTCGAAACCGTTAGGCCCAGGTATATAACTGTCCGATGTCAACCAGATTCATCCTTGACCCGTAGAATACACTCCGTTCCCTTTAGCTACACATCGATAGTCTTCGATAGACTGAGATGAGGTCCGTTGTCCTTCGATATCGTCCGTTGCTGTCCGAGTAAGCCAGCGCCCGCCCCGTCGTGCTCGTGCTCGCCCCCGCCCCCGCCCCTGCGCCCCGCGCCCTGCACCCTGCACCCTGCGCCCTGCGCCCTGCACCGCACTCGCCTCGCTCCCCCTCTGCAACGTGCTCCACGCCCCACAACTGTCACCCGTGCTGCCCGCCTCCACATGCAACAGAATTCGGATACCCAGCCACAACCCTGGGCATCGACATCAGTACGGTTCGAAAGAGAAACACGGAAAAATACCTAAGTCGCTTGAGAGGCACCTGCGATGTTCGCATTCGATTTATTAGTGGCCTTGGTCGCTCTACTAGCCTTTCTTTTTGCAGCCTCCTCCATCTTTGCAGCAGTCTTCTTGGTCGCACTGAGAACCTCGTATTTCTGCATGCAGCGACAAGAATGAGTAAGGAAGAATACCATAGTACATTGCATTACCTTCCTGGTTTCTGCATCTACAGCTGCCCAAGCAGCGCTGAATTCGTCGCGTGATTTCCCTTGATTCGTTGGGAGCCAGTCGATGGCAAACAAATTACTTGTGGGAGAGAGATTGGCAGTGAGCATGGGCAAACAGGCATAACCAATGTCACGTACGATGCATCATTAGACTTGTTCGCTTTCATCTTGGGTGATTTGCGCTTCAGCTTTGCAGGTGCATCCGCAGCGGTCGCTCTGAGATCACTATCGGCAGGTGCTACACCCGTACCGGCCGTACCACTTGCACTCGTAGTTTTGGACTGGGTGGGGAGAGAGTAAGGAGTAGGTGGATCGAACTCATCAGCACTGTAGAACCATCAGACAGTGAGTGAGATGCTCCCCAAAGAGAGGAGGTACATACAGTGGATCGAAAGGCTGGTTACGCAAATAGATGTGAGTATGAGAAGATAAACGCGAGCGTGAGGATGTGAGCCACAGACCACGACTAGTGGAATGCTTTGTGCATCTACGTGCGTCGTGTGCAGGGCTACAACGGATGTGCTGGGGACAGTACTATCTGGTCGCAATTGAGTAGGATCTAAATGATAGAATAGAATAGAATAATGAGATCGGTAATAGAATTAGTTGTACGCACCATCACCTGAGACGTCCACGTTGGCGGACTCGGAAGACGAGGCGTGAGGCTGATGTTCGGGCAGCCGAGAATCTAGCATGGATGATTGAATTGCCAGCGTGGCATCTATGTCGGCGGACGAAGACGAGGCGTTAGACTGAGTTTCTGGCAGTGGTGAATCTAGCGTGGAAGACTCAGCACGGTTAGAGCAGAAAACTGAAGTAATATTGAAGGTACTATAGTAGTCGAGAGACGAGGTGGGACATGTCGATGGCGCGTCGACTGCACTGACAGTAGGAGGGCTAGCGAGACTAGAGTAATACTTTCGGACGTGTCGGTGTGCTCTCCAGGATTATGTCATGGTCCTAGCATCTGGGACACTTTGTTCCAGGACAGAGAAACTTTACATGACTAGTGATTCAAAAACGCGCTGCTAAAAACAGGCTGAGAAGACGATGTCAAGTCACATATAAGCGCCGAGTCTGTCGCATCTTCTATAAGCTTAGATCTCCTCCGACTTATTCCGCTTGTCGTCGTTTGTATCCGTTCCAGACATACGGGTTTTTGACTGGGCTTCAAGCTTCAACTTGAAGTTTTCATGCAGCACTGTGCCGTCCTCAACCTCGCAATCACTGCTACATCATTGATTCTGGAGGTTCTTGAAAGCATTTATCAGGCTGTGTCTGTCAAATGTCTTGCTCCTGACTGAATTGACAAACATCCTCGAAACACAAAGAGTTATCACAGCTGTGGTCATCACATCTAAGGTTAAATCTACTGTACAGTTTCATCAGCATTGTGCTCGGTAGCTGAGCTACGGAGTGGAGCACGGCTCACTAAGATAGCACATTCGCCGTGCAATGTAGAGTGCTAGTCTTGCGGGTTGGGGAGAGGTGGATTCCGGCGGCGGCTCAAGCTCGGAACAGGCTGCAATAGGCGCCTCACAGGACTGCGACGGCCCGAGAAGTCAGCGGGCGACCGGCAGCGGAGGGGCGAAATGCGAGGGGAGCCTGAGCGGAGAGAATCGCGGAATCCAACTCGAGCGTGAAGCGGCGGAAAGTCGTTGAGAACACGGCTAACCACCGCTAGGACGCTTGAATCAACAAGGGGAGGTGGGTGGGATGAAAACGAGTGAGAGGCTGTAGGTGCAGGAGGAACAGACTGGCGCTTACGGCGCCTATTCCTCCGCCTTCAGCCTCTCGCTTAGTAAGCACTAGTTTGACTTAGCGCTCGCGAGCTGGCTGCTAAGCCAAACTCCACTCTCCCTATTTCTCAGTGGCGCAGCGGACCTGGTCTCTCAGTTTGTCAATGCGCGGTCGAACTCTCGGCGGTGGGCTACCGCGAAGATGGATGTGTTACTCTGCTAGTGGTGCACGCAGATTCACTATATTATCCGTCATGACTACACTGGCAACCACTGGCTTCTCTTGTGGGAGTTCGGACGAAACATCAAAATTTCGTTGGTTGCGGTCAACATGTCTCATGCACTCGATTCGTCCGAGAGCGATGACACTGGACACCCCTTGGTGCCACTTTATTTTACAAGTTGAACGTGTTCTTGAGAAAATCCTTTCCTCTACCCGTCTCCCTTGCCGCCTATCGATGGGCAGTTTGCTGGGTTTGGGCCCTGAGGCAACACTACGCGATCAATGCAGAGGGTGCTAGTGTGCTGTATTGACACTGCTAACTGAATAATTGGGGCAAGCCCGTGCCAAATATTTCCGGTAGCATGTGGTCACACGGTGAGAATCGATGATTGGCAAACCGGCGGCCTACATGCAGCAAGATCGTAAAATTCCGACCACTTTGGTGTGCATGGTGAGCAGCTCACTTCTTCGGTGAAATGTAGTTTCATGACATTCGTCTTGTTGGCGGAATAATATCTTCCGAGACCATACCTGTATTTAGAACGATTTTCCCCTTCGTTTCTTCAGACGCGTGCCTCTGGAATTGTACCTACCAAGTCGTTCACTAATTATTGAAGTCTGACGCTGAGGAAGGCGCCGTAGTAACTCGATGATGGTTAGCAAGAGCCACGATACCATGACGAAGCTGCAGCGTGAAACGATTTACGGTGTGTCTGTTTCCATTTTTCAAATTCATCACCCACTCGGTTCCATTTTCCTTCCATACCGCTGGCCTCTTATAAAGTACGACTCGGAAGGTTGTGCGCATTTATTGATTCTCATGCTGTGGCTCCAGATCTTTTTTTGAGGTGACTTTCGCCGTACATGCTTTAATACAGTCACGCCGGTCCTTCAATATTCAATCCCAATGCGCGTCAACATATCTTTCATTCACTTCTGAGAGCTTCCAGCTCACGTGTCTGCCCTGACGCGTAGTCAGCTCATACCGAATTTAGCCGCGTTTCTTCTAAAATCTCGATAATCCGCATCCATAACATAACACGATCCTCTCAATAATTGCGCAAGATGTATGTCCGGTTATCTATGTTGCTGCGAGAAGCCCACGATGTATCAAGATGGTTTCACGGCGGCACTTTCCCAGGTACGTGTTGGAAATGAAACCTTTTCACTTGGACATCTTCCCTGTGGCGCTTTACAATGTTCCGGATCAAAGAGAGGCCCCTCAGCGAATATGATGGTTATTCTATTCTACGCTGTAATCTTTGAAGACTTATGTTAGCTATGATCGCTTGTGAATGCTGACTCTCGGATTGCTGTCTGAAGTAGACCGTCCGTTCATGTACGTCCCAGGAGCCCGCAGACTTCTCATGTTCTTCGTCCCAGTGGACTTCACGTGTCGTGTGGTACTAAGTGTCAGCACCAATTTTTTCTTTTCCACTAGTGCATTGAACGGTGCTGAGGCGAGTACTTCACAGTTTATCCGATAGCTTCGTACCCTCGTAGGATATGTCCGTTCCGCAGGAACGGCAATGGTTGCAGGCTATCGGTCTTTCAAGCTCATGTACCCACCGAAATCAGACTATGCGGATGAGGTTGTGATACAGGTGACATCGTGATCGAATACTTATTGGCTCCTCCTCCAGATCAAGTAGTGAGTAGCTAAGCTCTCGAGACGAATTGGCAGAGCTCATCGCATTGGGAAACATTCAGCAACGGCCCTTTTAGTATCTAGGTCACAATAGAAGCTTGCCACAAGCAATATTCCATGAAGGGGAGGCTGATGCGATGCCTGTGCCTCCGACTCTGCCCGTGTCACGTTACTCCCACTGATATGACATGGACCCAAGTTACACCCGCCCGTGACTCGTCTTCTCATTGAGACACCACGGTCTGTCCTGGGAGCTTGACGTGATGGGTATGCGGGCGCGGTGGCGTTAACTGACGAAGCGGAACGCGGACCGACTGCTGGAGGTACTTATCTGAACACATGACAGAAGCCGCGCTGCCAATCATATCCTTCAGAAGGTCTACCCCGCGTTTTGTCTAGACGCAGCCGAGCTCCTTGTTCATCATTCGTTGGTTTTAAACGCCGGTTGGCATCTTGCCTTGCTCAGGTCCACTGAGAACAAATCACGGGATGCCGTTAGTAACCTGCTTCCGGAACAGGTGCTCGTCGACGGCGTAGCATTGACGCCTATACTGGCTGTCCCTCTCCCAGACTTGCGGGAGCCAATTGAAGTGCGACGGACCCGATGAAAGTCGTTGATGGAGAGGCGGTTGGTAAGTATCACCTGGTCAAGTCTTGAGTGACGTGCGATGATTTACTGTATTGATTATTGAGGTGAAGACACTTGACCTGTACTGCCGTCAGACCCACTTTAAAAGCGGGGCCCCAGGACATTACACCTTATCTCAGAATCCCTTTCTCGCTACCCACTGCCACTCAGACGGACGTTTCAGGGTTATTCATGTATTCTACCATGCAGCCAATCAAGTTGTTTCTCAACCGGAGGTTCAATGTTCGCCCCCTCCATTTCCATATTGCCTGCATTCTGGATACTCATAGTGATTTTTTTAGCGATCTGTCTCCTGTGCGACCGATAGTCGTCCGTCAATTGACTCGTTTGACTCGAACGAGTATGTCATCCAACTAGTATGTCGCGTACTGCTCGGTCAGTCTTCTTGCTATGAGCTAATTTAGATTTTTCAGCCCGTGAGCCTCATCCCCAAGTTGGCGTCGCAATCTGTGACACCGCAAGCAGGCAGTTTACAGCGCGTACGTACACCATTGCACCATGTTGCTGTGTCTGTGCTTATGTTGAATTAGGCCCAAATGATGGATGAAGAGGACTGTGCTTGGGGACGACCAAGTAAGAAGAACCAAGGAAGACGCCATTGAAAACTCTTGCTTTGGCCCTGCAGTGCTACGAAGTGTTTTCCCTAGGATACCCTGCACCCAGTTATGCTATTGTATTATACTGTACTTGTATTGGCTATCAATGTTTATTTCACTATTCATGACTGTCATTCCGTTGCTGGATTGAAGACGTGCCAGAACCGGCTTGGACAATGCTTTAAGATTTGCTTCTACACACGAGACTGGGAGTTGGACACTGCCGTCGTCAAGGAAATGTTCGCAAAAGCCTCCAGCCTGGCGCCGCAGAGACCACGGAAACCTACATGATAGTACATCAAGAAATGTTACATGTGCACTAGATTACTTCCTGTGCATTCCGTCGAAACAATTCAAATGGCCATGAGCGAGACGTTCACAACCTGGCTTGTCGCAGGACATATGGAGAGAATTTCCGGGATTTGACTTGATCCACATCCGCCATGGTGACGGGCCTGCACTCATACGCATGGTTGTATCCGAGCCTTGGATACCGAGCAGAATTAGCACATTTTCAGAAAGAATTGCGTTGATCAGAACGTACCTGTCTCTTCCATCCTTCCCGCCAGCCTTGAAGAATTCAGGGCGACGAAGAAGACTGCAAACCACCGCGCCACCAAGACCGATGTTGTGCACCATGCCGTACTTGCCCCGCTTATCAGCTGTATCGAAAAGGCCTGGAGCCTGCATCGGGCCTGCCCCTAGATATTGACAGCGTCTAAATGGGGCTCAGCCTAGAAAACAAAAGTGGCTTACATTCGCGCAATTGCACTAGGAACACGTTGTGAGAATTAGTGTATGCATATGAGAAGAAAAGGTGAACGAACTGGTTATATAGAAATGCATTCCTAGTCCCGTAGCGCCCAAAGGGTGACCTTTCGCTTCCAGGCCCCCGCTAGGGTTGACGACGAACTTGCCACCAAACTGGCCGATATTTGACATGAGACTTCAGTGCTGACCATGAAATACCTACACGTACAGTATTGTCCCCGCGCTCAACAAGCTTGTGCGCCTCGCCTGGAGCACACAGTCCCAGTGCGTCGTATGTTATGAGCTGAAGAACATCTCGGTCATGAATATTTACGTTAGAGCACTTAGATCACACCTCGTTGGCCGCGAAACAATCATGAAGTTCTACAACTCCAACCTGCTCTCTTCCTTCGCCCTCGTTGAAACCTGCCGCCGCAAAGACTTGATTGGCACAACTTTTGGTCATACCATAGCCAACGACTTCCATGGCACTCCTGCTTTCGAATGTTGCAGGTTCATCAGTTGTCAGAGCCTGCGCCACAATCTCTATCGCTTGATTTTCCAGGCCATGAGAAAGAACAAAGTCCTCCGAGGCGACAATGCAGCATGCAGCACCGTCCTGGATTTAGATCTAAATAACCACGGAAGAAATCGAGAAGATTTTCATACCGATGTCGGGCTGCACATGAATTTCGTTAACTGGCTGCATATTTTCGGAGCGGCCAAGACCTGTTCTACCGTCCAACCATCACGAAATTGTGAATAAGGATTGTTGAGAGAGTGCTTGTGGTTTTTGGACGCTAACAGCAATAGATCTCGATCAAATTAAAGGCCATAATCAACGCCACTCCATTCTCACCAATTTGGGCAAGATGTTCAATAGTTCCGCCATACTTGTCGAAGTATTCTTGAGCGCCATTGGCAAACATCCTTGGTGCATCAGGTCCGAAATTCGCGCCGCTGCTGAGGTCCTCCTCGAGTTCCTGTGTCCTCTCATTCAACAGCTTCAATGGAGACGGTCTGTCCGGGAAGTGAGTCCCAAGGCTCCCTCGCGCCATGCGTTCAAAACCAAGAGCGAGAACACAGTTCGCCAGACCTGACTTCACCAAATTGTTTGCATGGTAGAGGGCAACGCTTCCCGTAGAACAGTTATTGTTGACGTTGGTGATGGGGATGCCGGTCATGCCAAGGTTATAGAGTGCTCTCTGAAAACCCGGGTTTCAGTATTCCCAGGTTGACAGCAATTTATCCGATAACGTTCTTACTTGTCCGCTGGTAGAGTCACCATAACAATAACCGACGAAGGCGGCCTCAACTGCGTCATAAGTGATGCCTGAGTTTCATGCATTAGCCCATATATCAGTGCAATGAATAATCATGAAGGACCTGCGTCCAGCAACGCCTTCGTTCCGGCTTCTAAACCCATCTATGAAACAACAATCAGCGATTTCTGGATGTCAAGCCGCCTGGTTTATTACATCCTCTGTCGTTCTTGTGCCTCTGGGCTGTCCAACGACGATCTCAGAAGTTGCGCCACTGTAATACAAGTACGCCCACCTTTATAAACGCGGTACATCCTGCCCCAACTATGAATGATCTTCGTCCCCCGAATGACATGTTTACCACCGTGACGTCGAAAGAAATAATGAAATGGCTGTGATTTCACGCTCGCTGCATGCGGAGATAAGCTTGGTCGGCCCAGAAGTGTGACGACCGCGTCTTTTAAGTAGTCGCCAGTCAACACAAGGGTCACTGGGACTCCTGTGTGGTGACAAACTTCGGAAGACAATGTGATTGTGACGGTGAACATGTACCCCGCACGCCAGAACATTTACCCTCGGCTTCCCCGCGGCCGGTTACTTACTACATACTTAGTCCTGTCAGATTGGTCTTTGCACGAACGGTCAAGCTTTGAACGCCAGCAGTCAGCTGAGCCTTATTCTCTGCAGACATGTCCAGCCTTCCTCCAGTACTCTATCACTATTTCTCCACACCTCTTCCATACGCACGGACATTAGCTTTGCAAGAACAACTTCATGCCATCCAGCTACAGCATCGGCGCTCCTCCGGAACACATCGAGACATTCTACTCCTGCTACAGCACCGCCCAGTGTATACTGCGGGACGACGCCAAGTTTCCACATCTCCTGAGGTGGAAGTCGAGGCAAAACGTCTCCGAGGTATAGGGGCCGACTTCGTCAACACTCTGCGGGGTGGAGAGACCACGTATCACGGTCCCGGTCAAATCGTTGGGTATCCACTCTTGGATCTTGGGAGATGGTCACCACCGATGGGTATTCGATCGTACATCTGCAATATGCAGAAGATGCTGCAGACACACTTGTTGGAAGCGCACGGTATTCGCTACATTTCGAGCGAGCATACTGGCGTGTTCTTGGATGAACAGACAAAGATTGCCAGCATTGGAGTGCAGGTCAGACACAGGTTTACGAGCCACGGGTTCTCCATGAATATCACACGGGAGCCATTAGCCTGGTTCGACAGAGTGGTTGCGTGTGGATTAGCTGATGTGAAGGCCGGATGCATCGCGGACGCCGTCAAGAAGGATAGTTCGACGATCACCGTTGAAGGGGAGATAGAGGGCTTGGTAGAACGGTTTGGGAGAGTGTTCCAGCGGGAGATGATAAAGATGGATGTGAACCTTGCAGGAATTGATTTGATGGGCGCTATACGGGCAGTGGAAGAGGATGCGGAGGGCGCAGGGGGCTGGTTGGCAGGACCGGCGCGATGATCTCTCAATCTTCCGCGTGGCAGAGTTGCAGAACGTCAGTACCGTGGTCCTGACTGTGTGTATCTCCGCATCACAGAAGAATCGGAGGAACTCAGATTAACATCGACTAACGGCCTGTTCTGGTTCTGATTGGTGGGTCACCAACCATCTCATCGTTCCTGTTGCACTGCAGAATACTTACCTTAGCATCAATATAGAACACTAACAGACGCTCAAAATAGGTCGCCAAGGGCCAAGCATGCTCTCCGCCGCGGGGTTGGCCTTTCACCCGGTGATGTTGACTCTATTCCCAGGAGAGAATTCTTGCACGGGAATCTGTGTACCCATCGCAGGTGAGCTCGGTCCTGTTTTCCGGGAATGAACACGTGGATATCCTTTTAGCAGTGCCGTTGGGCGACGAGCTGCAGCAAGCTCTGAGAGCGCGTGTAGCGAATGCGCTCCGGTGGGCAATCTAGGCGTCGCCGGCACTTTCCGTTCAGTCATCGGAATTCACCCTTACCTGCTCACCGCAAATTCACCCACATGTGCACGGTATCATCGTCATATCGTACCGGTGAACATTTTTTTTTGCGTTCAGGAGTCTCACGGATCATCACATGCAGCCACGACTCCACATCCTCATGTTCATCGTGTCCGCCCCGCTGTGGTGTCGTGGTTTTCTATGTCCACCGTTACTGGCTGCAATACTGAATAGCGGACAAAAGCACCGTTGGTCGATATTACATCGACGTCGTGCGATCAGAGTAGACCACTTCCCGCTTCTTCTTACGCGCACCACATGGTGGCGAAGAGCATGACATGCAGAACGATAGGCTCATTGAACGCCCGCGGCCAATGTGAGCGGACCAGCAGGTCAGATATATCCAGGGTAAGTCATCCGTATCGGTCATGCGCTTTCTCGTCCCACCGTTGTTCCCTCCATTCTGCAGCGCTGGCATTAACGCTGTGAACGGTACTCGTGCAACCTCTTCCGGACCCTCGGAGCGACGATATGCCTTGACTTACATGGAAATCTTCTGCGATTGTCCATGGCTGATGTCCATAGATGTGTATCTGAAACAGATCCGGACAACATGTTCAGACGAGAGGTTTCTGGTATTATTTTTCACCCCTGGTATAAAGATGGGTTGACTACCGAGATCGCACTTAGCTCGACACGACATTAGTTCTCGCTCTCCTTGTCATGTGGTCATCGGCAGCCTCCCTCCTTTTTCTGTCCTCTCTAGCATTTGACGTCCTTGCTCAGACATATAACCTTGACACCAGTTATGTCGGCCAGGATTTCTTAAACGACTTCACCTTTGAGGCTATCACTGACCCGACGGGGGGCAGAGTGTGAGTGTCGTGTCTCGTATCGAACGTGTCTGCATCCTTCTGTGTCGCATGTATCGATCACTGACGGTTGCTGGTTGGTGTTCAGCACATACGTGGACCAGGCTACTGCGCTTGCGGACAATCTGACCTATGTATCCAGAGATACTCTGATCATGCGTTGCGATGATACCACGGTCCTAACTTCCAGTGACCCTGGGAGAAACAGCGTCCGGATCAAGAGTTCCGCGTCGTACACCACCCACGTTGTGGTGTACGTTTTATGCTTCGTGCTTTTCCTCGGTCACTAATACTTTGTAAAGGTTCGATATAAGGCACATGCCGGAGGGATGTGGCACTTGGCCAGCCGCTTGGGAAACTAATGATGAGGACTGGCCAACGGACGGCGAAGTAGACATTGTAAGTGTTATATGACGGCCTACAAGTAATTATAGTTCATACATTCGCCGAAATTTGTTGTATTTGTATTTCAACAGTGAGTGCACCTGCTATCCGTTTGTGCCCGCAGCTCTGACATGCTACGGATTGTAGGATTGAAGGTGTGGACAACGTGACCCCAAATACTGTTTCCCTCCACGTCGGTACGAACTGCACCATGCCCGAGACACGCACAATGCTGGGGTGAGTCACATGACTCGGAGCTTAGATGAGGGTATTTATTCAAGCCCAGGACTGCTACCGCAAACAACTGCGACGTCAACACAGACGGTAACTCAGGATGCGGTGTGCAGAACCCATCTTCGAACAGCTTCGGCCCCGACTTCAACAGTGCAGGCGGTGGCTGGTATGCGATGGAGCGAACCAATAGCTACATCCAGGTGTGGTTCTGGTCGCGGACCGATGGTAGCGTTCCTTCGCAAGTATCAAGTGGAGCTGTAAGCTCGATCGACACATCTACTTGGGTGAGCACCTTAAGTTGCGTCAACTTAACTCAAACTGAGCGGGTTACTTCAGGGTGAGCCCACTGCGCTGTTTCCGGATACTTCATGCGATATCGCCGATTCTTTCGGGCCCAACAACATCATATTCGATCTGACGCTCTGTATGACCTTGCCATGATCGTACATGAATTGATGATTAATATTCGTTTACCAACAGGTGGAAGCTGGGCTGGTATCGCATCTGTCTACAGTGACGCAGGGTGCTCTAGCGATTGCGTCGGTAAGCCACGATTCATCATCTTATTCAACCAATACTGAGCTTGTCGAACTTCCGTAGACTATGTCAACAACAACCCTAGCGCTTTCACCAACGCTTACTGGGATGTCGCAGGTGTCTACGTTTACACGTAGTGCACCCTGGTGCTCCCTCTGGGGAGTCTCGCCTCACGCAGTCTTCACATCACGACAACTCATGACTTGTACGAAGTATTCGGATGCAGAAATCCCGCATTTGTATCAATATCCAGTGTATCCCGTATGCAAGCTACGTATCTGGGAATATACAATGTCTCACTAAGTAGCTAGATTGCCCGAGTGCCTGAGTGCTACTCGATGAGGTACTATTGATTTTATGCAGTGTCCGAAGTGGTGCATAACAGAGGTTGCGTAGATTTGCGTAGCTCCGAATCACAACGACACAAGAATCCATCAAGCCCTAGATCAAATAAGTACTCCGAGAAGTCAAATGCCGCAGGGGCCCGGGGCGCTGCCAAGGCAGCCTGCTTGAGAGTGGGCCATGACGGATCGACGAGGCCAATCTCGAAATCATCCCCTTCCTGTGTGATCGAGCGGTCCGTCAACTGTCCCAGCCCTGTAGCCGGAAGAACATACGTGAGGATCAGCATCTGGGAGGACTTCCCAATACAGCCATGGAAGACCTGCGGCAGTGATGTTGCTCGCCCATCCTGCAATGTTGGCGTTGCGGGTGGCAGTGGGGAGCGGGTCGCCTACTGGGCAATTGCTGTTCAAAGTGTCGTAATAGCATGAGCCCCTGAGTAAATAACATATTCAGACGTTGTTTTGATGCAGCAAGTTCTTGACGTAGTGCACAAACCGGAAGGTGCGACCTCGCACAGTACTTACCATTCCTCCATAATCAACTTCTTGCCCGCGGCTTGTGCCTGTTGGACGTATGACTGGATGGACTCCATGTAATAGTCGGTTACAGCATAAGCGTGAATTGAGATGACATCCAAAGCAGAGCAGCTTAGGAACCGGGCTGGACAGATTCACTCATCCAAGACTCTCCGCCAGTCATAACAATGATCTAACAAGCGCGACCAAACATAAATCATTGGCTCTACATGATCGAACAGAACGTTGCTTGACTCACTCCATGGTTGTTTCCGAGTTCGTTTCGAATCGTGGTAGCCCGGTCGCATTGCCTCTAAAGGACGGTGATAAGTATGCATCATGACAGCAGCGAGGCCAGGTTTTACCATTGCTGATTAGCTTCGATGAAAGATTGTCCCTGATCAGCACGACGAGAATGAGCTATGAATGCTATAAGATAGGCAGGACAAAAGCATACATCGCCAATCATCGCCTTGTTCTCAGCTTCGAACCCAAAGATGAAGTCGTTCAGCTCCTTCCACGGCTGTTCAGTCATAGTGTGAACATGATTCAGTATGTGCTGCAGACGGGCGTCGAAAGCTTGTTGGGCAGACGGATTTGTGTAGAAATCTGCGATGCCGTATGCAGCTCCGTATACGTCCCCGCCTTGCAGAGCATTGAAGCTGTGCATGGTGATCAAGAGCTGAAGGCCAGACTGCATTAATGCGACATGAGAGGGATCTGGAAGGCCAAAATTCATCACCTTTATGCCGAAATCACGAGCTACAAGCATAAAGTCGTCGAGCCGTTCTAATACAGTATCGTCATAGCAGGACGCTACACTGTCGCAGATTTGAGTAGGCTCCAGATCCGGAAAAGGATTTATTGGAGTGCCCTACGATATCCGGTGACTAAAATGAGGAGCATAAACGATGGGGAGAAGATATGTTTACCTTCTGATCTGTAGACTGGCCCCAAATCCAAACACGGAGTGCTTTCATTCCAGCACCTCGCAAGCCCCTGCAATGTTTTCTTCGAGTCAGCCACAGTGACATGAATTTCCTGTCCAACCATGTATGAACGAAGAGGAAACACACTCTAGTAGAGTCGTGGTCGAGTTTCGGTAGAGCCCGGCGGCATAATACAGGTTAGATCCTGCAAAGGAATTTGCTGCATATTTAACCTGGAAGCTGAAAAGGGATAGCACGGTGTACAACCAGAACGACGAGCTTTTGGACAAGATCATCGTGTCGAAGGGTTTCTTGCTACTAGTGTCCGCCTCCCTGTCTATATAACATTCTGAATCAACCAACTCACTTGACATTTGAAGCTTGAAAGCTTGATGTGTCACTCGAGGCTTCCGGTTTACTGTACATGGGATGACTCGCCCTTGATGCAAATAACATTGGCAGTAATACTTACTACTTACGCACGCATGATCGGATTGCTGCTTACAGAGTCCATGCTGTGTACACCTACCTAACGAACTTCGATTCCAGGGCCTCACGCGCACGTTTTGCGAGTGGATCAAAGTGCGTTGCAGGTGCAATGAGGGATACTTAAGCCGGGTGGGCAAGACTAACGGAACTATCACTTTGCGAGGACAACGCCACCGTGGCGCGAGGCTGTACTCTATGTCATTTTTGAATTGAACCGCATTCAATTACATAGAGCATACATAGCAGAATGGATCGATTTTGAGACAATTGGAGACCAATGGAAGAAAGAAAGGCTGTACAGCAAGCACACTCAAGCACATCGTGGGTCGTGAGCGGGATCTGCGTGGATGAACTTTCCGCCACCAAATCTGATCTGATCTATAATCGGAGGCTATCCCTTCAACGGACACCGTGACACACATGTGAGTTGTCCGCCGTATTTGACTTGAAGCTTGACCTCTCCCAGCGCAGGAACTTGTGATGCATCTGCTTGTCCTTGGTGCCACTGGTCCCTGCGGCGTTCAGCTTATCCAGGAGGCCCTTTCTACCTCGCATTCCGTCGTCATCTACGCCAGGTCACCCCAGAAACTCCCGGACAGCATTACCTCCCATTCCTCTGTCTTCGTCGTCAAAGGGGAGCTTGGAAACGTTGAGCTGTTGTCCCAGGCTATGGCGGGTGTCGACGCTGTACTTTCTGCGCTAGGGCCGGCTGTCAAATCTGGACCATTTCATCCCAGCGACACTCCTCTCGCACGAGCGTATGCCGCTATCATCGACGTGATGAAGAAGTGCGGTGTCAAGCGGCTGATCGCGTTGGGCACCGCCAGCATCAAGGATGACCGCGACAAGTTCAGTCTGGAGTTCGTGGCGCTGGTCAGTGGAGTGGCTCTCTTCGCCCGCAGCGCGTACAAAGACGTCGTCGCCATTGGAGAAACGATTCGTGCACAAGGTGACGGCCTGGAATGGACCATTGCACGGGTGCCCATTCTCACGCAGAACGAGAAGCGAGATGTCCTTGCCGGTTACATTGGGGACGGGACGACGAAGACAACATTGGCGAGGGCGGGGTTTGCGGCTTTCGTGATCAATGAGGTGGAGAAGAACGAATGGTGCGGAAAAGCTCCTCTTATTTCTTCCCCCTAGATACCCGAGTACATGTATGTGTATTGCATTCCGATATGACACCTTATTTCGAGTGATGTTGGAGGCTTTGAGTGATCACACACTAGCTGGAACTGTGTTGACAGAGTGACACATTCTGCAGGCTGACGTTGAAGTCGTGGTTCATGATCAAGGAATACCAGACGAATATCCCAGAAAATAAAACAGACTACGTATACTCAGGCTGCATCCGCCTAGGCGGCCCTAGTCCTGCATACACACAGTACTAGTCACCATTACTCAGCTGCGGGGGAACTTTGACTGCAGACAGGTTCCGGCCAGCTCTCTTCCAATAGTACTCGTCGCAGTCAACCACAACTTGCTGCACAGTAATACCACACAGACGGATGCGTCTCCTCATCCTGGGCGGAACTGGCCTCTGCGGTCACCTACTTATTAGAGATGCCCTTACTGCCTCTCATACAGTCGTCGTGTACGCGAGGTCTCCAGAGAAACTCTCAAACGATTTCGCTACCAACCCTGCCGTTACCGTCATCAAAGGAGACCTCACCGATGTCGATGGCTTGTCCAAGGCCATCGAGGGTGTCGATGCCGTAGTGTCCGCTTTGGGTCCCGATAAAGGCCATCCCAGCGGTACACCGCTCGCACACGCATACGCGACCATCATACCCTTGATGAAAAAGTACGGTGTAAAGCGCCTGATTGCTCTGGGTACTGCGAGCATCCGGGACGAGCACGACAAGTTCAGCCTCTCATACAGCGCGATGATCATCATGGTTTCGACCTTCGCTCGCAGCGCATACAAGGATATTATCGCCATCGGTGACACGATTCGTACGCAAGGAGATGACCTGACCTGGACGATCGTGAGGGTGGGAATCCTCACGAACGACGAGAAGAAAGATGTGGTTGCTGGCTATGTCGGGGACGGAAAGACACGGGCACACCTGGCGCGGGCTGCCTTTGCTGACTTTGTCATTGGAGAAGTTGAGAAGAACGAATGGTGTGGACAAGCACCCCTTATTTCTTCGCCTTGATTGTTCCTGTCGTTTAATGGCCCCGGTCGCCTGAATCAATCCCTTCGTCTCAGGTGAGGGTTGTCATTTTGTCCACCGATCGAGTCCTCAGCGCTCAGATCACACAGGAGTTCTTTAAAGCGCAGATCGTTTAATGGCTCTCGGGTTTGTAACCTGTACACATTTGGAATATCAACTTTAGCCCATGAATGCGGTCCTATCGAAGATGCATGTCCAAGTCCGGGGCAGGGTAATCTCGCCATCTAGGGCGAGATGGTACGGCGCGCTACTTCTGTCTGCTGAGTACCATGACAGTTTCCGAGTTGTCATGCTCATCCCATTTTCCGGTGAGGGGGCAGAACCGGCGCCTTGGAGGCTTAAGAGGTAGAACCACAGATTTCGAGCTTCACGCCACTAGGCTGGGTGGAGTAGCCAGGAACATGTACCGCCCCTGGGCAAGTTTTCCACCATGGTACAATGTACCTGCAGAACCTAGATACAAGAAATAGCAACGAAGTAACCGCGGAGAACTTGGCTGGAACGAGTCGGGTGAGTTTTTCCGAACGAACTCATCTTGCATTACAGGCACGTAGAAAGAACAACCTGGCAATTGCGAATCACGTTGCCATGCTTGCTCAGAGAGCACGAACGAACCCTCGGAGAAATACGATAGCGCAGCGGTCGAGATTGTCTGTTCCTCCAGATGCGAGTTGGATCGCCGGTAGCATGAGGTCAAGCAATACATGTCAAATAAGGCCTTCTGCGCCGGATGAAAATGTCAGGAAACAGCTTAGAAGCGTGTAAGCTTGCTAAGTACTTCTTAGAAACCTACCACCGAAGAGCTACAGGATGTTGGCATCCCCACAGACGTTATCACCCCGGCCCGATTCGCCTTCACTACGCCGTAGTTGTAGTCCTCGTTGACATTCGCCCGACTAGATTCTGAAGCTTTCGACAAGTTCTCATCGTGAGGTTCCCCTGACAGAGAACATTACGACTTCAGTACGGTGCGAGGATTCCACAGTACACTTGATACTTGCAGTAGCATAGATAAAACGAGCGTAAGTTTTGTCCGTTGAACATACGTAATTTACATATGCGCTGGGCGCAATGGTCCATCAGCTTGGATATCACACAAATATTACAAAGGTCCGCATGGTCTGTATATGGTACGGTTTGAAGTCCTGTGCAGAATACTCCTCGTCAATCGCCGCCGCGTCTACCGCCTCCACTTCCGCCGAGAACCCCAGGCCATATTATCGTCGTCCAGCATCTCAGCCTCAAAAAGGACCACCAGAAATCAGTGACTTCATGGTTGGAGAAGATGCCTATTACTCACAGTGGGTCTACATGAGAGGTACTCTGCCGATGCAAATCTTACTTGGGGAATCTGCATGGGTTGTGTTGGCTGTCAAATCTCGCATGAACACCCATATACATCTACGGATTTATAGGTAAGAAACTGACCAGTGACACAAGGTATGACTGCGAAGAGCCCTGGCTGGACATGGACGGACGGGGAACATCGACAGAAGACCGTAAGTCGACGGAGGAGCGGCTATCCATGGATGATCTCTGCATAGCACCACGATGAGCACATACTATTCATCGAGTCTGGGTACAGAGGTATATACAACGCAACGCACTTTTGTTTTGCGAGACACTTTGAAGAATGAGAGAGAAGGCATCGCTTGTTCACAGAAGTCGAGACTCTTAACGAGCGCAAATCGTAATGGAGGTGCAAGTGGAAAGACCGGAGGGCTGTCGAACAACTCGGATCATTCGACGACTGACCTTTATACAACGCTCATCCTTCGTTAAACTGCGGCCAGGTCAGGTGCAGGGCAGATAAGTCGTGTTCTCGATCCATCTGCCGAACTGCGCAGAACTCCAAGCTTCAGCAACGAGGAGAGCTAATTACGACCAACGTCCGACCAAGGTCATCGGACGAAGCATCAGGCAGTGTGTTCACTCCATGCCGGTCTCCATCCTATTTTTAGTGCAGCCAATCCGTTGTGTCCTATCGGTCATCCACTTCTCTTCGATACAGCAGATCGAGACGCTGTACTGTATCCGGACGGGGTTCGTTTACGATTGGACTTCTGGAGTTTCATTTCTGTGAGCTATTCTGCTCGGAAGCATGAAGGAGAGGATTCATAACCGATGTAAAAATTGCACCAGGTGTGCGCAGGCGCCTAACATTGAAAGTCAACGACAGCTATGCGAATATCACACGATGGAAGTGGAACAGAGAGGGCATGGTCGATTGGTCGGATTCGATTGGCGCCTGCTTCACGTAACATGACAGATCCTCTAAGGATCTGACTTCCGGTTGTCCCGTCCCGTCCGTGCCCGGAGTCAGGCCGTGCTATCCACGTGCACGACCGACGAGCGCTTCATCATTTTCTTTCCTTTCAGTTTTTGAGCTACTAGTCTACCACCGCCTTCTTGTCACGGTCACCTAGTACCCTGAAACTCATCCGTTCATCTCGCTCGTTCGACCCTGTCTGCACATCCCGCGTTGTACGCCAGCTTGGAGCCCTCTCTTCCGCTGCAATCGCTCGCTCGCGACGCACTGCTAGTGACCCCTTGCCGTCAATGGCATGAAGTTCGCGAATACCTTGGAGTCCACTGGGCGCACTCGCGCTGCCCGCTGGTATCTTTATAAAGGCTAAGGTATGATCAAAAGGCCAACTAACAACCCTCACACTCATTTGTGTATATCACCCGTTCGTTTCAAAGATGCCTGCTGAGCTTTTTCCTCCTCTGTTTGGTCGTACTCGCAACGGTGTCGACGACGAGTACGGTCATTTACCTTGGCTGCGTCAGATACGCAGAGCCCGCAATGTCGTTCTGAGCTTCCATGGTCAGCTGCGATGCTGGTTCTGGTGAGTTCGGTATGCTGTCTGATAATGCAGCGTTTGACTTGTGTTCAGGCCGGTGAGGGAGGATGGTGCCAGGGTGCCTCCGGATGATCTCATCACTCACCGCATCACTCACAATATGCTTGGGCCTGGTTGTCTGTGCTCCCGAGTTGAGAATGCTGACTTCACCAAGGCAGTGATTTTCTGCGTAGAAACTGGTCAATTGTCCGGGCAGTGGGTTGCGGCATGCGCTAACCACAAGTGCAAGTACTTTGGTATGTAACTAGCATATTTGCATCGGAGAGCTGTCCACTAACCGATGCCGCAGTTCGACTGGAGTCATTGTACACGAAGCCCGGCTTGCCGGTCACTCGCTATCCCCGTCGCAGTATGTCCAGCAGTTTCACGTTTTGATTACCTGCTTACTGTCCCTTGATAGCCATAAATAACCCTGCACCTCCCGTGGTTGTATGCGATCGCCCGCCTGAGATCCCGACTGAACCTAGCACCCCCACGACTCGTTCTACCCCCCGTTCGGTTCGAGGTGAGCCTTGTGTCCATGTCTCAAATCACTCTGCGGTCTGATGTACAAGTAGGTACTCGTCAACATGCGGCAGTGACAGAGCAAGCGAACAGATGTGCTGTTATGCAAGACGGTAAATACTTTCCATGTATCTCTTGTTGGTGAAGCTCAGTCATGCCTAGATGATGATGACCCAGTTGCCGTCATTCCAGTCCATCGTCCTGCACGCCACAATCCACTGGATGCAAGCCGGAGGCGTACACGTCGGTTGTGGCAGGGTAAGTTTCGTGCAGCACTCTCAATGAATCTGGCTTTGAATGTATGACTCAAGAGGAAGCTGATCCATTCCGAATCCCTTTGGCTGCGATCGCAGGGGCGGATGTGCAACATCGTTGGAGACCGTTACGTGAGTATTCTTGCCATACCCGTCGTGAGCTTGCTTTCTTACAGCCACATTGATCAGGGAACACTGATTCGACCACCATTCGTTCAGCTCCCGCACCTGCAACGCGCACCCTATCACCGAGCCCCTTCAGACAGCTCATGAAGCTGGATGATTTCGAAAACCCGGGGCTCACATTGCCCGAGTTCAAGAGGCTTTTCACCCGTTGCCAGTGTGGTCTTATCATGACTCACTCCTCGTACACCATTCACGAGTGCTCGTCCAAGGGTGTGGTCATAGACCTGACTCTTGATGAGTGAGGGCTTGTAGATCCTGATTTTTGACACCTTCCTTAGTCATTCTGTCCATGTCTGTCCCTACCGTAGTTAGCTTACCAGCAAGTTTAGTACATGTTATATTTACTCATTTACCACAATATACATATTCTTTGTTTTGCCGTAGGTCCGCAGGACACATACTTTTTTTCTCTATAAATTCTGCCCATAGTGTTCCGTCAGTCCGCCATCGATATTACACCACTCAATTCCTCCGAAGCATCAGCATCTCCAGCTAAACCGACAATGCTTGTGTCTCCAACGATCAAATTACAGCCTACGGGCGGTGAGATACCCTAGGTCGGGTTTGGTACTTGGAAACATTATGGTCAGAAGGCTTGACGCCGTCTACGAGGGTCTGAAAGTGGGCTACCGGCTGTTCAATTGTGCCTGCAGTTTGCATGCCTCTTCCTGTACCGCAACTGATGTAACTACGACAGATTATGGCAACGAAAAGGGGTGCAGCGCTGGACTGAAGCGCGACATCGACGAGGGCATCGTGAAGCGCGAAAAGGTCTGGGTCGTCTCTAAGCCGTGGAACGTCACTGACCCAAGCTGCAGAGTTCCACCCGTACAATGTGCAACTCCGGCTAGTTGAGTACGCGCATTCGTTGGGAATCGCCGTGACGGTTTACTCCTCGTTCGGTCCACTTGGCTTCCACGAGCTTAACATGAAGAAGGCACTCAACATGCAACCTCTGTTCATGCACCCGCCGATCACCACGCTCGTCGCTTCGCACGCGTGCATGCCCTCACAGATTGTGCTCCACTGGGCCACACAGCGCAGCATCGCGGTGATTCCCAAGTCCGATACCGTCCGTATGATGCGGGATAACATGTGCAACGTCGAAGTACACCTCAGCGAGGAGGAGATGCAGGAGATCGGCGAGCATGATAGAGGTTTGCGGTTCAACGAGCCAGCTGATGTGAGTTGCGTAGCTGTAGTCAGAGTGCAACTTCGTGTCGGGTTACGTTGGATGCACACCCCTCTGATAATGTCCATGCGGAACGCGGACAGCAGACTTGGTACAAGATTACCCACCTCGTTCGATCTCCGTGATTCAAGCTCAGGATGTGGGCCCGAACTTCATTGGATGTAAATTCAATCTATGACATCTGTATGATACATCCCAATGCACGGAACTGGCAATTCTACCTCTACATTCCCAGACCCACTCCATGCCAGTACAGTAGAGACTTCCACGGCTCGCTGGTGTGCAGATTCTGCAGCAAGTAATGTGTGACGGGCAGTTTCCATGGTGTTGGCACCATTCTCTTTCCGTGTCATCAGGTGAGTACTTGCGTGGGACTGGCTGGTGCTATCAAGCCGTCGCTGGGCAGCAAGCATAGTTTTTGTCCTTCTTCTCAATGCAGTATTAGCTGCGGTGATTTTGGAGTCATGGGTTAAGTGGCCCTTTCGTCGTGCTGCCTCTGTAGTATATATTAAGGTGAAATGTCCCGATGTTGTAAAATACAGACTCACGTTGTGTTTTCAATGACTTGTATGCCTTTTCGGCACTGCCGCGAAATTGGAACGACGGCTCAACACCAGCATCTTCCAAAGCCTGCATGAAACACGAGTATAAGCAGTATGCCAGGCCATCACTGACTATGTGTGTGTTACATACCTTGAGAGTGCGCAACTTCAGCATATCCAGATGATGGCCTCGAACTATGCCGCCAACGAGACTGCATGCTACACCTTCCCGATTCACATCTGCATGCTGGCTCTCGATTAGATTGCTGTTGCGCTCGCCCGCCTGCCATATTTCTAATGGAATCATGCTTTTCGACCAGCAAATTCCCTCAAATGCAAAATGACTACGAATCTTGTCTTCAATCCAGTCTGCATAGTATTACTTTAGACTGTTGCCGAAGATCACACGGTTTCATACTCACTGACAGCCGCCCGACCCCCCTGGTTCCGAATCTCTGCAACAGTCCCATCCCAATCATCATGCTCAAGGCAAACCAAGCTTCGCATCATCTTCTTGACCTCATCCGAGACCGCACATGACTTGATGTTTCGAAACACATGCACGACACAGAGTCTGAAAATGCGGTGAAGATGCTCGTACAGAGAGAGTTCTGTGACATGCCGGTGAGGCTCGTGAAGGTCCAACCTTGGTGGGAGCTGTGATGCCAGGTGTTGTAGATACAAACCCAATCCTGCAGTATATGACATTATTGAGCGACGCCAAGAGCAAGGCATCATAGAGATGACATACCTTTTGCCTGACCAAGATGCTGATCAGCCGTCCACTGAAGGATCCCTGTGAAATCATCAAGGGACCGGGCATGCAGATGTCTCCAGCAAAGAGAAGAGCCCGTATCGTCTTTCACAATAGCATCAATCTTGTGAAATATGAAACAGTGTGCCGCGGCCGTCTCGCGTGTGAGCAAAATACGACAATACACAATAGCTGTCAGAAACGATGAACAAAGTATCCCAGAGCACTGTGCAATGCGCTGACCTGTTTTGTTCTCACCATCCCATCCTCCGAGCTCGAATTCCTTATATCCCACTACACGCTTGAAGGCAATATCGCTCTGAAGGTACTGCGCCTTGATGAGTCGTCGACTCTGCTCTTTTGTCATACAAATAATGATTCTCATCTTGTCGGAGGCCGCCTCGGGCTCCATGCTGTCCTGACCTTCTAAGTCCTCTGAGATGAACTCTTCCCCAGCATTTAGGGCCTCTTCTGACAACTCGGCCATATAGCGAATGTACGTGTCTTCAGGAGAGCATGTAGCATCTTCGACAGCTTTGAGGTGCCTCAACCCTGCAGGTATATGAATTACCAGCATACTCTAATTGTAGTGAAATCACCGACCTTCCCAACCTGTTCCTTGCGGAAACAGCTCCTCTTTCGCCTTTTTTATGTATGACCGCAGATGCTCACGGTTTGCCAGGGAAACGTGTAGGTCGCTCAATGTTGGATTGCATATATGTGGGAGAAGCTCGTGGACCCGTGCCAACACTACTGGATGCCGAAGAAATCGTCGGGGCGTCATATCTGGTAAGTCATGTCCTACTGATTCCAACATATGGAATATCTCTGCCCGAATATGGGCAGGAGTGTTGGTCGGGAGTGGTATCGGGTGTGTATGTTCCCCCTGACATACCAAGAGTACATATGGGCAAGCCGTTCGAAACTCCGACAGAGGTTCAAACACTTGGAGCTTACTTGTGCATGACAAGTGCAGCATCTCCTGCGGTATAAGATGCTCGTCTTCATCTCGGTGCTCACATGCTACAACACTTCAGGTGAGTACTCAGAGTATCTGACTTGCTGATAACTCACGGCAGTGCACCCTGTTTGAGGTAAAGTTTGCGAGAGTATTGCATACCGCCAGCGGCCCATATCCCTCTTCTTGTGCTGCATATTCAAGACGACTAATGCTCTCATAGTCATCCGTCAAAGCGGCCTCAAGGTACTCGAGGTCATACGACCCATTGCGAATTGTGTAGTCGAGCAGGTGTGTGCGGTTTTGACGGGAATAGTGCTCGCACCTGTAGCATCCATTTCAGGATCCGGGAGAATTAGCATAGTGTGCGTGGTGCTATTGTTGAGACGTACTGTACAAATGGCTCTCCGTCATAGTCAAATAAATACAGCAACCGACCCTCACACCTCCTCATGGTCAACTGGTATCCACGCCGTCCCTTCTCCTGTGCAGCACGCAGGTGTTGATGCTCCAACCAGTCTTCATCTGATACAGCTTGGTAGCTTGAACCTGCAGCATGCTCGTTGATAGATGCACCACATCCATACTTCCGATAGGCAGCAATGCGTCCCAATGTTTTTTCGAACACAAGTCGCATGGGTGAAGCGAACGTTTGCTGTTGCTCGCGGTCACGCCGTAGCCGATTTTTGAGGTCTTCCCGGGTGGCGGATGTGTGCGTTGAATTAAGAAGTGCTGCATCGGCACAAGGACAGATTTTGAGACCTTGACCTTACAGAGTACACTCAGTCCAGTCAAAATTGAAATGAAATATAGAACAACTCAATGCTACATACATGTAGAATGCTTTTCCTGACACAATACCATCATCCCATTACCATCACGCAGAACTTCGCACTTCACTGGCTGGTCCTTGGCCGAACGTCCACGCGGAGATCCTTGCGCATAAACCACGTTCTCCACTGGGGTGATCCAGTTCTCAGGATCACATTTGAACAGATGGCCCACACAGCCAGTGCGGCTGGTCTGCGGGAACTCAATGACAGCACCGTCTTCGTGATGGATGAGAATGTCAAGCATTCTCTTCCGAGTGATTTGAACATTCTCCTCACACGAAGACAGAGTTCCAACAGGGTACTGAGAGTGGCCAGATGGACTGAGAGTGGCAGGGAGGTGGGTAATTTCTCGTAGGGCAGTGGAGAGCGCATTGGCGGTGGTGGCAGAGACAAGGATAGGGCCAGACGGCAGAATAAGGTGCTGTAGACAAGAGAGCTGGTCACGAATATCAATAACCTCAGCATGTGGAGAAGAGGAGATCTGCGCTGCAGCGTCATCGGCAGAATCTTCAGGATTCAACAAGTCCTGTATTCGCAACATGGACGTAGCAGATCAGCAGGGCACGGGGGGGAGGACCATTCAGACAACGGAGGCACATCGAATCCCCAACACAAGACGCTGAAGGAGATGGCATGATGGATACATGACAATCCTCCGAGACTTACAGCATCTGTGGGCAATCAAAATGCAGTGTTTCCAGGGCCACAAGGCCAAGATGCAAATGAGAGAGCTTCAATTTGAAACAAGGAGCTCTTAAAAAATGCATCTGGCACTAGTCTGAGCCTTGACGATGCACTCACAATATATTCGATGTGATCCCAGCGGACAGTCGCCATGTCTCCCTGAAATTTGGCACGCGGGCCGCGCCACTTGCAAAACGGCTCCAGGGTGAGGACCATAAGCAGTGTCCCTGGGACATTTCGGAGATGCTAACGAAACGGCAGTTGCTATTTCTATTGAGTACGAAAAATGTATCCCAAGCGCATCATGTAAAGACGTCAAAAAAGGTGCGACAGATCGCACGGGTTGTTGGACAGGATCCAGTAGCCGCATGGTGTTAGAGATTGTAGATTTATAGCGTGACAGGGATATGTGTGCACGAACGACAACCATAAGATAGGAGTAATGGAGCGAAATGCGACTCACCGTCCGGAAGCTAAGCGCCTTTCCGTCTTCCCGGTCAGGGACCACGGAGGAAAACAAGCGCTCTCTTCATCCCGCCTTCCATGCTTCTTGGGCGGCAATCGAATCCGACCCATCGACAGTAGACTCAGTGGAACAGTAGGAGAACGCCGTCTCACTAATTGTCGCATTGTAATTGATTTGTCTCCGGGAGGTCACCCGAGAATGGAAGCCCATGTGATTCTGTTGCGAATGGACAAGTCTATCATGTTTGACATAGAGAAACGTTTGGAGCCCAAGAACGCACTGCTATGGGAGTGCCGCAGGACTGGTCTTCAAAGAACAGTCTGTCATTGGGGCAGAGGGGCAGAGGTTCACGGAACGTGGCCGGACCAACTTGTTAACTTTGCCAGATGCTCATTCTGTTGATTCCAGACATGCCGGAGGTTTGAGAAGAAAGTTGTTTTTTTCTGACGCTTAACAACCACGTGGAATCACCGCCAAGTGTTTAGACCGCAAGTTACTGAAGTCACATTCAGAACAGACGATGCCAAGAACAGATAGTGAGGTGTCTTCGTCATCATCTACAGAGATGGAAATGATAAAACGTACACGGGCGGGCCCAACCTGGACTGAGCCTTCCGGTGACCGGGGACAACTCACCGATCCCAAACCCATCCCTCCGCCGCCCAATCGGGCATCTCAGTTTCGAAGCACCCCAAATTCGTCGTGTATCGGAGCGCGTGAAGGAAAATGTACAGTCGATCTGGCTTTGGGTCTGGATGTAGAGGCAGGTAACATTCGCGACAATACAGAGCTTGCTTGGGTGCGTCTGCGGGTGATACGAGGTCATCTACTGGGAGAAGAGTTGGTTCTGGCGTCACGCAGTGCAAGGTAGCTACCGAGCTTGAACCCGAGGGGGAGAGTGTCACCGGAGGAGTAGACGGCTGGAAACATGCGAGCTTCGCCAGAGCCTCCTGCTGCGTAAGCTGCACCGGTTCTAAATTCTTATCTTCCGGCTTGGTATTGGAACTTGCTTTAATGCCGGTGTCATCGGGGGTTGGTAGCTTTGCAGGGCCACCTTTTCGACGTCTGTTCTGCGGCGGAAGAGGTGCGAACACGCCATGTGGAGCTAGGGCGGCTTTCCCTCGGAAGACGACGTCCCGCCAACGACTCCAATCTTCGTCCTCATCCTGCGTGTTCCGATCCATTATAGCGGGAAAAACAGTCCGACGTGGCAAAGCATCAGAGTGCTGCGTAATATGGACTCGGGCAGAGCGCACCTTCATGTTGCGAAGCCGCGTTATGATGCCAACCATCTCAGCCGAGAGCGGAACAGGCGAAGCCATACCGATGTCATGGCCCGTTTCGCGCGGAAGTAGTTTACGACGGGGGCCTGTCGTTTCGAGCTTCTCACCGTCCATCCCTGTTGCAGTGCAGTCTGGTTGTATGTTGTTGCCTGTACCCGTGCTATTATTAAGCTGCGCATCAAGTGCCGTCGCCAAAGGTTCCTCGCCGGACAGCGATTCAGGGCTCAGTGAGCCCTCGAAGGTAAAGTGCGATGGAGCCTGAGGTGCTGCGCGGTCCTCACTTGGAGTGAGATCTAAACCACCCTTGCCGACGTTCTCACCCTAGTGTGACATATATGAGCATCAGTGTCATGTTCGAGCGGGAATGAAACCAGAAGGGGGGAAGGAAGATGAAAATATAAAAGCATACCCAAATCTTTGTGTCAGAGTATATGATATCATTGGCAATTGGGTGACCTAGGTACTGCAGATGCACGCGAATCTGATGAGCTATGTATGAATGGATTTGTAAAGTATCCTGAACAACAGTCTAGGTAAATGAATGACGTACAGCGACCTGTGAACGGTTTGCCTATATCGACATGCCATGTTTAGGTAAGTACTATCAGAAAAAAATGACGCTCACAGCGGACAACACTTGTATCTGTATTGAAATCGTAACGGATCAACTTGAACACAGTCTTGGCTGGCTACCGTTTCGTGGGTTGTTTCGTCAACGATGATCACACCAAATGCACGACACTGACCTTCCCCTCAGGATGGACGATAGTGAGGCCTATCTGTCTGTCGACAGTAAGTAGGGGTTGCTCGCACGTAATCTCGTCTCTGACGGTGCATATCAACGAAATTACGATTTAATCACAGAGCGCGCCAGATAAAACACCGCTTACACTGGGAATCTCCCTCGACAACGCGCAACATATTCCTTCCTCACAGTGCCCGCTGCGAATTCTTGCGCGAGTAGGTTGGCCCGTGAGGCTGAGATAGGTATGATCATCAATCCCGAGGTCAACCGATCGAGTCTATTAACAGCTGGAAACATAAGATCCGACGTTGGCATCAGCAATAGGGCGCAAAAAAAGAAAATAACAGTGTTGTACGGTAGACTTTCTCAAACCCGAAATCACTCTTCAGAATCTCGATGAGGCTGTTGCGATGATACCTGCCACACGCGTGAATTGGCTATGTGAAAGATTATTGAGGTGTGGCGAAATTTATTTAAATGAAGGCAGACTCACGATAGAACCAGGCTTGTCAATGACGATGATTTCCTTCTCATTGTCCTGAAGAATAATGCGGACGGGCTTCGTTGACACTGGAGGCTCATGTTTATGCACAACACTCCTGAGAAGACGTTCAGCTCCGTGAATTTACATCGATCGTTATAAGTCTTACTCAAGTCGGTCTCCATTGCAGATGATTGTGTCAGGTTTGGAAACCTTGCCATTGACAGTGACTACTCCGGATTCGAGTGCATATCTCTGTTGTTGGGGTCGATCAATTCACTGAAGTCGATTTAGACAGATGACAAGCTGCTGCGTACATAGTACTCCATTGAACGATCGCGAAATTCAGTGGAGACGACTTCAAGGACTTCCCGGCCAAGCCAGCGAGCTTTGGCCATCGTTGTGTATGCATACCAGTACGGCGGGATCTTCTTTAAGCGAGGTTCCTGCTTTGTTTCGGCAATGGTCACACCATTCTTCGCGCCTGGCATGTCCATCGTCGCCATCAAGAAATGAGCGAGGACGTGCCAGAAAACCTCGTTGTCGGGTAAGGAAATGTGTGGCAGGTACACTCGACGTGGGTAGTTTTCAGCAGAGTGGCCTAATGGTGGACGCAGACCGTTCTCCAGATCGTCAGAGGTTGCTTGAGCCACCTTGTATATCACAACTGCACGGCCTTTGTGAAAATTGTGAATGGAAGATCGGATGTAGTACGAAGAGAGGCGAAGGCTCATACCAAATAGCCGTTAACAATTGATGCGCCAGTCAAAACTCTTGAAGACTCAGTCACAGCGACGTAATCTGTGACAGATCGTGACGCGTGCTGCCCGACGCATGACTCATGGACTCAGAGGACAAGCTTCCAGACAAATAATACAGACTGTTTTTTTTGGAGGAGCAAAGGACTGGGGCAACGGACAAATAATACAGACTGTTCCATTATTGCCAAGAGATACATCCTAGTGCTGGTATACACGGGAACAGGATAACATAGCGCTACATTGGAGGCAGCCGCTAACCAGAGCCAGCATCGAATCATAACCACCAATCATGTCGTTAGTATAATTTACTGCGCACTAACCAGAGCCAGCATCGAATCATAACCACCAATCATGTCGTTAGTATAATTTACTGCGCAGTAAAGCTGTAGCAAAAAGTTTCAGTAAGTTGTGGAAATGGTTGAAGAAAATCTCTGAACTCACTAGATCATGTCATCAAGCGTTCCGTGCTGCGCAACCGCGACGAGCACCGGCTGGTGGTTTGCCGCACTGTTGATTGATGCCATCCGGTATACACCAGCAGGAAGTCCACCCGTAACTTGCGCGGTGAGGGTGCCATTCTGTGCTGCATCATTCAAGCCCTTGAAGAACGCGAACTGGCTTGGGTTCGTCGGCGTCGTCTGGTTTAGCGAGTTGAGGCGCTCAATCACCAGATGCGAGTGGCCCTTCACGTTTCCCGCGCTGTCCGTTGTTTGTGGCGCGGCGAAATAATTCTCGTCCGCATTCACGAAGAAGCCAGTGGCAAGGTTGGAGATCGCCATCGTCACCGTGAAGTTGGTGTTCGCCTTCACGGTGCCCATGTTCGCCGGAAACACGAACTTGGCCGACGGCATGTTGTTCGTCGACGCGATGATTCCCATCGGCGCTGGGTTGCATGATCCGTTCTTGATCTGCTGCCCATTCGTGATCGGTAGCTGTGGCACCGTGGCGCAGAAATTAATGAAGTTGTTCGACGACGTCTGTGACGGTACCTGGCCTGCCTGAGGTCTGCCAAAGGATTTTCAGGCAACCTTCATACACTATCGATGGCTGACACTTACTGGTCCTGACCATTATTCTCAAACCCTGTAGCAATAACCGACTGAAGGAGGGTGGAGGACGACTGGGGATCAGTACTGTTGCCGGACGAGGTACCGTTGTTCTGGGACGCAACGGCACTAGCAGTGGGGGTAGCCTGCGTGCACATTAGATGATGATTTACAACAGCTTTGTCCGCGGGGATGCAACGCACTGCTGAGACAGAGGACGAGACTGCAGACCCGGAGCAATCACTTCCGATACTAGATACCGCGCTTGCAGACGCAGCGCTGGGTGCAACACTCGTTACCGCACTAGCGGTTGTAGCAGGCTTGGACACCAATCAGCTGTAAATCGTTACTTGCTCCGAATCCGACGCACCTTTGAGGTCGAATGAGAGACAGCGGATGCAGAGCTCACAGGGGCCACGCTAGAAACGGCGCTCGGAGATGAAGTGCCATTTGTGGCGCCAGTGGCCGCGATACGTGCATCGAGGTCTCCTTGTGTGGTGCAAGTGACGCTCGTTCCTTCGGAATTGACCAGCGGCAGCGCGGCGCAGCTAATGCGAATGTCAGCTTGATGTCTCGATGAATGCAGAGCAAGCTCACATCAAGGTCGTGCCACAGGAATGCAAAACATACTGGCCATTGACGCACTGGGCGAACTCGCTGTTCACACACGCAATATCACCGGACGTGCATGAGGAGTTGGCAGTGAGCGTCTTGAACTGGTTGCTGTTTTCGATTCAATTGTCGTCAGCACGTGCAGCCCAACATGTAGTAGACATACTTGAGAGCGATAGCTTTCTCGCCATTCTGGAGCGCGAAGCCGGCGCGTGAGACATATGCCGGCGCTGCAAACGCAGCCGTAGAGACAAGCACAGCAAAATATACAGAGAGTTTCATGACTTCTAAGGAAAAGAGTGAGCTGAGTATGCAGTGGTGATGCTGATGGGTGAGCGAGGTGTACAGTGGTTCAAGCAAAGGGGAAAGAGAGTGACTGGCACTTGTATGATCCCAGATCGGAAGGAAGGGACGGGCTAAATACCCTCAGAGAGCGTGGCAGAGAAGAAGTGAAAGGGTGGTGACGGAGGAGTAACGGGAGACAAGGAAAAGATTATATACCACCAATCTGACAGCATGTTGCAACATGAACAAAGGGCCGCCGCTGTGCCGGTTGAGAGCCCTCAATTGAATAATGAACCTTTACGTTGAACAATGGCTGGGAGTCACGTGCCCATTGTTCTGCTCTATTTTTGTCGAAGGTGAGTTCTGAAAGAGGAAGGTGTCGAGGTCGCTTCGCAAAAAAAAACTGAGACCACAAGTACGCCAAAGCGCGTCCCGACATGGCGGAGGCTTTGAGGAAAATTGATCAGATAGGCATGTTGACAAGGGTGTGGACACCGGCGAACTGACGTCGCCCTACAAAGCTGGTTCCAAAGTGCTGCTACTAGAAACCAGGGTCAGTCTCCTGTTTGAACGTGCATTTTAATCAAACAGCTAAAATGGGATGATTTCTGCGATGAAAAAAGATACAGCTCGTACATATAACCTGCTCACGACTTGAGCTACGCAATCATGCCTTAGTGTCCGCTTCCTCGAGTGGGGGAGGGCCGTCGTCGTCCTCATCGTCCTCATCCTCAACGTCTGCACCTGACGGCCCTGCACCACCTGCGCCCGCTCCACCCATCGACTTCATCATCTACATCAGTCATCAGTGTCAAATGTTAAGCAAAGACGTGGTAAGATAGACATACCTCCTCAAAGTCCATTCCACCCGGCATGCCGCCCATACCACCAGGCATGCCGCCCATGCCGCCGGGCATACCGCCCATACCACCAGGCATTCCGCCCATACCGCCAGGCATACCGCCCATACCGCCCATGTCGAGATCGTCGCTTAGATCCACCTTCTCCCCATCCTGCTCGTCCTCATCCACCCACTTTCCGAAGTCGGTTTTGATGAAAGGTGTCTTGACCTTCTCCTTCGTGAGACGCGGCCAGTACTCTGCCTTCTTCTCCTTTTTCCGTAGGGCGAGGGTAATGGAGCGGCTCGTCAGATGCTTCAGTGACTCCTGTGAGCACGTGAGTATCCAGCAATCGTAGGAAACTGGAGAAAAAGGAGTACTTCGGGCACGATGTCGGCGAAAAGGTTGAAGTTGAATGCGTAGTCGCGTTCTTCCAATCCCTTCTCGGCACTGCGCGCGAAGTCAGCATTACCGCCTCGGAAAAAGCGCCGATGTAAGTGGGCCGATGAATGACACGCACTCGCCGGCCTTGGCCTTAAAGGAGATCGTTGTCGACGTCAGATCATACTCGACGGTTTCCGGCTTGATATCTGGAAGGTTCACTGTGAGATACAAGATGTTCTGGGCCAAGAGGGGCGCGTCAGTGCCTCAGAACACGAACGCGATCATGAAGAGCGCTCACTTTCTTCTCGTCAGATTCTGAGCTGCGCTGTGCCCAAAGTATTTCAGGATGGAATGCCATGGTCACGATGGTGTGAAAAATTGAAACTGGACAGATAAAGAGGTGAGTGTCGAAAGCTCCAGAAATTTGGAGAACACGCACGCCTCTACGAGGAGAGCGCGAATGTGCACGTGATCCAGTCTAGGGCAGGCCGGATTGCTATGGCAGACTCTTCGCCTTTCGCAATGATGCGCCCCGCTTCATCGAAGTGATGTGGTGAGTGCGACGAGCTCTGTAGATGCTGCCGACCATAATACTCACTGTCGTTTGCAAGGTGTACTAGGTGGTATATCCCTCTTGCGCTTCTGTCGGTCCCGACTGCTTCCTCGTTCTTCCTCCTGCTGTTCCTATTCTCGACGACATTACAAGCACGACCATGGTATGCTCCATCACCTTGTCATAGTCGCTCGTTGATTGATTGTTGTTAGTTTTTACTGCATTTTACTGCTCACCCTGTCGTTCATGTCGTCGTGCTATTGGTCACCGCTGCCGCTCGATAGCCCGCTCGCCGTGCCGTGGTCGGAGAACATCACGACATTTGCAGACGCGCTCTACTCGGTCATGCCTGATCTTACAGAACAGGAACAGCCTGTTGACATCCAACTGGTGGACCGCTGCTGGTGTGACCTATCCAGTAGCGGGTTCTTCGAACCCTTCAACGTGACGCAGTGGGAGCTCACCAGTGTCTTGCGGACGAAGGAGGAGTTGGAACAAAAGAGGGCAAGGGCGGCAGAACAAGGAGTGCCAGAGATTGGTGGTAATGCGACGAGCAGTCAGGGGAGCTCGTTTTCGCCGTCAGCAAAGTCAGACATCACATCCCTTACAGAAGAATACACGAAAGCATGGACCGACGTCTGGGGTCAAATGCGGCTGTTCTCGCGGAAAGCCATTTCGCGCTTTAATGCCTCGGCGACCGTTCCTGCTTCTATCCCGTCTCCCCCCACCACGTCTGATCAGCTTCCTACTGCTCATTCTCACCCCGAGCCTAACGCGACAAATACCCCGCCACAATCCTCCGCGCCCTCGGAGTCACCAGAGAAGCTATCGATCTCCCGAAGAGAATACGATTTGCGTCCTTATGGCTTCGCAATTGTTCTCGACTTCGGCTGGTCGTCACCGCGATAGACATATTGGATAGTTTTGCGAGTTGGGTGGAGATTCCTCCTTAGTTGGCACTCGGAGGTTATAAAACTACGTTCCGCAATATAATAAACCTGTACTGTATTGTTAGCACTCGAATGGGATAGTACGTTGTACTTCCGTCCTCCGTGGTTGTCTCAAGGTGGGACTCGGTACCGGCAAGGAGGTAAGCGTCACAGCACGTGCAGGCGCGGGAAGTTCTGCTCCTCTGCCTGACGCGCTTCAAGTTGGGTCCGCCAAAGCAACGACCAAGTACTGCTCGTCTGGGACTCCGGACGTGAACCAGCATGGCGCAATCTAGCAAAGGCCAGTCGGCGCAGGAGAAGAAACGTCCACCGCGGCAAGCTTTGGAGCCTCTTGCCGCAAGCTCTTCGTCCAGTACAGGTAGCAAGCTCGACGTCGTGTCCAAGGCGATCCTTGCCCCATTCACGCATCGGAAACACGACTCAAGCAAGCTTTTCACGGATTGTGCGTGTCTTTTTCGTCGCTGCATGCAGTGGCTTACGGGCACGCTTTTCCGCACTCTCTTTTACATCTCAGTGGCTCCCGTCATCATGACACCCCGGATGATGAACGCGGCAACCGTCTCTGGGAAGCCACGCGCCTCGGTCGGCGGCTCCGGGTCAACTTCACGCATGGACTTCGCAACACTGGGACGCGCCCCGTTGCGCCTTGGTCTGGGCTCTCGGCGTATTACTTCACGGGACTTGCAAATCGTCGAGGCAACGGACGAACTGCTCGACGCGGAAGTGCCAGAGCCGGAGGGCGTCGCGTCAGATGTCAGTCTTTTACGCGGGTTCAACGCGACAATTCCAAGTGCGGAGAAGAGCCGGATACGGAGAAGGCAGACGCGTAATGTTGATGCTCCGCGGCTAGGCCTCAGGAAACTAGGACAGAACGCGAGGGGCCTGCTCGGTCAGGAGGAAGACCATGAGAGCGAGAGTGTGGCGAGTGATGATGATGTGGTGGTTGTGTCCAGGACGGTGCCAAGGAGCACAAAGCGTAAGGGGAAACGAAGAGGGAGGCAGAGTTTGAGTGCAGGAAAGACTTTTGGGAGGGAAGAACTGGTTCGGCAGACTCGCGAGATCGAGCGGGATAAAGAGAATCTACATGTTCGAAGAGTATGCATTTCTCGGGCAAGTTTGGCCACTCATTTGGACTGACGTCTTTCAGACACTGGTCAACAGCGAGATCGCGGAAATAACTAACAAGATCGAGGCTCTTGATGCGATGCGCGCGAAGCTCGAGCAGGATCTCCTGAAACTGCAAGAGGATGAACTGGAGTTAGATGACGAACGTCAGTGTGTTTTTTATCAGCCGTTGAACAACCGCACTCATAACCCTCACTGCAGTGGAGGGCGTGAGGGAACGACTTGAGTTGGAGGAGTCGACAAGTCGTGGTGCTCGGAGTCCTGCGCATGCGAACCATGTATCTCAAAGTTCTCGCAGACGGAAAGGTCTGTCACACGAGCGAAGAGTACTCTACACTCAACCCTGACATGCCATTGGCAGGTCCTATGTTCCTACCGTCAGAACACGACGAACTACCGCCAGGTGTAGCATTCATGGTAATGTATCAAGCGGCTATTGGCGTTTGGCTTCACTCAACTATGGTCTTGCAGACGTTAACGGGTCATACAAATCCTATTACAGCGCTCGATTTCTCAGAACCTTACGGTACACTCGTGAGTGCCTCCCAAGAAGATCCACAACCGCGTGTCTGGGATCTATTGACCGGTGAAGAGCTCGGACGGCTGCGCGGACACCGAGGGACCGTCAAGTGCATGCAGGTGGAGGACTATGTGTGTCTAACAGGCAGCGAAGACAGTACTGTCCGTCTGTGGGATCTCCGGAGGGTGGACGAGGAGGATGAATGGGAGGGAGAGGGTGAGATGCTGAGTTTGAGTGATGTCGCGGAGGATGATGAGAGCCGGGACGGCGGAGAAGCGAAAACCAATGGTATTCGCTCTGGAACCAGTGGAACCGGCAGTACAGAGGAAAGAGATGGTTCATGTGTGAGGTTGCTCGAAGGGCACACGAAGGCTGTCTCCACGTTGTATTTTGAGGACGAATGTCTGGTGAGACTGAGTCGAGCCTCGTTTACTTCAGGGTCTCAGCTGACTGTCTGGTTCGTCAGGTTACAGGCGCCTCAGATAAGACGATGCGGCAGTGGGACCTCACCACTGGACAGTGTGTCATGACCATGGACATCCTGTGGGCCATATCACATCCACCCGTTGCTCCATCCGGCAGTGCGTTGCCGAATCACTTCTTCTCTGGTGCGGTGGCTGCGTCTGGGACGTTCGCTGTACCTACCCCTCCATACGCTGACGGGACCTGGGAGATGTATCAGGATTTCGTTGGTGCCGTGCAGTTCTGGGGTTACGCTCTAGTCAGTGGAAGTGGGGATGGCGCAGTGCGAATGTGGGACAGTGAGTTGACTGCTACAGATGTCAGGTGCACACTGACGGCGTACTCATCCTTGCAGTGCGTACTGGCCAGCCTCATCGTACATTACTAGGTCACACTGGTCCTGTGACCTGTTTACAGTTTGACGAGCTGCATGTCGTTAGTGGCAGCTTAGACAAGTCGATTCGAGTTCGTCTTCCGCTCTCTCTCTCACGTTCTCAGTCGTCTCTATGGTTCTTTTGTAGATCTGGGACTTGCGCACAGGTGGTATATTCGAGACCCTTAAGTACGATCATGCCGTCACTTCGCTACAATTCGATACCAGGAAGATCGTGGCAGCGACAGGTGACAATGGGGTTAAGGTGAGCGCACTGGCATCTATTTCGTTGTGCAAGACTCGACCCTTTTCAGATTTACAATCGCACAAGTATGCAGCAGTCAACACTCATGATCAACGGACATACAAGGCCGGTCGAAAAGCTACGTTACATGGACCGGTATCTTGTCTCCGGTGCTCGCGATGCCGCTGTTAAGATCTGGGCTCTATGACATTCAAATGTTGTGCGCTATCCCGATGTTCATCGGCATGGGGGCTCGTTCGGACTACTTACCTTGGTAGTAGAAAGGCTTAGGGGCAACAACTGTAGTATATAATGCACACAAGTATCATGTTATAAATCATCTAATTCACCTGAGTAGAAAGCTTTTGAGATCAACGCAAGCGCGACGCGTCGAGATCAACGCGATCAAGGATGGACCACGTGATCGGCATCAAAAATTTGAGAGCAATCCGAGAGACTCAGAGGTCTAGAGAGCCACCACCATTTGTTGTGCATGTAGTCACACCCGCCGCTCCAAGCTTCTTACATCTGCTGCAGCCGCGCGACTCCCAGGTTCAATGATGTCGATGTTCGCCAGAGGCCGCGTGCTGTTACTGCCTAAATGTCTCAGACGACCTGTTCAGTCGTCTCTCTTCTGCACCACGGGTCGGCGATGTCGCGACTTGGAATCTTCCCGGAGCGTATATTACGAGTCTAAGTACGCAGTAAAGCTGCAAAAGCGTGCACAGGAGTGAGGTGTTTTACCTCCACCTTTTGTGAGCTATGAATTGTACTGACACACTGTGCATTTGCGTCAGGCAAGATAAAACCGTCTCCCAATTGCGTACAGAAATCCAGGAGCAAGAAATGGAGAAGCGGAAACAAAGCCTGGCTGCCGCATCGCAGAAGGAGAAGACGCCGAGTGCGTCTGGGGTACGCGCGAGCGGCAGCGCCTCCTCAGAGAAGTTCTCTGAGCAGACGCCCGGGTTTGTTGCACGGAAGGACGGTTCCCCCGTCAAGGTACAGTCATCTATTCCGGATGCTCCTTGGTCTAATGTGTTGCCACACGTTGTATAATAGCCTCTCAACAGCATTCTAAACTTGCAGCGACTCTTCTCGGCTCCTCATACGACAGAGCAACTCTCTAGACTTTGGCAGGCCTATCATAATTCTCGATCTGGAGGTACTGGGCGTGGCTTCCTCTCTGCTGTAATCCCGGCCGATAAGTATCGGAAGATGCTGGACGTTGCCACGCGATACCCCAGATTTGTCGTGCCATTGCCAAGGGATAACGCGGTGACCGACTCAAATGAGCGGGCGTACGAGTTTTTCCTCATGGAGTGGGGCTTCTATGGTTCACCGCCAGAACCTTCGACAAGCAGCGAGCTGTTTGCCTCTCCACAACCGTCCGCCAACCCGCAGACGTCGACGGTGCTCTTCACACCTCTTCAGGAATATAAGCTTCGCTCCTCCTTCGCCACTCCGCACCTCGTCCTGACGCACTACACCGACCTAGCGCAATCACACGGACTTGTACTCTTGCGAGGGGAGATCACTCCGACATCTAGATCTTCCGCTGCTGGTGGCGGTGAAGCTGATGGACGGTACTTGCTGAGCCAGGAAGACGCGCAGATTTTGGCGGTCGCGGTGCAACGATTTTATTTGTGGGCGGAAGGGGAAAACGAAAGAACTGCTCTGCTGCAGAGATTCCATGACAGTTCGGAAAATTTCAAGTGGGAGGAGTTGTTGAAGCACATGGAGTATTCGTTGTGATGGGTATTTTGTAGCTAATTACTCTTTGCTTGATCCTACAGCTCCTCGACCGGATGCCCACCAGCTATTGGCTATGTCAATCTTTGAAGCTGCAGTTACTTCGGATAAACGTCTGAAAGGTTTGATACAATTGTGGTAGCCGGACTCTCTCGAGTCGAGAAACCAAGTATAATCTTTGTTCAAATTGGATGTCGACTCGACCTGACATGGGGAGCGCATCTATTTCCAGCACGACATCCGTGTTTGTTTTCATCAGATATCCGGTTTTCTCACAAAATTGTGAGAGACATCCAAGCTTGAATTACGGTCCAACAGCCTGTGCTGACCTCGCATGTTGACGCTGCCTGGAAATTTCTGCCTCTGTGGTACCTTTCGTTTCTCTAAGCTGTCTCTCGCGAGTTGGCTTGAGTAAGTATTATCCAATGTATCTCCTCTGCTTTCAGGCGACGAAACAGCATGGAGGTCTATTTCGTTCTGCAATGTGTTCGGGCCACTCAAATGTCAGCGCACATGATGCGCACCTTCTCCAGCAGCTTTTGTGAGCTATGATATCACTTGCTCTCAAGGCTTTCTCAAGATCCGCTCTTACTGCGATCGTCGTCCAAGGCATCGGTCTTCTTCCGAAGCGGTATGGGACTGGAATGTCTTGTAATCCGGTCATTGGTGTCTAAGTCAATTTTGTCTGGGCATGGTATTCTCTTCACCGATCTAGAGCTCCCGGGTCAGGCTTGCAAGGCTTGCGACTCTTGTATGGAGTGTAAGATCTGGATCTATAGAACTACATAACTACTTAGTGCCTTTTAGTGTGTGGATCTGCATCTCCTCAGAGGCCAGCTCTGCTCGATTACTCTGCAGATATTAGGCCAGACTTCGTGGGAACAGTTCTCAGCACACCCGAAACTGGCTTTCGAATTCTCAATACCTCACATTCGATGCTACTCAAAGTACCCGACTACGATCGTGCGGATACGAGTCGATGCAACCAAACCAACTGATTATATTCAATTACTACGATACAATCGCAAGACCCCCTCTCATCGCGCTGCCGACGTCGTAGGCTGATAATCCGCAAGATATCTCTGCCCCGCATACGTTCCTGCGCCCCCAGGTGTCGCAGGCCGCGGCGTCTCCGGCGCGCTCGGCGTCGCGACACTGCGCGGAAGCGGCGGCAGCGTTGGCGCCTGCGCCTGCGTGGGTGACCAAGACTGGTACAACTTGCTTGCGGTGGACACCACCGTGTTCGCCACCGCCCGCTGCGGCTGCGGCTGCTGCGCCGTGGACGCGAAGAAGCTCGCGTAGTTCGTCGCCACCGTCGTGGGCGACGTCACGGCCGTCCCTGGCTGGGGGGTGGCGCGTCCCGACGTCGAGCCCGCGACACTCCCGGCCGCTTGCGGCTGCGCGGACGGCGGGTAGTTGTGCCAGGAAGAGTACGGGTACTGCTGGTTGGTGTTGTATTGCTGGCCGGGGTAGTGTGTGCCCGTGCTCGTCTGAGTCTGCGTGGGAGCAGTGTAGCTGGGATAGTACGTGCTTGCCTGGCCTGGGGTGTAGGTGCCATAGCCCCCACGGTACTGGGCACTTGTAGAGTAGTTGGAGTATGTGTAGGGGTTGTACGCTGGAGCGGCCGCTTTCACCGTCGTCGGCGTGGCTGGAATGGGGGGGGCGGCCGGAATGGGTGCCATTGCAGCACCCGACTTGACTTGGATGGTCGTGTCGTCCCGGAGAGCCGTCGTGCGCCCCTCAGGAAGAGTGCCATACCACCCTTGGGTTTCGTCAGTGGGAAGCGTTCGGTGCAACTTGTGTAAGACTGATGCGGGAGGGACGAACGGAGGGCTGTCGTCTAAGGATGATCTGGGTCGCAGCGAGGCCAACAGCGTCAACGAGTCGAGGATGCCATGTGCTATCAAGGGAGCGATCTGTTAAATTCGATCGGAACCATGAGAGCAGAAAAGGCCACATACCGACATCCCACTCTTCAGAACCTACTTCCACGACGCTCGACCCGCCGCCTTCCGCACCAAACCGTCCCAATTGCAGCACCTCCAGTCTAACCAATGCTCTTGCATTCTTGTCCAAAAGTTCCTGTACAGCTTCTTCCAACTCGAGGCTACCCAACGCAGCCTTGATGACTGCGACTTGATCTGGAGGCAACAAGCTTTCCACCACCGCCGACAAATCTAGCACCTCAGGATTCTTCTTCTTATCACCAACGTTCTCTCCCTCCTCCGCGCCTCCATCAAACATCTCCACATCGTCTCCAGTACCAAGCGCGGGCCCGCGCCCAGGCCAAGCTCGTTGCTTGCCCTTCCCGCTGCCTTGCAATCGTCTTTTCTGCTCCTGTCTCCAAACTACCTCGCCTAGCGTCATTCTCCCGACCTCAGCGCCACCTTGGTCAAAGCTAGGCGCAAAGCCGGCATACGGTCCGTAATCGAGGAACCGCCCGCAGCTCAGCTGGCGAGGGCCAGGGAGACCCGGAGGAACCGAGCTGTTGTTCTTCTTCGCGTATGCAGCTAAGGTCACCGGCTCCACCGTAGAGGTCGACGCAGAAGGGAGGATGGACACGAACTCCGCGTGGGCTGTGGGCAGGTCCTTCAGCTCCTGGCTGTCCAGGGCTGTGCTCGAGTTCAGAGACGTCCACCAGTCGCCCGAGGGCATGTGCTGCACGAGTGCGTATTTACGCTTGCGTGATATGCTCGGAAGCCCCGTGGCAGGCTGAGGTGGGAGTTTGACGTCTTCATGGTCTGCTGAGGACGAATCGAGGATCGGAATGAGACTTTCGACGTCAAGGGATATTGGAGAGGAATGGAACGAGGCCTGGTCAAGCAGCGACAGGGCGAGATTGCAGAAACGGAGCTGTTGAGCGGCAGGGGCGGACGGACGGGATCGTGGGTGCGATGATATAGGAAAGAGATGTTGGACTGCAGACTGGTATGGATACATGTTCATCAACATGCCAGGACGCAAAAAGCTTGACACGTACGCGCAATACACGTAATGGGTAATCTGAAGAGTTCTTGAGGAGTGCGCGGAAGGAGTATGACCGCGTTAATGTTGATGGACTAGCTACGGACTCCGGCAAGGTTGGCTCAAGGGTGTCATCTGGGAGGGGGAAGACTCGATCTAGAAGACCTTGGGTATCAACCCTGCGAGCGTAGTCGGCGAAAGTAAGACACAAAAGTCGTTCAGAACATACGCACATTTCCAGGACATCTAGAATCTTCTCCGCGTCGGAAGGTTCAATCGGAACATCACCGCTCCCAGGCAGCTGCACTGGTTTGGCATTTGGTGGGTGTTCTTCGGGCTCCTGACTGCCCTCTTCCTTTATGTCTGTTCGTACTTGCTTTGCGGCGGGTTGGTCGCCAGAGTCCGCGAGTGAGGTCCGTTTCCGCTTTTTTGAGCCTGTTTTGCGAGCGGGAGGACCGACGTCAGCGGGTTTGTCTTTTTCGAGCTGCGCGGTTGAACGAGTGGCACGAGCCATGCAGAAGAGGATATATTTCGAGATAAAGAGATCACGAGGATGGGTGGTTGACGCGACTGTGGCGAGACGTGTATGCGGTGGTGTATCCAAACGCGTCCAACTCGACGCGTCCCGTGAAATCACTCGACGGTCGTCGATGAGCTGTCTTGGGTGAGTGACGCAGACTGGGCGGTTGAACATTCTCAGTCACTTACTACCATTTCAATCTCCGCTTCTAGTTGTTACTACAACGTGTGCTTACTTTTCTAGACTTTTTTTCAAACCCAAATTGAACTGTCACTATTGTTCATTACAAAGGCTTGGCGATATTTTCCCTCCACCACCCCCTCACTATGGCCTTCAAGCTCGCACCTGCCACGAAACCTCTCCTGCGCGCCTCGCTGACTTCGCGACCAGCTAACGGCCATCTTGCATTCATTCCCCAAATCCGCAAACTGGTCTTCGAGTACTGCGACAAATGGCCATCATCTGCAAACACCCGGACATATCTCCATGACCATTTGGAGGATCTCGCCCGCGAAAATCCCCACGTCGAGTTCGTGGTGAGACAGCGGAACCAGAAGGAGCCCATTATCCGCGGTTTCTACCGTGCGTGGCACCTTTCCCGCGCGTTTACGCTACTTCTGACCTGTTCCCAGTGAACGACAGGGAAAAGGTCATCGCGCTGAACGGCTTCGAGGTAACGGGCATCCAGAAGAAGGTCCAACTGCTGCTCGATTCTTCTGGCGCGAAAATCAAGCCTCTGAAGAGACGGACGGTGGAGAGCACGACAGAGGCGGCGAGAGGCATCTGGAGCGGTCTGCACGACACACCATTCAAAATCTAGGGTTGCAGTCGTCGTAGACGCGGTATGTGACATGGGCTGGGGGCAGCTGGAGGCCTTGAGTGGCCATACCCACTAGAGACTCGGTATTTGCATGCGTCTGTATGGGGCTTAGAGGAGCAGGATCCCGAGGAGACGCGTAGGACTGCAGTCATGGTGGACGTTATCCAGCGTCATACGGGTGACTTGGACTAGTGAGCAAGATTGAACGTGGGGCAAATTGCGGTGGTGTCGAATAAATCAAGGGTCCGAGTTTAGAAATTCAAAGCTTCACGGTTTCTACAGTCATGCCTTGAGTGGAAAGCTTTACCTCAAGGGCCTTAAGGCAGACTCAAGGGGTATGCACCGGCAGATTCCGAGACACAGGGTAGGGGGGGGGGGGGCTCCGAGGTCCTTAACTGAGAATTATTTTTACTTATGAAATGGGCGGCAGGAGGTAAGTAAGAGTCTCCTGCAGTAAAACCATACACTCAGTAGCTGAAAGGCACCTTTGATGATGGTCTACGGAGTGTTTGCGCAACTTGCAGGGGTGGGCTGCTCGGAGGTGGCGGCGGGCACGGGCGCTACCAGATGTGATGTCGGGTCACAACGATGACTAACAAGGTGACCTGCATCACGTAAGCCTAGGATTACCATCTCTATATGGCAGGTGCCTTCTATATATGGACCGTGGGAAGTTCCCACGGGGGGGGGGGGGGGGGAGGGGGTCCTGGGGGGGGCTTAACCGGATTTTCTGACCCTGTCTAGAATCCGATTTATGCATGCCCCGGCAGACTTCGAGCTTCTGCTCCACGTGACAAGCTTCAAGTTTGAGGCTCTTCGCGGCGAGCAGGCTCAAATAAAGCTTCGTGCTAATAACGGTGAGCTGTGACAATACGAATTCCTCTTCATGCAGTGTGCCCATATCTTTTTCATGCATTGTGTACTAGGTCCTCCCTGGGTCTGATCACCATCCACACCGGATGTGAGCGCGCGAGTCCGGAAGTCGATCACAGTCAGATGCTTTCGGGGAGCAGTCATCCCGCGCAATCGCTGATCGTCATAGAAACGACGACGATACTGACGACGCATGCACAGGCAAATGAGACGTATGCCTTCACTGAGGTGGAAATCTATGCTGCCCCCCGTCATCTACCTTCAAAGACGCAATGATGTAGACCCCTCCGACGACAGCATCTTTCCTGTGCCGTGGAAGGGAGCCTTACATCCTGCGAGTATTAGCGAAGCATGCGGGCACAGTCATGGGTGGACGTTCACAATCAATGGGGGAGGAATTGACGAAGCCGGTAGCGCTAGCGGGCGCGCACTTAGGCCGCCTCACAGGTAGTGTCTGCTGTCAGACATGAGTGCGTCGTTCTCTGCACGTTCTTCCGATGTTCTGTGCTCATTCCAGCTATACTGACGCGAAATGTTCAGGATCACTGTAGTATCGCATCCCCCCTCGATGGTCATTAGGTGACCTATGCCTATGCCACGACGAGGTTCATCTCACGGCGTGTGAGCGGTTGGAGGACAACGACCCATTCAAAGAAGGTAAGCCGGTCCTGTGTTTTGCAGCTTCGGTCCTTGCATAGAACATACTTCTCTCACTATGCCCTATTGCGCACAGAGCTTAATAATATCATTCCCATGCGGAGAGTTTACTCATGACCATCATCTCATTCGCCCTGGAGTGGTTGAGACCTACACACATATAAATACGCAGAGGTGAGTTCAGACGAGGCAATAATGGGCACAACAGCTGACTATATAAGCTTCATTATTCGACCCATTTACAGCTGCTTACATCCGTACAATGAACCTATTGGCAGATGTGCTCCACAAATTCCCAACACAAGGCATCCCTAGTTCCTGGAGTCGGGGAACTGTACGGTAGGTCGTCGGCTGAAAATCTAGCAGATGCAATGTTCCACGGAATAGGAACATTGGCTCTCTTCCAGTTCCTGAAGTCAGGGAACTTGCATGGTATGCTGCCAGCTGAAAACCTCGGTGTATTCACCTCGGAAGTGCCGTGGTAATAATATTAGAGGCTTCTGATAGTCGTTGTACCACGCTAAGTCCGTATTTGTATGATGAACGTCAATGTACGTTACTTTCCAAGCGGTGTAATCAGGAAGTTGCTACGTCAACGCTACGCAACCGGGTGTCCCAACGGTCACCCAGTACACCGCGTTCGCGGGCCCTGGAGTTCATTGCCACGACTGCGGGTATTTCTCGGTCTCTGTTTGAGTTCTTGCACTCCAACTCTTCACCCATTCAGCTACAGTGCCTGCATGGGGCATTCTCGTGCAGTCGAAAGTTCTGGTTGGTAATGATACGCGCGCCTCGTGTTCGATGATCCACGCTTTTGCCATGCTTTTGCGACCGCACTGATGCCTGCATGACTCACTCGTGCTTTCTATATCTTTAGTTTTTCATGGGTCGCAGGGTCCCGTACGCCCTTCCCCACGTGTAGGATATGTGAGCACTTAGTAGGCTTGCTCCGAATCCGAGAGCGCAGCGCCCATCTTACATTCTACCCATCCACTACTACTTTCGCCATGTCAGTGACGTCGACCTCTCCCCGACGCTTCTACGCCAACGCGAAAACTTTTGACGTCCAGCCTATGCAGAAGAGGACGAGCTTTTACGCCATGCCCCAGGGCGATACCCAGATCTGGTTGGACTGGGTGCATTCAGAGCGAGCAGCGAACGTGAGTACCATCGGGTAAGGTGTAGGCAGCGGTGTTGACGGGCTCTTCGCGACAGTCCTCATGGGGCAGTTCGACATCTACAACCCTCGTCGATGACTACGTGAGTGGCATACAGATGCCATCAGTTGACGAGCTGAATCCATTTTGTAGAAGCACAATCCCACCGAGTCGAAGACGCACGACAATCCTCTGTCCCTATGCTACTCACTGGTGAGTGCTGTTCGCGTAGGAAGGATGTGCTGTCTGACGAGCTGCATATCAGACACCCCCGACACCACACTCGCCCGACAGCGACATGTCGTCGTCACAGTTATCGATCGATTCGGCGTCCGTGTTCGACGAGATGCCCGAGATTCCTTTCGTCTCGTCTCCTGTCCAGTACGGTAACCCGTGGCATCATTACCGGAAGGGAAGCGCGGGTCATGACGCAGAACACTTCTGGTCGTCCGTCATCCGCCCCACAGCGTCCCAGTCGTCGGACCGGAGCATTGCGGTCTTAGGACATACGAACGACCGCGTAATGGGGCCATCGAGGCAGCGGTCCGGATCCCTGGATTCCATGGCTTCATCTCGGTCGAAGCCTGCACCAGCGAAATCGATCCTGTCGTCGAGCTCGTCCATCCGAACACGGACGGGGCGATCACCTTCATCCGTCAAGTTTCTCGACATGCCGACCATTCACTACCAGGAGTACGAGCCGGAGTCTCCTCTCTCGCCAGAGGCTCCATTGGAGATCAAGAAGCTTGGCCTCTTGGACCGGATTTTGCGTCCGATGAAGAAACCGCAACTTGCACCTGCGCGTCCTATGATTTCTGGGCCAATTCCGCTATGGGAGAAGCCGCCACGACGCGTTTGTAGTGGGGCCGCTAGCCTACGCTCTGTGAAATCGAGCCGTAGCCTCCGGTCCGTCCGGTCATGTAGCAGCAGGCTGCAAACATATTGGGGCAGAATTACGCGGAGGGATAATTGATCGCCTGTAGTCTCATGCGTTATGCCAATGTGAGCTCCTTATCGGTAAATATGTTTTTTTTTGCTGATAATGATGCTGTAGTGCTGCCCTATCATGCTCGGACATTGCATGTTTGCCTTCATGCCGCCGCCTCCAGATTGCGAAGCACATGGACATTATTTTTTCGCCATCTCGCACTCACCGCACTGAGCTCCTTGCACCTTGCCACTGCAAGTGCTCCCGGATTTGATATCAAGGGAAGCCAAGTGGGACTCTGTCAAGGAGTACAGTAGCGCGACATGTAGGACAACAGTAGGGTGTTCTCACTGAGACATGCCATTCATCCGTAGTAGCCAAGCAGTATGTAGTCCCAACGCCTGCTGTACACTCGCCTATGGGTCCTGGCCGTCGAGAGATAAGATAGCAGACCGACATGGTAGCCATTGTATTCAGAGTTGTCGCTCTCGTGCCTTCTCCATGTCCCACCTCCTTTTCATCATGGCAATACCTTCATTTCTTGACCGCACGATGGGTGATGTGAACTGTAACCGAGCAGCCTCAAGGTGTGGCGGTAGAGCCGTGTCATTGCGGATAACCTCAACGTCCACAACTTCGTCAATCGGACGGCGAAAGAAAAACTGACAGCTGCTCACCGAACCAATGGCAAGGAAGAAGGAAAAGGTAGCGGCACTACTCAGCATGTATTGCGAAAGCGTTGGGAGGACCCCTCGCGGTCCCGCACCTCCTCTGGAAGAGGAGAGTCAGTAACTGCGCTATCCTCGCGGCAGAAGACACACCTGAAGATGCTATACGAGCCAAAGATGAATCCTATAGTAAGGCCAACCCCTGCGCCCATCATAGCACCCATCCTGAAGTAGATTATGTTGGTTCACTCTACAACTGAAGAAGTGTCATAGTTCCATACTTCACTACGCAGATATGTTACACATAAGTCGCAAGGAAAACGCACGAAATTCACGTACATTTTTGCCATACAGTAGGGCCAGCGTAATTTCGCTGTGGTTGAGCCATGGTGAGAAAAAAGAAGTGCGACAGAAACCAGTTGAAGACGTTGTGAAGATGCTGAAGATGGACGAAGCCAAGGAGAGGTCACGCCTCAGCCTCTTAAGCCAAGTTTACCATGGCCGCCACGCCACTTCTATCGTTCCCCCCGGCCCAGCAAGCTCAGATCAGTGTGTCCATCCCTTAGTCCGTATGATTCTTGCTCATTCACGTCAGTCCACTGGGCACAGTCCGGTCAAATCAACGAGATTTCTTCCGCGTCTCATCCTTACGGGAGCAGACGGAGTCCGTTCTGAGGTCCTGGCTAGGTAACTGTGTGCTGCTCACCCGGCGTATGCGTTAGATATTCAAGAATTCATTAGGAACACGTTGGCTCACGCGCTGGGACAAGGAGATTGACCTCCTCGTCAGGTTACTGTACTATGGCTTGACTATTGGTCGAGGTGAGTATAGTGGTACGCCCTTCAGCATTTCGACCCATCAGTCTTTTACAGCCTCCCAGACTCTCGGTGAGGAGTATACAGATATTTGGCTGCATTCTGTGCACACGGAGAGACCGCCGTCATGGCGAACGCGAGCAGCTCTTGTGATGCTACCAGCATTACCCTCATATCTGCTGGCGAAATGGGGCTCTGTTCTCTCCCAGACATCGACATTAGGCTCCATCGTGAAGAGGTTGCCGACGTTGCTCGAAGTATTATCTGAGGTTAACCTCGCAATATTCTACTTTCGGGGAACCTACTATAGCCTCGCGAAGAGATTTCTAGGGCTCCGTTATGTGCGCCTTCCTTTTCGTGTTCGTGGACGAGCACGCTGAAGATGATTCGTTTGCAGATTTCTTCCATCCCAGAAGACCCAAATACCCGTCCGCCTTCGTACTCGCTTCTAGGCGTTCTCCTTGCCGTCAGACTACTATCCCGTCTCATAGGTGCAATCCGTAATTTTACAGCGAAGTCTGCCGCGCAGGCTTCAGGAGGGTCCAAGGACAAGCAACCTGTGGACAACTCTCGTGAAACATATATTGATGATAACCCTGTGTCAACCATGCTCGGGCCTGTCGATAGGGAAGAAGCACCCCAACCCTCCGCTGAAGACGATGAGCGGACAGTTCTAGACGTCACACGCATACCACCGAATGTGAGAGCTGCCCGAACATGTACACTCTGCCTGGAAGAGCGCACGGCAAGTTGTGCTACGGAGTGTGGTCATCTTTTTTGTTGGAACTGCATAGTCGGGTGGGGTCGCGAGAAGGTGAAGTTCGGCCTTGGTGATCTATGCGTATCTGGAGCTAATCCACATCATAGCCCGAATGTCCACTTTGCCGACAAGCTCTCCAACTGAACACTCTACTGTCCATCTACAACTTGTAGCGGTTTGCCTCGTTGCAGGGTAAAGCCGTTGTAGGATCTCCAAGATGGTATTCGCACTGTACCTGTACACACAGCAAATCGTACAACAAGGACCTGTGCACTCTGCGCAGTGGTCAAGTTTTAGTCGGATAGCTTCCTAGACGACTATCACACGACTTGTTGAATTAGTGTGATATTATCGCCCTTGAGCAGAATGCGCCCTGAACGCCGAACTGTCAGCACCAAACGCAGCCACAAGCATAACCCTGAAAACGCGCACCAAGTTCTCGTCGAGGCTTTGACTCCTTCACGTATACTTCGGCTGCCTCGTCGATCACGACGTTCATGAATTCGTCGAAGCCCTGAGCGGAAATACGTGAGCGAGAGTTCATGAACACGAGCCAGAGGAAAGGGGAAAAGTGGCGCAGCAGCGATTCGGAAGCGTTAGGCTCGAGCGGAGGGCAGGAAACGAGACGCATCAAAATGCAGCCAACACCTTTCATTGAGTTGGTGTTCAACGCCAGGCGTGTTCGAGTCGGAGTGAGGACGTACAATTATCCGGCCCTCAATGCGCATCTCGATATTGTCGTACAGCCAAATCACTACTTTTGTTCGCTTAAAAAATGGAGAGACTAAGCGGGTTAACTGGAAAGAGGAAAAACAACTGTGTACCTGCTGAAGGTTCTTGAATATGACATTCTGGTGAAGCACTGAGTCAAACAGTCAGTCCAAGGAGAAGAAATCGAGACGTACGATGGGCTGAACCATCACACGCTGCTGACGTCCAGACATATTGAGGCGGTAAGTCGAGAATGAGAGACTAAGATGATGAGCGAACTGCAGGAGGCAAATGCAATACTGAAGCAGAGTGGTGGACGACAAGAAGGTGTCGTTCGGCAAAAGCCGCACGAGTTGTGACGACGCGTCGCAGTCGCGTTTCCTTGCAATTGCAGCCAGCCAGCAACCATGGAGGTCCGTCGTGAACTTGTCATGTCCGCCAGATTTTGCTCATTTCATTTCGTAGCTGTTGGCACCGTCCAACTCATCCACTGCGGCTGCAGTCACCTTCATCACCTTCGTGCAAGACCTCAAACGTAAGACGAAGACATGGGGCCCGATGATAGAGCTATGCGCAAGTGGGGAGAAGACCCTGGAACGTTTCCGTTACCAGTTCCCGGAAGACTGGCTGTACAGTGACCAGCTTCAGGGCGAATGGAGTGCGTATAATGAGATTCTGAAGAGGAAGAACGACTCCATCCAAGAGCAGCTTGGTGCGTTTCGTCGGTCCATCTGTTCAGACGCGTCTGTGACGTGTTTTTTTGCAGCTGGACTACAACTGAAGATCGTAGCTGAGGATAAGATCGTAGAGAACAAGATAAACGATACCATACAGGAATGGGAGCAAACTCGTCCCGTTCAAGGCAGCATGCGTTCCGACACCGCACTTAATGTGATCAATGTGTTTGAAGGAAAGCTCAATCGAGTACAAGAAGAGTACGATCTGGTCTGCAAAGCCAAAGAGGCCTTGGATCTCGAGCTTATACGCCACACCCGCCTGGAACCTGTCTTCGAGGAATTACGGGACCTGAAAGCAGTATGGACCGCGCTCTCCGGTATTTGGGGCCAAATAGGCGAATTGAGGGAGTTGGCATGGGCTACCGTGCAACCGAGGAAACTTAGGCAGCAGATTGACGGGCTTCTATCCTCAACGAAGGACATGCCAACGCGCATGAGACAGTATGCCGCATTCGAGTACGTGCAAGACACATTGCGTGCCTTGCTTAAGTCCAATACCCTCATCTTGGAGTTGAAGTCGGAGGCTCTCAAAGACAGACATTGGAAGCAATTATTCAAGGTCTTGCGGGTGCCGTCGCAAGTTGGCTTGACTTTGTGGGTCATATCATATCGAGTGCTTCAATTCCGTCTAAGGAACTTCTTTCAGAATGACGCTCGGACATGTCTACGATATGGATCTTCGCAAGAATGAGAATCTGATCAAGGAAGTCATCATACAAGCCCAGGGCGAAGTCAGTTTCTGGTTCCTGTTGGGTCGCGACAGTTATTCTAATCATTTGACTAGATGGCGCTAGAGGAATATATCAAGCAGGTCAAAGAAATCTGGACAAATTACACGCTAGATCTCGTCAACTATCAGAACAGATGTCGTTTGATTCGGTACGTGCATGGTTGCTCATGTCAAGAAGAAGTCGTTGACTTTCACTCTCTAGAGGTTGGGATGACCTCTTCAACAAATGCAGCGAGAATCTCAACTCTTTGATGGCTATGAAGCTGTCGCCGTACTACAAAGGTACGAGAGCCCAGTTCATGAATGACGCACGTCGTTCTGATAGCCGCGATTCGCAGTGTTCGAAGAGGAGGTACTTCGTGAAATGTGAGGGATTCGAGGCGAATTACTAATTCTTTTTTTAGGCTGGCTCCTGGGAGGAGAAGCTGAATCGCATCCATGTGCTATTTGGTGAGTGATTAATAAACGCTAACGTCTCCCGCGCTAACCCTTCATACAGATGTCTGGATCGATGTGCAGCGCCAATGGGTATACTTGGAAGGAATCTTCTCTGGCAGTGCTGACATCAAGCATCTCCTTCCTGTCGAGAGCGCACGCTTCCAGAACATCAACACCGAGTTCTTGGCCGTCATGAAGAAAGTCTACAAGTCTCCTTTCGTCATTGATGTTATGAACATCCAGGGTATACAGAAGAGCTTGGAGCGTCTCGCAGACCTTTTAAACAAGATCCAGAAAGCTCTCGGAGAATACCTTGAACGGGAGCGGGCATCATTCCCTCGATTCTACTTCGTTGGTGACGAAGATTTGCTGGAGATAATTGGAAACAGCAAAGAAATATTACGTATCATGAAGCATTTAAAGAAGATGTTCGCTGGCATCTCGACCATCATGTTGGATGATGACTTGACGCAGATACAAGGCATGGCTTCTCGCGAAGGAGAGGAGGTACAATTTAAGGATGCTATCCTCCTCAAAGACTACCCGAAGATCAACGACTGGTTGGGCAAACTGGAGGCGGAGATGAGGGTATCTCTGGCGCAGTTGCTATCTGACGCAGTATCCGAGTTGCAGACCTTTTACGGTGTTGCTACGCCGCTACCTCAGGATCAATTCATGACATGGATGGAGAAATATCCGGCCCAGCTAGTCACTCTCGCTATACAAGTGGCATGGACGGCTTCTGTGGAGAGCGCCTTTGAAAGTTCACAGTCTCTCGATGTTCCCCTCGACGTCGTCCGACAAGGACTTGATCTCCTTGCGGATGTCGTTCTCACCGAGCTAAACCCCGTCACTCGGCGCAAGTGCGAGCATCTCATCACCGAGCTCGTCCACCAGCGTGATGTCATCCGGACGCTCATTCAACAGCGTGTGTCCGACAATAGAGCCTTCTCTTGGTTGTATCAGATGCGCTTCTACCTCGACCAGAGTGTGGAGAATCCTTTGGATCACCTGTCGATTAAGGTCGCCGACACATCGTTCCCGTACGGATGGGAGTATCTCGGTGTCCCGGATCGACTCGTGCAGACACCACTCACGGATAGGTGCTACTTGACCTTGACACAAGCCTTAGGTAACCAGCTAGGTGGTGCTCCGTTCGGTCCTGCCGGAACTGGTGAGTACACGGGAATAGTGTACAATTGTCATAGCTATTCACACGTACTCCCCAGGAAAAACGGAGTCAGTCAAGGCACTTGGGGTGCAACTTGGTCGCTTCGTACTGGTGTTCTGCTGTGACGAGACCTTCGACTTTCAGGCCATGGGTCGAATTTTTGTCGGTCTTTGTCAAGTAGGCGCTTGGGGATGCTTCGACGAGTTCAATCGTCTGGAAGAACGTATTCTGAGTGCCGTCTCTCAACAAGTGCAAAGCATTCAGCAAGGTCTTGCTGCGCTTGTCAAGAATCCCAACACCGAGATCGAGCTGGTTGGAAAGAATGTCAAGTTGAACAAAAACATTGGTAGATACCCCCTTCTCTACATGTTTCTCATGAATCTTACGTTGCTAACTCCTAGGTATATTCATCACGACTAACCCGAACTACGCCGGTCGCTCGACCCTTCCGCCAAACTTGACAAAATTGTTCAGACCGTATGTTGTTATAGCTTGCCCCTATGGCAGAATTCTGACATACATATAGAATGGCTATGACTCGACCAGACCGTGAACTGATCGCACAAGTCATGCTTTTCTCCCAGGGTTTCCGTACTGCAGAGTCACTCGCATCCAAGATCGTGCCGTTCTTCAATCTTTGCGACGAGCAGCTTTCTCCTCAGCCTCACTACGACTTCGGTCTTCGCGCGTTGAAAGCTGTGTTGGCGAGCGCGGGTATCCTCAAGCGCGAGCGTCTGCAAGATGCACGCTCTGGCGACGGGAATGGCGACCCTGGAGGGCTCTCAGACGCTATATCCGAGCAAGTAATCCTCATTCAGAGTGTCACCGAGACAATAGTGCCCAAGCTAGTTGCTGACGACGTGCCACTGTTGACGAGGTAAGTAGTTGTTACTGAATCTGCTTTGCAACTCAAGTCGGTTTTGCGCGCAGTCTATTGGCGGACGTGTTCCCAGGAACAGACTATGTTCCTGTCAATCTAGATGCACTGCGGGAACAGATCAGCAGAGTATGCTCGGAGCGTCGCCTGGTGGAAGGCGAGAGGTGGATAGCCAAGATTCTCCAGCTTTATCAGATCCAGAAGATTCAGCATGGTCTGATGATGGTCGGACCCTCCGGAAGCGGAAAGAGTAACGCATGGCGTGTTCTACTGGCGGCACTCGAGCGACTCGATGGCGTTGAAGGTGTGGCGTACGTCATCGATCCTAAGGCCATGCATAAGGATGCACTATATGGTACTCTGGATCCTACAACACGTGAGTGGAAGGACGGTCTGTTCACACACACACTACGCAAGATTGTTGATGACGTACGTGGAGAAAGTGGCAAGAGGCACTGGATCATCTTCGACGGTGACGTTGATCCAGAATGGGTCGAGAATCTGAACAGGTAATTCTGCATCGAAAGCCATGTCTTATAACAGCTAATTATCATCGTCTCCAGTGTTCTCGATGACAACAAGCTGCTAACCCTCCCTAACGGAGAACGTCTGAACCTTCCACCCAATGTGCGCATTATGTTCGAAGTGGAACATCTCAAATACGCCACGCTCGCAACTGTCAGCCGTTGCGGTATGATCTGGTTCAGCGAAGACATCGTCGAGCCCACCATGGTTTTCCGTCATTATCTCGATGCCCTGTCCACGGTGCCTCTTGACGCTGAGGATGAGGAAGGGTTGGAGATGCCTGGTCGCCGCTCTGATGCTCTGGCATCGGATAATGCATTGTCTGCGAATCTCATCACTCAGAAGCAAGTGGCGGTTATTCTCGAGCCCTACTTCGCAGAAGGTGATCTCGTTATGTCGGCTCTCGAGTTCGCGGCATCCATTGAACACATTATGGATTTCACCACGACGCGTGCTCTCAACACCTTGTTCTCCCTCATCAATAAGACGGTACGAACCGTTATCGAGTACAACATCCAACACTCGGACTTCCCTCTAACTCCCGAACGGGTGGAGCAATACGTTACCAAGCGATTATTGGTCAACATCATCTGGGCGTTCTCAGGCGATGCTCGATTGGAGCTGCGTTCCGATTTAGGTGATTTCCTCCGGAAGCAGACTGGTGTAGATCTCCCGCTCTTGGGTCCAGGAAGCTCCCTTCTTGACTATGACGTCCAAGTATCCAATGGGGAGTGGTTCAGTTGGCAGTCAAGAGTTCCCGTTATCGAGATCGAGGCGCATGCGGTGACGGCCTCGGATGTGGTCGTGCCAACCATTGATACTGTCCGACATGAAGAAGTCCTCTACTCTTGGTTATCGGAGCACAAGCCTCTCATGCTATGCGGACCTCCGGGTTCTGGCAAGACTATGACTCTCTTCAGTGCTCTGCGCAAGCTCCCTGACATGGAAGTCGTTGGTCTGAACTTCTCCAGTGCCACTACGCCAGATCTGATCTTGAAAACGTTCGAACAATACTGCGAATACCGTAAGACACCTAATGGTGTCATTCTTGCACCTGTTCAGATAGGACGTTGGCTCGTGGTCTTCTGCGATGAGATCAATTTGCCGGCTACAGACACGTACGGGACGCAGCGCGTCATCTCTTTCATTCGGCAACTGGTCGAATCTGGTGGTTACTGGAGAACATCCGATATGGCGTGGGTAAGGCTAGAGCGCATCCAGTTTGTTGGGGCGTGCAACCCTCCTACGGATCCCGGCCGTGTTCCTCTCAGCCACAGATTCCTTCGTCATGCACCTTTGGTAATGGTGGACTATCCTGGAGAATTATCCTTGAAGCAGATCTACGGGACCTACAACCGTGCCCTCCTCAAAGTGGTCCCGAACCTCCGCACGTATGCCGAGCCGCTCACGGATGCTATGGTTGCGTTGTACCTCGCGTCACAGAAGCACTTCACGACGGATGTACAAGCTCACTACGTCTACAGTCCCCGTGAACTCACACGGTGGGTACGCGGTATTTATGAAGCGATCAGGCCCTTGGAGATTCTATCAGTAGAAGGCCTTGTACGCGTATGGGCACACGAAGCATTGCGTCTGTTCCAGGATCGGCTTGTCACAGAAGAGGAGAAGCAGTGGACGGATGATAGTATTGATGCTGCTGCTATGGACCATTTCCCGACCATCAATCGTGACGAAGCTCTAACACGTCCCATCCTCTTCTCTAACTGGACTTCGAAGAACTACATTCCAGTAGACCGAGAGGTTCTCCGCGAGTATACCAAAGCTCGACTCCGAGTCTTTTACGAGGAAGAACTCGATGTACCGCTCGTCCTGTTTAACGACGTTCTGGACCATGTTCTTCGCATTGACCGGGTTTTCCGCCAGATTCAGGGTCATCTGCTATTGATTGGAGTCAGCGGCAGTGGCAAAGTGAGTAATGAAGTGCAGTCGTCCGGTCTTCGTATGCTGAAAAAAGTGCAATAGACTACTCTGTCTCGCTTTGTTGCTTGGATGAACGGTTTGAGCATCTTTCAAATCAAGGTCTCAAACAAGTATACCGGCGAAGATTTTGACGAGGACCTGAGGACCGTTCTTCGTCGAGCAGGTTGCAAGGGAGAGAAAATGTGCTTCATAATGGATGAGTCAAACGTGCTCGACTCTGGTTTTCTCGAGCGAATGAATACCCTACTTGCCAACGCTGAGGTGCCAGGTCTGTTTGAAGGCGACGAACATTCCGCCCTCATGACAGCCTGTAAAGAAGGATCTCAACGTGATGGTCTCATGCTTGACTCTCACGAGGAGCTCTACCGGTGGTTTACCCAGCAGGTTGCCAAGAACCTCCATGTCGTGTTCACCATGAATCCTCCGGAGAATGGTCTGGCCTCGCGAGCTGCTACTTCTCCTGCCTTGTTCAATCGCTGCGTTCTGGATTGGTTTGGTGACTGGTCCGACCAGGCGTTCTATCAAGTTGGTATGGAGTTTACTCGCACGTTGGATCTGGACGTGCCGTCATACAATCCTCCTGCCCTCTTCCCCATCGCCTATCGTGACTTGGCTATGCCCCCTGTCCATCGAACAGCCGTGGTCAATGCTCTGGTCAACGTGCACCAGTCACTACATCAGATCAATCAACGCCTCAGTCGACGTCAAGGTCGCTACAATTATGTGACACCGCGACATTACCTTGACTTGTTGAGTAATTCCTTTTGCTGTCCGACTTTAATCCTAACACATACCTGCAGTATCAATCATTATGTTCGACTTCATAATGAGAAGAGAGAAGAGCTGGAAGAACAACAGCGCCATCTTCACGTTGGGCTGGACAAACTCCGTGACACAGTGACACAAGTCGAAGAATTGCGCAAGAGCCTTGCCATCAAACGTTCGCAGTTGGAAGCGAAAAATATCGAGGCCAACGAAAAATTGAAGCAGATGGTAGCCGATCAGCAGGAAGCGGAGCAAAAGAAAGCTGCGTCCATTGAAATACAGGCAGCCCTTATTGAGCAGGATCAGAATATCGAGGAGCGTCGTGAAGTCGTCATGAAGGATCTCGCTGATGCAGAACCAGCTGTTATCGAAGCCCAGTCGGCGGTCAGTAACATCAAGAGGCAGCATCTCCAGGAAGTTCGTACCATGGCGAATCCACCGGAGGCCGTCAAATTGGCGATGGAGTCGGTCTGTACCATCCTTGGCCACAAGATTGACAGTTGGCGTGCGGTTCAGGGTATTATTCGTCGCGACGACTTCATCCAGCGGATTGTGAACTTCGACACGGTTAATCAAATGACCAAACATCTGCGCGATACCATGAAGAAGGATTTCATGAGCCGCCCATCATACAATTTTGAAACCGTGCAGCGTGCTAGTAAAGCTTGTGGTCCTCTGGTCAAGTGGGCAATCGCTCAGGTTCGATTCTCCGAAATCCTGGATAAGGTAGAACCCCTGCGCAACGAAGTGCAGTCGCTGGAAGATCAAGCAGAGCAGACCAAAAAACAGGCCAAAATGATCATCGGCATGATCTCCGAACTTGAGGCCAGCATAGAGAGGTACAAGGAGGAGTATGCCGCTCTCATCAGGGAGACTCAGGCTATCGCTTCAGAGATGGAACGTGTCCAGAGCAAAGTCGATCGTAGCATGAAGCTGCTGGACAGTTTGTCGTCGGAGAAATCCAGATGGGAGTTAGGCAGTCGTACCTTCGACACAGAGATGAGCACAATCGCCGGTGATGTGCTACTGTCTGCTGGATTTTTAGCGTACGGTGGATTCTTCGATCAGCATTACCGGGAAGTCATGTGGCAGGAATGGTCGAACCATCTGGCAGAGGCCAACATCAAGTTCAAGACCGAACTGTCACTTCCAGACTATCTTTCCACTGCAGATGACCGCCTCAGCTGGCAGTCCAAAGGTCTGCCGTCCGACAACCTGTGCACCGAGAATGCGATTATGATCAAGCGCTTCAGTCGGTACCCTTTGATAATCGATCCGAGTGGCCAAGCGACCAACTTTTTGCTCAACGAATACAAGGACCGCAAGATCACAGTCACCAGTTTCCTGGACGAGGCATTCCTCAAGGTGCTGGAAAGTGCTTTGCGATTCGGGAACACTCTGATGATTCAGGACGTCGAGCATCTTGACCCCATTCTGAACCCCGTGCTGAACAGAGAGATTCGGAGAACTGGAGGACGTGTTCTCATCCGTCTCGGTAACCAGGATATCGACTTCTCGCCCTCGTTCACGATGTTCCTTTCCACGCGAGATCCTTCGGTCGAGTTCTCTCCCGATATCTGCAGCAGGGTGACCTTCGTCAATTTTACGATGACGAGAAGCTCTCTTCAGAGCCAATCACTGGATCAAGTGCTGAAGGTGGAACGCCCTGACACGGAGCGGAAGCGCACCGATCTCATGAAGATGCAGGGCGAGTTCCGTCTTCGCCTCAGGACCCTGGAAAAGTTGTTACTACAAGCTCTGAACGAGTCAACTGGTAATATCCTTGACAACGATAAAGTCATTGATACGTTGGAGACTCTTAAGCGAGAAGCTGCCGAAATTACTAGGAAAGTGGAGGAAACAGATCTCGTCATGAAAGAAGTAGAGCAAGTCACCGCGGAGTACCTTCCATTAGCGCAAGGCTGCAGCGCTGTTTTCTTCATCCTGGAACAGCTGAACCTCGTCAATCACTTCTACCAGTTCTCTCTGAGGTTCTTCCTCGATATCTTTGACTATGTTCTCCACCACAACCCAAATCTCAAGAATGTCACAGATCACAGCCGTCGTAGAGATATTCTTCTCAATGATTTGTTCCTCGTGGTGTACAAGAGGACGTCACGGGCATTGTTCCATCGTGACCATGTCATGCTCGCAGTACTACTGGCCCAAGTCAAGCTTCGCGGGATAGAGGAAATCGCAGATGAATTGGAGTTCCTGCTGGAAAGTGGAGACGGTGGTGTTAGTGTTGCACCTGGGTCCACTGTTCAGAGTTCTATCTTGTCCGCCGACCAGAGCGAACGATTACAGAACTTTGCGAAGCAGCCACTATTCAAACCGGTCCTCGAGCACGTGCTGCGGCATGAAACAGAATGGATTCCCTTCCTCGAGTCTAGCAGTCCAGAGTTATCGGTCCCTTCGCCGTGGGATCCAACCACCCGTGAGTCACGCCAGCTGAGTTTCACTCTAAGTTGGTAATTGATATTCCTTTAGCTGCGGTCGAAGCCGTGCGCAGAATGATGATTATCAAGTGCCTGAGACCCGACCGACTGCTCCAATCAACGGCATTGTTCGTGAAAGGCGTCTTCCAGACTGACATGGCTGCAGAGTCGGGCTACGATCTCGGCAGCATGGTCGCAGACGAGATTCTTCCCGCCACACCATTGGCACTAGTCTCCGTCACGGGTTATGATGCGAGTTATCGCGTTGAGAATTTGGTGCAGAACGCTGGTGTTCGGTGTGCCTCCGTTGCAATGGGTTCGCAGGAAGGTTTCACTCTAGCGGACCAGGCAATCGCGTTCGCCGCCCGTCAGGGTTCGTGTGTCCTGCTCAAGAACGTTCATCTTGCACCGTCTTGGCTCGGACAATTGGAAAAGAAGCTGCAAACATTGAACCCTCACCGGAACTTCCGCCTATTCTTGACCATGGAAGCTAACCCAAGCATACCTGTCAATATCCTGCGACAGTCGCGTATTGTCATGAATGAGCCCCCGCCTGGTATCAAGGCTAATCTCACTGACTCGCTACGGGGAATATCGTCCGCTCGTCTGTCACAAGGGCCTGCGGAAAAGGTCCGTCTATATTTCTTGCTTGCCTGGTTCCACGCCGTAGTGCAAGAGCGTCTGCGTTACGTTCCTCTCGGCTGGAGCCAAGTCTACGACTTCAACGACTCTGATATGGCTTCCGCCTTCAACACAATCGATACGTGGCTCAACGCCATCGCAAAGGGTCGCGCGAACATCGACCCAGCTGTTATTCCCTGGGATGCCCTGCGAACGCTCGTCAAGCAGTCTGTGTATGGTGGCAGAGTTGACAGTGATTTCGATCAGAAGATCCTGGATGCGTTCGTTGACGGACTGTTCACTCCGTCCGCTTATAATGTCGATTTCCATCTGGTCCCGAGTACCACAGGTTATCAAGTGCTGGGTGTACCGGATGGCACCAAGTTGGATCACTTCTTGTCATGGGTGCAGGGACTACCCGACAAGGAGCCTCCAGCGTGGCTGGGCCTTCCGCCCACTGCCGAACGCGTCATTGCTATTGCTCAAGGTAACGCACTCTTATCTTCATTTAGATATTCGAACTGATGTCTTTTCAGGGAATGAGCTGCTTGGGAAGCTGCGCAAGATGAGGCTCCTCGCTGATGATGACGATGAAGGGGCTGCTACGAGTGTGGGTCCATCCAAGGGCCAGGTGTCTCAGCAACCTGCGTGGATGAGGTCTCTTCTGGATCGTTGCCGCGAATGGCTGCAACAGCTTCCTGCCGTGGGTGTCGTTGACATCAGTTTTGCGTCTGCAACATGACTGACGTGGTTGGAATGTAGACGTTCAACACACTCCAAAAGCAAAGTGCGGACAATCAGGATCCTCTCTACCGGCTATTCTTCCGTGAGGGCAGCATCGGCAGCAAACTCCTGGGGCAAGTTCGCAGAGATTTGGCTGATGTCATCAAGGTTTGCGAGGGTGCTCTGAAGCAAACCAACCATCTCCGCACCTTGATGAGCTCTCTGACGAAGGGTATGCACTAATCTACTGTCTCTTCGCATTTGCTGATATCTTATACTCAGGTACCATCCCTACCCACTGGCGGCAATACAAGGTGCCGAAAGCAATGGCGGTATCTGGCTGGATATCCGATTTCGCGCGGCGGCTAGCACAGCTCGACAGCATCGCTGGAATGAACAACCTGAACAATCTTGAGGTATGGCTTGGCGGGCTCTTCTTCCCAGAGGCGTACATCACTGCGACTCGCCAAGCTGTCGCCCACCGGAAGAAGTGGAGCTTGGAGACGCTACAACTCAGTCTAGATATTGAGCGCGTGAACGATCCTGGCGCGTTCATTGTCGATGGTGTGTTTCTTTTCGCGGATGCTTTATTGTCTGGGCTGACTTTGCGATACTGGTGTAGGTCTAGTGCTAGAAGGCGCGGCGTGGTCTGAGGACAAGCTTACGCTTAACGATGGCGAGACCGTCCGCCTCAACCCGTCGCAGATCCGCTGGGTGCAGGCAGAAGGCTCTGCGACATCCGCCGCAACGGTGAACCTGCCCGTCTATCTGAACAGCGACCGCAGTCACATCCTCTTCACTGTCGACCTGCCAATTGTCAGCACGGCCGGCGCTCTGGTAGCGACACGAGCTGTGTGTCTCACTGCGGGAGGTTAGATTGTAGAAGTGAAGTGAAACAAGTGTAGATGTTGGCATACCCGCGTGCATTACGATACCTCGCATTTCATTCGTTTATAATTTGTGTTACCTGACGATCTAATGACTTACGATTTGGGAGGAGTGGCAAGCGGATCACTCTGGAATTATGGATACAGGCTATGAATGTTGGACAGCGCTACCACCAACAACGGTGAGTACCTTCCAGTCTACTTCTATACCTTGACGTTTAAATATTGCACGTGCGTCTTCCGCAATTGCCTCGAACCCGCCTGTCGCGAGCGCAAGAATAGTGGGACCTGCACCAGAAAGACAGATGCCGAGCAGACCGGGATGGGTCGAGGGTGTAATGCTCGAAGTCACTTCTGGAAGACCGGGAATCTGGAGATAAACGAGACGCATCAAAATAGCCACCTTTTTCCTGCGATGTGCGACACTCACTAAAGTTTTTCGGTACGGCTGATGGATTTTGTCCTTCATCGCCTCGTAGATGAGATCGGGGTCGGGAGGTGATTGCCCCAGCGCGGTGGTCAGCACGGCTAGCCGCTGCAAATTAAATACCTGTGTGGATTCGCATCGTTAGACTCGGAGTAAAGGACATTCTGAGTTCGTCTGACACACCAGATCTTTCCGCGAATAGCTCAGTGGCAACACCTCCCGCGCCTTCGCCGTGCTGAGCTCGAAGCGCGGGATGATCGCGACCGCTTTGATGCTTTCGGACCATCCAAACCGGACGTAGTGGCCGATCCCATGCGGCGGGTGGGGCGGGTCCATCCCCCAGTCTTCGCCCGCGTCAGGTGGGTACTCGGGGAGAACTTCGCTCAGCGGCACGCTTGCGGCCTCCTCCGCTTTGTGGTCCAGCTCGCGCAGATACGAGCCGACGAAGCCGCCGACGAGCGCGGCGGTGACATTGTCCGGATGGCGCTCGACCATGAGAGCGAAGTCGAGCATACGCTCGCGCGAGAGGTTCAGTGTGCAGACTGCATCGGCTAGCAGGACGCCCGCGATGACAGCAGCACCAGAAGAGCCGAGTCCACGGCCAAAGGGAATTTCGTTCGCGGCGTGGATGGAGAGATTGGCAGGGAAGCGCGCGATGCCATGGCACCGAAGGACGTATAGCGCGACACGAGTGGTGAGGTTCTTGTAGGGATCTAGCGGAACCTCGTCGGCACCCTCGCCAGTATAGAGCAGCCGTGGAGGATGTGGAGGATCTCCAGGAGCTGGCGGGTTGACGGTCACAGAGAGAGTGAGGTAGAGCGAGAGTGAGAGACCGACGACGTCGAAGCCGGGACCGATGTTGGCGGAAGTGGCGGGGACGCGGACGATGAATGAGTGGGACATCACGAGCAGTACACTCGTCGTCGCGGGCGTCGTCGTCGTCGTGAGCTGCGACGCTGTTGCGACCAGTGGTGACAGTAGCAAAATTGCATCTGACGAGCTGAGCGGTCGGTAAACGCGCTCGAGGCTCCCGACGCGGAAAAGATTAGCGCGATTTCCTTGAACGGGCACGGACCGGAAAATCTTTCCGGGTTAAGCCCCTGATTGGAAAAGTCCGTTGGCCGCTCCGGGCCCGGAGAAGACTCCGGGTGTGCATCTGTAAAAGGAAGGTATCTAGGTTTCTCGCCTTCTACGCAGTAACGTTTTATTAACGCTCCATCCACTACGGCACTCCACAGCGTCCTCATGTTCTGAGTCCAAAATTCGGGCAGTAGTCTCTTACAGAACGAACGGATGATTGCGACATCGTACTAGCACTGTACTGTACATTGACCTAAGCACCTGGATATACAAGCATTAAGATACTACCCTATTGAAATATTGATCATCGGTCTATATAACGGCCTCCGTCGTCACTGTGTTCACAGTGATGAAGGGAAAACGGCCGGCCACCGCCGCCTCGACGTGAGCTTCATGCTGCAACGTTAATTCTAACGCATCAACGTGGCCGTGCATTGTACCGGCCCTGCGCCTCATATCCTCTACCCGTAGAACCAAGCGCGAAAGTGTCAGGATAGTGACGGACCATGTAAAGCTGTGCGTGAATATTCACGTGAATCAACTACTCAAAAGCCAAGAATCAATGATCTAGAGCATACAATGGTGTCAACAAGTTGTACGCCGCCTTGCGAAGTTGTCAGAATCAACGTGTTCCAGATACCATAGGCATACTCACATCCGGAACGGCACTCAGCGCCATGTTCAATACGCGAATCCCTGTGACCAGAAAAGTTACAAAAGTCTATCGTTTATTTACTGGACACGTGACAATTTGCTTACAGAAAAGTATCTATAGACTTTAATCAATATAGGTCAGACACGCACCACGAATTAGACGTACAAAGATATACAGAAATCCGTCGCGGTACAAGTCTGTGACTAACTTGCTTTGAGCACGCCGTGGGCGTTCCGCAGCGTTAAAAATTGTGAGCAGAAAGGTGAACAATTCGAATGCAACCTGCAATCTTGTCAGACTGCGTGATGTAGTGGAGACGTCATAACACATACCTGTGGCGCCCAGTATCCGACAAGATAATGAGGCTGCGACGTGAGGATACATGTCCGATATAAAAGCGGCTCCCAGATCATGCTAGCTGAGTGAATAGTGGACTCATCGTGGACCGAGAAATGAGGTAAATAAATGCCTACCTATCAATTCACGCAGCGCTAAAGCTCCGAAAACCATTCCAATGGAAAAGGTCAATACACATGCGTATATCAAGATTCGCAAGATCTTCTTCCTGTGGTCATATAGCGCATAAACGCGAACGATCAGAACGACTAGAATGGGGTAATTAAGTATGAAAAACATTCATCTCCGTGGTCTCAATATCACGTACAGTTGGTCGAAGCGGTAGAAAGAATAGTGGACACCCCGACAGCGATTATCCATCCTTGACAGCTAGGCGGCCGTAAGTGTAATTACCACAACGCGTTATATGGTTCGCTCACAACTGTTACGGAAATAAGTCACTGATCATACAGCATAGCATGAGTGACACTTACTTTCGTTGTGTGGGATGCCATGCCACTCGTGACTGGAACAACCACTGCTTCAGCGAGAGGAGTGTAATTAAGTTATAATGGAAATATACCATTTGCTACAGAGAGTAGGGCGGATATAACACCGTATCGAGTAAACAGGAACACTAGCTTCGTAACGTCGATCGGCTGGAACCATACGAGACGTATTTCGTCGCCGAGCGTCAACACAGTGTCATAGATTAACAGCGTAAGACCTGCGGCTGCACAATACGTCCGTGAAGACGGGAAACAAACACTGAACAGTGGTACAACATACCTGTGAGATACCTGTTCGCTGAGACACTCCCAGAGATTCCCTGCAAAGATCGGAGGACAGCCTGAGGCGACGTGTCCATGCTGGCGACCGTTGAACACACTGCGGGGTTAGTGTGGATGATACGGAATGTTATAACCACTCTGCAACCTGTTTTAGACCTACTTGGCATGCACACACAAATAGGGCATAACGTGAATTCTACAAACTGCCAGCCGGCGTTGTCCTGAGGGCTATTCCAAAGTTATAAAAATCCATCAAACTTAACATGCTCCGCAGTATGAAATACGGCGCCACGCGGTCAGACACGGATATCCTGAGGCAGAGTGTCTACTCACGCGTTAAACTCACCACTGCGTCAACCACAGAAGACGTTGGCTCAGTATCAATCACGGAATGATTCTATCCCGACTGTTGATCAGTCGGACTAGTGCAAAAGGGAGATGGTAGCTCGACGCTGCCTTCTTCGAAATACATGTGTTTTCACTTGGTGTGGCGCCCAATGTGTTGTTACAAGTGCAGTTGGTCTCCATACAGAGGGCGCAAGGCCTCCTGTCAGCATACAGAGAGAGGCCACGCCCGTTTGTGGTAACGGATGTGTGGATACGATAGTAATCAGCGGAGGATATCACACAGATGAATGCAGGACTTCCATGCTCGCACAGCGTTCAGCGCTCAGGTGTCTGATAAGGAGATGTCTCGGCGCGGGTGTTCCGTCGACTGGCCTGCAGTTTCAGCTTGTTGACGTGCGAGGGTGTTTGGGAATGCTCACGCTTTCTCCCGACATACTGTATTCTGAGAAATAACTAAATTTTGCATCATACCAAGTCGTGGCACTGAAGAATAGTAACCTGAAGAGTCTTGATTGATCAGAAGACGTGCGAGAGAAGACCACTGGACTCTCCAATGCCAGACAGCGACCCTCCCACTGGCTGCCATAATCTGAGTCTCAGGCACGTTCGCTGGCAACTTTCAGAAGTGTCAATCTGGCACAGCGTCCTATGTGGGTAACATTTATGAACCGCTCCGCGGAGAGTTAGTTGACTGGCGATCTTGAAGTTGTAACGTGATTCTTGCTTGCAAGGTCTCTCTGAGTCCCTCTATATTGTTGCATTTTTTGACTCCCCAGTCTCTTCCGTGTGCATGATGAGTCCTGCAGGACAAGTCCCGAATCTGTGTGGTGGAAAATTTCGCAAGCAAGGTCTCTGCCGCGAGGAGGCGGCGCTTCCCTCAAGGTGTGCACAATGGCATCTGCTAGTCTCGTAACCAGACGTTCACGTGAGCAACCTGGCGGTTACCAAATTGGGCGTTTAAGATGTTGGGTCGCTCCCGATAACGTCTAGTGACTTGTGGGTGAGCGGCGCTGCATTCGCACGCCATGTCCGATTCCCTAGTCCCCCCACGTATATTCACAGCATCGATTTCTGTGAGAGCGACATGTGATAAGGCGGTAGTCATAGTAATAGTATACAAGAAAATCCCGTAGTCAAGCCATGTAAATTTACAGTGGCAATCACTGCAAGCGAATAGTGGGGAAGAAAATAAACGTAGGTAGCGCAGATTACAAGCAGTAGCACAGGCTCATATAAGATAGAGGCTAAACCTGTCCGCCACTTGGTCCAGCCCTTCTCGTATGAAGCCTTACCTTTAGCATCGACCCTCCAACGAGTGATGTTACATTCGACCAGGACGAGATCATTTTTGTGGATGTCCATGGCATGCATCTGTCTCATAGTGTTCCTGGGGCCGAACTTGGTGTCGGCATCAAATACGTCTTGAAGGCTTCCACCTTAAAGCAATGAATAACAAATATTTGTTGAAAAGAAGAAATTCAACATACAGAAGCATACTCTCCACTCCCGGTGCTCTGGAAGCGTGACACTTTCAAAACATCTGAAGTGTTTGAACCGATCTTGATGCTCACAACGGCCAAGGGTCCACCGCGAAGTTTGAACCAAGATGAGTCGACTTCTCCGATGAGCCACACAGTAGCTGGTTTATTGTCTACGATGAGGAGAGGATATAAATCCAAAGCTGCAAGTGTCGACATCAGCAAGGGAGAGAAGGAGGGAGGAAGTATCAGGCACACTCACATCTATGCAGCATACAGAATCTACGTGAAGAGTGAATGCAGCTGCGAGAAGATAGAGGATGGGTGCAGAGATGCAGACAATCACCCCTAGCCATCGGTCCTCCTCCAGTCTTTCATCGGAAATAAACTTTCAAGGAATGCCGGCCGACTTTGTGTTGCGGAAATCTTGAACAGGAAGCGGGAAACCCGAAGTGAATCGGGTGGCCTAAAGACGGAAAGTAAAAAAAGCGGATAACCATTCTAAGAGAAAATTACTATATGCGGCGCGGGTACAACTTTATGTCAGCAACCACCATACGTGCACAGACTGACTGATAACCGATTCTTTAGGGAATCGGAAAATTTGTATAGAGGGAGGGGGGTATGTCACATGGGCGTGACCTCAGCCAAAACTCGAAACATCCGAACCTGACCGCGGCACATTCGCGGGTCACCAATGCCTCGAATATGGTCCAAGGTACACGTATGGTCGCACACATGAACAAATTCTTCCAGCGGGGGTCAGGAGATGCACAGGTACACGCGGGATGACCAGCGTGACACGCGCTGCGCGGAAGCTACAGCCAGGAGAGCGTTACATACCCCCCCCCCTCTATACAAATTTCACCAGACGTTCTGACAACCCTTCCACCTCAATTCCCAAAAAGGGTCGAAGGTCAGAACGGCTGGTTCCGAGACTAGGCATCTGCAAACTGTTCCTTCGATGGACCATATAAGGAGCGAGTTACTATATAGGGACCGGGTACAACCTCCTATCTCATTACCTAAGCATTGGCTATACTCCCTATAACCGAATCGGGGTTATTCTGCGATGTTTGGCCAGCTTCCGACAACTTGTATAACGGCCCGGGAGCTGCCAACCTGCGGTTGGCAGCGGACGGGCTGAGACGGGGGAGGAGTGTAAGCTGAATAGGTATCAATTCTGCAGAGATCACGGTATGTCATGAATGTTCAGATTTTTCCTTTGACATAATAGAGAATTGGACATGGCGTGCGAATGCAGAGCCGCTCACTCCGCCACCCGTTACTGGTTTCGTTTGCCCACATATGGAAGAACGGTGGCGAATGCCACAAGGCACCGGTTGCAGCCTGACAGCTGTGCACACTGCACTGGCGGCAGAATGCGACACACGAGGTCAGCTTGAATTCAATCCTCCGTAAAGTTCATCACAATATGGTATGTACGTATTCTGCAAGCCGTCCTTTGGTGCGGTTTACGGTCCGCCTGCTTCCCAGTTTCTCCTACCGTCGGTGAGGATCATCGTCATTATAGTAGACGCTTGCGTTTAAAATCCATCAATTGGCAAAAGAAAGCAGGTTCACAAGGGTTCGAAAACGCGCCCGAGGCGTCAGGCATCCGTTTGCCGAGGAATGGAACCTCCCGCGGCCGCCCTCCATGCAATTTCCTACACCAAGATCATGGTCGCAGGGAGGTCGAAGATAGCATCTTCACAGAAACTTGAAATGCGAACTTTATGCATGCCAGTACTGACCGAGTTCGGTCATCGCCCACCCTATACCCATTTGCTTCCCTTCCGTCCTTCCTCCGCTTTGCCCTCTATCTACACATCCAGTTCACTGACCGCAAGATACCGAGGGTGTTTCGCAATCCATTCACCCACTGAATGTCGAAAACGCACGGCGTCGTCGTTCCTATGCAGTCCTCGGTGCAGACCGCAATCAACGACTCGCTTGTACCGATCGAGGTTTCCGCTACTCCAAATGAGCCTCACAAACGCGACTGGCGTTTCTGGATGATATTTCTATGTATCACTGCATCGCAGTTTATCACAGCACTCGAACTGGTCAGTCACTTAGCAATCTCCTGGTGTCGCAACTGACGGCGTGCAGGCTGCGGTGACCACCGCTCTTCCCCGCATCATCGATGTTCTGCACGGGGAGCAATTTGTGTGGGTTGGGTCTGCGTACACCATTGGCACAACTGCCTTCGTCCCTCTCAGTGGGAATCTAGCACAGGTGTGTTCCAACCCATGTCAATGAATGATTCACGGTCTTGCTTAACGAGCCCAAGATATTTGGCCGCAGAATTACCATGCTGGCCTCCATTCTATTCTTTGCCATTGGCAGTGCGCTTTGCGGCGCGGCAACCTCACTAAATTTTCTCATTGCCGGAAGAGGTGTGTATGTGCTTCGCGTCACATCCTGGTGTTCGTTCGATACCTTTACTGAAGAAGATCTGTGTTGTAGCCGTGCAAGGTGCGGGTGGAGGGGGTATCCAAACAATGTGTCAGATCATTTTATCCGACCTCGTCCCCTTGAAAGAAAGAGGATTGTTTAACGGTCTTATTGCAATGTAAGCCAATGGTTATCTCTGTGTAGACAATGTCTTATTTCCTAGCAGGAGCTTTGTCGTCGCGAGTGGCATCGGGCCGGTGGTAGGCGGAGCGCTGGCTCAGCATGGGGAGTGGCGTTGGTTATTCTGTGGGTACCGAGTTCGTGTTCACCAAAGTTTCACACTGAAAGTCTATGGCCAGATCTCAATCTTCCTATCTGTGGCGTGGTCGTCTTTTTGGTTCTTATCTTCCTGAGGCTCCGTAGCCCTCCAGGAACTCTCAAGGAGAAGTTGCAGACGATAGATTGGATGTACGTCTATTCTCAAGTGTTTCGGCAACGTGTTGATCGTCTCTCTAGGGGAAATGTGCTCGTGATCTCCGCGACGACATCGTGCATGATCGGACTGACGTGGGGCGGGGTACAATACGCTTGGTCGTCAGCACAAATCCTTGTTCCCCTCATACTTGGGCTTTGCGGTCTGGTCGCTTTCATGGTATTTGAAGCTTATGTACCCAGAAATCCAATTGTATGTTTGACTTTCATTTACTCCGGTTATTAACGATCAATCTTAATCCAGGTTTCGTACGCTGTCTTGGCTAAACGAACGGCTGCCAGTGGTTTGCTGCAGACATTCGTTCTCTTCACCGTTATCTTGGCTATGCTTTGTGCGTCAGTCGGCCTCCCAAGCTCAATCTTGTAGCTGACGAGCTACTTTCAACAAGATTACTTACCTGTTTACTTCCAAGCATGTAAGGATGCGTCACCAACTGCCTCCGGCGTTGACTGCTTTGGTTTGGCTTTCACCATCGCGCCGATGGCACTTGTCTCGGGGTTGTCGATCGCAAAATCTCACCACTATCGCCCGCAAATATGGTCTGCTTGGGCACTACTAATCATTGGCATGGGACTTTTCAGCACAATTCACGCTGACTCCTCGCGCGCCCGCGTAATTGGCTTTGAGGTCATTGCCGGGGCCGGGGCCGGTCTACTCACCGCCGCCATGTTCTTCCCTCTCCTCGCGCCCGTTCCAGTAGAGTTGAGTGCGCAAGCGCTCTCTGTGTACACGTTCTTCCGCAGTTTCGCTAACGTGAGCATCTACTTCATTTGATGTATTAGCCGCACGTCCTCCGGCTAATCTGACTTCCACGTTTCATTGCAGATCTTGGGTATCACTATCGGAGGTACTGTGCTGCAGAACGAGCTGAAGAAGCAGCTCCCAGCGGCGTTTGCGCAACAGTTTTCTCAGGGTTCCGCGATCGCGTATTCAATCATTCCGCTCATTCCGACGCTGCAGGAGCCGCTGAAGACACAGGTGCAGGTTGCGTTCGCAGGGAGCCTGCATGTCGTGTGGCAGGTCTTCATTGGGATCGCCGGTCTCGGACTTCTGTTCAGTCTGCTCATGGAGCACTTGCCTCTGCATACACAGGTCGACAAGCAGTGGGGTCTCCAAGAGAATAGTAGTAGCATAAAGGAAGTGCACGAGCTGGAAAGCGACCATGCCTGAGTGCAATATTGTCCAGGTTACGGCGTTTGGTGTTTGTTTAAACCGACCGTGTATGATACTGATTTTTTGTCTCTTTGCAATTATGTATATAACTTATCTGCTGCGAGTCATTCCGTTTGCAATCTATACCGTATCATGATAACACGTAAGTTCAGTAGATATTAAGGCAGTCTCGGCTATTGCCTACACGTGGGAGGGAATACTTGGCATGTGTCTCACGTTCCGGGATGTCTAAGTTGAGGACCCATAATCGCAACACTTAGCGACTGTCCAAAGAATCCGGTCTGTATGGTAACAGAACTTTCTTGGCTCAGAAACGGGCAGCGACTCGGATGCCGTTTTAGCTCGATTTCTAGTTAGCTGCCAGATATAGTTGGATCTGATCGATCGGTGGACCCGCTTACTAGAGGTTGAAGGTGCGCGAAATTTGAGCAGAAACTTAATCCCCTAGTAGCCGTTGTAAATGCACCTAAATTATGTCTGCGTTATGGTTTCTCAATGGGTTCTCAACATGATAAATTATCGTCCTTCAAGAAGCTCTTCCATATATCCCCGACTCCAGGAACTGGAGGAGGGCTTTGGCAAGGGGAAACGGCAGACGCCTCTGCGAATGAAGTTGTGCGAAAACAACATCAGTAAATAAGTTGAGTAATAACACTTACGATTTGAGTCTTGACTCCGTCTAGGGTTCCGGTCGCGAACGTCGCTGTTGCACTGGACCTGTCGACACTGTTCGAGTGCAGGTCTATTTACGTAAGATCGCGCTCGCGAACGTTCCGCCCTTGCGCTCGACCTGCCCACGGTGTTCCAGCGCAGGTCTATTCACGTAGGATGGTGCTCGCAAACATCACGTGCGCGCTCGATTTCTCGACGATGTTGGCACTGCTGGACGACGTTACACCTCAGTGTCGCTCCTCGACGAGTCGCTATACGACATCATTCTGTTTTGCATGTGAGTGTATTCTTCTTCTCGTATTATTACTAATCTACTGATTCACCACTAAACCATGTAGAATCTACGTGGACCTGCTCTCTTGAAGACATAGTTTTCGCGTTTTTTGCGACTGTTTCGGACAAGTGTAGCTGCAAAATAGGTGCGTCTATGCTTGTTGACTTGTTCAAATGGATACTTACAGTTTAATTTGCACGATGCAGTTGCTATTTGTGATACTGTGTTCACAGTTTCGCAGTGCTGTTTTGATTGAGTTCGTGTCTAAGCACGTTAAACATTTTGTGTTCAAGCACGTTAAACATTTTGTGTTCAAGCACGTTAAATATTTTGTGTTCAAGCACATTAAGTATTTGTCTTCAAGCACGCTGTTCAAGTACACTAAGGATTTGTGTTGAAACACCTTTAAATCTTCGGACTGAAGTAGCGTAAGCGATTGACTTTAGCTATGGCAGATTTCAATCCCTCATGGTTCTATTTGTCTGATGAACAGTATTTGCGTACACTCCAAAGGTTAAGTCTTCATACTCTGCAGTCTGCAGCTGTGTCATCTCACTGTTTAATACCTCAGAAAGACCGTAACAAGTCTGAGATTTGCAGAAGACTTCTTGTTGACTTTCAATTGAGTCGTGCATCTGTTGCTATCATGTTCAATGAAGATGTAGCAAAGTGTCTGCATGGTGATGATCAACTTCTCAAATCCCGGTATGCTCTGCTCAGTGCTCTGTATATTAAATTGTATGGTGAACCTGTAGCACTAGCAATATGTTCTGCGAACTCTCCACTTTTTGAGGAACATCCATTAATTGGATATGCCATACCGCCTGTAGAATTATGTATAGAATTACCCTGGTTTGTCACTCCAGCTAGTGTTCTCATTCACTGTTTGTCATCTGTGTTAATGCGAACACTTTATAACTATGGTATTACGTTTACAAACCAATTGCCAGTAAAACGTCATGCACGTTGCACAGTTATAGTTGAGCATATTGTTGAGTTGTCCCAGTACTTATTCAAAGTTGAATCTTCAAAGTTTTTGAATACTATCTTGTGTCATTTACCATTCTTATCTCAGAGTGAGTTATGTAGTCCTCGTAGTGAACTGATTTTCAAGCTACTAAAGTCAAGTGTTCCATCTGAGATTTTTGATAAATTAAACATGGAGTCTCATACAAACAGTGATGCAAAGAAAGAGCAGCGTAGAGTTGAAAAGGCGTTAGAAATTGAACAGGACAGTGCAGAGACAAAAGCATATATTGATGCATGGCCACAACTTGTTCCTCACAATGTGATTCTTAACTGTCTGAACAATTATTACACTCATACTCAGTGGCATTCACCTTCAATTTGTGCTGTATGTGCTCGTCAGTCACATGAGATTCATATTTCTGAATATAAGATGGATGGTTTACTGCGGAATAAGCAAGTATTATCTGCATTTCAAATCACAGATTCTTTCATTCTAGAAAACTGCGTAGTTAAACAGAATAGCTCTGAGTTTGTTTTTAAGGACTCAAGGTTAGACGGCTGTATGTTGGATAAGAAAGGGCTGACTTATGATAATGGCATGGTCACAGCTATCAAAATTTGTTCGAGCTGCTATACAGCAATACAACATCGTACTACACCACAATATGGCTTAGTTAATAATCTGTATCGTGGTTGTCTGCCTGAGCAATACAATGATATAACCTGGGTTGAAGAAATGGTTTGTGCAATCTACCGTAGCACTGCACATGTCACAAGAATTTACCAGTCATCTGACCCTGCACAGCCAAAGGTGTTTCATGGAAACACATGTGCACATGATTTAAATGTTGTTTCCACAGCATCAGTGCTTCCAAGAACACCTGCCGATGTTGCTGGTATGCTTACAGTTGTTTTTATTGGTCCACATAAGTTTAAGCCTGAGTACGTAGGAAACATGTATCGTGTGCGGAAGCGTAAGATTTGGAGCTTCTTACTGTGGCTTAAGAGTCATAACAAGTTGTATAAACATATGACTTTTGATCTGTCTGCACTTGATATGTATCCTGAAGATGATGTGTTACCGGGTCTTAGTTCACGAATTGTCGAAGATCACAGAATGGATACTACACTTATATTTCAAGATGAAACGGCAGGCTTTTCAGAACATTCTGCAGAATTATTTGCCAAAAGCTGCCCTCTATCAAATGAACCACAACTTATGATGGAGAAAATGGGCATGTCAGATCCAGAAGGAGATAAACTTAGTGGGAGAAGCTTTACTGCTGCGGCAATAAGAAGTATAGTTAATCCAACTGCATCGCAACCTGATCTTGTAGTTCATCATGGTATGCTGCCTGTCTCTGAATACAACAATCCTAACTTGTTTCCAGGTATGTTTCCAACACTATATCCATTTGGCATTGGTGGGTTTGAAGATCCTAGTAGGCCAAAGCCAATAGAGTTTGATACTCAGGTCAACTACTATCTTGATCTTGCAGACAAGGCATTTCGGTATCATCACATGTTTATGTTCATTGCACTTAATATATGGCAGCGTCGCTCTGCTCACTTACACACACACTTTGCAGTACAAAAGCCCTACTTTCAGACTATCACTAGAAGATTAGTCACTCTTTCACCCTCCTTGCTTATGTCAGTCTCTAACCATCTTGAGAATGAAGGTAAATATGCAGATTTGACTGACCAGCAAAAAGATGCATTAGACTTGCTAAAGCATGTGAACACTATTGGTGGACATATTCCTGGTTCTCAAGCCTCAAAAATTCGGGTCAGAAATGAGATACGTAGCTACTTTAGTTACTTTGGCATGCCACATATTTACATGACCATAAATCCTTCGCCTGCACATAATCCAATTTTCCAAGTCATGTATGGTGACACTACTGTAGACTTGGCCAAACGATTTCCACTAGTTGTGCCTGCACATGAACGTGCTTTGCGGCTGGCCAAAGATCCAGTTGCAGCATGCGATTTCTTCTACTTTTGTATACACACTATATTTGAAGACCTCTTGGGCTGGGATTTTTCTAAGAGACGCTCCAAAAGGCAAGGTGGAATCTTAGGAAAGTTGCGTGCATTTTATGGTACACCTGAATGTACTGAGCATGGTACACTGCATGGTCACTTTGTATTATGGCTACTTGGAGGTCTGAATCCTTCTGATTTGCATGCTAGGTTGCATGACAGTCATGAGTTTGAATACCGATTTTTCAGATACTGGGAGAGCATTATATTTCATCACTTGCCTAATATTGATATGCAAGTTGATCAAACGTACGAACCTCGTATTGAACAACCACCACAACCACCTATTGTTGGTGAATCGGCACTCAATATTCTGAATGAATGGGAGTCAGTGTTTGTCACTGAAATTAAAAAATGTGGAGAAGTCTTGCAGCGTCATCAACACTGTAAAGTCTGTGAAAAATACGGTAATGAAGGTAAATGCAGATTTTTATTTTCCCATGAGGTTGTTGAGAGCTCATATTTTGATCGTAATACTAACTCTGTCATTCTGATGTGTAAAGATGCAAATGTGAACTACTACAATCCATATATTCTGGTTTTTTGCAGACATAATCATGACATTAAATGTATTCTTTCTGGTAAAGCTGCGAAGGCTGCAATGTTTTATATTACAGACTATATTACTAAGGTTGACCTAAAAACCTATCAGATGCTATCATTGTTATCAAAGGCAGTAGCAAGTTTACCCAGCGGCAATGACCAATCCTCGCAATTGACTAGTTACAGTACAAAAACCTTACTAAATAGGTGCTTGGCTCAATTCTTGCGTCAACAACAGATCCACTCTCAGCAAGCAGCCTGGTACATACGTAAGAGAGGCGATAGTATTTCATCACATCCTACAAAGCCCTTGCTATCCATTTTGTTACTCCTTTATGTCAAAGAGCATTATTCATTTGCTATGCAAATTGAAAGTCAGAGTGGTGAGGATAATCATTCTGATGCTGATGACATAGAAGAGTGTACTATCAATATTAAAGTGAATAAAAATGGACAGCTACTCAAACGGAACCAAATTGATGATTACATCTAC